GCATCCATGTGCCCGTCCACGTCCGTCACTCCAACTTCAAGCTGCCCTCGGATCCGTCCAAACCGATCATCATGGTTGGCCCGGGTACAGGTGTGGCCCCCTTCCGCGGATTCATCCAGGAACGTGCTGCGCTGGCCGCCAAGGGCGAGAAGGTTGGCACCACGGTCCTGTTCTTTGGATGCCGCAAGAGCAACGAGGATTTCCTCTACCAAGATGAGTTCCAGGTAAGTCTTTTCTTAGGGTTCTTAATGACGATGTTAACCATTCTTTCAGGCATACCAGGAGCAACTGGGTGACTCGCTCAAGGTCATTACGGCCTTCTCCCGCGAATCTTCCCATAAGGTATACGTTCAGCACCGCCTGAAGGAGAACGCCTCACTGGTCAGCGACCTGCTGAAGCAAAAGGCCAATTTCTACGTCTGCGGTGACGCCGCCAACATGGCCCGAGAGGTCAACACGGTGCTGGGCCACATCATCGCCGAGCAGCGCGGCATGCCAGCCGAGAAGGGCGAGGAGATGGTCAAGCACATGCGCAGTAGCGGCAGCTACCAGGAAGACGTGTGGTCATGATTATCGTTTTTCTTTCTCCCCCTTGTCTCATGTCTAGATGACCGAGCATTATATACTCATCTGTTTTTGTGTTGAATAGCCTTTTTTTCCCCCTGTATGTTTCGCATTTTCAGGTTCGATTGGGGAACTCGGGATGGCTGGATGAGCCTGTAGACTTGTGATTTAAAAAGAGAGCAATTTAATGTTCCATAACTATGGATGTGGTCTACTGTAGGAATTGATCAATAGGCAGTAAGGGCAACCCGGACTTAGGCGCGTCATCCCGGCCTACAAACGCACCTCCTGCGCTTTCTCCTTCACCGTCCACCTCCCACTCACACCCTTTCCTTTTCCCTTGGGCGATCATTCTGTCACTTGATTATACAAAATCAATTTCCCATTTCTTGTTCTCGGATCTTTTGTTGAATCCCGGCGGAACCGAAGTTCTCTTATCCGGCCTCGCTGCGGTCGGCCATTCCCCGCAGTGGTGCACGTCCAAGCTCGAGCTCGACTGTTGCGCGACGCTGAGATACAAACACCATGGCTTATGTCGTGCCCATCCATCGGGCGAGCAGTATTCGCCATGCCGTGAAGCTTAACTTCGTGCAGCCCGAGGAGGACTGCTTGGTGGCTGCGTGCGGTTTCCCTGCCCCTCTTGGAGACAACAATTAAGTCGACCACGGGCATATGAGCTGACCGGCTTACAGGAAAGCAAACCGACTCGAATTCTACAACCTCACCCCCGATGGCCTGGTCCTCGCAGCCTCGCATACCATCTATGCGCGCGTGACCATGTTGGCTCGCCTACCGGCACCGGCGAACTCAACCACCGACCACCTCTTCGTCGGTACGGACCAGTACAATTACTTTACGCTTGCGTGGGATAGCCAGACGAACCGGATCCGAACAGCACGGAGCTATGTGGACATTACGGAGCCGTCGTCCCGAGAATCGCAATCCGCAGCGCGGTGTCTCATCGACCCGAGCGGACGATTCATGACCCTAGAGATATACGAAGGTGTGGTAGTAGTCGTGCCGATTGTGCAGCTACCAGCTAGGAGACGCGGACAGACGCACGCCGCCCCGGGTCCTGATGCTCCTCAGATCGGGGAACTGGGCGAGCCGACTACGTCGCGCATCGACGAGCTGAAGGTGCGCTCGTCCGCTTTCCTTCATTCGGAATCGGCGAACCCGCCGTTTCTGGCGCTGCTCTACGAGGATAACCAGCGCAAGGTGCGCTTAAGGATCCGAGAGTTGGAGTACAGTCCGGCTACGAAGAGTAACCTCGCGGAGGCGACGTTCAAGGAGGTCACAGATAAGAAGTTAGATGGGGGTGTGTTTGCATATGAGCTTGACTTTGGGTCGTCGCATCTGATCCCAATCCCCGCACCGCTTGGTTTGTTTCTTACTTGTAACATCCTAGGAAGCATACACTGACTTGGTTCTAGGTGGCCTCATTGTTCTTGGCGAGACGTCAATCAAGTATATCGATGACAACAAAAACGACATGATCTCCCGGTCGCTTGAGGAAGCGACTATCTTCGTGGCATGGGAAAAGGTGGACAGCCAGCGGTGGCTGCTGGCCGATGACTACGGCAGATTGTTCTTTCTGATGTTCGTTCTCAATGCCCAGGGCAACGTTGAAGACTGGAAACTCGACTATCTTGGTCGCACATCTCGCGCGTCGGTGCTTGTCTATCTCGGCGGAGGTATTCTTTTCGTGGGATCGCACCAAGGCGACACCCAAGTCCTCCGGATCGAAAACGGCTCGTTCACAGTCATCCAGACCTTGTCTAACATTGCGCCAATCTTGGACTTCACGGTCATGGACCTTGGCAACCGGACGAGCGAGAGCCAGACCCATGAGTTTTCGTCGGGACAGGCGCGGATCGTAGCCGGTTCCGGGGCCTTTGACGATGGCACCTTGCGAAGCATGCGGAGTGGTGTTGGTATGGAAGAGCTGGGTGTTTTGGGCGAAATGGATCACATCACCGACCTCTTCGGCCTCCAGACGCAAAGTAAGGGCGACCTCATGGATACTTTGCTGGTGACATTTGTGGACGAGACGCGAGTGTTTCACTTCAGCGCTGACGGCGAGGTGGAGGAGTTGAACGAGTTTTTGGGCCTGATCTTCGAAGAAAACACCCTCCTTGCCGCTAATCTGCCCGGCGGACGGATTCTGCAAGTCACCGAACGACAGGTGATCGTGGCCGATATCGAGAGTGGCATGATCAATTTCCAATGGACGCCCCCTGTTCAGAAGGCGCTCACGGCTGCTTCAGCGAACGATGACCATCTGGTCGTTGTTATCAGTGGCCAGATCCTGGCATCGTTTGATATCCGGAGTAACGGCCAGCTCATCACCAAGAAAGATATGGGTGCAGACCGCCAGGTTTCGGGCGTCACAGTGCCATCCACCCCGGCAGGAGTGTGTATCGCTGGATTCCCGCAGTCGGCTCAAGTGTCTGTTCTGGCCATTCAAGATCTAGCGGAGCTGCAAACCCAGTCCGTGGGCCCTGCTGGCGAAGCGTTTCCGCGCTCTGTCCTGGTGGCGGACGTGCTGGCGAACAGCCCCCCGACGCTGTTCATTTCCATGGCGGATGGCAGCGTCGTCACCTTCACTTTAAACCCGCGGGACTTTTCACTGACCGGCATGAATAAGCTAATTCTTGGTTCTGAACAGCCAACCTTCAAGAAACTCCCGCGAGGCGACGGGCTCTACAACGTATTTGCAACCTGCGAGAACCCCAGTCTCATCTACGGCTCTGATGGGCGCATCATCTACTCCGCAGTGAACTCTGAAGGTGCGTCCCGGATCTGCCACTTGAATGCAGAGGCATACCCGGAGTCCGTCGCCGTCGCCACGGCGAATGAGCTGAAGATTGCCCTGGTGGATAAGGAGCGCACCACACAGATCCAGACTCTGCCAATGGAAGCGACGGTGCGCCGAGTGGCCTATTCCCCATCCGAGAAGGCATTCGGAATAGGTACGATTGACCGCAAGCTCGAAGACGGAATGGAGATTGTCAAGAGCCACTTTGTGCTGGCAGACGAAATCCTGTTCCGGCGGTTGGATGCAATTGAGTTGGAGCCCGAGGAGCTGGTGGAGAGTGTCATCCGAGCCGAGTTCCCAGCCGGCAAAGACGAGAACGGTCGAGACATGGTTAGGGACCGGTTCATCGTCGGCACGGCCTATCTGTCCGATGAGACCGGGGATTCTATTCGCGGACGGATTTTGGTGCTCGAAGTCGACCACGGGCGCAAGCTCACCAAGGTCGCCGAGCTACCGGTCAAGGGTGCATGTCGGGCACTGGCCATGATGGGTGACCGGCTCGTTGCGGCGCTCGTCAAGACCGTAAGTGATTATGTTGACCCCCCAATCTTGGTGCCGACATATTTTATTTACAAAGATATCAGGTGGTTGTGTACAAGGTCATCAGCAACAACTTTGACGAAATGAAACTCGAGAAGCAAGCTTCTTACCGCACGTCGACTGCGCCGATGGATATCACAGTTTCGGGCGAGCAGATCGCCGTTGCCGATCTCATGAAGAGCGCTACGGTCCTCCAGCATAAAATAGACGAGACAGGAGTCGCAGGAGATACGTTGACGGAGACAGCTCGCCACTACCAGACCGTATGGTCCACAGCCATCGCCTTTGTGGAGAAGGGCACTTTGCTGGAGAGTGATGCACAGGGCAATCTCATTGTGCTGTCGCGGGATGAGGACGAAGTCCTGACAATAGACCAGCGTCGCCTGAGGCCCACCAGTGAAATCTCGCTGGGCGAGATGGTCAATCGGATCCGGCCGGTGAATATCCCCAAGCTGGAGAATGTGGTGGTGACACCTCGGGCGTTTGTTGCAACGGTATGCTCTTTTTTGATCTTTTTTTTTTGGGGGTTCGAGTTACTGACTGGAAGACAGGTCGAGGGATCCATCCATCTATTCGCTCTCATCGACTCCAACCACCAAAACTTCCTCATGTCCCTGCAAGACGTGATGGCCCGCCACGTCGACTCGCTGGGCGATCTGCCGTTTGAGAAGTTCCGGGCTTTCCACAACGAAGTGCGCTCCTCCGACAAACCGTACCGTTTCGTGGACGGCGAGCTCATCGAGCAGTTCCTGAACTGCGACTCCGTTGAGCAGGAGGAGATCCTGGCCGAGGTGGGCTCTGATGCTGGTGACCTTGGTACGCTGGATGTGGAGGAAGTGAAGAAGATGATTGAGGCTTTGCGGCGGCTGCACTGATGGATTGGGCAATGCATTGTTTGTTACTAGATGGATTACGACACGATATGGATCTGTTCAATAGTCTTGTTACACTCGCGAATGTCATGATTGATCGAGTCTCATCCCGCGCCGTGGACATGTCCTGATTAAATGGAGCTCGGTAGGATACAAATACAAGCAGTGAAAGTCTTCCCCAAGTAGCCACCTCCCTCCCTCACCCATCATGCCTTCTTCGCATCATCCTCCTCACTCCAATCCAACAGCTCCAGCACCTGATCATCCGTCAAGCTCTCCGCACTAGCATACGCCTGCTTCTCAAGATTCTTGAGATACTTCTTCTGCCGCTTGCGCGCCATCTTATTCCACTCCGGCACACCAGACGCATTAGCCATATTCTCACCCTCCTCATCCTCCGATCCGAGTTCATCCTCCGTATTCTCCACCTCCCCAAGCACCTTCCCACTCTCAGCACCTCCTCGTCCACCCCTCAGCGTGTTGGCCGACATCTTCGCTTTCTTCCCACTAGCCTTCTGCTTCTCCCTTTCCTTCTCCTTCTTCTCCTTCTCCTTCCGCTTAGAGCGATCGTGGCTCCATTTGAACAGCTTCTCGATGTACGGCCGGATGAGGAGGTATCCGATCACGATCAGCGCGATCCGCGTCCAGCGGTAGGCGCTCACGTTGATGAAGGTGCTGTAGAAGTTGCGGCAGAAGCGCCGGACCACGGTGTCTAGGCCGCCGAAGATTTGGGTGGTGAAGTCGTTGAGGGCATCTGCGGCGACGTCGCCGAAGTTGCGGGTTGATTCGGGGGTGGCCATGTTGTGTGGTGGTTTTTGAGGAAAGGCTCTTTTTTTTTGAGGTGGATGGAGGGACAAGGAGCGGGTCGTGGCGGAAGGCGGGAGATTGGGGGGCAAGAGCAGGAGAGCTCTGAGGAACACCGAACCTGGGTCAGGTGGGAGAGAAGAGAACAAGGAAACAAGAGGGAGAAGCAATTGGAGAGGCACAGACACGTCGTTGTTCGTTCGTCCACCCGATCTTCCGGTCCTTTTTTATGAATCCGGACCATTGGTTTCTCCGATGACGCGGTGTATGGAAGGACGCGCCTCATCATCCCCTCCACAACAGAGTGGGAATTCCTCACTGCCTGTCCTCAGCATGGAGCCGGACGAGAAGGCTCAGCTCGAGGAGGTCGGTCAATGATTTATTGGTCATCGGTACATCCAGCTAATGCAGTCCCAGCGTCTCAAATCCGCCCTCTGGCTGTCCATCGGCAAGATCGTGGATGAGGAAACCATCAAGCTGGGCGCGAATGCAACCCCCCAGTTCATCGGTGCCTTGACCGAAATGGTCTGGGCCCAGATAGGTATGTGATCGTCTTTTCGCATGGGTTGATTATCATGCCGTGTTTATCCTCCGTCCTCTGACACTGGTCGATTACCAGAAACGGTCAGCCAGGATCTCGAGTCCTTCGCCAAGTAAGCATCCCTATGCACCTTGTTTGTGTTATCTACGGGTCGACTGACCGTGATCGGGATTCGATTAGGCATGCCGGACGGTCTACTGTCAATGTTTCCGACGTGATGCTGCTTGCTCGCCGCAACGACGGGCTGGATTCGATTCTGCGTGCCTTTGTCGAACAGCAGCGCAATGAGGCTCAATGAAGCTTCTTGAATCGGCTACCCGGGCTGCTGGATGCGAGTTGAACATCTATCCAGATACATTGCTCACGACCATCATCTCACTCTATGGTCGCTGATCTCAACCATAACTTTCCCGTGCGAGTCAGGTCTTGGACAAAACCACAGTCAACAACCGCGATCGGCGATTCCTGGATCCTTGATGTATCCGGGTGCAAGAGATCCTCGTGGAGGTCAGAGGGCCGTGAACCTGTGGCACGATCTAACTCGGTGCTTCTGGGATGCGCAGCAGAAACATAAAAATAGTTATGATGGCATGATTTCCCCATTAGGTCTTCTTGTAGCATGTGATGTCTGACATAATGTGGCTGTTCTCATGCTGTGCCAATGGATCCGGAGTGGCAAGCCAATCCCTGCCCTACTGCTGCGGCTGCCCCACCACCGGTTCCAGCTTGACATCAGCGTCCCTGTGGCGCACGCCCGGCCAGCCACTGAGCGTGCGCGGATCCGCCGAGGCCATCCACTGATCTACGGAATTGCGTCGGAGGGTCCCAATTATTTGTGGTCCCAGCTGGGAAGAGAAGAATCACTCGCCCCCGAATTCGGTTGCCTGGGTTTTCCTTCCTTATAACACCTTCTTCCCTGAAGACTTTCAGGCCACTCAACCCCAACCTACTTTTGTAACTTTATCCCGACCACGACAAGTCCAACAACAGCTCATCATGGGAGTGGGTGGACTGCTTCTCCGCATCTGCGGCATGGCGATTCGCGTCCTGCAGTTCCTGGACGGCGCCGTCATCCTCGGCATCTTTTCCTACTACCTGGCCACCCTCTCGAGGAATGATCAGACCATCGCAACATGGATGAAGGCCGTGGAGGGCATGTCCGGTGCCGCCACGCTGTATGGCCTGCTGGGCGTGCTCTTCGTCTGCTGCTTGGGCGGCGTGTCCTTCTTTGCCTTCTTGGGCGTCGTGCTGGATGTCTGTTTCACCGGTGCGATGATCGCCATCGCCGTGTTGACTCGCCGCGGCACCCAGAGCTGCAGCGGCAAAGTCACCACCCCCGTGGGCACGGGCGATGCTGGCTCGAAATCCCCCACCGCGCTCACCTATGGCATGGCGTGCAAGCTGGAGAAAGTGGCGTTTGCGGTGGCAGTGATTGGAATGTGAGTACAGGACCCTCAAAACTTACGTCTGGTTCATGGCTAATCAATCATTCCGATGTAGCTTCCTCTTCTTGATCTCCATCCTCTTCCAGGTCCTGCTGGCCCGTCACCACAAGCGTGAGAAGCGCTTCGGCCCCTCGCCCGCCAACGGCTACACCTCCGGCTCACGAAGGGGCTTCTTCGGTCGCAAGAAGAAGAACCTCGACGGGCCGGCACCTGATGCTCTGCCCGGCCACCCGACGCCTAATGAGGTGGAGAACGGTGCCACTGCCACGAACGAGAAGTCTTTCTTTGGCTCGTTTGGCCGCAACAAGAATACCAATAGCTATGGCAACTCGGCCTACACCGGCACCTATTAATTTGGAAGATAAGAAAACCAAAGGGGAACGGAAAGCGAGCAGCGTGGACATGCGTGCTGCAATAAGTAGCTTTGGAGTTGCTGTTTGGAGACTGCGAGCCGATGATGATATGAATTTCGTTGCCTGGAAATGAGATACCATGCGTTTTCTACATTCTGTCTAAATTGGAGGACGTTCATGTATATTAGGAAAGCCCTGTATCAGATGGCTTGGTTGGACCTCGTCTTAGTTTATAATACTAATCAATGAATGCACTGCTGAAACATACGAAAAAATGAACAGGAAGTACTCAAAACTGTTTTCTCCGCGTGGTAAAGTTTGGTTCCTGGCATTGCAAAGGTACAGCTACAGATCAAGATTTCCGCATGCGTCAAGCAATTAAGCACCGCCACTCGAACCAGACTTTGAAGCAATCCAGTAGAAGACAGAGAAAAAAAGACACGAAACATCAGACATGGAATTCAACATGATCATCGCTAGTCGATCAATCAGATAGGGAGACAAACATCCAGCGCCGGGTCCAGCGCCAGTAACAAACTATAAAAAAAGAATCCTTCTCGTAGGGATGCTTAGCCGACCCAGTCGGGAAGCAGAGCCCAGTCAATATACCCTAAGTTTCCCCGCTGAAAGAATAATCTGCAAACAAATGGACGGAAAGGAAGAAAGAAAGGAAAAAGAAACTCAGTTCCAATCGCCAGCGTCAACCATCCGGCCCCCTCGGCAGAGGGTACCACGAGCAACGGGGCCCATGTAGACGGGGTAGCCATGGTCGCACTGAGCCCAGGACAGACCATCGGGAGAGCAGATGAACTCGCCATCATAGCAGTACCAGTTGCCGACGTATTCGTGGAACTCGCCGCTGGCAGCCTCGGTGCCCATCATGCGCGGGTCAGATTTGGGAGTGCTCCGGGTCTTAGCAATCTTCGCGACCTTGGTCATGGTGAGACTCGGGGCAAAGCGGGTCTCTTCCTTGTTCTTGGAAGAGTCGGCCTTGGAGGAACTGTCGCTGTCTTTGGAGTCGTCCTTGCTCTTTGAATCATCGCCCTTGTTCTTGGAGGAGCTGTCCTTGGAGGAGCTGTCGCTATCCTTGGAGTCGTCCTTGCTCTTTGAATCATCGCCCTTGTCCTTGGAGGAGCTGTCCTTGGAGGAGCTGTCCTTGGAGGAGCTGTCCTTGGAGGAGCTGTCCTTGGAGGAGCTGTCCTTGGAGGAGCTGTCCTTGGAGGAGCTGTCCTTGGAGGAGCTGTCCTTGGAGGAGCTGTCCTTGGAGGAGCTATCCTTGGAGGAGCTGGAGCTATCCTTGGAGTCGTCCTTGCCCTTGGAAGCATCATCCTTATCCTTGGAGGAACTGTCCTTGCCATTTCCAGAGTCATCACTGGACGAGCTAGGCGCTTCCGCTCCCAAGAACGGCGCGTTGCCAGAGCACTTGAAGCCCTTGCCTTCAGACTTGCCCATCACGTTGTCGCCGGGCTCAGGGAAATCGACAGTCTCGCCTTCAATGGTCACGCATTGGCCCGTCTGGTTGACGTTGGCGACGAAGAGCTCGGGCAGGTTCTTGAAGGCGGTGGCTTGCTTGGTGTTGGGCGTCTCGGTGGGCTTGTCCTTGGGCTTGGTGGACGTGGGCTTCTCAGTAGTCGTGGGGGTCTCAGTAGGCTTGTCTGTAGCCTTCTTAGATGTGGATTTGCTGGTGGATGTCTCGGTGGGCTTGTCCTCGGGCTGCTTGGTGGACGTGGACTTCTCAGTAGTCGTGGAGGTCTCAGTAGGCTTGTCTGTAGCCTTCTTAGACGTGGACTTGCTGGTGGATGTCTCGGTGGGCTTGTCCTCGGGCTGCTTGGTGGACGTGGACTTCTCAGTAGTCGTGGAGGTCTCAGTAGGCTTGTCTGTAGCCTTCTTAGACGTGGACTTGCTGGTGGATGTCTCGGTGGGCTTGTCCTCGGGCTCCTTGGTGGACGTGGACTTCTCAGTAGTCGTGGAGGTCTCAGTAGGCTTGTCTGTCGCCTTCTTAGATGTGGACTTGCTGCTGGTGGGCTTCTCCTTGGACGAAGTGGTAGTAGTAGTAGTGTCGGTAGTCTTGGAGGTGCTTTCCTTGCTGGATGAGACTTGCGTAGTGCTGGAATGGTCGTCATCACTCTCGGCCTCAGGATCCTTCTCCTCAGGGGTCATGGAGGGCATGTCAATGCTCTCCCTTTTCTCCATATCAGCCGAGTTGCCCATCTTACGGCTCGAGTCGCCGCCAATGGTGACCATGGCACAGTTCATGTACATCTCCCGGTTGCCGATCTTGTTGAACCAGGTCCACGCCAGGAGGGCTTCACCAGAGGGTGCGTCAGAGGGCACGGTGAACTTGTACTTCTTAGGGATTGGGCATTCGCCGAGCATAGACTCGATAACCTTGAAGGTCTTGCCTTTGTCGTAGGTCAGGGCCAGCTGGCACGAGCCGCCCCCGTGTGTGGCTTCTCCCTCGAGCTCCATCTCGTACGACTGGCCGGGGGTGTAGTTCGCCTCCGACACAAAGGGGTCGTTCTGATAGCCCTTGCACGGGTAGTCCTGGCCCGATGGCAACAGCGAGTTGGTGTAGGAATAGTCGATCTTGCCCGTGGCGTTCTTATTCAAGGGACTGCGGATTGGGTACGGCTGCTTCATTTGCATGTGCGCCGAGGCCGTCGTGGCCAGCAGGCCGGACAGCAGGAGAAAGCCCTTCATGTTTGATTGAGAGGGCAATTGAGACTTTCTGTTGATGGTCAGTGGCCCAGTCCTAAAGAAGAAACCACGGCCGTCCACTCACCAAAGATCCACGAAAAGACTCTCCGCAGGCCAGGATCAGAGAATAAAGATACTAAGCAAGTGAGCTTGTGCCTGTAGGTCAGTGACAGTATAAATACCTGGTGTCAAGCGCATTCTTCCCTGCCGTGGGAATGAATGGCAAATGCCGCCAGCCAGCGACGGTAGGCGCAAAACAAGCATCGCAACGTGAAGAATGCTGGCCACCAGATGGGTCGTTCCGGGAGATGCTCTCGCCAGGCTGGTCTTATGTTTGACCATAGTTGCTCTCGAAAAGAAACTTTAGTTGTCATCTGCAATGTCTAGGACATTTCAGTCCCAGCCTTTTTGTCTTTTCCTCAGCGAGAACTATCCATCGAACAGACTATATTTCTCCAGCCCTCTGCATCTCCAAGACTCAGCCTTCATTCCAACTTAATTTCTTCACCGCCCAAAAAACAGACCGAAGAATTCGGTGATGTCAATACGTAGGAACAAAACCGAGGCGAGTGGTAGGGACCGAATCCCTTGATGTTCGCATTTATTACCCGTGTGCCTCCCTGCATGCCTAGCCAGACACACTCTAGTATGTAGAGCGGACTTGCAGTCCTCGGATGACTGGCCTGGAAACTATCTGGATCGAGTTGTGGACTGTATTCTTGAGGTGACTAGTTCTCAAGTCCTGGAGTAGTTAGGGCACGGTGCTTAACGCGTCCAGTGCTAGCGCGTTTCCCCTCGACTCGCCAACGTCACTTTCTCTCCCCATCTCATTCCCTCAATGCGCCCGATAAGCCACGACTGACCCTCTTCCCCGCTGTATGTGTCGGCCTTTCCCCCACCCCCAGAGATTGCTTCGTGCTCTGTCTGTCCAGCATGCCGGTGTCTCTAGTCCGGGTTCTGGCCCGCGGGGTCGCCACATCCAGTCATCACTAAGGTTCCCCGATCGATCGATTGCCGTGGCAAACACCAGATCGCCTGCCCTGATTTTTCCTCGCCAGCATGCCGCTCACCCAGTACAGCCTTCGCATTTATTCGGAGACTGTCTCGCGGCACATTTCTCTACTCTCTCTGCAGGATCTCGTCGCGCATACTCCTCCCACCTTGGCCAACCTACATTGAATGCGACAGGCATAACCATGGCCATTAAACCGGAACTGGATGTGGAGCCGGTTGACATCCTCAATGGAGACGCGACAACGCCTGCTGGTCGGGCGGCGGCTTCTTTGGACCCGGAGTCTGATGAGGACGTTCCCGTCGACCCGGAGGAGCTCAAGGAGGCGCTGGGGAGGCCACCGCCGGTGCATAGTAACTATCTCCCTCTGCCGTGGAAAGGCAGATTGGGATATGTGAGTTGCACCACGCTAAGACCGTTGGGCACAGCTGCTGACACACTACAGGCCTGTTTGAATACCTACCTCCGCTACTCGACTCCTCCGGTTTTTTGTTCGAGAACGTGTCGAATCGCATCCATATTGGAGAACAGACATCCGCTCCTCGACCCTGATCAGCCTGCCCATCCGACCAAAAACCGTCCGGACCGGGACCAAACACCTGATGTCGCACGCGGCCAGGCCTTCGTCGAAGCGTTAGGGCTGGCGAATGCGCGCGACCTTGTCAAAATTCTGCGCTGGAATGACAAGTACGGTATTAAGTTTATGCGATTGAGCAGCGAGATGTTTCCCTTCGCTAGCCATAAAGAATACGGCTACAAGTTGGCCCCGTTTGCCTCCGAGGTGTTGGAACAGGCCGGCCTGGTTGTTGCAGAACTCGGCCATCGAGTGTCAGTTCATCCAGGCCAATTTACCCAGCTGGGGTCTCCTAAGAGAGAAGTGGTCGAGAGCTCTTATCGGGATCTCGAATATCACTCGGAGATGTTACAGCTTCTCAAGCTACCGCCACAGCAAGATCGCGATGCGGTCATGATTCTTCACATGGGTGGAGTGTTTGGCGATAAAGAAGCGACTCTGGATCGATTTAGAGAGAACTATGCGGCTTTGTCACAGGACGTCAAGAACCGGCTGGTCTTGGAAAACGACGACGTCAGCTGGTCTGTTCACGACCTCTTACCCATCTGCGAAGAACTGAATATTCCTCTCGTCCTCGACTACCATCATCACAACATCATCTTCGATGCGAATGAGCTGCGTGAGGGCACTCAAGACATCATCGGTCTCTACGACCGCATTGCCGCGACCTGGTCGCGCAAAAACATCACACAGAAAATGCATTACTCCGAACCCACCCCCTCCGCCATCACGAACCGCCAGCGCCGCAAGCACAGCGATCGCGTGGCTACCTTACCTCCGTGCAATCCCACCATGGACCTGATGATTGAAGCCAAGGACAAGGAGCAGGCCGTGTTCGAGTTAATGAGGACCTTCAAGCTTCCGGGATACGAGCTCTTCAATGACATGATCCCGAATACGCGCACGGATGAGAACAAAGCATTCAAGCCACCAAGAAAGTCCAAGAAGAACGGCGGCTTTGTCGACCTGGAGGGTTCCGTTCCACCGCCTCCTACCATTTCCGACGAAGAGGTTGGCATGGGCGGCCCTGAGAGAAGGGTGTATTGGCCACGAGGCATGGAAGCATGGCTCCGTCCAGTGAAGAAGGTCATTCGGGCCAAGACGACTCGAAGCCCAGCAAAGAAGAGCGCATCCAAGAGAGTGAAGGCGGATCCGGGCGCCGAGAACGGTGAAGCGGAAACACCGATCAAGAAGTCAGCTCGGGGAGCTCAACGTACGCCGGCATCGACCAAACCCGCACGCCAGAAACGCAAGGCTGCCGAGGCTGTGGAGTCGACTCCAGAGTCTGAGGAGCTGTCTGCAGTGGACGACGGGGTCCCGGTGTCTGTCTCTCGGCGAAGTAGTCGAGCGAAGAAGGTGAATTACACCGAAGACAGCGCATAATTAATGGGGCAACTGTACATATCCCTTTGTATTATATATCCTATATTCAAGTGAAATCCAAGAGACATACATCTAATCAATGGTGAATTCCGATACTAGAGACTGGCAGTCACAAAACCAAGGCATCATTATTCCCTAAACCGGACTAGCCAGGTCCTTCCTGGATAGCGAACATCACTAATACAGCGCTCGCGAGTACTGTCCGCTAATAGCTATAACAAGTGTCTGAAACAACACCCACTTCTTTTCAAGCGCAGCCCAACTTGATCTCCTGACTGTCATGAATCAGCCTTATCATTGTTGATCGATTGCCCCACACGAACAGGAAACATTTCCTCTTTCTCCACTAACCATTGTTGTTGTCATCAGCTTTCCTTCCACATCTACTCACTTGCCACATCCACCGAGGGCTTCCCCTTGCCCAGAACTGCATTATATCTATATCTCTCCCCCACTCTCTCGACCCTGGCTCCCAAACCGCCCCTTCGAGCCCGCTGGTCAATCCTCCGGTCGAGTCCATTTCGCTTCAGACAGCCCACCGACACCCCCTCCACCGCGAACCCGGACCCAGACCCAGCCGCCTCTCGGTCCTGCTCAGAGTTCTCATCGGCCCACACGCAACGCGGCGTGCCCAGCTGCGTCTCTGGGCTTTCCGCCACGAGGTCCTCCCCGCGCTGCGTCACCGGACCCAATCGCGGCTATACCGAGCGATCGTCCAGCGACAGGCTCGGATCGCTGCTGCTCGCAATCGCAGGCTTAGCAGTGGTTTCGTGACATACCTGCTCGGACCGCGACAACGGGTGCGCGGGTGGAGAGCCAGCGCTGGAGCCGGGGTCAGTTTGCCTGCACGACGCGTGCGAATACCGGGAGCGGCCCCGAACGGGCTGAATGATGCAGACCCAGTAATGTCTGGTCTATCATCAACATCGACATGGGGGTCTGGAGATGGTGCGGCTGCGCCTGGTGGTCGCCGCAAGAAGGTTTACGGATATTTGAAAGCGGCGAATGAGTTGCGCCAGGCGTATACGTCGCAATGGTCTGGGCAAGGGAATGGTACCAATGAGGACTACTATAATACCCCCGGCGCTTTTCCGGATGTTGCGATCGCGCGGTCTGGTGATGAGGAGATGGTGCTCTTCCCGAGCTATGCGAGACGCTTGCCCGAAAAGCAAAGAGAGGAGCGTGAGCGGCGTAATTCGTGGTCAGATACTCTCGATGAGTATCGCGGTGCGTCTGACAGCAATGATTTCTTCAACTCCGGTTATGACGAGAGCGAGATGGAGAACGCGGTTGTGGATGTGGATGTGCGTGGTTGGATATATGCACCCAATCGGGGGCCCATGAACCGGAAGCACCGCTTGATGATTACTTTGGCTAGGAAGTTGAGCGGCATTCCAGCGCCGACAGGTACAGGGAATGAGGATGCTGATAGGCCGCCGGGCCAAGGCGAGGATGAACTTGTGGACAAACAGATGCAGTCTTTGGTCGACACAGCGGAGAAGGACGCGGACCCAGCTTGGAAGAGCAGCTCAGGCGGCGATCGACCCCGAGGTACAACGGCTCCCAGCCAGCCAATGAGCAAGGATGAATTGTCTGTTGCCAATGCTCATCTGATGGAGAGACTTCGCCCATTTTTGACCAATCCCATGGCGTTGATGCCGGTGACGGTGTTTTTCTTCAACGATGAGCAAAGCAAATCTCGCAATATAGTGACAGACGAGTCGGGCCATTTCACACTTCGGGCCCCGTTGCCCTTTGTCCCAACGCATGTCCGCGTGTTGGCTTCGGAGGACCTGTCCGCTGCCAAGCCCATTGAAATCATTGACCCGGTTGGCATCAGTTTGATCAGTGACATTGACGACACAGTGAAGCATTCTGCCATTGCCAGTGGGGCAAAAGAGATGTTCCGGAATACATTTGTCCGCGAGCTGGCGGAGCTGACGATCGACGGAGTCAGCGACTGGTATACGAAGGTGGCTAATCAGGGCGTGAAAATGCATTATGTTTCCAATGCCCCATGGCAACTGTATCCCCTGCTCGAGAGATACTTCAAGATGGTCGGCCTGCCGCCGGGCTCCTTCCACCTCAAGCAATATTCGGGGATGTTGCAGGGTATTTTTGAACCCACAGCTGAGAGGAAACGAGGATCCTTGGAACAGCTTCTACGGGACTTCCCAGATCGCAAGTTTATTCTGGTTGGAGACAGCGGCGAGGCTGATCTCGAGGTCTACACTGATATTGCGTTGGCGAACAGAGGCCGAATCCTGGGCATCTTCATCCGCGATGTAACCACGCCAGACAACAAACAGTTCTTTGATAGATCAGCCAGCCGTCTGGAACCAGAATCCCTCCGCAGCCGCAGCACTCCGCAATTGGTGGATCGGTCCAGGTCTCCTGCACCTCCTCCAGCCCTACCGCCTCGCCGGTCGCTGGCATCAACAAAAGAAGATGATATCAAAAGTTTTGATACGGGTGATCTGATTGATCTTAGCGACGATACCGATCAGAAACCGACTATCCATGACGTGACTACCACTGGCAATGCACGGGTACCTCCTGCAAAGCCCTCAAAGCCATCTGCTTTGCGTTCGGTTTCTACGGTGATGGATGCAACCGAAACCACAACAAAGCCGCCTTTGCCTTACCGAGATCCGGTTCGGCGTAAACCTGTCCCTCCACTACCACCGCGGCGGCCCTCTTCAGCCATGACCGATTCACTAATTGATATCGACTCCAAACCATCGGTCACTCGTACCCGCACCGAACCAGCCCCAGGTGACTTGATTCCATCACACAACAATGCCTTGTCGAGCTCCCAAAATCCGCCATCACAAACCCCGGGATCCAAAGAGCCTCCACCAGTGCCTCCTCCTCGCCGCGCAAATGCAGCTTCTTCCACTGCCAGCTCCAGTTCCAGCGCGACACCCACTCCTCGTCCGCCAGCCACAAAAGCATCTTATCCAACTGCAGCTGCCCAAGCGGCATTGAATTACGCGACGGAGCGCCTGAATCTAAACTCATCATCCTCGAACGGGCTCCGTCCGTCTGCGTCCAACCAATCCCTTGGCCGAACCACACCTCCCAGCAACAGCAGTGCCGCCAGTGAAGCAGGCGTACCAGCTGCACCACTCCCAAATAAACGGGAAGAACTGTGGAAGCGCCGCTGGGAGCGGGCTAGCGACATTCTCAATAAACAGGGCGTTGTACTGAGCAGTTGGCGCGTCGGTAGTGATGCACAGTCTGTTTGTATGTGGTTAGTCGAGGAGGCGATGAGGGAGATGCCGAGCGATAGGTCGGATCGATCGTAGATATTTCTTATCGTGGGGCTGTCTGTACATATTATCTACCAGCTGACTGGCTAGGGAGTCAATAGAAACGAGGTCCCCAGTCAACCGTCGTAACGGGATTCTGCGCATTTGCTCTGCCTTGAGCCGGTTAAGCTCAAGCACGTAGTTACGCAGGAGAATGGCCAGACTCGATGTCCTTAACAGATGACATCTTTGATGGCAACATATACGTTTGGGCTATGGGCTACGGTCTAACACGCCAGCCAAAACCCCACAAACTCGATCTTGCCCATGGGCGGAAGATCGTTGTGCTGTAGGTTCAGTGGATCATACATCAGGTTGGTTGCTCCAGGCAAGTCGCGCTTGGTCGTCAGGTTCTCCAGGAACGTAATGGCACGTCCTCGCAGAGAGATCGCCATGAGGGGGAATTTGGGTGAGGTAGAAGGCATGGGGCAGAGGGGATCAGACTTGAATAGAAGTTCGGGATTAGGAAGCAGAGAAATTCAACTTCCGGCGCGAGCCATATCTGCACTATGGCTACCCAGGAAAACAATGGAGGCCCCCGAATAATTCTGTGGCAGTAACCTCCGTTCAAGACTTGTAACGAGTGCCCATCAAGGCTAAACGGAGATAATTACGGATATCTAATCTAAAGACAGGTGTTGCACGTGGCAGGGGCTAACGTGTTGCATTTTATTGAAGTAGTTTACTTGGACCGCTGGAACACGCTAATACTTCCATCACAAAGTTCCCGTCACCTAGGGTTGTACTGTAGCTTAGGTTTATTACCTATAAAGGGTTTACAGGCGTTAGTTTAGTGCTTTGATATAATTTTTTATCTAGCATTAAATGGAGAGCGGCCGGATAGCTATAATAACTGATAGGAAGATCATTGCCAAGACGTTTCGGTGAACAGGAGCAATTACTAGACAAAATTAGACATAAAAAGGAACGATACATCCAATTATATAACCTGGAATCCATCTGCCTTACCTCAAACTCGCGTGAGTGTCTGACGGAAAGCCCGTGGTGTAATGCTTATCGCAGCGTCACCAGAACTGTTGAGCCCAAACACGAAATCATCCAGCGCGTTATATCCATAAACCAAGTTATCTATAGTTTCCCAACTTTGGCAACCAACCTGCAAAATAAATAGAGCGTCTTCTTCCGGGACCGCTGCCGGTGGCAAGGTATTGTAGACGGCGCGCCAGGCCGAGGAAACCTTGCTCTGCAAGCCAGTGGGAAACAGGCGCACCGACAGGTACGATGAACTGCTTGGCTCTGAACCGAACGACGCGATAATGGGATAGTCTTCCAAGATATCTTGGCCATTCATGACCCAGCTCTGCACGTGAAGCCCAGACTGATCGTCAATGCCCAGTTTGATGCTGCTGTTTGTCTGATGGTTGGTGTATGTGCCCGCATACGTGACGGTTGCTTCGGCCTTACCAGCTGCCTCGAAGCCTCTCACTAAGGGCTTGAGGATCTTGGTTTGCGAGCCCCAGCTGCGTCGTTACGCTGGACGCCTGCCCAGCCGAGATCATTGACACGGTGAGTCCGTAGTCGGGAATAATCATGAAGAGCGTGTCATAGTCGGGCAGGCCACCGATCTTGCTGTATACGTCGATTATGCGACCATCGAGGGTCAGGTTGTTGGCTCGACCAATCTCCCAAGGCGCACCCACTGAGAATCCTAACGAGGACGTGTGCGAGCGTGGCTTGAGCCAGGCATTCGTTGTTACTTCGTCAATAAGTTCATGTTTTAGGATAGCTTGACCGAATCTGGTGAGATCATGTGCCGAGGAATAAAAGCCACCGTCACTGCGGGACATTAGCCAAAAGGTTGTCGGTTGACATGATAAGACGAGACCTACGCTTGTTCAAATCCCATTGACGTGCTCCAGAAGTTGGGCTCCCTGGAGATGAAGCCAATGCTGTCATCTTCTGGCTTGCTAACGTACGAGCGTGTCATGTTAAGGGGTGTGAATATGTGTTTCTGGATAAAATCTCCGTAAGATTCTCCCGAGACACGCTCGATCGCCAGGCCCAGGATATCGTAAGTTACATCACTGTATGCTGGAGTAGTATATGGCCCGTAGGATGGCACTCGTCTGCCAAACTTATTCCAAAAGTCTGCACAAGCGGCAGTTAGCTTTGGGCATTTCAGCTACCGGAGTCAGGGTGTATTACCTTCCCAAGTACATGTTTTCGACGAAGGTAGGTCACCACATTCGCTGTGTTCACCTGGTGCCAAATCCGGAAGACCGTACTTTGTGAGGTTCAGTGCAGGGTTGTTGGCGAGATCGTTCCCCACTAGTTTCTATTATCAGCACTCTGAACTCCCTCGGTGTTGGACTTTGACTCACGGTTGCTCCCAACTCCTGCGAGCTGACTGGCTAGGGCATCGATAGAAATGAGGTCCCAGTCAACGGTCGTAACGCGATTCTGCACTTTTTGCTCCGCCTTGAGCCGGTTAAGCTCCGGCACGTATTTGGTGATGGGGTCTGAGAAGTTGACCTTGTCGCCAAGTAAGAGCAGACCTAGGACAGTGAAGACCTTACTGACGCTTGCTATCCTGAAGACAGTATCGCCATCTACCTTATGTGTCCCCGTGCAGTTGTAAAGCGGCGGGGTGTATGACAGACTGGCAAGAACATCGTCTTCATACGCGGATGCAATTGACAACGACAGCCCCGTTGCATTCCCGAATTGCACACTGACCTCTTTTTGCAACACCTCGAGTTCAGACAAGACTGCTTTCACTGCCGCGTCCGTAGAAGGCTTCTTGGGCGGGGGAAGAACTGCACCTAGGGGCGGACAGTTGCTGATAGCAGTGTTTAAAGTCGTAATTGTCTCAGCAAGGCCACAGCCTGACAAGGATAGCAGAACCCAATTCCGAAATCTCATCATGGGCGATTTCGTAGAGAGATAGAAGAGGGAGTTGGGGTGTATCAGTCGAGAAATGCGAAAAGAATGCGTTGGAGATGCACTCCGAGACGGGTGATGCAGGCATGTTTATATATGGGTGTTTTCAAGGTTGTATCTGGAGCAGTGATATATCTCCTAATGCAAAGGAGCGAGAGGAACCGGACGCGACCGGATCTGGTTGGGTGAGGCGTAAAGGTTCCCCATCACCCGAGACTTGACGTTGTGCCTAGTTCTGCATCGCAAAAGGACCGAGATGAATTCCTTATGGTATCCGCTCTCGCGAGTCAGCCTTGGTGAATGGCGTTGCGCTGATTGGCGAGTGCGTAAAACGACTCCGCTCGTTGTTGGATGCCTTGGATTGAGGCTGAGCGCCCCCAAGTTATTATTTGATCTCTGTGATGCGCATAGTTACTCTCTGCGATTCGCCGACGCGTAAAACTCGCAAAGGCAAGTGAACACTGCCTGCTGTTTATATGGAACAATGTCAGATGTCACGAAGAAAGCTAAGAAGCTCCGGGCCAGCGCTCCCAAAAACCGGACCGGATGTGGTACTTGCAAGTGCGTCCTTTTATTCTCCCACTCCGGCGCCATCATGGGAGCATCTTTCTGACAATGACAGGATTCGTCATAAGCGCTGTGATGAAGCAAAGCCCACTTGCAACACCTGCCGTAAGACGGGACGCATCTGTGACGGATACATCGACCCATCGACTGGCCAGCACTTCGGTGGCCATGCTGGCCGTATCTCCCTCTTCCTCGATCTTGCCCCTCGTGCACTATTCGTCAATGAAGAGGAAGCTCAAGGCTTCCGGTTCTTCGAAACCGCAACGGAGATCCAGCTCGCGGCCGCCCTTCAAAACCACGGCTAGACCTCGCCTTTTCTTCAGCTCAGTCACCAAGATCCCGCCATCTGTCATGCTGTGATTGCCACCGGCATCATGAGCAAGAGATATCAAGTGAACGAGCTTTCCACAGCCTGGGATTCCCAGGCAAACAGGCTGTATCAGGCAGCGCTTGAGCAGTATGGCAAATCCGTTGCTTGTTTCCGATCGCAGCTGGGGGCGAATCTGGAGAGCAATCCACGGTCGCTGGAGATTGCCCCCGCGTGTTGCGTGCTTCTCGTCATGTTCGAGTTCATGCAAGGCAACGCGGATGGCCTGCTCTTACATCTTAGGAACGCTACTAAACTTGCAGCTAGTGTTAGCACAAGTCCACAGACACAGTCTTTTGTCTATCTGCTGACGCTGATAGACATGGTCGCGGCGACGTGGCTCAACCTGGACCGGTCCTATTCCGACGCTTCACTACACCTCCCAAAGCTAGACACAAGTCAGATGCCTTTACCTTGTCCTTCTAACCTGGAGACACTTTGCTACGACCTTACCAACATAAAGAATGATGTTATGACATGGCGTCATGCCGTGGCATCCGCACACAGAGATACAACCGTCGACTTGGACAGCTTCACAACAGTCAGATCGCAGAACATCCAGTCTCGGCTGGATGCTTGGTACCAGGAATTTATCACTGTTCCCTCGAATGAGGAAGACATCGCCACGCCCCGCCGTTCCCTACTCCGAGCAAATTATCTTCATACCATGCTCGTAGTTGATGCGGTCCACCACCAGCAATTGTCAGCACAGCCCATCCGAGCTGATTCTGCTAACGGCCAAGACCTGTCGCAGCTCAAATCCTTCTACGAGATTATCGAGCTAGCTGAAGCGGTCCTTGAAGCGGGCTACTGCTTTAGCCGGTACGATGCCAGCGCTGGAGAAGAGTCGCTTGAGGCCACTGGCCTGCTGCCTCTCTTTTCGTTTCGCCACAGCTTTATCCAACCGTTATTCTACGTCGCACAATATGCTCCCTCTATGTTTCTACGCCAAAGAGCTATCCAACTTCTTCTTGGAAAGCCCTGGCGCGAAGGGGCATGGGACTCCTTTATCATGGGCTCTATTGCCAAGCGTTCACTAGACGCCTCTATTCTAGCGTAATCCTAATAATTCGTTTATCCTTACGGAGCGTAGCTACAACATATGAATAAGCCTATACTATCCTATCATAGATTAAGCTTCCACTACTCTAAGACGAACTCAAATGTGTTGCTCTAGACCGCAGTGACCCGTGATGTGATTACGTCATCGCGCCGAGGGCCTCGGCTGGAATCATCATCGCCCTGATTGGCCTAGAACAACCTGGGGGAAGACTGCAGTATAAGGTGCCCTCCTGCACGCATCACTACTTCCCCTGAGCACTCTCACACCCCTGAACCATCGCAGCCATGCCGTCACCCACGCTCACCCGCGCCGAGGTCGCCAAACACAACACCGAGGAATCGCTCTGGTGCATCATCGACCACCGAGTGTACGACCTGACGGACTTTGTGGATGCGCACCCCGGCGGTAGTGTCGTGCTGGCCCAGGTAGCTGGACAGGATGCCACGACCGAGTTTTACAACCTCCACCGCCAAGAAGTTCTCGAAAAGTACCGCGAAGATCTTTGCATCGGCACGATCGAGGGCGAGAAGCCCGAGGTCATCGAGCCCACCATTGGCGCGCTCAGCCCCGTCCCATACGCGGAGCCGCTGTGGCTGCGCCCGCAATTCAAGAGTCCTTACTACAAGGAGAGCCATCGACGCCTGCAGAAAGCTGTGCGCGAGTTCACGGATCAGTACGTTACGCCCGAGGCACAGGAGAAGGAGCGAGATGGCACCTATATCAGCCAGGAGTTGATCGACCGCATGGCGGAGACGAATATTCTGGCTATGAGATTGGGCCCTGGCAAGCACCTTCATAACCGGAAGTTGCTGGGTGGCGCCGTTGACGGCAAGGAGTTTGATTATCTGCATGATTTGGTGGTTTCGCAGGAATTGGTCCGGGCCAATGCACGAGGTGAGTTCGTGATCAGAATGCATTGGAAGTAACTTGCTGATGTTTTGGGATAGGCTTCCAGGACGGAAACATGGCTGGTTTGGCCATCAGTTTGACGGCCGTCCAGCAGTGGTTACGGGACCCGGCTCTGAAGGAGCGTGTAACTGAAGAGGTCTTGTCCGGCCAGAAGAAGATGTGTCTGGCAATCACCGAGGCATTTGCGGGTAGTGATGTTGCAGGACTCAAGACTACGGCTGAGAAAACGCCGGATGGGAAGCATTACATTGTTAATGGCACCAAGTAAGTCGGAATTGTGAGCATGAGATCGTTCACTGGCTTACCACCCGCAGGAAATGGATCACGAACGGAATGTTCGCCGACTACTTTGTTACTGGCTGCCGAACCGAGAAAGGGTTCTCCGTGCTTTTGATTCCGCGCGGGGAAGGTGTCGAGACCAAGCAGATCAAGACGTCGTACTCGACCGCAGCGGCCACTGCGTTCGTTGAGTTTGCGAATGTAAAGGTGCCGGTGCAGAATCTGCTCGGAGAAGAGCACAAGGGATTTATTGTCATTATGAGCAACTTCAACCACGAACGGTTCATGATGGTCGGCGGTGTCGTGCGCATGTCCATGACCGTTGTGGAGGAGTGTCTGAAATGGTGCAACCAGCGCATCGTGTTTGGCAAGAAGCTGGTTGAGCAGCCCGCGATCCGCCAGAAGTGAGTTTTCCAAATCTTTCAAGATGACCACTATTAACAACATCAGGCTCGCCCGCATGATTTCCCTTTGCGAGTCCAACCAGGCCTGGCTCGAGTCCATTGCCTTCCAGATGTGCAACATGACCTACGCCGAGCAGGCCACGCACCTCGGTGGACCGATTGGATTGCTCAAGTCGCACTCAACTCGCGCTGCCCAGGAGATTGCCGACCATGCTACTAATATCTTTGGTGGCCGAGGCCTGACGCAGTCCGGCATGGGCAAGATCATCGAGATGTTCCACCGCACCTACAAGTTTGATGCCATCTTGGGTGGCACTGAGGAGATTCTGGCAGACTTGGGAGTGCGGCAGGCCATGAAGAAGTTCCCTAAGGCGATGCTGTAGAGATTTGTACATAACCACCTAGATAGCAATCCAGAATATGAATTCTATACTTCACTTTTGCGAGGCTCTTGTCAATCATGTGATCTGCAATGCACGGGCCACGGGAGATCGGATCCTCGTTGTTCCAGCTTGCCTTATCGTGCCCAAGTACTAGCTAGCATCATCGTCATCGTGTACTTTCATCCATCACCCTTCCTGCCCTCTACACAGACTGTGACTCTACAGGATCGTCCAGACGCCAACGACATAATGTCAGCAGATTCTCTCCAGCAGGACAACGTCCTGAGCCTCGCAGCCAGAGCTATCCAGCCCGAGGCTGAGGGCCAGCCAAGCCTCAAAACATCATATGAAGCCGTGGCTCTGATCGGCCATGCCTGCATGGTAGCAGCCAACTTCAGACTGGTGGGCCTTGGAGAAGACCACACCATAGGTAGGCCCCTTAATTATGGTACATGTCCATAGCTGACTTGTGACAGAAACATCCGCTGCTTCTTCCACCCTCCCCGCGGAATGGAACGCCCACACCACCTTTGCTTTTCGCTATGCCCATGAACAATCCTCGATGCAGTACCTCCTCAAAGTGAGCCGACTCGGCAACAACGCCGTGATATTTGCTTTGGCTCTAGGCGATGATCGAACTTCCTCGTTCGATATTCCCACCAAAGATTACATCTCCGCGTCTGCCCTCCCTCTCTCCTCCACAGACAATATTACAGGAGCCCTGCGGGACGTGTTCATATCGCATGCTCGCTTGAGCGATCTGATCGGACTGTTTAAGATTAATGTGATCCAGAAACTCGCGCCGGGACTATACAAGGAAGGTTACGACCCTACCAGGCAGGAGGCACAGCGAGAGCTGCCTCAAGAACAGGGACGGCGACGTGATCCACTGCGTGATGACTCTCTTCCCCAACCCGCCCGTCCATACCCGTTCAATGACCCGCTGGCAGCCGCTCCTCGTCGACCCAATCCTCCTGGCGACTTTGCCCCGCCTGGGTTTGAGGATGAGTACGAGATCAATAGCCCACCACGAGGGTATCAGCCTGGGTTTAGGGGAGGAAGAAATCCATACAATATCGGGGAACGAGATCTCTATCCCGCTGGGCTCGGTCCTAATGATCCTTTCCGAGGCACTATGGGCCCTGGTTTTGGGTCGGGCGGCGGTGGCATGCACCCTACCTTTGACGATCCTCTCTTCGGAGGACCTGGTGGCCGCGGTGGTTATGATCCTCGAGCGCCGCCTGGAGCCAGGTATGATCCCCCTGGACCGGGCCAACCGCCATTTGGAAGCAATCGAGGACCTTTTGGTGGACCTGGACCGGGTGGAAACTCTGGCGGAGGCTTTGGAGGAATGGGCGGTGGGTTTGGAGGGGATATAATCTGAAGATGACCCGACGAAAAAGCTAGCTAGTTAGATACCTTGCTTATGAGTGTACGAATTGACGATGTTATGAGAATCCTGCTGTAGCTGTAGGGTTGCCATACTTAGCAAAGCGGTGTGGCTTAAGCGTGGCGCAAACTCGCCCTCCACGACCTTCCCGACTCCGACTCTTTCTCCCTTTCCTGCCCGAAAACATCCCTCATCACCCACCCACCTTCATCCCTTGCTTCGATCAGGGGACTTGGTCTTCTTTTTTTTTGCGTCCTCGTAGTTCTTGTCCCCATCACCATCTCTTTATTTCGCTTGTGTCGCCCGGTGTGGTTTCTCACGAGATCACCCCTCCACCCACAGCTGGCCCCTCCTTCCCTTTCCCAGCTTGTGGACAGACAGAGACGCCATGGACAACAACATGGAAATCGATACCGCGCGGTCGCCCGAGCCACACCACTTGTCCCCAACAAGCGACCCCGGATCCATACCGACATTGGATGGGTGGATTGAGAGTTTGATGACGTGCAAGCAATTAGCAGAGGACGATGTGCGGCGGCTGTGCGATCGGGTGGGTTTCCTTGGTCTGATGTTTGAAGACATGTCGAATTGATGATTGGCGTCTTTCTAGGCACGAGAGGTATTGCAGGATGAATCGAACGTCCAGCCAGTGGTATGTTGCTGCTTGCGACCCCGTCCGATCGGGACGATATCTAACAACCCCTACAGAAATGCCCGGTGACGGTGTGCGGTGACATACACGGCCAGTTCCACGACCTAATGGAGCTCTTTCGCATTGGCGGCCCGAATCCAGACACAAACTACCTTTTCATGGGTGAGTACAAACACAAACTCGGTGTCGGTCGGAATCGTCTGTGGAATCAGAAACTGATCGAGTTTAGGCGACTACGTCGATCGTGGCTACTATTCTGTCGAGACAGTGACCCTGCTGGTGTGTCTGAAGATCCGCTACCCGCAGCGTATTACCATCCTCCGTGGGAACCATGAGTCCCGCCAGATCACCCAGGTGTACGGGTTCTACGACGAATGCTTGCGCAAATACGGCAATGCCAACGTGTGGAAATACTTCACCGATCTCTTCGACTACCTCCCTCTCACTGCTCTCATCGAAAACCAGATTTTCTGTCTGCATGGTGGGCTGAGCCCGTCCATCGATACTCTCGACAACATCCGGTCCCTCGACCGTATCCAAGAAGTGCCTCACGAGGGCCCTATGTGTGACTTGCTGTGGAGTGATCCGGATGATCGGTGCGGATGGGGAATTTCGCCCCGAGGTGCTGGGTACACCTTTGGACAGGATATTTCAGAGGCGTTCAACCACAACAACGGCTTGACTCTGGTGGCACGGGCGCATCAGCTGGTGATGGAAGGATATAACTGGTCGCAGGACCGGAACGTGGTGACCATTTTCTCCGGTATGTTTTCTCGTTTTGGTTTTGTTTGCCTTTCATCCCGAGCATACACGCTAAGTGAAGCAGCGCCGAACTACTGCTACCGCTGCGGTAACCAAGCTGCGATTATGGAAATCGATGAGCATTTGAAATACACATTGTGAGTTGTTTCTGAACATGCCTTCCTTTTGCGCACCGCTAACGTGTTTATTAGCCTACAATTCGACCCTTGTCCCCGGGCGGGAGAACCGATGGTCTCGAGGCGCACGCCGGACTATTTCCTGTGACGTGATAGATTTCTTTTCTTCTGTTCTTCGGAAGGCTACTGGGCATGTGGGAGTGGAAAGGGGACGCTGCATACGAACGAGGCTCTCGCTGCCGACTTAATCCTGTATGAGTTCGATGCCTGGCCGTCTGTTGATACCAATCATGAAAATAAAAGACCCATTTGCGAACTCGACAGTTTAAAAAGAGAATTCACAATGTCCCCGGAGATTTAAGCAGCAGTCCTATGTTTCGTCAGGAGGATCCCCAAGAGAAAATCAGTTGTGGCTTACCTCCATCCAGGTTGATGATCTGCCCATTGACATACGACCCAGCCCGAGAACAGAGATAGAGCACGACGCCGCCGATATCTGATCCTCGACCAATGCGCCCTGCCACATTAACCAATCATCAGCACTTCTCCCTTCTAGCAAAACTAAAAGAGAAACAAACTGACCAGCAGGAAACTTCTCACCTGCCCCAGCCAGCTTCGACATGTGCGCCTCCCCAGCCTTCCGTTCCGTATTCAGCTCCGACGGAAATAAACCGGGCGCAATGCAATTAACCCTAATACCCAAGGGCATGAACGTATGCGCCCACTCCCGCGTGAGATGCAACAGCGCCGCCTTACTCGAGCTATACGCAAACTGGCCCTGCGAATGTGTCTTCGTCACGCCCGCCAGACTCGCCACGTTGAGGATCGTGCTCGTGTGCCCCGGCATCGTGGCCTGCTGTCCCTTATCGAGCAGCGGGAGCAGCGCAGCGGTTAGGAAGTGGTGCGCGGCCACATTGCCCGCGTAGGCCATGCGCCATGCGTGGGCACCGTCACGGACCATCCATTTGCCCACTGCGTCTGCGTCTGTGAAGTCAATGGCCCCGGACTCGGCTTTGGCGTGTGGCTCAGAGGTGACACCTGATGTGTTGATCAGGATGTTGATCCACTTGTCTTCGCGGGCTGTGAGTTCCGCGGCGATGTCGGCCACTGCGTCGGTGTGCGAGATGTCTCCTGGCAGGCTGATAGGCTTGGTCAGTCAAAGATGTCGTTTTGATGCGCTGAGCGAGAATGTTTACGGCATGATCTGGCCATTGGTCGAGAACTTCTCGGCGACAGTCTCTAGGACTTCTTCCCGGCGTCCTATGGCGTACACGCGTGCCCCGTTGGCAGCAAGTGTCTGTGCGGCCATTAGCCCGATACCGCTACTTGCGCCGGTGACTACAGCGACGTAGCCTTTTACCTCGAAGAGGCGGGGAGACTCTAGTTCGGCGGTGCTCATTTTCTTGGGCTGTGAGTGTTGATTAGGATTGATCGACTTTCAAGTTGATAATACTATGATGCATTGTCATATAGATTGTTCATTCTGTGATGTGGTTCTTCCTCGTGTGTGGTGATGGCATGTTGACATGGTATTGAAGTCATGTCTAGGTTGGTCAGAATACATCCAATTGTTTATCACAAATATGATTTGAATGATAGCTCTAGCGATCTACTTTTCTTTTCTCAAAATACAATAGTGAGCATGGAATAGCCCGAAATATTCACACCCGGACAAAACAAGTAGATAGTGATATCATACCATTCGACTTGACATGCATAATCCGCTCATGCAAGAAACCATCAACTCATGAAATGGACAGGGCATTCTTCGCCTTGGCCAGTATCTCCTCAACCTCCTTGGCATGGGAAGAAAAGTTGTCGACCAGGTTATCCCACATCTTGGGCTCGTGCTCATGCTTCTTATCACTGTTCCACGCATAGTCGGTGATAGTGAACGGACGGCTCGACTCGAACATGAAGGCAATGGAAGCCTCAGAGATCTGCATGACTGGCGGTTGGTTTTCGCTTGCAGCCTTGAACTCCTCGTAGGCGACACCATGAGGGACCACTGCGGTTATGACGATCAGTACATAGCCTAGATCATACCATAGCATAAACTCACTTCCGCATTCAAAGGACACGCTGCCAGGCTTGAAAGCGTCGGAGCGGCCGCCGTACTCGCCGTAGATGAGACCCATCAGTTCGGAGGCGACGTTGCGGTGATAATAAGGGGGGCGATAGGTGTCTGGGAGCATTAGCAGATGGACTGACTGATGTTTTAAAATACATACGAGATGCAACATCCCACCTAGGGGAGAAAATAAGCAGATCCGCCAACGGCGAGTTCAAGTCCCGCGACTTGGCCGTAAGCACGCAGAAAATGGATGGGTCAATGTGGTCAACTGAGATGGAGCCGACATTGACGAACTTGGTCAAATCGTATTTGTAGGGGACCTGAAGAAGTCAGTTGAGGGAACGCAGAAACATCAAAAAAACGGTACGTACATAGTTGCCATGCCAGGCTACAACGTCGAATGGACTATGGTTTTGCGTGCTCTTGAAGAACTTGCCTCCAAGCTTATAGATAATCTCCCACGGCTCCTGGATAATCTCATACTGAGCAGTGGGGCTCAAAAAGTCCCGCGCATTGGCAAGTCCATTGGCACCCAGGGGACCTAGCTCGGGGAGCTCAAAGTGCGTGCCCCAGACCTCAAGGATGTAACCACGCGAGGGACCATCAGGGATTTCAACCCGGAAGCGGAGGCCGCGCGGAATGACGACAATCTCACCGGGCTGAACAAAGAGAGGACCAAACTCGGTTTGGATATCCAGAGCACCCTGCTGCGGAATGATCAGGAACTCACCGTCCGAGTTGACAAAGGCCTTCTTCTTCATGCTGGTATTAGCAACGTAGACATGAGTAGCAAGGCCCTCGCGCAGCGTGGGGTCGCCTGATCCAGCAATAGTCTTCAAGCCGGAGACGAAATCGACAGTTTCGCTGGTGGAGATCTCGAATGGATGCCACGCCAGCTGAGTCGGAGAGACGTGGATGCGAGGGTTCAACGGTAAGAAGTTTGACTCGGTATCTTTGTTATCTGGGAGTTCCGTCTACCTTCATGTTAGCTTTCCCATAAGTGGGCACTTTTGAGGAATTCATACAAAGCCCTGGTGTGCCACCGCCGGCCGTGCTCGATACAGCCATGCTTTCTTGTTGGCATGGCGAGGCGCAACAAAGGCTGTCGCGGTTATTTGCTCTGCATACAGCCCAAAACGAACATTGCGTGGACTATTCTGGCCCTGTGGAATGGTGCCGGGAATTGCTTCGGACGAGAAGCTGAACTCAGAGACATTACATCAGCCAGTTGAATCGCTAGATGCAAATTGTGTACACATACGCATTGCCAAATCCAGATTGGTACTGCAAAGGTCAGCGGGTATTCTGCAATGAATAAACATGCGCCGGGACTCGTACCTCATAAGGATCGTTACGCCTTGTGTTGAAGGAAGGGATGGCCCCGTCCTTCTGCGTCTCGGCCCAATGGAATATCTTCTGATATTCCTTGGGATCCGATAGGGCGCTTGTTGAAGGCATGATGATCACAATCGAATTCTTCTACTTGGCTTCACAGAGCTCCGTTGTCCCCGGGCACTTCGGTCTCTATATAGTCAAACAAGACGGACGACCGCTCAGAGGGTGGGGTCAGGGCACCCCGAGTTTCCGTGGAGAAACCACTGCCAGCATAGCGTTAGAGGCTGAGCATCATCAGCTACTTCGTATAGTCGGCATATCGAGACAGCTTCCTGTTGCCGACCTCCCCGGTAAGTGGGTCACATGGCGCGCGATGAATGGTGGGGATAGCAAAAAGAGGCGAGAGATAGGAGGCGGATTAGTTACATCGCCAACGCCGGATTCCAGCGACCCCACATGAGTCAGTCCTGAGTAACGGTGGACCACGACGGCGCGTGGAGTTGGACGGGAGTAGAGAGAGCTTCCAATTGCCGAGAGGACGAGGAAACAGATGTCATGTATGGTTGTTATTTACATCGGTTGGAGAATTGTCTTGGTGTGAAAATGTATACATTTGGCAATGCATGCTCTAGTTCAACAAACTGATGCGCCCAGCAGTCAGAGCAAACAAAATAGGTAAATACACATCGATCCCGGCTTCCTGCAGTGCTTTGCAATGATTGACTCGTCGGCGATCGGCAAATTGATCCTCATTGATTTCCCTGCATTCGCCCAGCGGCCCGAATGCAAACCTACTGTCTACGGCCCAGGGATTCTCGCCGTTCACAAACCGGATCCAACGTTGTCGCATCTCCTGACCAACAGCCTGTGCAGTAGGATTGAAGGAAAGATCGACGCCATCGAAGAGGAACAGAAGGTCGACGGCATGATGCGAGCGGCTGGATGGCTGCCAAGGATTAGGCTGGTCGATCACGTATTTAAAGACTCGCTTGCCGACAGCATGAAGCTTTTCAGCGACCACTTCAACGGGGAGAGTGTAGCGCGTGTCGTTGACAAAATCCAGAGCTCCCAGTTTACTAGCGGTCGGGCGATCAGGCACAATTTGATACATCTTGCGAAGCTTGCTGGCCCATTGCCCATCTTCGAATGCTGCGGTGATAGTGTCTCCATCCAGGGCCTCGATGCCATTTCGCCAGATAACAGACTGGATGGAAGTTAGAACAGCGTCAGCAATCTGGCAGCAGTAGAACGTACCTCAAACTCAGTATCACCGATCATGAGTTCTTCAACTTGCTCAGGTCGAGTCTCCCAATTCTCCAGCTCTTGGTCTTCCTGTATCCACATAGTATTCACATTACATTCTTTTAATGCTTGAACCAGCACAGAAACAGAGGACTCTCGCAGTGACGGTTGGCCAAGTTCCTGAACCTTTGCCTCTAAGGTCTTGATGAGCCGGTTTCCACGTTCCACTGGTAGGGGGGATGAGAGGTAAAGAGTTCCGGATGCCAGTACAGCCCGCTTCACTGGCGGACCAGTGATGAGATGGGCATGAGCATAAATGGCTCCAGCGCTTTCTCCAGACAATGTGATATTTCGCTGCGGATGTTACTATTTGAGCTTGAAAGAGCCCCCCGAGAAACTTACAGGGTCGCCACCAAAGGCTCCAATATTCTCTCGCACCCAGTCAATGCCTAGACGCTGGTCTTTGAGGGCGAGGTTTTTCTCCCGTCCGTCACCGAAGCTGAAAATATTCAGCCGGTAATTAATGGAGACAAAAATGACAGGCTTCCTCTCCTTGATCGAATCGGCAACGATTTTGGTGGGATCTATAGGTTGATTCAAATTAGCATAGTTTGAATCTAGTACATGTACCATCCCTACATACCACAGATCTTGGATGCAGCAGAGCAAAATGTAATCACTTGTGAGCCACCTGTAATTCAAAATTAGCTGAATATTTTCTTAAGATTGCTGTCGACCGAACCATGAATCCAGACCAAAACGGGCAGAGGGCCAGACCCTGGTGACACCGGCGGACATGTAATTTCCAAGTTGAGGCATTCGAACTCATCCTCTGGCTCAGGTGCAATGGTAAAGTCCTCCGGAATGCGAAGTAAATGCTTCACGTCGACATCAGCCTGGGGACAGCGTGGTCTACAAGCAACAAGTTAGGACATTGGCAGTAAGTATGCTGCGCGATGTTAGACCCGAGTACATACCCGTATTTGGTGGCGTCGATAACACGTCCCTCGAAGTTATCGACCTGAAGAGCCTTTTCAAATCGCCCCGGAATCGAAGCGTACTTGATACCGCGAAATTGATGAATGGGAATATTCTCGTCATCGCGCTGAATGCCCTTGAAGGTGGCATTCAGCTTTCGGTGGTGTAGCTCCGGAAGTGCCATGATGGGATGATGATAGTGACGGACCAAAAAAAATAAAAAAATAAAAAAATTTTGAACCCGAAAACAGACTCATACTGTGATCGGTGAGACACGGCTATTGTCACTCTGAACAATTCCCGAGCTTCCTCTCTCGCCGTCCCATCCACTTGGGCGTGGGGCTCTTGCGGGGAACCTTGTGGGGATCTTCCGCGGAGTCTCAGCTGGGAAGGGCGGAAGTCTCATACTGGCCAGGCCATTGTGAACTTGAATTTCGATTACGTAGGCATAGATTAAGTCGTGAAAGCGAGAGTGCGCATAACTGCAAAAGGTTTCAACCCGAATTCACAAGAAGAGATTTATTACATTATTTCTAGGTTAGCATGTTCTTTTCTCGTGACTCATGAGAGGAGAATCAATCGGTCTAGATATACAAATAGAGAGGAGAATAGCAATTATGAAATAAGCTCACTCCGGTGCAGAAGGACTTTCCACTTGCGGCTTCGGCTTTCCCATAATCCACCCTCCCATGACCAACAGCGTTGGGACAGCAGACACACCAACCAACAAACCCAGTGCCCAGCCCATAGTGCCCCATCCAGCCTCTTTGCGAATAAAACCCGCGAAGAAGGGACCAACTAGACTTCCTGCCGCAAAGCCCATGTTCGAAAGACCAAAAGCAAGAGCCATTGCACCGCCACGACCGAAGATATCAGGAGATATCTCCTCTTTCTCTTTGACCGCGTGGAAGACCTCTGTAACGAGCGGGGTCATTGTCATAGCAATACAACAACCGATAAGGGCAAGAAGGGCACATAAAAGAATTTTGTCGTGCATCGTGTTTTCTTTCACGAGGCGGAGTAACACCATCACCGGAAGACAGCAGAAGAACCCGGCGGAGGTGAGGTAGCGAGCAGATTTTGGATATCGATCGACGATATATCCGACCAGAGGGTCCAAAATGTGCGGCAACATGCACGGAATGAAGATCAGACCTTGTGCGGTTTGTTGCCAACCAAAGGTCTCTTGAACGAAGATAGGAAGCACGCTGTCGAGGGAAGACAGCACGAGTGATAGGATGAAGTATCCCCAGAGAGATACAATGAGGCGGCTAGAGCTGAGCAAAACAGCGAGCCGCCCAAAAGGACTCCGTTTTGGTGCAACGGCTTGTGGATCGTGAGCAGTTTCTTGCACCTCTGGAGTTGGCGTAGCCTCTGCCGAGGGTGTCTCAAGTTTTTCAGATTCCACAGGCTGCTCCTTCTCATCGTCGAGCCATTTCCTGGCATCTTTTTGTTCAATTAATACCAACCTTAGGAAAACGTCAAGGGCTATCAGGCCGAAGGCCAATCCAAATACAGAATAGTATCCGCCGTCTTCATAGAGCACGCCACCAAGCAGGGGGCCAGCCAGCGTTCCGAGAGTCAGTGACATAGAAACATAACCAATTGCTTGGCCAACTCCGTCTTTGCCGACAGTGTCGACCAACAGAGCGATTCCGACAGTCCAGACGACAGCCGCAGCGGCGCCTTGGAACAAGCGGCCGGCGATCCATAGTCCGATGTTAGTTCCGACGCAGAGGAGCGCTGTTGCTCCGCCGACTGCAAATAGACCGGCGAGCATAGGCAATCTCCGAGACTCAAATCGGTCAGCGACGTAGCCGATGATGGCTGGAATAGAGTTTAGAAAAAAGCAGGTTGCTGTATCCGCAGGCAAACTCTACTTACGAGAAAAGGCTAACAATGCCGCTGCATATAGGGCCAGGAGAGTAGAGGTCCATGGTTGAACTGCCACGAATGCATCAACGACTGTTTATTTCTGGCAGGCAAGTCATACTTACTATCTTCCTTTGCGAGCCCAACTATCTGTTCCAAAGCAGTAGGTGCAACGGGAACAATCTAGACAGAAATTAGCGTGCCAAGAGGCAACTAATTGGGAATTTGACTGGCCGTACCAAGCCATAGAGAAAAATATCCTATTACATTTGAAGGTCAGTCTGATGCATCTGCAAGCACCCGTCCGCAGAAAACATACCGTCGAAGCCGCAAACGCAACGACAAATATAATGAATAATTTCGATGATCTCAGCCCCACGAGCCTTGGTCGCGTGGGGGTCCGTGGCTCATGGCGAAAACGCCGCCAGCTACACGGTCGCAGGGAGGTCATCGAATAAGGTTAGGCCGAGAGCAGATTGGGCCCTTTAAGGGGTACACCAAGTTCTTGGATACGGAAAGTATAATGAAAAACGTATGAAATACCGGTTCAATCCATTGCGGTGGAAAAATGAGGATGTTTGGGGGTCTTATGTGGAAAAATCAAGATGTTGTGGCCAAACGGGATCCGCGGGTCCCGGAAAACGGATGTTTCTCCTGCTCCGGCTGTGGCTGAATGTGATCGGAGTCGGGGTCTTAATATAGTTAGATTCTGCTAATACTATCAAGCCTATCTGACTACTGACTATCCAGAATAACATGATGAACCGCGTAAGAGAGGGATGCAGTCCGTACGTCTTTGGGGAATGTGGCCAATCAAGGCGTTCATACCAGCTGCAAGTATTCACCTTCTGCAGGGAGATAAAAATATATTGTTTCAGTTATGTACAACAATCCTCCATGGTTACGGCGTACGGCATATACAATTCCCTAGTGACGACCCCGGTGCTCACCCTCACCCATCAGCGGCCCCCACTGCTGGGTGCAAGTAAACGGCTCGTCGATCCACCAAGTGTTGTGCTGCGAGTCGTAGGTAATCGGGTACGGTGTCTTCTGGCTGCACAGCCGGTTGATGTGGGTCGAATTGCCCGAGGTGATGGTAAACCAGTACTGGTTGGTCTCGGGGTTGATCTTCTCGCACTTGTAAAAGTAGCCCTTGACGCCGGGGCCGAAGACGTCGCTGCGGAAGTTGGTCGACAGCTTCATGTTGAGGTTGATATTCTCGCAGTCTTCGTGCATGCCCTTCACATCAGTTTTCTCCATGGACTTGGTGGTATAGCCCTTGGCGTGGTGGGTGCCGTTGGCTGTCCAGGCGACCCCGGGCAGTGCCATTTGCTCGGCGATCTGTCCCAGGAATGGGCTTGCAGGGTATGAGTGAGGAGAGTGGATCGATGCAGAGCATTGAGTAGCGATGGCGCTCAGAGCTGCCGCCAGGAGAGCAATACGGACCATGATGGTGGAGCTTGTGGTCAATTGTAGTATTTCAAAGGAGGTTGGTAGATGGAAGGCAGGGCGAGCCACGGGTTTTTATAAGTGGAATTGAGCTCAGGATGCACTTTCCGAGGTAGGATCGTAGGCTGCTCCTTCCTTTAACCATTTCCTGAAAGTGGCTGGATAGGCGCGCCAAAGCACTCCAAAACGGGAAGGAAGAATTCCCCACGGGGAAGGGATTGACTCTGCCCCGAAACATGCGATCTTCGTGACCATTTAGGGTCATGCTGATCGCACACCCTGTCGTATAAACCATTAGCTAGCGACTCACCTAAAGCCAACATTAGAGATATTAGTTACGGGTAGTCTTATTAGCTTTGGCTTTACTGCTGGATTTGTAATTAACTAAATCAGGTACTCGCATACCCCAGCCCCACCGGGGGATGTGCCAATAACATCACCTTAGAAATGCTACAAAGACACAGACTATACTACTAGTCTAACAATAGATGGGGTATGTAACTAACATGACCCGTTCAAATTTGCACAACTTCATAACATCATGGTCCTAGACTGCATAGGGAAATCATCAGAAAAAGCTAATCCACAAAGCGCCGCACTAAGACATTGAATCGAGTGTTCCGCGTCTTCACAATCTCTGGGGTGAGCGATTCCAGGTATACCCTTGCTGAATGACTCCAGGCATGGTAAGCTAGCTGGTTCGGGTAAAGGCTACCTTCATTGATTGCAAGAGTATGCTGCAGGTCCTCAGCTTCCTGCTCGGTAATCGGCTCGTACATGTACTGGACATGCCTCTTCGTCCAGGTTGGCCAGAAGAAAGCCACAGGTGACAAAGCACAAATCTCTTGCGGATACCATAGGGACAGCAGTTTTGGGTAAACAACCGAATGATAGTTCCATTCTTTGGGGGAGAAGCTACTGTAGCTGTCGATCCAGCGTTTGATAAAAGACGAGTTTTTGCGACCAATGATAACTCCGTTGCAGAGCCCACGGCGATCACCACCTTCGTTGCCCAGCACCATATCTCGGTCACTTTGCAGTATGTTGTCAAAAGAGCGGAGAACTATCATATCCATGTCGAAGTAGATCCCCCCGGACTGTTGGATGATGTCGAGTCGAAGAGCATCAGCGACATGGGCGATGTTCCAGTTCTCTCTGATTTGACGCGGATACTCTTGGGCGAGGTCATGGCGAACAAGAGTGATATTGCCGTGCAGTTTGCGAAACCACTCATTGGTCTCATTGAGAGTGGTGTAGTGGAACAATAATCTGTCTGGCATGATCGATATGAGGGCAGATCTGACCGTGAGGTAGTTGATGAAGGTTAGTTCTGGATTGAGCCAAATGACATGGACGACCTTAGGGATGGCGTCCGTCGAAACGATCCCCCGGTTGAGGTTGAGGCATCGTTCCTCATCTTTGGTGTCGTGGAAGTCAAAAACATCCACTCGTCGAACGCTGATGAATTTGCCCAGAACTGCGTCCAGCGCTGGGATGCCTTGGGGCAGAAGAAGATAGACCACAGTAGGAATGATGGCCACAGCCAAAAGCACTCCCCGAAAAAGACAATGGCGGCGCATCATGCTCAGTCATGGGTATGAGAATGGATGAAGAAATGGTGGCAGCCTGGGAGATAACAAAGGGAATGGGATGCATGGTCTTGTGCAACCAACAAACAACAACCACCAAGGTCAACACGTGGGAGGGCGATCAACCGGAGGCTTAAAATACAGTACTCGCCCCCAAGTCAGGCCCCCAACCACTGCGACAACGAGCCTGTTGGCCGTCCGACTTGGGGGCGAGTACATAATTCAGGGTCCAGTGCTCTCCCTGGCCTATCGCCGCGGCCAGCTAGCCCCACTAAGGGACCTTGTTCTGCGGGTCTTTGTATAGCTGGTCTAGATAGGGATCGAAATAGAAGAGTAATGCCGGTAACTTCAAAATATTTTATATCTAATTCGTTTCTTGTCAGCAACTATATACATTTATCGTTTCCCATGCCAGATTAGCCGGCTATGTGACCCTGCAACAGTACAAAGTGGTAATAAACACGACTAGACCCGGAAGACATACACGGCGACAATCAAGACCGTAGCGGTAAAAGCAAACAGATATCCCGGAACAGACTTGCTCGAGCTGCCAACTTTCCCGGACAACGGCTCCGAGTTAATATATTGATCATCGTCGGTCAGAAGTTGCTCGAAAAAGCCGCCGATCGGGCGACTAGGATGATGGAGATAGATCTCGAGAATCCAATGACGTCGGTGCCCATCGGCTCCAAGAGCGTTCATCGGCTGGTGATTTCCCTTTGTGATATACAGGCTGATCTTGTCGTTCGGGATTCTCTCGTGCGGAAAGTTGCCGATCAGGTGTCCAGCAAGTTGAGCGCCGAACTTCCAACCTCTCTTGCTCGCTTCTTCGACAGCAATCTGATAAAGCTGCTCGCCTGTCATTTTCGTACTGCTCAGAAAGCGAGTCCGCACAGCACGCCATGTCGGCTCGAGGGCATCGCGGAGCTTGATTTTATCCGGATCATCTCCGAGTACGAAGGTTCGGCCAAAGTCGGCCTCCCAGTCCTCGAAAAGCGGTCCCAGGTCGACGAACAAAATATCGTCAGCCTGGATGACCAGGTTGGGAGGGTTAGCCGAAAACGGGCAAAGAGTATTTTCTCCCGTGCGGATAACCCGCTTGTGCCAGTGGCTTTTGATCCCGAATCGCTTCGCGCCCAGCTCGTGGATTTCTTGGCTCAGGTCTTTCTCGGTAATACCCGGCCGGATGAGATCCCGCTCAATCTCTCGGAAGAGCTGATCTGCTTTGTATTCTGCATCTCGCAGGTTGGCGATTCGTTCTTTGTCTCCCGGTAGGGACATTTTGATGATGATAAGGCAGGCCCACTCAATTATAGAGTTGGTAATCGATGAAAGCAGAATGGATCCAGGATCCAACACCGCCGACCCCAACAATTAACTATGGGCCCATCATTATTATTAGTCACCCCCGCTGCGGGGAGGGCTTTAGTTGATATACACGAGTCAGTGGAAGATACCTTGTACTAAGTAGGAAAACTATCGACTCAGTGTTCTGACGAGGACCATTGAATTGCATGCTACTACTTCTTTGGCTTCGGGCCTTTCGACCGTCGAGAATCCAATGAGCGATAACCTCGGTTGAGAACTTTGTGCCAACATAGACAAATTTACATCTACTACGTTGGTCAATTTCTGACACAAATTAGATAAAAAGAGCTGGAGACCTTGGTCTGCGAGAGAGGAGGACTTCCGGACAATATTACGTGGGAGCCGGACGGAGTGGAACAATATCTCGGGTTATTTTACTCGGCCTCGGCAGAAACTAAAACCCTCCGTCTATACGCATCCCACTTCGTGGCGATAATCGTCGGCTGACTTTGGCTATTTAATAAGGCGTGGGAACTCCCTTATATTGGCCACAGTAATTACAAACACGATGATTTCCATTTCGCCGCCTCCGGCTGCAAGAGCTTCGACCGACCCCTACTACGACTTGGGAAATCTCCATCTCAAAGTCAGCACAACGTCCGAAGAGGCACAAGTGTGGTTTGATCGCGGATTGCTCTGGACGTATTGCTTCAACCACGATGAAGCGATAACATGCTACAAGCAGGCAATCGCCCACGATGAGCACTGCGCGCTCGCGTATTGGGGCGTGTCGTTCTGCTCGGGTCCTAATTACAACAAGACATGGAGACTTTTTGATGAAAGGGATAGGATAAATGCAATTAATTCGTGCTACGCCTATTCTCAAGAAGCCTTAAGACGAGCAGGAAACGCTTCAGTTTGGGAGCAATCGCTCATCAATGCCCTCGCAAATCGCTATCCCAACAACGATACCGGCAGGGATCTTGCTGCCTGCGACAGAGACTATGCTGATGCTATGCGAGAAGCATATGGAAGGTTTGGGTCTGATGATTTTGACATGATCACACTGTTCGCCGATGCGTTGATGAACTGCGCACCACGAAAACTGTACGATGCCGCAACCGGACTCCCTATTGATTCATCCCCTGTCCATGAGGTGAAAGACCTTCTTGAGCGAGCTCTGAAGATGTCAGGAGTGGAAAAACATCCAGGACCGGCACATATGTACATCCATCTGATGGAAATGTCGGCAACTCCCGAGGCTGCTTTACCTGCAGCAGAAATGATCCGCGAGCTAGTACCTGATACTGGCCACACCTACCATATGCCTGCCCATATCGATGTTCTCGTGGGAGATTATCGACGTGCAGTGAAATATAACCTGAAAGCCACTATCGCAGACGACAAATTTTTTCAAGAGAATGGTGGTTTAACTTTCTACAGCTACTACCGCCTGCACGACTACCACTCCCTTATCTACGCCGCGATGCTTGCAGGGAAATCAAAGGCGGCATTGGCGGCGACGGATCGAATGGAAGCGACTATTACGGAGGATATTCTTCGCGTGGAAACGCCTGCACTCGCCAACTGGATGGAGTTCTTCAAGGCTGTGCGAGTCCATGTCCTGATCCGTTTCGGGATGTGGGAGGAGCTCAAAAAGCTCGACCCTCTCGAGGATGGTCAGCTCTATTGTGTGACAAATGTGATGAGACACTATGGGAAGGCAATTGCGTACGCGGCGACAGGACAGCTTGAAGAAGCCGACAAAGAACGGGAACTTTTTAAGCTCGCTTCCAAGGTCGTTCCACCTACACGGCTCGATTTTCCCAACAAAATCGTCGACATCCTTCACATAGCATCTGCAATGCTCGATGGAGAAATTGAGTACCGGCGTGGCGACTTCGAGACGTCATTCCGTAAACTACAGGAAGCAGTCATCCTTGAAGACGAGTTGCCATTTGCCGAGCCATGGGGATGGATGCTCCCAGCACGACATGCATATGCAGCTCTCTCCTTGGAGCAGGGACATGTTGAGCAGGCTGCTCAGGCCTACGCTGAGGATTTGGGCCTCTACCCGACGCCTAAGCGTGCGCATCAACACCCAAACAATGTATGGGCACTCCATGGTTACCACGAGTGTCTTGAGCGTCTGGACCGCGGTGCAGAGGCAATTATAATTAAGAAACAGCTGGTACTGGCTCTTGCAGAGGCGGATGTCAAGATAGAGTCGTCGTGCTTTTGCAGACTTGGGGTATCGACTTCATGCAGTGGGAAAACAGGTACTAATGGCTGTCAACCCGCAGAGTGAAGGTGGGTTAGAAAAGTCAGATATAATAAGCCGCATTCAAGTGAGATTCTATTGTACAATCCATATATACCTATTTGGGCCAGGATACAAGGATACCGAGATGCTGCGACTAAATAGCCCGCAGTATTACAAGCAATGGCCAGAAACAGAAAGTAAAGGGCAGCATCGACAGGGTGAGCTGTTACAGACGTCGATACATCACGCAACAGCATCTGCAAATTGCTTGATTGTTGCTGCAACTTCTTCCACAACACGATAGCAGGGCGTCAATGTTTTCGCCGCGGGACTCTGTGGACAAATATCGAGTGGATCGAGACCAACGCCGTATTTCTCTCTCCAGCAGTGTCCTCCAGCGTCCGGACATGCTTCATGGCCAATCATGTGGCGGTCGCGTTGTCTCAGTGCGAATCTTCTTGCCAGGGCAGTCAATCGTTCAGCATCGGCCTGAAGGCCGTTCGTGATAAGATCCTGGAGTTTCTCGCCAGAGATCTTGAACCCCAACACTGGACTGATTTCAAGACCAGGAATAAGGTAGACTGTTTCGCGTTGATTTCTATCACTGAGCGCATTGCAGGCTCCTTTGAGCCATCTCAGATACCTATGGTAGCCAGACGTGATTTCAGCCATTAAACGGCCGATGAAAAGGACATTCTGAATAGTGATTCGCGGGGATTTCGTCACATCATAGCAGGCGGGACATGTCAGCAGCCTTTCGACCAGGTCAACTCCTACACGGAGGCTGCGGATGAAGCTGTGTGACATGGGCGCACGAGTCAGGGTGCGAATTGACTCAGAAACCTCTTCGGTACAGTTGCAAGACAGCAAAGGTGACACGAATGTGCCTAAGGACAGATCGGACAAGTCCTGTGTCCCCATTGGATGGCCAGGCCCCAACAGCTCGATTGGGAACGAGCCAAAATCGCCATTCCCCATTAGTATATTGTCGATTTCTCGTGAGATCGTTGATCCCTGAGGCACGTCGGGCGCGAGCTGGAAACAGCTAGCCCTTTGCGGCTCTTCATTGGAAGATTCCTGCTGCAACTGTTTAGGCGGTTGCTTTCTTGGCCTTCCGGGCGTTCCCTTGTCTTGAAATCTACAAGCGAGAGATAGAGTCCGACAACGGGAACAGCCATTTTTCTCTCCCGAACATTTGAGCTTTCGCGTCCCTACACGAAGTTAGATGTTAGCTCAACGGCTTGAGGTCACGGCATTTGACGTACGACACGCTTCACAGGATTGTCGCTTCCGAGTGATGCGATTCATATTCTCTTGAAAATAGGAGTCTGGCATCAAAAACGGACAAGAATTTGCAACTATCGGTTATGATCCGATTCGGGCGAGATGAGTGGAGAGGTGCGGGGTTATTGTTCACGCACGACATTCTTTGCTCATCTCGCGACAAGATCCTTTTTCAACAGATTCTTTTGAAACGTAGTCGAATGATAACTAACACAGATGGCCAAACCGATAGATCGGATGCGTTTACAGCAATCGTCTACGATCGATAGTTGGCGGGATATCAAGTCATATGAGCTTAGACCGGTGCCTCTTAGTTTCGTTCATGCCACTCATGCAAGCCATCGCGAATCTACTACTATATTTTACTGGAATCCACTAAATCAACATTAATATTGCGCGGAAGGTTTTGTGGTTTCGGATGGTTTTCCACAGCGGAGGCGGATGAAAAACGGCGGACTCATAAAAACCTCCGGGTGGACAGTTCCCGTTTTCATCCCCACATTTCTTGACTATCTCACATACAGTGTTTTCATGGGACGCGGAAACTAAAATTATAAGATTCCCAGCTGCATTGAAAAGTAGAGACGTCTACCCTTGGCGATCTTCTCAAGAAAACACATCTGATTCAAGATGATCAAGTCTTTGACCGCGCAAGAGCTGCGCCACCACTGGGTAACCCGCCAGGAGATTGCACTGCTCGACGTTCGGGAAGAAGGTCCATATTCTGACGCCCATCCGTTATTCGCATTGAGTGTACCGGTGTCCGAGATCGAGGAAAAGTTGCCGCCATTGGTGCCTCGGTTATCCGCTCCTATTGTTGTTTACGATGATGGAGAGGGTTATGTTGAATGGGCAGCAGCTCGCATATCAGCCTTGGGGTATCATGATGTTGCCATCTTAGATGGAGGGCTCTCGGCCTATGCTCGCGTAGGTGAAGTTTACCGCGATGTCAACGTGCCATCTAAAGCATTTGGCGAACTTGTGGAAGCTATCGCAGGGACTCCATCTCTGCCCGCTCGTGACGTGAAAGAGGTCCTAGAAAGAGACAAGGACGTTGTGGTATTGGACGCCAGGCGCTTTCAGGAGTACAACACAATGAGCATACCCCATGGTCGCAGCTGTCCCGGAGGTGAACTTCTCTATCGCTTTTTCGAAGCCGTTCCTTCTCCCGATACGACTGTGATTGTCAATTGTGCTGGTCGCACGCGCTCGATTGTTGGTGCTCAGTCCTTGGTCAACTCTGGAATCCCAAATAAAGTTATGGCCCTCAGAAACGGTACCATTGGATGGACGCTTGAGGGTTTGGAACTTGAACACAGCAAGATGGAAAGAGTTCCACAGCCATCACACGAGGCATCGCGTAAAGCAAGGGAATACGCCGCAGCATGGGCACAACACATTGGTGTGCGAATTATAAATGGGGACCAGCTCAGTCAGTTGGCGGCAACAGCAAAGACCCGAACTCTATACATGCTTGATGTCAGAGATCCAGAGGAATATGCTCTGGGCCACCCGACTGGTTTCTCATCTGCTCCCGGTGGTCAACTGGTTCAGGCTACAGATGAATGGGTTGGTGTAAGGGGCGCTCGCATTGTTTTATACGACACAGATGGGGTGAGAGCCCGAATGGCGGGTAGCTGGCTTGTGCAGCTAGGCTGGGAGGTCTACGTTCTAGACGAGCAGTCTAAAGTGCCTGACAGCGTCCTTATCCCCGAAAGCCCCTCCTGGAAGGCCCAGAATTCTGGTGGTGTAACAGTTGGCGACTTGGCAGCACTCACTGAGGCTACCATTGTCGATCTCGCTCGCAGTCCAATCTATCGCAAAGGTCATATTCCGGGCGCGTGGTTTACTTCAGGACCCGAACTGGTCCGTGATCTGAATACTGTCAGCGGAACAGGGCCTATTGTGCTGACCTCGCCGGACGGTAGCGTTGCTGCCATGAATGTTGAGTATGCACGAAAGGGCGTATCGCGCGATGTATTATACCTCGCTGGGGGCACAGCGGCTTGGTTAGCGGCGAATCGCCCAATGGAGACGGAGACGCGCTGGCTTTCTCAGCCAATTGACATCTACAAACGCCCTTATGAGGGAACTAGCAATGCACGAAAGGATATGCAAGGGTATATTGACTGGGAGCACGGGCTTGTTGCACAGCTTGCGAATGATGGAGTCGCCTGCTTTCATGTTGTACGGGACAATCGTGTGAAGGCAAAGGAGCTTTGAGCAAGTCCATTTTTGTGTCAGGTGCTCATCGATTCTTGATGGTAGACACTGCCTAGGCTTCCTCTGGCAAAGGATCAGTATTCGCATTTAGAGTTATGAGGCTATTCTTGATTAGTAGATAATATCCGCGACCAGAGTCTGGGGTAAAAATGTAGATAAACCTTATCGGGCACTGGTGATGTCAGAAGCTGGACACGGGACAACCTCACGTCTCCCCACATTTTGATTTCTGAGAATGTCAAGCAACCCTGCAAAATGATGAGCAAGCGTCTATTTGCGCGTGTCTTGCAACAGGTGTGGTAGCTAAATCTCAAAGGGACCACTATTCTCTGACGAGGTAATAGAGACATAGCCCATTCTCAAAGCAGGTGCGCGCACTCAGTCTACTTGAGTATCGTTCCCATAAGCTTCTCAAAGACGTAAGATTTTCCATCGTTTATCCGAACCTATAAGCTGACATGAAGCAGTTCGACATTCCCGTGCCCCGTGGATTTGTTGTGGAAAGCCCTCAAGATGCCAAGTCAGTAGTAGCGGAGATTGGTCAGTTCTACCCGTGACATCTCAAGCGAACATCTAACTGGGATTAGGTGCCCCGTCAGTTCTCAAGGCTCAAGTACTTGCCGGCGGGCGAGGCAAGGGAAAGTTCAATAGTGACAACAAAGGAGGAGTTCGCATCGTCCAATCGTGAGTTTGGCAACCATCTATATCCAATTGTCTCACTAATTGCTTCTCCAGACCCAAGGAAGCATTGAAAAATGCCAGTAATATGCTTGGATATTACCTCACAACGAAACAAACACCGTCGGGTGGTCTGCTAGTGAACAAATTATATATATACAAGGCAGTTGATGTTGCAAAGGAATTCTACCTTGCCGTGACCTTTGACCGCGAACGGTACAGCCCAGTACTCCTGGTCTCTGGTGATGGAGGAGTCGACATCGAATCCAACATGGACAATTTACATCAGTTCTGGTTCCAGCTCTCCGAAGGAGTCACTCCCGAGATTATCGCTAGCATCCAGACTCTTCTGCACTTCAACTTTCACGAGATGGACATTCTCCGGCCGCTAATCTACCAGATGGTAACCCTATTTCAAGAAAAAGACGCCACTCTAATTGAGCTCAACCCGCTCGTCCAGACTGCGGAAGGAGACTTTGTCTGTCTGGACGCCAAGTTCACCTTTGACAACGCGGCTCAATTCAGACAGAATGAGATATTCAGTCTTGCAGAGCGGTCTCCAGAAGAGGAGGAGGAACACGATGCAGCCAGGCTGGGTCTCTCCTACGTTCGGTTAGATGGCAATATCGGGAATATTGTCAATGGTGCAGGTCTGGCGATGGCGACAAACGACCTCATCAGTATATATGGGGGAAAGTGTGCGAATTTCCTGGATATTGGAGGAGGTGCTACCAAGGGGACGCTTTCGAAAGCGTTTGAGATTTTGAAAAAGGATGCTCGGATAAGAGGAATTTTGATCAACATATATGGTGGTAAGTATGAGACCTGCTATGAAAGAGAAAGAAGTATTTAACGGACACAGGGATTGTGCGTTGTGATATGATTGCCGAGTCTATTATTGCTGCAGCCGCGGAAATGGACGGGTTCAACATCCCTGTGGTGGTTCGTTTGCAGGGGACAAACAGCGATAAAGCGTTGAAGATGGTGAGTATCTGTCGCATTCGGAAAGTATTATCATTGACGTCGATGATTGTAGATCTCAAAAGCTGACTTGGATAACTTGACTGTGGATGCGGACTTTGAGTCTGCTGCTCAGAGGATTGTTCATCTCACAGCCTGATGTTGTACTGCGTCTCAGAAAATGGAGTTCGTCGGATTTATTCCTCGCACATTAGTTCCAATGTAGCCCAAACCAACGAACAGGGAAAGGGGAAACATCTAGTTTGGCATAGTGCATTCATTAAGTTTAACATTTCACAATGGTTTTATCAATACAAGTCGTCCAAGGTCATGATAATTAAGCTGGCACACCGTCCTCATGGCTCTCATAGTATCGTCGATCCATCCCAGCCTGCAATCGCGCTTCTTCATTAAATGGCCCCCGTATAGGGCCCCGGAAATGCTTCTGGACGTTAGATCGGAACACTTGCACCGGGTCTGTTCCTTCTTGACCACAGATCCACGTCAACCATCGGTGCCCCGTAGTGACATGTGTGATTTCATCGTTGTGGATCACCTCGAGCGACTTGACACTCTCAGTGTCGCCGGCATTGCGAAATTTCTGGATGGTCATAGGATTCACGTCAAGGCCCCGGGCTTCATGAACAAGCGCAATGATGCTGATTCTGGCCCGAAGATCGTACGCTGTTTCTGTGGCAGAGTCCCAGAGGCTGTGATGTACCGGAAGCGCGCCGAAAGAAGAGCCCAGTTCTTCGAGTCGCGCACGGAGAAGAGAGAAGTGCTTTGCTTCGTCACTGGCGACCTTGAGCCAATCATGGAAGAATGCACGTGGAAGTTCCTGTGAATTTCCGTTTGTGTGAAATGTTGAGAATCGAACGCAGATATCGATGGCCAGATCAATGGCCCACAGTTCGATATTGGCTAGAGCATGGAGCATGGCGATTCGACTTTTGAGCGTTCCGCCTCGCCCGGACTTGGGCATGGTGCCTGGTGTCACCGTGGTTAAGTTTTCTCGTGGTGGATTATCTGGAGGGGTAATTGTGCCTCTGCCCAGGGGCATCGGCGAGTCCGTGTTTTCGCGGCTGGTAAATGCGGAGAAGAGGTAGATGGTAAGTTCAATCTTGTGCTCGGGATTGGCGGTGTTCAAGATATGCACAGCCCAGTCACATAGTGTCGCACTTTGATCCAAGTAATGTGCTGCTCCAGGGTCTTGCGGGGGAGTAGTGTTTTGTGTTGATGGTTGCTCGTGCTTCAACTTGACCTTCTCGCTCACAGGCTCAAGTTTGGACAGTTGAACACGGCCTTCATCCTCTGCCGGATATTGGAGCAGGACGGACTCCCCACGGACATCGACGGGAAATGTGCAGGCTTTGATTCCCACACTGGATTCCCCGGTCTCGACATTGAAATCGTATGCATGCCACGGGCACGACACAACGTATGCCGAGTCTTCAATATCAACGTGCGAGTCTACCATCGGTCCGCCAGCATGCGGGCACTCGGCTTCCATGGCATAATAAGACCACCCGTCGCTAGTTTCGTTAGGTCTTGAGGTTGCCTGGTCAATGGATGGCAGGCGGAATAACACCAGCCGTTTGCCGTTCGAGAGATGGAGCACATATCGTGCCTGGGTAAAGGCGGACAGCAGCCCGCAGTTGATCCACATCTCCACTGACGCCGATAGAGTGCTGTGTTGAAGTGTTCTCGTCGGCGCTGATGGGAGTGATTTTGATGATCACGTGAGCGATTTAAATGCGCTAAGCCAGATACGGCTAGTCGCTCTACAATTGAACTATAAAGGAACAACGAGCATCAAATTGGAGCAAAATCCATGATTATTGGCATTCTGAAGGCATTGGGCTAGTAGATAACGGGTGATGTTTACCCAGATCGAGATTCTAGATTAGATATATGAACAAAAAAGCTTCAATCTTCCGGACCCTGCACTCTTCATCTTCGTTAAAACGCCATAGTCCCGGGTGTTGTCTCAAATGCTTTGTCCAAAAGCTCCAGGCCGCTCAGCAGCACGTCTTCAGTAATCGTTATCGGAGGCGCAATGCGTAATACACCACCGAAACTGGAATGGCTGCTCAGGTTTGCCCATAAACCCAACTCGTAGGCACGGTCAGCGACAGCCCCACCCAGATCCTGAGCGGGCGTCTTGAATTCGCGGTCCTCGACAATTTCGACGCCAGCCATGAGACCTCGGCCCCGCACATCACCAATGCAGCCATACTTGTCCTTCAGTTTGTTGAGACCGTCGTGCAGGATCTTGCCCATGGAACGTGAGTGCTCAACAAGATTGTCGCGCACCACAATTTCGAGGACCTTGTCGCCAACTGAGGCGGGCAGCGGATCATTAACATGAGTTGTGTAGAAACAGTAGTCTCTTTCGGAGCACACGCGGTCAATCTCGGCGCTGGTGACAACCGCACTCAACGGAAGGCCATTGCCGAGTGTCTTGCTCAGCGTCAGGATGTCGGGCACGACGCCATCGTGGATAGTTGCCATTAAGTCACCGCAACGGCCGACTCCTGTCTGGGCTTCGTCGACAATAAGAAGCATTCCACGCTTCTCACAGTGCTTCTTCAGAGCTGCAAGGTATCCTGATGGTAGAACGTGCATTCCTCCGGACGACTGGATGCACTCAACAATGCAAGCAGCCAGCGAGCCACACGACTGCATATCAATCATGCGCCACCCATACTCCAGCTCCGCCTCCCAGTCATACGAGCCATCAGGCTTACGGAAGACAGAGCGGTAACTGTTGGGTGGAGGAAGCATCAGCATGCCAGGCATCAGTGGGCCCTGGCCCTTGCGACCGAAGTGGTACTGTGTGCCCAGTGCCTGTGCAGTGACACCGTGCCAGCTGGCTCCCAGTCCGACAATCTCAAATTTCCCTGTATACACTTTTGCCAACTTGATGGCTGCTTCGTTACTCTCGCCTCCAGTGGAAAGGAAGAACGCTTTATCCAGGCCAGGCGGGAGGAGATTGCAGAGCCGCTCGCCTAATCTGATCACCGGGGGCGAGACCATTCCTGAAAAGAGATGATCCAGAGAGGCAGCGTGGTCTGCAATTACCTTGACAATCTCGGGATGCCCATGTCCTAGTAGACATGACATTTGTCCTGAGGTCCAGTCCAGGATTTTATGGCCTGATGCCGTGTAGACGTATAGGCCCTTGCTACCACAGATGACGTCTTTGTTGAACTTGGTTCCATAGTTGAGTAGGTACTTGGCTGTTTTGACCTGGAGTTCGTCTTGGTTGAGGGCGGTGTACAGAAGAGGCGCTTCGTTCGTGGCCGATGTGGAGACGGTTATCTCGTCCGTGATCCCCGGAGCCATGGTATACTAGTACTTCGATAAGGATGACAAGAAGAAAAGCTTCACAAGAATATGTTGGAGTCAAAGGAAATCTCGGTGACTGCAGTGAATATTAGGAGTATTTATAATGTAGAACGGCAAATATTCCAAGTCACATCCCCTCATCTGCATCTGGCCGCGGCCAAATGTGGGGAAGGCCGCGGGCAACTTTCAAGCAACTTGGCCAACGAGATAACACATGAAGGACTTGTAAGCGCTCACGTTATCGAATTAGAGTTTCTTCTATCCAAACGGCATCAGTCAAAATTGAATCCATGATTCAAATCGGCCTCTATCGTCCGTAGATTTTGTATTACAGATTCATCCTCACACCGATGGAGAAAAAGTTGGTTCTCAATAGCACTTTCATAAGTACCTTACATTTAATCGTTAAGGGTAAAGGAAATTTTTACATCTCTCCTCGCCGGTAGCCCTGATTCTCCCTATAAATCCAGGAGTTTCATTGGCTAATATTCCTTAGGTCAGACCCTCGTTCACTCCGGGAACTGCTTTGATCAGCTAGAATTAGTGTTATCACCAAGCAAGCCTAGTCGCCGAAGGTATTGCGTATGCATGATGCTCTCTATGAAGGGGACTCCCGGTAGAAGCTCCAATATAACTTAAGGGTCAAAACCATCATCCACAGTCGCACCTCGAGGTAAGAAGTTAGTATGAAGTAGGCAGGGTGAGGAACTAGGCGAGAATCACCTCCGTCATGAGACCAGACAATATGTGCCATCAGTAGACGAACCAATTTAATAGATATGCTATTCAAAGATCTGCTCGCTCGCTGAGATGCTTCTGATCCTAAAAGTAAACAAAAGATGTTATTAACGCAACTGACCCTATTGGGAGCGGGGGTCCCCTTAGGCATAACTGAGGCTACAAATAACTAACTTAGGTTAGTTAGTCAAGTAGTTAATGAGTTACGTTAAGTTAGTTAACTACAATAATTACTAATCGAATACGAATATATTCTGGGAAGAAAGCCGAATACGAATAAAGAAAACCCTTATTGGTGCCAAGCCCTAAGATTCACATAGACTTTGCTGACACGAGATGTTTTAACCACGACGATGCGGGCGAGTCTCCATGCGGACGTTGAAAAACGCTTAACCATCTCTTCTACTGCAGGAAGATGTCTTCGCGGCTTCGGTTGAGGCTGGATTCGTCAGGACTCTAAGGGAAATGCGCGTCTGCATGCACGGAGTACAGTACAGTAGTATGCATTGAATTGCTATCCTACTAGATGTCCGACCCCGCTATGCAACGTTGCCTTCGTATTCCTTGGCTTGAGCAGTTGGGCGATATTTCTGTTCAAGGGAGGACTGACGAGATTTATAAAGAAGCGCCCTTCCCATCAGTCAAGCAACCTTATCACACTCATCGCTTTCTCCTCAGATCGTCTTCCAAACTTCACAGATCTATCTACAAATAGACATTTCTCCTCCATAACCATGAAGCTCTTCTCTGTTTTCACTACGGCGCTTCTGTCCCTGGCAGTCGACGCAACACCTGTTCCAGAAGGAGGCACGCCCTTCAGCCGGGGTGCTCTCGCGGACAGGTTTTCTCAGCGAGTAGCCAATGCAAGTGCCGACGGTGAAGCAGAAATGGGTGACCTGGCCAAAAGATCACAGCTTACTTGCGAAATCGTCAACGTTGTAACTACTGTCGACTGCCACTACTGGCCAACCCACGCAGATGTAGTGGAAGGATCCCCTCCAGTTAGGAACTATGTTGTGACCTCGTTCGGGCCCTCAACTAAACACGATTTCGATTGCTACCTGCCTGGTGAGAACGTTGGAGGGATCACGTAAGTAATCTACCAATATTATTCGTGGAAAGTTGCAGCCTAATAGATGATTCGATATATCTAGCGCTTGGGATTATGCTAATAACTGGGGCTGCTTTGTTCCTGGATATTATACCGACTCACATTGTACTCACGGTACGCTTCCCATTTTCTGTTATTATAACGTCTTCTAGGTATACTAATCAGAATTTGGCTTTATAGAAGCTCTTGGAATGTGCTGGACTTAGTAGTTCGCGCCGCGGAATCGCCACGGGGCCGAAGGCAACTGTCCTCATTGTTCGAGGCATTACGCAGATTTATAAAATAGTGGTCATCCATAGCCGTATATCCAAGCTTCGTACCTGCATAGTCTTAACTAACTAGTCATAAAAATTCCAAAAGCCTTGGCCAAGTCATCCAAGGAAACTCCAGGGGCGAGATCAAACAACACATTTCTCCTCCCACTCTCACCTCCGTACGGTTCATGCACCACGCCGGCAGCTAGTCCACGATCACTCGGTCCATAGACACGAGCCGAGAATCCCTTATTAGTATCCTCCGCTTTAACAGCGGGCCACGGGGCAATGCCATGACAGAACTTGAAGAAATCCTCCGCAAAGGAAGCACCCACTGCCTGCTGAGCGGGAGTCAGGAATTCGCCAAAGTTCTGGAATAAGTAGGCTAAGTCCAAGATATGGTTGGCTTGTCCCTTCCATTGACCGTCCCAGGGATTGCCCTCGTTGAAATAGTAGACGTGGGCATTTCCGCGCCAGCCTTGGGCTAAGGTTAGGACCGGGGCGAAGAAGTTGATGTCGTTGATATAGTTCAGGACTAAAGGCAGGCCATCGTCGTCAGGAGTGTCGTCCTTGATGCCGTATGCTGCCAGAAGACGGTCTGCCTCGGCTGGATACAAGGCTAGAGCAGTGCGAAGTGCAGAGGTGAGTCTCTTGGCACAGTTGTTCTTCAAATTGGGCACCATGAATGCAAGGATAGAAGCCTTGGAACATTGTCAATATCAGTATAGTGATATCAGCACTTAAACTTACATCCAGCTGGGCGTCTCCGATCATCAAGTCCTGACACCAGCTCTTCCCACGGGGAACATTCGAGTCCTGCTTGGCAACTTCTTCAAATGAAACAACAGACGGAACAATATCACCGTCAATGGCCGGAGCAGTCAATGCAGACGGAGGAAGCTTGGCAACGAGATCCTGTACCGGTGTCTCCAGGAGGGCCTTGAGTCTCTCTTCTGGAGGAGCATCCGACAAGCCTAAAGCAGCCGCAACTTGCTGATAATTTCCTTCGTGGACCTCATAAGGTTGTGCTCGCGAAAGGAAGAAGGAGCCACTCAAAGAAATCGCCCGTTTAAAAAGTGCCTGGTCGGAAAGGAGGTGGTATGTCACGGATGCTGGAATTGGTTAGTGACGGAAGTGAAAATAAGATCGTTATCATTACCTGCTCCTGCGCTCATGCCAGCTACTGTCACGTTGTCTGGGTCGCCTCCAAAATCACGAATATGCTTCTGCACCCACTGCAGAGCAACTCGTTGGTCACGAAGGCCATTGTTGGCCTTGTACCCGGCATTTCGCAGGTCCTCGGAGGTCAGAAAGCCGAGAGCCCCAAGACGATAACTAGACGGTTGTCAGAGGGATTTAGACCAACATTGTCCTGGTACATACTTGATCGAGACCGCTACAATCGGCAAATTCTTCTGCACCGAGAGCGTGACAAACCGCTTGTATTCAAACTGGGGCCATGAGTTGGCTCCGACAACCAACCCGCCGCCATGGATAAAGAAAAAGACAGGCAATTTCGAAGAAGATGTGGTATTCGAAGGCACGGTGATATTCAGATTCAGACAATCCACATCCGACTGGCTGAGCTCTTTCTTGGGCAGCGAATGCTGGACGTGTGCTAGTTCAGCATCGCATCCAGCCGCAGGGGACACGGCCGTTGGACTGTAACGAATAAGTATTGTGTTTCTCTTTAGAGCTGCCATAGCTTACCCGTCTTTCGTTGCGTCGAGCACATCACCGTCCCGTTCCGCGATCAGTTCTGCGTCTGCTAGGCGGTCCTTGAGGGTAGCATATTTGATGCCGAGGTATTGGGTCACCCCGTCTTCCGTCGTGCCCTGCACCCTCCCAAGGGCTGTTGTGTTAAGCAGCGTAGCCATTGTTGTAGTTTACACCACCAATTCAGAGAGGAGGAATACCAGCTTAAATACCCCCCTACCCCGGTGTGGTACCCGTGTGGGGCCGGGAAATAAGGCGGGGGATTTCCGTGCCATCGAATGATTGAACAATAGAAATAAGATTCACGTTTATCAATAGAAGTAAATGCTCCGGTCCGTCATCGCCAACCATGCATAGAATGTTATGTATATAAAAGATCAGGATTGTTGAAAGTTCATGTTATAACCACCCGTCTTCGGATCCTGAACGAAATTGAAGTTGTCAGTCGACAGACCGAACGGCTTCAAGATACCATTTCCCAGCTATGAATCCCTCTGTCAGTATGCATCCTCAATGACCGAAGCGGAAACACTCACATCTTTCAGCTTCGACATCATCTCCCCCATCTCCTTCTCCTTCGCCTGATTGAGGCGTTCCGGGAGCTCACGCAACGCCCGCTGGACAATCCGCTTGTCATCCGGAGGAAGATTCTCCATGGCCGCCAGGGCTTGGTAGTCCTCTAACGCTCCTTGCAGGTTGGCCCAACCGCCTAGTTGCGATTTGGCTTTTGCGCGTCTCATGAGCGCCTTCGCTCGAATACGCAAGACGTCCGCTCTTTTCTTGTCCAATTCCTGCAATCTCTGTAGCTCCTTCTCTGCTTCTTCCTCGCCACCCGTTATTTCCACCACAGCATCCGCGTCCTCTGTGTCGGTCTTCTCGGCTTTCGGTTGTGATGGCTCCCCCGATCCCTTATCTTGCGGCGCTGGTGGTGGCAGAATCTTATCCAGTCGCTCGATAGACGCGGTGGCAGCATCCACAGCAGCCTTCCAGTCGTTCAGCTTCAGATAACAGGCCGAGATATTACTCCGCAGGACGGCGACATCGTAGTCGAGGTAGTTCGGGCACGAGGCAAGAGCGCGGTCGTAGCAGGATATCGCTTGGTCGTAGCATGCCGCGCTGAAGAGCTGATTGGCTTCTGCTTTAATCTCATGGGCTTCTTTTAGGAGTTTCTGCGAGTTGGCCAGATTAGAGGGGAACGAATGGAAGGGCTGATGAACACGAAGACTCACGGCTTCTTCCTCTGCGGGGAAGCGTGCATCATGGAACTCGTCCTCATCCTCGCCTTGGGGCTCGGCTTGATCGCGCTCGGGCGCATTGGAAGATTCAGGCATTGTGCAGGAGAAAAGAGAAAGGAAATAGAAAAAGAGACGCGACACTAAGGAAAATGGTGGTGGTCAATCACGGGACCGATAAGGGATTCACCCCGCGATTGGCAACAGTGAAATTTCCCCCAGAAACAACGACGCTGTAAATAAAGATGGCAGCCACTTCCAGGTATGCATGCCCGTTGATTGTTTCCGGTCCTATAACTAACTAACTATGTTACAGTCTCCCCCAAATCCGGGCGTGTCTGTTCGACATGGACGGCCTGTTGATTGACTCCGAGGACAAGTACACGATGGTCACGAACGAAGTGCTGCAGATGTATGGTAAACCCAACCTGCCCTGGGATATCAAGGCCCAGCTGCAAGGACGGCCACAGTCAGAGGTATACCGGTACAAATATACGTCACCCCAGAGCCCACATTGACACAATTTCCAGGCCGTCAAAATCTTCTTCGACTGGGCGCAGCTGCCCATCACACCCGAAGAATTGACCGCAAAGCAAGACCCGCTACGTCAGAAGTATTTCCCACAGTCACAGCCTCTGCCCGGCGTGGTGGAATTGCTCTCGAAGCTGGTCTCGACACAGTCAACCGCACAGCCCGTGCACATTGCGCTGGCCACATCGTCCAATATGAAAAACTTCCGCCTGAAGACAGACCATCTCACGGATCTGTTCACTGCGTTCCCGCAGGCACACCGAGTGCTCGGGGATGATCCGCGCATTGGCAATGGGCGCGGGAAGCCATTGCCTGATATCTATCTTCTGGCGCTGGAGACGATCAATGCAGATCTGCGGAGTAAAGGACAGACGGAGATCAAGGCTGAGGAGTGTCTTGTGTTTGAAGATGCTGTTCCGGGAGTGGAGGCTGGTCGACGGGCAGGGATGCAGGTCGTCTGGGTTCCGCATCCTGGTCTGCTGAATGAGTACAAGGGTCGGGAGGAGGAAGTGCTTGCTGGTCTTACGGGGGCCCACAAGGAAGAAGAGAAGAGCCATGCCGAGAAGGAGGCGGAGGAGCTGCAGGCTTGGCGGGTGCATGGAGCTGGGAAGCTGGGTGAGATGGGAGATGGGTTCGGGCAGTTGCTCCCGACGCTGGAGAATTTCCCGTATGAGAAGTATGGCATCCGGATACCCTGAAGGAAAGCGCAGTGTTTTTTTTTTTTTTTTTTTTTTTTTTTTTTTTGTTTGTTTGTTTGTAGATGTCTAGACGGTCTGCATGAATGGCATCAAACGGGAACATGATCGGGGATGACTTCATAGCACTGTTTAGCAGGGCCGGTAGAGCTCTACGTTTCTTATGTCAGGACAAGGTGATTGTGTACTTCAAAGGACCCCAAAGTGGAGACTTATCCTTTTCATGTAGTTGAAAGAATATACCATCATAGATTTCCTTTGATGCTCGGAGGTACCAGCGAGTAAGATCAAGAAAGTCTACAAAAAGATCTAGATATTTGATGACTGGCATCAAAATTTACGAGAAATGAATTTGATTAATCATTTTGAATTGGACCGTCCCATCTGCCGGGAGGAGACAGGCCCAGCAGGGTAAGTACATGGTTCATGAATGGCGCCCCCGGCGCGCCCACCGCAAAACACAACACCCACCAATCTGAGGGCGCAAGGCCATCGAAGCTCCGCCACTCACAGGCGCACCCGCTTGTACGATGCCGCCTCTGCGTCAGCGGAGGTCTCAGTGTGAGGGCCCTTCAGCCTCCCGGAAACCTTGCTCTGTGATGCCCCCACCGGCTGCTGCCACTTCGACGCTAGCGCAGACAGAGGAATCAGGCCGGTGTAAGGGGGAACCCCGGGCTGCTGCGCCGCCGACGACTGCTTCAGAGGGGGGCCAGTCTCGTTGGCGCGCTTGGCACGCGCAGCAGCCAGAGCATGGTTGGCGGGGAGGCGGAGAACCATGGTCTCCGGGTTGGTGACAGGAGCGGTGCCCGAGGACAAGGGCACGAAGGAACTCGGCACGGCAGCCCGACGAGCAGAGGTCGCCACGCGCTGGCTGCGTGCGATCGGGGTCGGAGTGGTCTGTCGTTGCTGAGAAGCTCGGCCATGTGACGACTTGATCGCCGGGATGGTATTCTCACCGGCCGAATTCTTGGACGAAGTGGTGGAGGTGGCAGACGACGAGCCCGTACCTCGGCCCTTGCCCTTGGCGGCCGCTCCTGTGGGAAGGTGGCGTCTCCCGATGTCGATGATGTTAGACTTTTTGGCGTTGACGTTCTTGTTGACCTTGATCCGATTGGCAGCGCCGACAGGGTCATCGATGACCGTTCGAAGGTAGAGAGGCTCCAGCAGATGCTTGCACATGGACTTGTGAACCTGTAGACGTCCATCAGTACATAAACAGCCAAAGTGCTATCAGGAGAACTCACTGCAAGCGACTCGAGCATGGACGCGAGACGCTCATGGAAGTTGGCGTATTTGCCAGCTGCCTTGGATGCCGTGACTCCACCCACATTAACACCGGTGCGGTGACGTTCGATCATCGTTTCCTGGGGGAGAGGATTAGCAACAGGTTCGGAGAAAAGCAAAATCGGAGATCACTTACAAGAATTTGCCAGCAAACCATCTCGATTTCCGCGTCGCCGTAGCGATCATGGCGGAACGGTGAGATGACCTTCTCACTGTCCACTGCAGTTTCGGTGCTCTTGAAAGCCTGGGAGAGAAGATTGACTATTGTGCATTTCATGGCCTCGGTATCCGGGATGGTCGGGTCGTGTGGAACGACAACTTCTTCGCTGGCCAAATCCTGCTCGGCCTCTTTCAGCGACTTGTAGTGAGTAGACTTACCCACGCCGTGATCGCATTGCTCAAGAATGTGTTCCCAGGAGATACCACGCACTGGAGTGGAAGAATTGGGAGAAGGAGCCTTCTGTGGCGAGGGAGTCTTCGGAGGAGCTGCAGAGCGCTTCTTGCTCGAGGTGGCCTTGGCAGAAGTAGATGCAATTGAGGTGTTGGGAATGATAACTACAGGCGCAGGAGTCGCAGAAGTAGCGACAATGCTTTTCCAAGCCGAGACAGGCTGTTCTGCAGCAACAGCAGCAGGAGGAGAGGATGCAGTAGCCTGCATGGCACCCCAAGCAATGGTGTTGAGATGGGCGATTTCAGCCACAGCAGTCGAAGGATAAGAAGTGTCAATGCTGTCGAAAGCGGAGACATGAGGCTGAGCGGTAGTAACAGCAGAAGAAGACGTGGCCTGCATGGCATTCGAAGCCGCCCGAGGGTGTTTGTCGGCGGCCTCCCCGAAGAGAGCATCAATTAAGTCATCGAAGGTCGGCTCAGTGTTCAACAAGGCTGGATCAATGAATCCATCATGAACATGCTCGTAGGAGTTGCCTCCCAACATGATGGCGAGAGAGCAGACAGGATGTGAGCGAGTGGTAGATAAGAGGAATACAAGATATGGATGGAAGATCAAATAGTAGAAAGAGCAGGATGTCAGCAAGAATGAATACAGGATATTGATACACGCTCCAACGCAGAGAGAGAGAGAGGATGGAAGGTAGGTATCAAGGATAAGACGGAAGAGAAGAGACAGGATAAACGAAGGAGGAAGAATGAAGCTCAGAAGCACCACCTAGATGAAGCCTTTATGCCCACTTCAGCAGAATGGGAGGGAGATCAATGAGCCATTCAGGCCTATTGAACCTATTCAGGCGCTGGGAGCGCAAGAATGGGAGCGTAGGCGATTGTCGAGGGCGTACTGATCTGAATGGAGAGGGAGATGAATAGGTATTGAGGCCGACGCAGTGAATGACGCCGGTTGCTATTGCAGGCCGAATCAGAGCAGCAACAGTAACGTGGTTGTCAGGCAACCCTAACCTTCCTAATCGGGAAGGGGCAACGAGGTATTGCGACGAGGGAAGGCACGATGGGGGAGGTACCGGATAGGGAAGGACCAGAACAACAACACAGGACACCCACCCAATTCCCGTGCCGCCCACCACTTTGATCTTTTGATATCGGTTTGCAACCCCACTATGACTGTAGCGCACATGCTCCACTGCTTGCTCAAGTCACCTCTCTGCCATTGCTTTGCGGTGAGCCACCAGAACTTAATTCCTGGTCCTCGGCATCGACACTCAATTTGAGAAACGGCATTGACCACACTTTCAGACTGTTGTCCGCCTCCACAGCCTGGTCTTGGTCGTCATTGGCAAAGTGTCGTTGCCCCGAGCAGGTCGCAACCACGCTCCCCATCGGATGGAACACCGTGCTAGTCACCGCATCTATCAGGAGTCAGCCAGTTCTCTAGTTATGGGAATGATACCCCTACCATCATGCACTTTCCACTCCCAATCCGGATCCTGTCCACCAGCAGCATAAATGGGATCCTTCCAAACCCTCATGAATCCATCGGTGCCTCCCGCCCAGACCTCATGTGACCCATCGGCACCAGAGGGAACAACGTCGACTTTCATGCGCTGGTTCGTGAAAGCCTTGCGCCCGCGAAGATACCCCAGCATCTGGCCTGTGACGCGGATATCATACACCAGCACCCCGTCACTCTTGCGTTCTGCAACATACAAGTACCTGCCGCAAGGGCTCCAGACGAGCTGGGTGATACCTCGGCCACCGATATCGCGATTCGCCTCTGTTTTGGCAATGCTGAACGTACCAATGAGCTCCCCGGAACCATGGGAGCTGTATAGGCTAATGTGTCGGGTGAAGGTGCCTGCCGCGAGAATGCCATCTCCCACTGGATTCACTGCCAATGCGGAGACTATGCCCTTCATCCCGACGCCGCCGCCGACTATTTGTTTCCGCTTACTGGGGATAGTGGGCATCCAGGAAACGGGCCCGTCGCTGCCAGTGCGAGAGACATCGAACAGACAGATGAGGCTGTCTGAGCCCGTGAGGAAGTGAGTTCCGCCCATAGTGGAAGGATATATCATCGAGTGAGGAGTGATATATGCTTCGGTGGTTGGGTGAACCAGGGAGTAGCTTGCCAGGTTGCTCGGAGCGAGCGCCGATGACAGCCGGATGGGATGGTCCCGGACGGACGACAGGAACAGAGTGGTGGATGGATCCTGCAGGGAATAGAAGGGGTAGACGGCCGTGGAGTAAGTGGGCTCTGCGGAGGGGAGCGTTGAATATGGAGAGATGTGGTGGACTGACTCTTCTTCGAGCAGGTCCGGCGGTCTGCTTCTGTCAGACAGGTGGTCACGAACAAAGAAGGGAGATCACACTTACAAAATGAAAGTTCGGATGTGGTGATCCGCCGAGTCCGTCAGGAGAGTCGTTCCGTCCGGTGTCCTGTGAGAGTTAGTCTGTCTGGATGTCGTGTCGCTGACAAGGGATCTCACCACTCCGCGCTCTTGAAGAAGCTGGCAGTTCCATCAGAGGCCTGCTTTTGCTCTGGAGATTTGTTGGCGGGTGAACTTGTTGAGGCAACGCATCTTGGCTTCCAATCGGCCGTGTTTGTCATGGCCATGTTGGTCAGAACTGGACGGTGGATGTCCAAGTCACAGTGGCGGACCCTGATATATGTATCAGGGATTGCAGTGAATGGATTATTCCGCCATCATGGCTGGCGCCTACGATGCCCGGCGGCCAGCAATGAATGACTGAGCTCCCTGGGACTTGAATTAGCCGCGTTCCATCTTTGGAGCTTTGAATCATCCAGCCCATCGCAACAATGATCGTCCATAATCCACAAGACAAAATGCATACCAGAATTTATTCCTCTCCGCTTTTTCTCTCGTTACACTCCAAACCGTCACCAGGTCGGTCGGTCCTTTGTCGTCGCGATGAGGGATAAAGTGTCCCTGACCGCCTTCGCGTGGTCCATCGATGAGGTATACGATTTCGAAACATCTCCAGTTCGGCCTCCGTCTCGAACTCTCGGGGATAACATGGCACGATCCGGCTCACAATAATTTCTAACTACCAGCTCCGATGCTGGCCCCAAATAAAGCCTTCTCATACTCCCACAGATCAGGCCACACCCCAGCAATTTTCCCAATCGAAGATCGCGGCGACATCTCCCGTCTTCTCATCTACTAGGATAGTGTCTAGAAAATCCGTATGATTGAAATAACCAAACATGCCACCTCTATAATATGAAATCTCCAATTATAGCATCGACTTCGTTGGTGGTGAATGGAATCCCGAGTAGTAAATAGTCGGCTCGGCAAAACCATTCCCCGGGCCAATTCTTATCGCAGCTTCGTGCTTAATCCTCGACTCAAGGGGCCATTGTCCATCGCATTCCAGCATGTTTGCGCCCAAGGCTTCCACGGGTGGCCTGTCCATCAACACAGGCTCGGCCAATTCTTTATTGTCAGTTCCCCATTCACTCCCCTGGCCTTGCCTTTGTCGCTTGTGTTGGAGCATCCTATCGATCGCCATTCCAGCTGCAGGCGAAGCAGCCATTTGCAGATAGCTTGAACGTGGTCGCTAACTGAGATTTCATCCAATAGTGGCGGTGCCAACTCACAGACTACAAATTCCACTTCTACGCCCGGGACATCAACCACAGCCGGGGGTCTTTTCTCAAACCCCGGGGCCGCTACAACACAAAACAAACCCGCGGGTGGGCTATTCGGAGGAAATACGCAGCAGCCACAGAGCACTGGGTCCAGTATGTTTTCCGGTCTGGGGGGTCAGCAGCAGCAGGCTGCCACAACGAGTGCCGGCGGACTGTTCGGGAGCTCGACAGCCACCACCTCCCAGCCACAGACAAGCAGTGTCTTCGGCGGTGCGGCGACTGCCAACACCAGCGCCCCTCAAAGCGGGACGACGGGTGGTGGTCTCTTTGGCGGAGGTCTAGGAGCCAGCACCACCGCGACACAGCCCCAGGCCAAACCGGCTTTCGGTGGACTGGGCGGTTCGACAACGACAGGTGGAGGTCTTTTGTGAGTGGATCACTGTCTTGATTTGGGGTCTAGCTAACTGGAGGCATTAGTGGCGGAGCTCAGAGTACCATGCAACAACCACAGCAGCAACAGCAACAACCGCAAAAGCCTACCCTCTCCCTCTTCGGCAACCAAAGCACTACCCAAGGCGCACAACAGCCTCTACAGCAAAGCGCCGCAGCTACCGGGACGGTGGTTCCTGGGGTGAAGGTGGATGTCAGCAACCTGCTTCCCACGACCAAATTCGAGAGCTGCGCTGACGAGATCCGCAACCACATCGAGATTATCGACAACTACATCCTCAACCAAATGAAAGTCTGTCACGAGGTGGCCGATATGCTCCCCACCATCGAGAAGCAAGGCAACACGATCCCCAATGACGTCGAGTTCGTGCAAGGCAAGCTCGAGACCATGCAACACGCGCTGGAGAATGACGCGAGCGACATCGATCAGTTGCGCAACCTCGTCACGCGGGACGCAGCCGAGGCGCAGGTGGCTTTCCGGGCCGTCGACACGCTAAAACTGCCACTGCAGTACCAATCGGCCGGCGGTGGGTGGTGGTCCGCGCAAGACCAAAAGGTCCCTGACCGACAATCTCTGCGCTCGACCCGCAAGAACACCCTTGCTCTCCCGGATGATGTGGAGGGCGACTCCACCGCGACCAGTGTTAACGGCGTGCCGGTCAACCTGGTGGATTACTTCTCGCAGCGATCGGATGAGATGGGGACCGTGCTGGAGCGGTACAAGGGCAACCTGAAAGAGATTGAAGATCATCTACACGGCGTGGAGTTGACATTGAACCGCCAGATCAACGAGTTCGTCAGCTCCAAGTCTCGCGATGGCGCGAGTACTTCCACACCCAAGTCGTCGATCAATGAGCTCGCGGCCGTGCTGGGCGACGTGGAAGCGGGCATCCTGGGTGTTGCGGCGCGGCTGGGCAGTGTGTCGGAGCGGGTGCAGGAAGTGACTTGGGGGCCGCCGTCTATCGGAGAGGGACGGTAGGGATAGTTGCTACAGTTCTCAAATGCATTTAGGAATTGACTACACCTGGTATTCTTCGCACCTCTTTCTAGCTATGCGTAACCCTAACTCCAGGCCGAACTCCAACTAATCGCAATTCACGGGCAACCCACAGTACAAGCACAAGGATAACCCTTACTTGCCTCTTGCAACCAAAAATAAATCAAATGCGTGGCACTGGTTTCATACTGTTCCGACGCCAGAATGCACCTGTCTTGCGTGATCGACCCTTTAGCGCAGCAGCTTAATCCAACCGCCTCACTAAACTCGATTGAACCCATCTCGATCAACTCCGCCACGACGATCCCCCTGAGGACCATTGAGCATATCCACTATGTATTACTCACCGCTACCCTTGTTTCTTCCCACAGCCCCAATTAGCGGTGAAATCATGACCGTTGGTTTGGCGGCGATGGCAAATCTCGCCTTCAACGTCAGCGCAAATGGCGTGATTTAGGCCCCTTTGCCTCCCGACCCCCAAGATCACTCATCCTGCATATTTCCGGGGAAAGCTTGCCTTGCTTTCGTCATCTTCGACCTTAATTTGTGCTTCGATCCTGGGTCTTGGGTCATGGCGTCGGGCGATGGCGCGATCTCCGTCGACTCCGAGTGCGTGGCGGTTCTTCAACCATTCCACAGCAGTCCGCCAGATATAGAGCAGTCCAACCTTGGAATCTATATAAGGGGTCTCCACCCTGGCCATCATTTCTTCTATTAACGCAACATTTACTGCATCAGAGATTAATCGTTATGGCACCTTCCCTCGAAGAGCCCGTTCTTACTACTACTACTACTCCTACTATTCCCTCTCAAATCAACACTCGGGGCCACTTCACCGTCCCCAAGAAAGAGACCAAGGAGACTAACAAGTTCCATTATGAGCCCGGTCGCACGACCGTGAAACAACACTTTGACTATCCACATGAAGACCTCTTGCCTTCCTTCCCGGACGTCCACTGGGCTCCGCTGGAATACACACCCTACGAGGACAAGGGTCTTCGGGGAGACCCCAAGTTCCGCAACTTGCTCCAGGATGCCACGAGTATCTCGGACTACACGCCCAAGATCGGCACAGAGGTTGGGGGTGTGGATCTGGCCCGGCTGAACGATGCGCAGCGCGATGATCTCGCTCGTCTGATCGCGTACCGCGGTGTTGTCTTCTTTCGAAAGCAGAAGAACTTTGATGTTGATGCCCAGCGCGAGCTGGGGAAGTACTTTGGCAAACTGCATAGGGTGTGTACCTTCCTATTCCCTGTCCAAATAACATACTGACCGCGTTGGTTCAGCATGCCACCACCGCCGTGCCGAAGAGGAAAGACCTCGACGACGTGCACGTCGTCTTCACGGGTGACAACTCCGGCGACAACCGCGCACTCTTCACTCCCAGCTTCCTCTGGCACTCAGACGTGACCTATGAAGAACAACCACCCTCCTACACCTCACTGAAACTCCTCACCGGACCCCCCAGCGGTGGCGGCGGCGACACGCTCTGGTCCTCACAGTACGCCGCATATGACGTGCTCTCCTCGCACATGCAAAACTACCTCAAGGGCCTGACAGCCCTGCACTCGGCGAACATGCAAGCGAACGACTCCCGCGCCATCGGCCGCCCCGTCCGTCGCGACCCAGTCACAACGGAACACCCGCTCATCCGCACGAACCCGGTCACCGGCTGGAACGGACTGTTCTTCAACCCGGGCTTTGTGACGAAGATTGTGGGCATCCCCGCCGCGGAGAGCGATGCCGTTGTTAAGTACCTCACGGATGTGGTGGCCACCACGCAGGAGATGCATGCGCGGTTTACGTGGGGAGAGGATGATGTGGCGATTTGGGATAATCGGACGACGGTAAGGCTACCTTTTTTCTTTGGGCTGTTCAATTGGCTGACTCGACATATAGACACACTCCGCATCCTATGGCTTTGCGCCCCATCGCCGCCATGCGGTTCGTGTGGCCTGCCAGGCTGAGCGGCCAGTACTGGAAGAATGGGGCCGGTCGCAGGAGGAAGAGGTGAATGCCTTGTATGGACTGCCGGCAGTCAACAAGGATGGGTCGCGCCAGTCGAACTACAACGACTAAATAAAAGCCATGTATAATAATACCAGATTGCTTGCACTTAGCGAATCATTCGTTCATTGAAGAGTTCATTTTATTCAAGTCATGGGACTGGTCATTGGACTGTATACTTGACTTGGGATGGTCCGTAGTAGAACATCCTCCTCCCGCCTCATCTTACCATGGCGACACAACCCCAGCCCTCCCTCCTACAATATGCCCGTTTCCATGGTATCGCAGTGCCTGCCAAAGACCCTCTCTCGTACCTGGAAACAAACACCTTCTACTCCTGTCCCATCGACAAAGCACGCGGCCAGGTAGAATGGCACCTTGAAACAGAGAAACTCGAGATCCGTCACTCCGAAGCTGCTCTCCTGTCGAGTATCATTCGAAGTAAACCCCTGCACGGCCAGATGAACTGGAATGCCCTTTTGCCATCTGTCCAGCACGATGACTCCCTCAAGCTGGATCTGCTTCTCACGGCAGAGGCAGAGTCGGTGCTTTCGGACCCAGTATCTCGTCTGGGCGATCGAGATGTGGGAGCGTTGCTTCCTTCTGCTATCTCTCCGTCTTATCCACGGGAGTACCAGGGAATGAAGGATACAATTGATCAATGTACGGCGCAGATGATGTCTGAGAAGCTTGATTGCAGCAAAGATTCTCTCGTCTTGATACCCAGCGGAAAACGGCTGTCCAAGGGAGATATAGACGCGTGTTTTCGGAACATGATGTTGCAGAAGCGGGTCAGTATCTTTCTTCTCTCTCCATTTGGCAGCTCACTCACTCATCAGCGGAATAGCACGACTCAGGCAAATCAGACAGCGCGGCTCTAGATCCATACAATTTTGAAAAAGACTCGACATCACTCTCGCTTCCAAGTCCTGTGACACCAGATACATTCAGAAACAGTCTTTACGGCAGAAACGTCTCTGGGAAACATGTAATTGATCAAACCTCATCTGCATCACACAATGTCGAGGGGAGCCATGGGCTACCTGGTCCATGCACACCTATGGACAATCGAGGGAAAGTCACGGCCACTATTCTGACAAGCAGACTGGATCTACGCTCACCGTCAAGTGAAGGTCACACTCATTCTAGAATACTTCGGCAGGATAACACCATTGATTTGGTCCGCATGGCACAAGCAGCTCTGAGGGTAAACGACATCCACACTCATGATGAGGGCATGGATCCCGATCAACCTGCACTATCGACTGTTCCGTCGACACCACCTCCGACAGACTCTGTTTCAACAAGCAGTGCACCATATCGACAGTCTACTGCAAATCAATCCACCAATCAAGCCAACAAACATCCCGTCGAGGAACGCAAACTGGCCATATCAGAAGGGGGAATAGCCGTTGAACCGATGGGCATATATCGCGGTGAAGAAAACAACCACACATCGTATTCAGTCATTCCTCGAAGCAACGACTGTGCTATATCGCCATTGGACGCGGACGAGGATGAGGGTATGTTGCTCGATTCGCCGGAAACCACCCAGAGAGATGCGCCGGGCCCCTCGACGATAACAGAAAATACTCAGGAAAGTGAGAGCCTCAGTCTTTTATTGAAGCGCAATAGTCGGCCCTCTGTTTTGCAACTCTCGCTCACATCATCTCACCAATATGCAGACGCATCTTCCATCGTTCTGGGCTCATTATCAACCTTCATGGAGACTCGGGGAGTCAGCCAGCCTGAAAGCCCCGTCAGCAGTCCATACTTTTCCCAAACGAAAAACGATAACCGGCACAAGGCATCTACACCTGAATGCCCACCGATTAAGACTATCTCAAACGAAACTTACTCTCAAGGATCTCTTCAGGTCATACATGAGAGCCCGTCCCCAGAAAATATTCTACAGGGAGACCAAGCCTCAGCTCCTGCATTGCTTTTCCTATCATCCAGTCTTCTCAAAACCCACACTCGGCTCATACACCATCTCGAAACAAGAACCCCGGCCCCCAGAATCCTCTACAGAGAATATACAGCGATCCCACTACCAAAACCACCCATCCAAACCACTCGGCAAACTCACAACATCCCACCGGAAGCAGACGTGATCATCTCCCCAACCACAGGAATCATCCTAACAACTTCCCAAGCCGTGACCCAGCTCTACCTTCCCGGCCACAAACCAAACCACCCGCTCATCACAGCAATAAAAGCGATCAACTCTCCACTACGCGAGCGTATCTTCCGTCTTCTTCCCCGCTACGAGCGTCTCTACGTTCTCATCAGCCACACCGGAACGGCAATCCACACAGAGGGAAACACGCACCCACTGACAAAGATAGATGTGCGGACTCTGCAGGGAATCTCTTCCCTTTCCGGATTCTGTGCATCGTTCTCGAAAGAAACCACCGTCGTCCCGCTGCTGGTCCAGTCTTCGCCGGAGATAGTGGCAGAGTGGATTCTCGGTCTGGCTGCCAAACACCGTGCACCAGTATCCAGTACAGAAACACAGACGCAGTTGCTCAACAACGTGATTCCAGAGGGACTGCATTATGTCCACGATCAAGAAAGTCGCTGGGAGATCTTCCTCCGGCAGATCGGACTCAATCCATTCGCTGCGCGAGCCGTGCTGGACATGGATACGAAGCATTCAGCGCCGGAGGACGCTTACGGTGATACTACCATCAGCGTCCTTGACTCGAGAGAGATGGAGCCAATCCCCTTCGCTGCGTTTATCGAGATGTCCTCTGAGCGTCGGATCGCGCGTTTCGGATGGTTGATTGGATGTCGGGTGCTCAAGAGAGTTGAGACTGCTGTTGAACCTTTGTGAGAGGTATGGGAGAGGATGCGAGGATGGCTAATTATCCTAGTTATGATATATAAATATTCTGTGTTTCTCGGAGGAATCTTGTTTGCGTTGATGGGAGTACAGAAATATATAGCAGTTTACTGGCCAATGAAGACTGATAGATATATTTTTGCTGGTAATGCATCTTCACATCCAATAATTAATGTCTTCCGATTCAACTTATTCTATACAATCCTACTTGAAGCAATTAATACAGCAAGGCGCAGCATACATGGACACGCAGTCAACCTTGCATTTATAGGTAGCATCTTGCTATACGAACGGTGGAAGGTTGAGAGGAGATGGTCATGTCTGAATTACCGACTACAAACCCCCGTTCAAGGACAAGGGCACGCAATCGCGGGCTTTTTTAAAAGTACATGGAGAGACAACATGCAAGACCCCAAGGGCAACAATCCAGCGCTTCAAAAAAGCCAAACACACACGTATGCAATCAAAAAGAAAACCAATTCGGATTCTCTTCGCGGTTATAGTATTTTTCTTTGGAGACGGGTCGAGCTGAGCGAGTATAATACACATATCACCAGCCCTCCGGCATCCCTTCTGCGATTTATAGCGGAAAAGATCACCGGCACGGACGGGCGAGAGAACGGGATGGGGAAGATGGCGAGACCGGTTATTCAAAGAATTTACTCCTTGATCTTGGCCAGGATGCTGGGGGATACGTTAGCGCAAGGAACAGAGACAATGGGCTAACAATAGAACCTACTCGTGGTCCCGGAAGAGGGTGTACTCCTCCTCGCCGACCTTGATCGCGTTTCCACCGAACTGTGCCGATTATGTCAGAAAATTGTATTTACGACGAGATATAAACCGCAAAGTCTCCTCTCTTCATCCTCGTATGAATCGCGAATCCCGAATCCAGTAGACATGGAATCCCACGGAATCCCACGGAAGAGCAGACAGAAAAGCACATACCTGAGGAATCAAAACCTTGTCGCCAGGCGCCACACCCATGGGAATCCGCTGGCCATCCTTGTTGACGGCACCGGGGCCGACGGCGAGGACCTGAGCCTCGTTCTGCTCCTTGACGCTGCTCTCGGGGAGGAAGATGCCGGAGGCGGTCTTGGCCTCGGGCTTGATGCGCTGGACCAGGACGCGGTCGAGGAGGGGCGCGAGGCTCTTGATGTTGCGAAGGACGGACTGGACGGCGGCAATTCAGTTAGCAGGGTGGGTTGGTTTTATGGGGAGGTGTTTGTTGGGCGGATGGGATCGGGGGAGAGTTGAGTAGCTCAATGACCGAGCAAGTCGGAGCTAGGGATTGGAGAGGAGGTTTGACGTACCATTGTGACGGAGGGTGAGCAGAGAGAGGTAATCTCAGAAAAACAAGGGGAGTGGATGGACTGAATGGACTGCTGGTTGGGGGGGGATGGAGAAGGGAAGAGAAGAGAACCGGGGGAAGAAGAAGATCCAGCCGAGAAATTTCCAGAATGCCAAGACTTTGTACATACAAACACAGAACTACAACCACAATCATGGATCTTATTCCTTTCAGATTGAACACCGAGAATAGAATAAAATACTACACGTAATTACCACCGTCTCCCCCGTCCACGACCCCCATAATTCCCACGCTGGTCATACCCGCCGCCGCCATAGCCCATCTGCGCCTGTCCACCCTGCCCGAAGCCCTGCGGCGCCTGTTGACCACCACCCTGCCCGCCCATCATGGCTTGCGCATGCTGCATAAACGACATGGGATCCATAGATGACGGGTCTAAGCCCTGTGCCATCATCGACGCCAGCATCCCCTGCATCATATCCGGCGACATGTCCATCCCCGGCATCCCCGGCATCGCCGCCGGCGCACCACCACCCGGCGCCCCGGGGGGTGCGCCGGGCATCTGGGGCATGCCCATCGTCATAAAGGCCTGCATATCATCCAATTGCTTCTTCTGGCCGCCGACCTCGCCGCGCACCTCTTGTTGCTTGATGCAGTAGCTCGCCCACGTGAATTCGTCGAACCCGTAGTTGAAGTAGTCCGTCATGTCGACCCCGGGCCGGCGCCAGGGCTTGTCGTCCGTTGGGAAGTCGGTGTCCATGTCGCTGGACATGATTGGCTTGCCCGTTGTCGGGTGCACGGGGTTGCCGTTGACATCGATGGTGGAGGTGTGGATGGCCGGATAGGCGGACCCCGGTTTTTGGGGGGTGGTGGGTTTGGCGATTGTCGCGGTGGCAGGAACGGGGGTGTGCGACCCCTGCCGGGGAGCTGCGGAGGGTGTGGCAGATTTGGAGACCAATGAATCGGCAGAAGAGGGTCGTTGCGGTTCTTGTCGTAAGCTTGCATGGCGTGGATGGGAGCTTCCAGGGCATCAGTAGGGGACTTGAACGGGGCGAATGAGTGGTCACTTACACTTCTGGAGGCGGCGCATCGGCAGGGGCCTCTGTGATAATGTTGAAATCGTCCTGGGAGGGGGTTAGCAGAAACACCCGACGCGACACGGTGCAGACGAACCTCGTCGTCTTCCTCCTCTACCTCTTCCTCCTCATCCATCTCGTGGTTGTCCTGCGGCTGGCCAGCATCCTGTGCGGAATTCTGCGCCTGAACCGGGACGGTATCCGCCGGATCGTAGAAATCGTCCTCTTCGTCGTCCATGGTGGCTGTGGTTGTGTCAAGGAGTTGGAATTGGAACCAACAGGATGATCGACCAAGATGAGTTTGGCCTGTTTGCAGCCACTTCAACTACGCTTCTCAGAAACCATGTTGCTCAGTAGTCAACGAAGACTGAAAGAATAAATTGATCAATTGATCTTTATTCTCATTTTCTTCATATTTTGGTCGCGCATTGGCGACCCTCATCTAGTCACGTGCCCATCTAAAGACGTCAGTGATTTTCTTCTGGCGACTTTCTTTCCAGGACAGTACCGCAACTCACAGCAGAGCACCATGGCACCCTCCGAACCAGAGAGCCGCACCTCGACACCTCGGTCCTTCCAGGGCCAGGGTGTGTCCGCCGAGGACATGCTCAAGTCACAAACAGTCGGCCTCGTCCACCTCTCCGACTTTCGAAAGCGGCGCGCCGAAGTGTTGGAGCAGAAGGAGCGCGAGGCGCATGACAAGTCGCTAGGCCTAGTGGGATCTGGTAACTCCCGAAGCGCAACGCCATCCGCCGGTGAGGTGACAGACGGGTAAGTTTTGTTCGAACCTTCTCGGCGCGCAACGAAGCTGACCGCGCGCAAACAGGTCGACGACACCGCGGAGTGAGGGGCCTCCGAAGAAAAAGAAAAAGAAGCCGTTGGCGAAAAGCAAGCTTTCGTTTGGCGATGACGAAACCGGGGAAGAAGAGTCCGGGGCGGGCACTCCTCGTGAGACGAGCGTCTCGCGGTCTGCGTCCAAGACCCCCGTCGACGATGGGTCTGTGTTGCGGCGCATGAAAGCCAACCCGAATGCGCCGCCGCCCCCCAAAGCCCTGACCAAGGCTGCTATCGAGGCCGAGGCACAGGCGCGCGAGTCCCTGCGCAAGGAGTTTTTGGCGATGCAGGAGGCTGTGAAGAATACGGAGATGTTGATCCCGTTTGTCTTTCACGATGGCACGAATGTCCCCGCAGGAACGGTCAAGGTGAAGAAGGGGGACCATGTCTGGTTATTTTTGGACCGGTGTCGCAAAGTTGGCGCGGAATTGGGCGTTCGAGGTGCTAATAACGCTTCCAAGGCCCGCCAGGATACCCGGCGGGAATGGGCCCGGGTCAGTGTGGATGATTTAATGCTGGTGAAAGGGGATGTCATTATTCCACATGTACGTTCACTGTCCTTTTATTGCCTTGTGGAATATCTATGTACTGATCCACCCACAGCACTACGAATTCTACTATTTCATCGCCAATCGGATACCCAACTACTCTCGCACCGGCGGCTTGCTGTTTGACTATTCAGACAAGCCTCCCCCAGTCAGTGCTAGTGATAACAACCCCTTATATCGGCCCAGTGACGACCAACTAGAAGGGGCAGATAAAGATGCCACGCAGACCAAGGTGGTGGACCGGCGGTGGTATGAGAAGAACAAGCATATATACCCAGCGAGTCTGTGGCATGAGTACGAGCCTGGCAAAGAGTTCGAGGAAAAGATGACCTCGACGAGGCGCGACGCGCTGGGGAACACGTTCTTCTTTGATTGAATGTACATACTAGAAGCATCCCGTGACCTCCACCCTTCCCTCCTTCATCCACCCAATAATCCCCAATCATGGACTTCTACCTCAGGTGCAACTCGCTTAAATGTCGCACTCAACTGAAGGAGAGAGCAGTGGTGACGACCTGCTCGTGAGTACACTCCCCCATTCGGAGGGCCAGCGCTGACCAGACCAGCCATATCTTCTGTCTTCCCTGCGCAGATAGCCTGGGTCTGTCGCATCCCACTGCAGGCCACCGTCGCTGTCCTGCCTGCCAGACTGTTCTCCTCAACCCAGACGATGCCGTGTCCACCGTCCTAAACCCGACAGAGGATTACAAGACCAGCGTGTTGAGCGGGCTGGACCCAGGCACCATCGTCGAATGTGCTGGTCGTGCACTGGGGTTCTGGTCATATCAGACCACACAGGAAATGTATGCCCTGGATTATAAGAAGCAACGGACGAGAGAATTTACTCACACCGCACAGATTCTACCAGGAATTCCTCGGCAAGGCCCTGACCGAAAAGTACTCCAGTCTCAGCACGCAGATGGACAAGGTCATCCACAACGCCAACACCGAGATATCCTCTCTGCAAAGCAAATTCGCCGGTCAGCAGCACTGCCCCCAGCCCACTGAAGTCACACTGACCCCTCGGCCAGACATGCAAGCAAGGCAAGACGAACTGCACAAAAAGAACCAAGAGCTAGCCGAGCTCTACCGCGAGAAATCCAAGAAGCTATCCCAGATGACAAACCTATACAATCTGCTGAAGGCACGCGCAATGCACTCCCAAATGCAGACCGCCGCGTCCTCCAGCGTCTCGCAGACCCTGCACTCGCTGGACAGGTCCTCACGAAGCGGGCCCCCTCCCGTCGCACCCGGTCCTCCGCCGATGCCGACAGTCTCATCCTCCATCCCGCACCGCTCACTGACCCCCGCGTATCCCGTCACGACCGACGGCGTGGAGCAGCTGCACCGATACCAGCGCAGCGGGACGGGCAGTTCCAAGCGAGTGCGAACGAAAGATGTTGATGCCGTTGCTGTGGCCATGCCACCGCCAACGGGTCGCTTGCCGTGGAATACCCGGAATCGTCATCGCTCGCCTGAGAAAGTGGCCAGTTCGGCGAAACCGCAGCACCGCACTCGGCTGCCTGGCCCGTCCCGGCCGCCGACAGCGCTGTCGCAGTTTCCGGGTGGAGAGGCGATCCTCGAGCGATTTGGCGGTTAGATGTGTAAGGATTTGTCTGATTGACTGCTTTATTTGGCTGTATAAATACTTGTGAGGGTGATACGCCTTTGTCTGGAGAGGATTCTGAGATGGTGTCATTCACGCAGAGGTATTCATGGAGTTAGCTGCGAATAAGCAGTCTATATTATATCTACAATCATAATGCAACCTGCATTGATCTATAGTCACTGGGATGTTAGTAGCTAGTCCAGTGAGTGGGTCTGGCAACTCTTGTTCATCCAAGCAAAGGACCGCATCGATCTGCTAGGTACTGTATTGAGTACATAGTCGGTAGATGTAGATGGCCCGAATTGCAAACCATAAGAGACATAAACAAAACACGTTCATAGATAGCTCTGCAGACCGTCTCTTTCCTACCCAGCAGTCCGCCCGAACTGCCATACCATTGACCAAAAGGGAATAACGGACCCATCCAGGCCTCCGCTCGTCCGGCAGCGGCTCGGGGCAGCGGAACTGGCGCGCTCACACCCTCGGCAATGTCACAATGTCACCTACCCTTTCTGTCCCTGTCCAGCACGGTCCGGACCTTATCTGCCGTCTTGCCTGAAGATCTGATCTGATCTGGATCGCCGGTTGATCCGGGGTTTTACTTTTGCTTCTGGAGCTCTGGTGGAGTCTGGAGCTTGTCCTGGTAATCTATCCCGTATGGTACTGTCATCCTTACGGCACCTTTTCTCTCTCTACACTGACACCAACGCTACAAGGGAACACAAGTGTGAGATAGATGTATCGATTTATTATCCGAGGGACTCAGTCTAAATTCCCTTGACGGTCAAACTCTAATCAATCATGTACGTCGGCTTAGGGTGTGGAAACAAACGCCAGACCCTCGACCAGACCAGCACGGGGGAAGATCCATCCCGCAAATCATTCATGCCATGCATTATACCACAAACCCATGCAACGGATTGGACGCTGCAGAAAACAAAACATAAGAGAGAACATTAGAAACCAAACACAAAGATCCGTTTATGCCTCGCCAAACTCCTTGACGTCGGTCTTCTTGCCCTGCAGAGCCAGCGGCACAATGCCGCTGACGTGCATCTCGGGGCCGTACACGTGCATGTCCATGCCCAGCTCGGCGCCCACGGACTTGATGTTCTTCAGACCCTCCTGGTAGTTGGGGCCGGCGCGGCGGACCCAGATCTGCACCTTGTGCTCGTTGAGAACGGGGGCGACCTCGCGCAGAGCCCGGATCACACCCTTGAAGGTGCTGGCCACGTTGGTGAAGTTGGCAATACCACCACCGATGAACAGAACCTTGCCATCGGGGTGCATGGGGGCGCGCAGCATCAGGTCGAGCACGGTCTTGGCGTAGTTGTAGGTCTGGGTCTCGGTGGGAGCACCGGAGTACTCGCCGTAGTTGGCCAGCTCGCTGACGAAGCCAGCGGATGCAATGGCGTCGGCGTAGACGACGGAAGCACCACCGCCCGCAACGAGGGTCCACACGCGGCCGTTGGCGTTGAGGACGGTCAGCTTCAGGGAAGCACCGGTCTTGGCGTCCATCTCGGCGATGAACTTCTCCTCCTTGCTCAGCTCACGGCCGAAGGGGGCGGGGAACTCCATTGGCGGACCAGCGTCAATGTTGACCTTGCCCTCGCCGGTGGACAGGGCTGGCAGGCCCAGAGCGGCGGGGCTGCGAGCAACCGCCCACTTGGTGCCGCACTCGAACTCGGCGGTCTGGTCGAGCTTGGCAGCCAGGTCGAGGAAGTGGACCTCGGCCGAGGTAGCGTCCGCGTTGGGGATGACGACCAGAGGGTTGATCTCCAGGTAGGTGAACTGGCAGTCGACATAGACGGCGTACAGGCGGGAGATGAAGTCCACCAGGACATTGTGGACTCCCGAGGGCACCTTGCTGAGCAGGGTGGCGGCAATCTCCTCGTTGGAGGGGAACTTCTTCAGGTTGACGGGGATCAAGAGCTTCTCAGCCTTCGCATCGACATCGCCGACATCAACACCGCCCTCGTGGGTGAACAGAATCCAGTCGCCCTCCCGAACGGAGTTGATGCAGACATAGTACTCCGTGCCGTCGGGATGCGGCACAAACGGCTCCACGAGGAAGTTGCGCAGCACACCCACGACGCCCTCGACCGTGACGTCCTTGGCGGCACGGGCCTCCACCCACTCGCGGGCCTCTGCCCAGGTCTTGTTCAGGGCGAGCAGACCGCTCTTGCCCCGACGCTTGATCAATTGATCGGGCTTGGCGACGAACTTGGAGCCGGGGACGAGCAGCCACGGGTAGGTGACCTCGGCCTGGTCGAGGACATCCTTGACGGCCTTGTCGTCCGGGAAGTAGAGGGAGGCCAGACGAGCGGGCGGGTTGTGTGTGGAGGAGGCAGGCAGAGGGGTCGGCTTGATAACGGGGGCGCGCGTGAGGTGGTAGTTGAGGATGGCCTTGCCGTCGGCCTCGAGGATGGACTTGGCGGACATGATGTGTGGTGTTTGGGTGTGGTGGATGGAGGGGAGGAAAAAAAGAATGGGAGGATGGGGGAGGGAAGAGAGGGAGGGGAGAAGAAAAGAAAAAAGCGGCCAGGGGCAGAATGGATGGAATGGGCGAGAGCAGTGCTGGAAGGTACGGCGTAGCCCTGGGCTGTTGAGGAAAAAAACGAGGGATCGCCGGATGTGGGGGGTTGGGACCAGCTCCACCGGGATGGCCACGCCTGGGTTGATCCAGCACGGGACCATTCTCGAGGAGGGAAGATCCATTGACAGACGCGATGGCCAGAAAAGATCTGATCGTATATGATCAGATCATTCCTCTCCGAGCCTCCTCTCATAGCTCCTATCTACTAGATCATCTCATCATCGATCCCCATCGGTATCGTTGCAACAGGGCGGTATCGACCGGACTCGGCGGTGGGGCACCCCAAACGTTGGGCCTAGTGCAGGACAAGCTGTACTGTGTACCTGCCAGTCCTTGCCTCGCATTTTTCTCTGCCTTAGAACGCCCTTCCTCCTTTCTTTCTTTCCCCCCTCCTTCTTCTTTTCTTCCTCAATTAATTCTTTCAGCGTGGTGTTGCAACGAATAGGTATCTTCCTCCCTCTCCCTCCATTTGCTTCTGTTCCGTTCTCATCCTTCCCAGATCATCATGCCTTCCTCTCTTGCGCCCGCCGCCAACGGCATACAGTCGGCCAACGACAACATCACTCGCTTCAACCCTCCGAGCCGAGTCCTCTCTCCCCTTAGCCACGCCCTGTTCCACAACAAGACACGATGCTTCGTCTAGTAAGTGCGCCCGCCAGGTGCAATAGGACCTCAATTGACCAGCTTCCTCTAGCGGTATGCAACCCCGCGCCGTGCAGGGCATGCTTGACTTCGACTTCATCTGCAAGCGTACCACTCCCTCCGTGGCCGGTATCATCTACACCTTCGGTGGCCAGTTCGTCAGCAAGATGTACTGGGGTACCAGTGAGACCCTCCTGCCCGTCTACCAGGACGTGGAGAAGGCCATGGCCAAGCACCCAGACGTCGACACCGTCGTCAACTTCGCCTCGTCCCGTTCCGTCTACAGCTCCACCATGGAGCTGATGGAGAACCCCCAGATCCGGTCAATTGCCATCATTGCCGAGGGTGTGCCCGAGCGTCGTGCTCGTGAGATCCTGGTGGCTGCCAAGGAGAAGGGCATCACCATCATTGGCCCCGCCACCGTCGGTGGGATCAAGCCCGGTGCGTACAAGATCGGTAACACTGGTGGTATGATGGACAACATCGTTGCCTCCAAGCTGTACCGCAAGGGTTCCGTCGGCTACGTCTCCAAGTCCGGTGGTATGTCCAACGAGTTGAACAACATCATCTCCCAGAACACCGACGGTGTGTACGAGGGTGTTGCCATTGGCGGTGACCGCTACCCCGGTACCACTTTCATTGATCACCTGCTCCGCTTCCAGAACGAGCCCGAGTGCAAGATCCTGATGCTGCTCGGTGAGGTCGGTGGTGTGGAGGAGTACCGGGTGATCGAGGCCGTCAAGAACGGCACCATCACCAAGCCCATTGTGGCCTGGGCCATTGGAACCTGCGCCAGCATGTTCAAGACGGAGGTTCAGTTCGGCCACGCCGGTGCCTCGGCCAACTCTGAGCTGGAGACCGCGGTCCACAAGAACAAGGCCATGCGGGAGGCGGGCATTCACGTCCCCGACACCTTCGAGGATATGCCGGCGCTGCTCAAGCAGGTGTACGACGCCGAGGTCAAGAAGGGCTCCATCACGCCCGCTCCCGAGCCCGTGGTGCCCAAGATCCCCATCGACTACTCGTGGGCCCAGGAGCTGGGTCTCGTCCGCAAGCCCGCTGCTTTCATCTCCACCATCTCCGATGACCGTGGCCAGGAGCTTCTGTACGCTGGTATGCCCATTTCCGATGTCTTCCGGGAGGACATTGGCATCGGTGGTGTCATGTCGCTGCTGTGGTTCCGCCGCCGCCTGCCCCGCTACGCCAGCAAGTTCCTGGAGATGGTTCTGATGCTGACGGCCGACCACGGTCCCGCCGTGTCCGGCGCCATGAACACCATCATCACCACCCGGGCCGGCAAGGACCTGATCAGCGCCCTCGTGTCTGGTCTGCTGACGATCGGTTCGCGCTTCGGTGGCGCGCTGGACGGCGCCGCCGAGGAGTTCGCCAAGGCCTTCGACAAGGGGCTGAGCCCCCGTGACTTTGTGGACATCATGCGCAAGGAGAACAAGCTGATCCCTGGTATCGGCCACAAGGTCAAGTCGCGCAACAACCCTGATCTGCGTGTCGAGCTGGTCAAGGAGTTTGCCAAGAAGCACTTCCCCAGCACCAAGCTGCTCGACTACGCCATTGCCGTCGAGACGGTGACCACCTCCAAGAAGGACAACCTGATCCTCAACGTCGACGGCTGCGTGGCCGTCTGCTTCGTCGATCTGCTCCGCAACTGCGGCGCGTTCTCTACTGAGGAGGTCGAGGACTACATGCGCATGGGCGTGCTGAACGGTCTGTTCGTGCTGGGCCGCAGCATCGGTCTGATTGCCCACTACCTGGACCAGAAGCGCCTGCGCACCGGTCTGTACCGGCACCCGTGGGACGACATCACGTACCTGCTGCCCACCCTGCAGAAGGGTGGCGCCGAGGGCCGTGTGGAGGTCAGTATGTGATTTTTCGTCGTGTGTTTTGCAGCGCCGTCCGCTGGTGGCATATAGTCCGTTCCTGTTCGGAGGGACGGTGGAGTTCTTTTGTTACTTTTTCTAACGGTTTTCCTTTGTATCTGCGCCCGAGGTGGCATTGATTGATTGATTGGCCCGGGTTGGGCGACATAAAATGGCAACCCGACTACGGTATTTGATTTAATTTGTTTAGATGACTAGATTCTGGACTAATGAAGTGTCGCATATGAGAAAGAAAGTGTGTAGAGCAATTTTCTAGTAGGTGTAGATCCTTATCGCTTATCGCGCACCTTGTCAACCTCATCTTTTTCCCTCCAACTGTCCAACCTGCCATCCACTCCACGCACCATTTCCTCGATACCCAGACTGTGCCATCCTCCTTTCTACAGCTGAATGAATTACTCCTCTCCATAAATCCTCCACAATCGCGCAACCGACCACCACCACGCGCGATCTTCAAATCCAACTCCTGATCATCGATTGAATCATGGTCCGTCTAAAGAATCGCTACCTCCTCCTGGACATCCTCTACCCAGACCCATCCACAAGACCCAATAACTCCAAGTCCGCCTCTCCACAACTATCCATCCACGCTCCTACACCAGGCACCCTGACCCCGGGCCTGCTGGCGAAGATGGTGAGGGAGGAAGTATCTGCTCTCTTCGGGGATTGGGGGGTGGGCAAACTGGGCGGTGCGAATGCAGGGGGAATCAACGGTGAGTTCGATCCTTTCTTCTTCTCTCATGAGTAGTGAGAGGTATGTAGACTGATGATTCCGGAACGAAATAGTAAAATACCTCTCTCCCCGCAACCTCCACCGCAATCATCCGCTGTCCGCGCGCTGCCTTCCGACTGGTCTGGACGGCTCTCACATACATGTCGTATGTCCCAGACTATCAAGAACAACCAGATAAACGATCGGGCGGGAAACGGGCGTGCGTGTTTCGGGTGCTCAGGGTGTCCGGGACGATGCGCAAGGCGGAGGAGGAAGCTATTCGGCGCGCGAGGAAGGAGATTGTGCGTGTTAGGGGGTTGGAGGAGAGGGATGTTCTCGGTGAGCTCGTTGGTGGTGCAATTGGGAAAGACTCTGTGGGGTTTGTCGGAGTTGATGTTGATATTATGGATGAGAGTGAGGATGAGATGGTGGGTGGGGATGAGGATTGAGCTTTTGCGATAATTATTATGAGATACCCTATTATGATATGTACAATACAATACACTTGCATCCATCCGCAAGAGGTCATGACTTGCGCTGGACTTTCACTCCACTATATGGCAGCGAGCCCTTCCAATCATCCATCTCGTCCTCCCCATCCTCCTCCTCACCGTCAAAATTCCCCTCCGCAGCCCGGCTAGCAGCTTCTCTCGCCCTCGCCTCCTCTTCCAATTCCCTCCGCTCAATCTCATCATATTCATCCTTCGAGTCAATCCATCTCTCCTGCACATCCCTTACATCCATACTCCCCAATCCCTCGCGAACAGCAACCTGCCAGACCGTATCATTCGCACCCTCCGCCGGCCCAAACGCATACCCCGAGGCACGATCAATCGCTTGTAACAAATTCATCATACTCTTTTTATCCTCGACGGCCAGCGTCTCGAAAGCAACGAGCGCGAACTCCTCGACCAATTCCACAATCGCGGAATTCAGCGCTCCGAACTTATCGTTCGATAGGCGCGGGGACTCGGCTTCTAGGTAGGGTAATAGGTAATTCAGGTCTTGGACTTCGGTGTAAAAGTCTAGATTGAAGGGAAGGGGGGCGTAGTTGGAGAGGTTGTCAATTTTGGTGAGGACGTTGAGATGGGGTAGGTCGAGTTGCAGCATGGCTCGGAGGGATAGGAGGAGGGTGGAGATGTACATTGAGGGGAGGGTGAGGGCGTAGGAGTCGACGAGGTGGATGACAATTAGCTGTTGTGAGTTAGTTGCTGGTGTCTTCGATGTCGAGGGAGGTACTAACTCGATACCCCAATTTCTGGATTCGAAAGAAGATATTCCGCAGGGAGGGGTGGTGCGTGAATAGCTCGACTTGACCGGGACAGTCAAACAGGACATAATCCTCTAATCCCTCGTCAGGTTCATTCTTGTGTGGGGTGAGATACAACATACCCCCCAGCTCTTTCAATCCCTCCTCAAGCCACTCAAAGTTCTCCTCCAGCTCTTCCAGCGCATACAGCGTCGCCCCATTCGGACCCAGTTTATCCTGATCCATAATCTCCTCCAGCGTCACCAAGTCGCGCACGTCCAGCGCACACGGGTACGAGGTCTTGTCGTTGGCGGGGTCCAGGTTGACGATGGAGCATTTGCGGCCGATGGCGCCCAAGAACTGGTGCATGCCATTGCAGTAGGTAGACTTGCCGGCGCCCGGGGGGCCAATGACCAGCTGGGCAAAGGGCATTCTGAGCTATGCTGATGACTATAAGAGAGAGGTCAAGGTCAACTTTTTTCTTATCGATATCGCGGGGGAATGACATGGATGGCGGTGGAAAATGGCAGAAAATGCGCCTAACGACGGAGCGACACTGGAATCGGGATTCTTCCTTTACCACTGTGTTGCGCGCGACATGTCGTCCAGTGAGTCTCTTTTCTGTGTATATGATGATGTGATGTCACGCCTAACCGCCATGTAGATCAATTCACCGTGGCGTCGCCGCCAACAGACGCCATCTCCGCCTTGAAGTTCTCGCCCGATCCCGACTCAACGCGGATCGTGGTGTCCTCGTGGGACAAGAACGTGTATCTATATGACTTGCGCGATGAGAATGGCACGGTGGGCGAGGGGAAGCTTCTCCAGAAGTTTGAGCACCAAGCACCCGTGCTGGACGTCTGTTTTGGCGAGACCGAGAACGAGATCTATACCGCTGGATTAGACTGGGATGTGCGGAAGTAAGTCTCTCTCCTAATGCTAAGTGAATAGCGTAACTGACTCGCTAGGATTGATGTGAACACATCAACACAGACAGTGCTCAGCAGCCACGAAGCTGGCGTGCGCAGCGTCGTCTACAGCCGTGAGCACAACATCATCATCTCCGGCTCCTGGGACTCGACACTGCACATCCACCGACCAGACGCCGGCTCAAACCCCGACTCTCTGCCGGCCACCATTCCCCTCCCCTCGAAACCATTCTCGCTGTCCCTCACCGCAACGAAGCTGGTGGTCGCCATGGCGTCGCGCGCCCTGCACATCTACGATCTGAAGGCCCTGGCCTTGCTGACAGCGCAAGCGGACGGCACCACAAACAACAACCGGGTTGAGGTGGAGCCGTGGCAGCGCCGCGAGAGCAGTCTCAAGTTCATGACGCGCTGTGTCGCGTGCATGCCCGACGACGCCGGGTACGCCTCATCCAGCATTGAAGGCCGTGTTGCGGTCGAGTGGTTCGATCCGTCGCCCGAGTCGCAGGCTCGGAAGTACGCTTTCAAGTGTCATCGTCAGACGGCTGAGGATAATGTCGACGTCGTGTATCCGGTCAACGCGCTCGCTTTCCACCCCGTGTTTGGAACCTTTGCGTCCGGCGGCGGGGATGGTGTTGTCGCCCTGTGGGATGGTATCTCCAAGCGCCGCATCCGCCAGTACCAGAAGTATTCGTCCAGCGTCGCTGCGGTTGCGTTCAGTGGCAATGGCAAGTATCTGGCGATTGGTGTCAGTCCCGGGTTCGAAGATGGCAAGGACGATGTGCCGGAGGGAGTCGTGAAGATCTTTGTGCGCGAGCTGGGAGAGACAGAGGCCAAGGGTAAAGGCGCGAAATAGAGCAGAAAAAGGATAATTGATTTCTTTTGATACCGGTCTTAAAAACAAACAGTTGCATCTACCTCTCCGAGCAATTGGTAACAGCGACATCGTGTATTTCTAAACGTGTCTAACAAACAATCTTGGTATCATCTAGTCTTATATACGTTACTGCATCCGATTGTCGACCACTCACTCAAACAGCCGCCTTGCGAACGGACACAGTCCCATCCGGCATCCCAAAGTAGGCCGCCACAGGCCGCTGGCCGCCAATGCCACCGGCAGCCTGAGCCTCGGGGCCCGTTAAACCCGAAAAGATACCGACCTCGAGCACGCCGGAAATCTGCTTAATCGTGCGCGCCAGTTCATTCACCTCCCAGACACCACCAGCGCCGGACCCGTCCTTGCCAGCCGCGACGTCGGCCTGGGTGAGTAGGGCCGGGAAGGGGGCGTCAATGATGAAAAAGTCCTGGTCTGTCTTGAGGGGTCCTTCCTTCGACGAGACGTTGGTGCGGATGGTGGGCTTGACGCTGCCAAGGGCTGCCAGTTTGCGGAGCACGCGGTACGCGGCGATCGGGGCGACTTCGACGGGGACGTATTTCCAGTTGGACAGGAGACGGGGCTGGAGTTTGCGGGAGTCTGATGCGATAGGATAGGGATTAGTTCAGGGTATTTCTTCCTCCGTGGTGGGGGGTGTACGTACCCGCCACACAGATAAACTGCTTCGCCTGCATGGCCACAATCTTCTCCTGGAACAGACAAGCGCCGCCGCCCTTGATACAGTTCAATTCATCGTCCACCTCGTCGGCACCATCAAAGGCCACATCCAGGATCGTGCCTGCAGGGATGGCATCGAACTCGACGGCCGTCAGCCCCGCGTTGATGATCAGCTGGCGCGACTGGTAGCCCGTGGGCACGTAGCGGGTCAGCGAGGTGTCCAGGCCGGCGGCCTTGATGGCCTCGACGACGTAGACGATGGTGGTGCCGCTGCCAATGCCTACCCACTTGGCGTCCTTGGGGTAGTGGTTGGCGACAGCGACCTTTGCGGCGGCGCGTTTGGATTCTTCGACGCTCATGGTGGCGGTGGAAGCGAGCCGGGTGAAGGAAGTGTGAGGGAAGGATGTGCGGGGTTGACGAAGAGGGAGAGGAAGATGAGAAAATGGAACAGGAGAAAATCGGAGACAAGAGCGCGAGCAACGGAGGAGGACCATGGGTGAGGATGAGATGTGGAGGGAAGAGAGGATTGGCGGCATGACGTGCGCTTAGTACGATGCCATTGTACTAAGTAAACTCCGAGTACTATAGTGTCTTTTTCTTTAGGGATTAATATTGTATAATTTACTGTGAGAATGGTCTCTGATTCTTAGTCTTCACACTGACCAGAAGATTCAGAATTGTACCAGACGGTGCCGCACAGACCGAAGGAACGGATGGATCAGGGCGCAATTCGGGCGCCAATGGGAGACCGGCTAGACTGCGCAGACCCGGAAGTATATATAGTTCTTCAATTGACAATCATCATCCACTTTCAGTCATATGTGCTGGAATTCCAACACTCGGCCGCCAATTGGCTCACAGGCATCAGTTGCGACGGTTTTTTCATGAGCAGCCAGCAGATTAGCAGAGCCATTGCAACTATATGCGGCCATCTCATCCGAGGCAACGCACGAACAGGATATTCCATAGACTCCAAGTACAGATCCTGCCAGTGCGCGGAAACAGTCCCTCGGAAAGGTATGCCCGGTCCTCCATACTCTTGCCATGAATATAATTCTTGGAACCGTCCACCCATGAAATGCAACGCATATAGCAGAATTCCAATGTAATTTCCAGGCTGATAGCAAATTTACTTATCTGAAACTACTAAACAGACGACTGCCATCTTGCATGCGCAGAAGCAGTCAAACAATAGATCAGTCTGAGCTATTAATTAGGTGAGAAGCCCAGAGGGCAAACGAACAAAAGGCCTCCCTCTGTTTCCCACGACGTTTGTTTTAATGCTTTAACTGTCGTCAGCGACCAGACAGACACATGACTCTGTCAGCTCTTTTTCCTTGAACAGCTTTCATTCTTTCTTCATCCGTTCTCCTTCCTCCTTCGTTCGTCCTCTCTTCTTCCTTCCCTCCTTCCTTCTTCCCTCTCCCTCTTCATTCTTCACTCTTCTTTCTTCCCTCTTCCACCCATCTCTCCCCTCTTCCACTCATCTCTCCCCTCCTCAACCTTTTCATCATATCTCTCTTCTTCCTTACCCACACAATATTGCTGGCCCTGAACCTTTTTCTCAGAACGACTTGCGCTTCTGATCCACGCTCCCATATTCTCCGCCGTCCTCACATTCTCGCCGCCAAAAGTCATGGAGAACATATTTGGAGCAACCTCCGCGGAGTTTGCAAGATCGTATGTGGCTTGCATGTCACATAATACTGCTGTCTAATACTCTGTCATTTAGCGTCCTTCCACTCTACAATGGCCCCCAAGTCATGATCAGAATCGAGTCTGGCCCTTGCGAATATACAGTCTCAAAGAATCTCCTCTGCAGTCGGTCTTCATATTTCTCGGCAATGTTTGAGGGAAGTTCAAAGAAGGAGAACAGCAGACGGCAACCCTGGAAGAGGTTAAAGGTGTGGTCTCAGTGCAAAGCTTCGAAGCACTTCTCCAATGGCTATACCTAGGGCGAGTCAAATTCAGCGTGAATTTGCGAACCTTGCAAACATGTGCAGCATCAGTGGGATGGAGTCTCAGATGGCCCAGCAGATCAAGGAAATTCTTCGCGCCAACCCTGGTCCACCCACGCAGTGGGGAACGAGGGACGATGATACCAACACCCATTGTCTTGCGTCTCACCACATCGAGTCGGCCACTTTTCTTCCTGTTGGGCACCCAGTACGGCGTGCAGTGGCTGCAGCGTCGGTTGAAGGTTACCTTGGAAACGACACACATAAGTTTGTGGGAGAAACTCGAGACTATCCGGAGTTCGCAGCTGATCTTCTCCAAGAGCTGAGGGGAACCCTAAATGAAATGAAATTCGACAAACGCGGTGCATTCTTCCAGGACCCCATCAGCGGCCAGGAACTGAGGTTCGGCAGACTTTGCCGGAAAAGGAAAGCGCCAATGGCAGAAGACCCCAGCACTTGAGGTTGGTGACGAGCAAGCTTGTGGCAGTGCCTGAATGGTGTAAGCAGGTTCTCATGAGTAGTGTGACATGGGAAGATGGCCAGCATGGAAGTTTCGAACCCTCGTCTTATTCAAAGTGCGCATCTATGTCTGTGGGATGACCTAGTTCAGCAAAATTAGTTACCGTTGCAGGATATTTCTACCAGCAAATGTCAGCAAGTGCAATCAAAACCTCTCTTCTAGTAACTAGATCTAGTTACTATAGGGATGTTACTGGTTATATAATCTGGCCTGACTAGAATGAACAGCCGGACAGAATATGAGCAAAATATACCATTATGAGACCAAAAAGTGCCCAGGCAACATTTCAGTTCTATACAGTAATTTCCACAGTTGACATATTGAATAGAAGGCGTGATCGTAAATACCCCGTATAAATGGAGCGATCCTAGCGCTAATGCTTATACTCGGGCCGGACCCACCCCGCTGAGCCCCTTCGTCTCACTACTTTTCAGCCTCCCCTGAATCCGTGGATCAACCAAAATCATTCCCCCAACTTCGTCATTATGCCAAAAACACGGCAGCTGCTTCGACGCGAAATCACATATTCCGAGGCCAAGACTGAAGAAGTTAATATTCTCCATCAGCTTGAATATCCTGCCGAAAAAGCTAGATTTTTCGCTCACCTTAATGACCATCGTGAATGGATGAAGACTGCTGTTGCCCACCATCTCGGCCTAAGATCCTCTGATGACTGTTACGTGGCAGACATAGAAACTTGGCGTCATGGGAGTTTCAACGTTTGCGTCCCGATAAGGATCGATAGCGGAGATGAAAACTTTCTCATGATGCGATTTCCCTTGCCATATCGCGTCGGCGAGAGCTTTAGACCTGGAAACGCCGACGAAAACTTCAGTGTGAAGTAGGGTCCTATTCATGGCTCCAAAACAACTGTCCAGATGTACCGATCCCAAAATTATATGGCTTCGCTTTGTCTACTGGCGAAACGGTATGGATCATCGCCAACCCAACTATTCGATTTCTGTCACTTGATTAACTGATTCTAGTTCACTCGACTTGAATATTTGCCATTTTTCCCTCGATGTTTCGACCTTTTGCGTCAACGTTTTCTATCCTGGTTAGGGAAACCAGTTCCTTCAAACTATGCCCGCCATCAGAGCACAGATCCGATCTTCACTAGTCGCCCAGTCGACAGCGGCTACGTTTTGATCGAGTACATTCTAAACACACGCGGGAGTATGCTTTCTAACACATGGGAGGAAAAACGGCATGACCTAAAGCTCCGGACGAACCTCTTTCGTGATCTTTCCCGGATTTTTTTAAACATTACCCGAGTTCCTGCGCCTAGAATCGGTTCATTCATCATTGACAAGGATGGATACTTGCGTCTCGCGAATCGGCCTCTCTCCGTCGAGATCGAGGTTTTGGAGAATGAGATGATTCCAACTGACATGCCTCGCGATTATACCTACTCAACAGTCGACTCCTACGTGCTTGATATACTCGGAATTCATGACAATCGTTTTCGATATCAACCTAATGCCGTCAACCATATGGGCGATCTGGTGTACCAACTTTCTGTATTGACTGCGATGCGAACCCTTTCCCGGTCAATCTTCAACCGAGCATTTTGCAGGGGCCCGTTCGTCTTCAACTTCACCGATTGTCATCGGAGCAACATACTTGTCGATGAAGAATGGCATATAACATCCTTAATAGATTTGGAATGGACCTGCACTCAGCCAATCGAGATGTTCCAACCACCGTACTGGCTCACAAGCGACCACGTGGATACAATTGTTTTAGAAGAATATGACACAATCCGGCACGAATTCATGGACGTTTTGAAAACAGAAGAGCAAGCTTTTACTACCAGCAACCGTGGAACGTCCCAGCTACAACTCTCAGAGATCATGGAACAATCCTGGGAATCGGGGGCTTTCTGGTATACATTGGCTCTGTCCAGCCCAACTGCAATTTTTAGGCTATTTGACTCGCGTATCAGGCCTATGTTTTTGGTAGGTAGCGATGATGAATTTCAGATTGTTATGCCATTTCTCTTTGAGAAGAAAATCGGACGCCTTGCACATCGCAAGCTTGAGGACAGAGAAGAGTATGACAAGAATCTCCAGCAAGCTTTCGAAGACCACTCAGGTTGAGATCGTCCAGTGGTCATTTCTTTCCAGAGCCTCTTTTTCCTAGGATATCCCGCTCAACGGCTTCATACATGTTTTCCATCCCTATTTTTTACTGTTCCCGTCTCTCTTGTCTTTCGCAGCTTTCGCCGATGAGCTGAGTTGCTCGAAAGTCTTGGCGTCTATGGTCTTTCGCAAGGTTCCCTCTTTCGATTCACCCTTGTTGGATGAAGATCCCTTGCTGGATGAAGATCGGCCGGTCATTTTAGAAATGGATTTTGTTCACGGTTCAGGTCTGTCTCCACAATTGGTAAGTCAAGAGGTTTTGGCACAAGCAGGATCTAGTGCTTGTCTCTAAGGGTCCTGACCTTTCTGTAAGCCAATTATGGCAGGAGATAGTTAATGATTTGAATCTCGTGAGCTGAAGGAGCTTTGGCGGATGTTGCAGATGCTGATGGTGATCGGATTCAAGAGATCTTGATGGACGCTTTATAGTCATTTTGCTTCCTACAGACTACAAGAAGATGTTTTAGGCAACAGCCACGATCCCAGGTCTTTTGGAGGCGCGGATGACCTGAACCATCTATGACTCTTTCGCTCTGGCAAGTATTGGACCAGAGCTATCCATTTCGCTATGGCCATATGCAACTGCGCCGCTTTTTAGAGCGATAACGCCTCACCTTGGTATGTCAATGAACTATTGGCATACTTCATATCTGAAAGCGAGCGCGAGCAGGCAGATATCCTCATAACTTTTCTCAGCCCTAATATAAGTGGTTATTCTGCAAGAACATGGCAGGGCTTGGCTTGACCCACCCACATTCACCTGCGCCATACTACGCCTCTTGCCACTCTCCCCTTCATCGGGCTAGCTAGATGTTTTCAGTCTCATCTCACTCTTTCGCCAACGAGTCATATTCCACACAGCCTTCGGAGGCTTCGGATCTTTGTCGCGGGGCTCCGCCGAGGATACGCTTCAGGACATCTTCAATATGCCTTGCGAAAACCCAGCAACTAGTCGAAGATGATCAAACTATGGACGTTCCACTTGACGTAGTAGTAACTTTCCTGCCGAGCTTGGATATCCGCGCTCAGCTATAACCGACCTCTGTAAGAGTATATCCAGTCCTCGAAGTATACAATACCGCATTATACCAAATCGGGTTAGATCACTTCTCCAACTTAGCCGCATCCCGCTTACCTGACCGCCTGGCAGTGTCCACAGCTCCTTCCCCAACAACAGCTGATGTACCAAGAGAGAGAAGCAGCAGCGCAATTGTTGATGGTCTGAATGCTCCCTGCTTGAATTGATCTCTTACCATCTCTTTTTCTCTCTCTCTTGGTCTTCTCCCCATTCCACCCACCACACCGCACCACGATGGCCGACGTATTCCCCGCGGTCCTCACAGGCCCCTCCTCCAAAGAGCGCCGCTACGACCGCCAGCTCCGTCTCTGGGCCGCTACGGGCCAGCAAGCCCTGGAAGACTCGCGCGTGCTGCTGGTCAACTCAGACGGCACGTTCGGCCCACAATCCACCGGCGTGGCAGGTGTTGCTGGAGTCGAAGCACTCAAGAACCTCGTCTTACCTGGCATCGGTGGGTTTACAATCGTCGATCCGGCGACTGTGACCGAGGCGGACCTGGGAGTGAACTTCTTTTTGGAGGAAGAGTCGCTGGGCAAGTCCCGCGCCGAAGAAACCTGTCGGTTGCTGCGGGAGTTGAACCCGGATGTACAAGGGTATGCGTATTCCAAGGTAAGAGCTTCCTTTTCTCTAGACGGGAGACAAACTTGAGCTAACTGGGTTCAGCCCATTACGCAACTCCTCCAAGATCCCAACTTCCTCGCGCAGCATAAGCTAGTGATCATCTCCGGACCGACGAAACGCTCCACCCTGCAATCTGTCTGCCAGGAAGCAAAGAATCTCGGTATTCCCGTGCTGTACACACACTCCGTGGGCTTCTACTCGGCATTTTCTCTGCAACTACCCGCCGAATTTCCCATTGTCGAGACGCACCCAGACCCGGAATCAACACAGGACCTGCGTCTCCTCAACCCATGGCCCGAGCTCGTCGCCGCAGGAACAGCGCTGGGCGACCTAAGCAGCATGGACGACCACCAGCACGGCCATGTGCCGTACATTCTGTTGCTGCTCCATTTCCTAGAGCAATGGAAACAGACGCATGACGGCAAAGCTCCAAGCAACTACAAAGAAAAGACGGAGTTTCGCGAATTCGTCCGCTCACAAGCACGCACGAATACCCCCGAGGGCGGCGAGGAGAACTTTGATGAGGCTGTGGCCGCAGTAATCAAAACCATCTCCCCCTTTGAGCTGCGCAGCTCAATCCGAGAGATCTTCGCGATGGACCAGTGCCAGCAACTAAAACCCGACTCGGCCGATTTCTGGATTATCGCCTCCGCTATCCACAAATTCTACAATGATAACAACGGCGTTCTCCCCCTGCCAGGCTCGTTGCCCGATATGAAAGCCCAGTCGGCAGACTACGTCTCGCTACAGAATATCTACAAGGCCAAAGCACGCCGGGACGTTGATGAGGTATCCGCTACAGTGCGGCAGCTAGAGACGCAGCTAGGACGTACCACTCCCATCCAGGACCGTGAGATCGAGGTGTTTTGCAAGAACGCAGCCGATATCAAGGTCGTGCGCGGCCGGCATATCCCCTTGCTCTTGGAGGACTGTGACGCAGCGACGATCAAAACAATCAGAGGAGGGTTTGCCTCGGATGACAAGCTGGTCGCGATCTACGTCGCATTCGAGATCCTCGACGCGGTGGTGAGCGAAGTGCAATCCATAGCCGAGATGCAAAACGGCGGAGGCCAACTCCGCCTGCCCAACATTGAAGACGAGGAGCTCTGGACGAAGCACACAGATCGCATTTTGAAGGTTCTTGCTGGGGACACGGGCACTGATTTCCCCGCTGAGCAGAGGGATATCCTGGAGGATGCGATGTGGGAACTCCGTCGAACCGAGGGCGGCGAGTTGCATAATATCTCTGCGTTGACGGGGGGCCTGGTTGCGCAGGAGGCATTGAAGGTCTTGACCCGGCAGTATGTCCCGCTCGACAATACTTGTGTCTTTGACGGGGCGCGGAGTCAGACTGCGATGTACCGCTTGTGAGGTGATATCCACTATGGGGGAAGGGAAAACAAGGACAGAGAGGGGATACAGATACAGGCTAGGCTTAATTACGACTTTATGAAATGAACTACTGAACGGAAGCTTTCGCTAAAATTATATGCTACAATGCATTCCATATATCAATCATTCACGAATAATGTCATTGGGTATAAAAATGTGTCTAATCATGGCTAATATCATCTATGAACCCACCAGCCATTCCCAGCCATAATGCAGAAAAAAAGCAACCGAATCTCCTGCTGAAATAGAATTACCGCCCCTTCGATTTCCCAGAATACCCACTCCGCTTCGTCCCAGCGAAAGGCTTCACATTCTCAAAAAGCTTCTCCTTCCCAAACGCCGCGTCCCCAACCCGGAGATAACTCACAACCCCCTGGTCAACAACCGCAAGGATGACATTGCGATATCCATGCCGCAGACGCATGTACATCATCCTGTCCATCTTCTCCCCGTGCGGCGGAACCAGAGGCGTGGAATGGAGGAGCGCGCTGAGCTGCGTTAATGTCGGGAGCGTCGTCTGATCGCGTGTGCTTATGACTGCGATTCTGAAGTCCGGTGGTGGCGGGGCAGTTTTTTTGTAGCTGGTTGACGGTTTGTAGATGTGATATACCACGCGGAAGGGTGCGGTGGGTTCGAGATTTGGTTGTGGGGTGATGGGGTCGTACCAGGGGATGATGGCGAGTTTGCGGTATACATCAGCTGAGACGGGAGCTTGTTAGAGATATAACTAGATACTGAACGGAGGGAGTTGACTCACCATAGCTGCGATGGATGCCGCAGCCCACGACGGGACCGGTTTTTGTGGAGGCTGTGGAAAACGGGTCATGGATCCATTCGAAAAGACGACTGAAGATCCCACCGAGTCCTGGGCCTCGTTGCGCAGGATTTAATTGTAGTGCACGTTCCTGTGCATTGCTGGTGTCGTCCGTCTCATCATCCCACCCGGGAGCCCTGATGAGCGCATACCCTAACCGTTTCAGTCCGGTATACACCGAGAACCTCTCAAGTGTGAGTCCGCCCCGTCCAATGAAGCACGTATATGCCGCCTGCAGACTCATCGGAATCGACGGTTCGTCGACCGAACCAGTCAACTCCTGCGGCCACCGGATATCCAGAGACCCTCGCTCAAGCATGTACAGCGCCTCCTCGGGCAACAGCCAAATACGATTCCACCGATCTGCCTGACCCATCGCCTTGAAGTATGTTCCCTTCGGACTGGGAACACAAACGCACGCTTCAGCAGAGACACCAACGCCCTTCTCTGAGACCTTGGAAGGTTTTGTCTTCGGGTCCGAGTTTGACGACTTTATATTTTCATCCACGGTTTCCAATGGCTCGCGCAACGAATGCGCAGGCGGTGGAATCGGCCCATCTGGTGAGTAGAAGGCCACAACCTGGTTCTTTGGGGCGTGGATGCGCGGATACGAGAGCGCATTGTGCATGGCCTGGCGCGAGGCGGAGAGGACATCGGCTTGGAGCTCGGTTGGGTTTGGTTCGAAGTCTTTTTCGCCACGGCGGGGGAGGCTGGCGTTGGATGTGTCGGTGAGACTGGGTTGCATGTTAGTATGGACTGGGAGGTAGTGGTCGAGGTGAAGGCACGTACAAGTTGAGATGGTTCAACAGGCGGAAGTCTTGTGTTTCGTCGGATAAGTCGGTTTCGATTTGCTCTGACCCTGTGGCAGGCGACCGGGTTGTATCTTCGTCGGCGTCGGCCATGGTAGGCAGCCTAGAAGGGAGAAATTGGGGAGAGAACGAGGTGGTGACTGAGTTGAGTTGGAGTGAGTCGAAAAAATGCTTATCGATAAGGTGCACCCACCACCTCCACATTCTGACTCGGGGTTCTTCCTCTTCCCTTCCCACCCAGTCTCCCCCATGGAGTCCAACACTCAGAATGCAGTGCCGTACAACGAGGCTTTGCGCAAAGTATGTGTGCATTCACCTGTACTTGACCCCTGTTATAACACATGGTAGATCAACAACAGTCTCGAGAACGCCTTGAACACTTTCGGCCGGTCCTCGCGACAATACCACGCGGTGTTGGAAATCCTCAAGAACTGTCTACTGGATATCGAGCGCGAAAAGCAAAAACAGACTGTTGATCCAGATATGTTGAGTACCGCGATGGGCTTTCTACAGCTGGGAGAATGACCGTCCCTCCATACATCACTGTATATCGTGAACACGCCAAGGTTCTAGATTCACACTACTGGTATTATATGAAAAGACCTCCAAACATCAACAGATACTGGGGGAATGATGGGAAAAAGCAACACGGGTTCATCCAGGCCGCTCGCGCGCAACTCCGCCGCCCCGGATCGAAAGCCCGTAGCCAGTCAGCCAGCTCCCAAACACCCCAAAAAAGAAAAGGACACATTTGGCCATGCAATATAACTCCGGGATCATGCAATCGTTACAACGTGACATCGGTACACTCAGTCGATCAACGGTTTCTTCTGGTTGCCAACGATGGCACACCCGAGGTGACTCAGGGCATTGGGATCGGAGGGGCGCACGATCGAGGGGAGAGGCAGCATTGGGTTGTCTGGGTTGACGTGGGCGGCATCTCGGGCGGCTTGTTCGATGGCCTCCATCTCTTCTTTGCATCCGGCGTGGTCGAGCGGGCAGACCACGATCGGTTGGCGGATGGTGATGTCTCGTGCGGAGGTCAAATGGGCCTGGAGGATACGTTAGTTTCCGGACATTTCAGTAATCAAAATCAAAGAAAGAAAACCCACCCGCACTGTGAGATAGTACTCGATTTTGTAGAGACTGGCAGTGGTGGTGAATCCGCTGACCGCATACATGGGGAACTGGGGTTTGTTCCGAGGCAAGATCCCGTCTGAATCTCGGGGGTCCTTGGCGGGAAACACCAGCCCCAGGTTTGTCAAATAGCCGGAATGGGGCAGTCGGATCCCGATACTCTCGGTTTTCTTGGTCAATGTCTTGACCTTGCGTTGTGGCTCGTCGCCTTCATGGTTGTATATGATCTCCTCGTCAATGCCGATGGTGATCTTGTTGATGGTCACTTTCCGCGCTTTGCCCATCCAGTCCTGGTTCGGTGACAATTTCACATAGACGCTGACGGGGTCGAGTGGGCCATACGACCACCGTGGCAGGGATATGGCCAATGTCACCAAATGATCTGATACACGTTCCGCCGACTCTGGGCGGTTATACATGCCAAAGGTCGAGAGGGTATCGTATCGCGCCAAAGGTACCGGAAAGCAATATTTCTTTTGTTCCGTTTGTCCCTGCTGGACGGTGACCACCATCTCATAGGTTGTCTCGGCGGTGCGGCTGGGGAGCTGTAGACTGGCCGGCGGTACGCGCCGCGAGGCATCGCGCCCACCGCGTCCGAATGGGATGAACAGCACGAAGGGCAGATCCATTGAAATGACCTCCTCGTGTTCACGGCCCGCGGGACATCGAAACAGCAGCATCTCCTTGCCCACGATATCAGTAGTCTCCTTCCGCGGGGGCGCCAGACGCTTTTTGGTGACGGAGTCGGCCTGCGGGTGGATGGTCTCTTTACGCATGAGGGAGATGGTGACGAGGGACACGTTGACGGGCGCGGTGATGCCGGCGCTAGGCCGGATCTCAACTTTGCCTTCGATCCGGGGCTGGTGGTGGTGTTGGTCAGTGAGGGTAGGGGGAGCATGATGGAGGGGCTTGAAGGATGAGTACTCACCATCGTTGCCGAGATGCCCGGATAGCCGATCAGAAAATTGCCATTCGGCGGGCCGGAGATTCGCACAAAGGCGGACATGACGGCGCTGCTCCCGGGCCACCATGGACCAGCCGCCGGGGAGTGTTGGCGTGGGGAAGACGTGCAGACGCCCTCGGGTTCATAGAGGCCCGCGCCCTAGGGGAGGGCGACGACGCGGGGCAAGCGGGATGTGGATGATTTGAAATGGGGCGGGATGGTGGCAGGGATGAGGGATGTTGTGTTGGGTTGGGTTGGAAGGGAGAAAGAGGTGGTGAAGGTGTGCAGAAGTTCGCGAAAAGGTGTTGGTGTGGGGGAAGATAGGGAGAGTGCCGAGATGCGCCCGAGAGCCTCGTTATTAATGGGGGAGTACGGTGATATATAGTTAGGGACAGATCAATAGATAGAGGTCATTGGTATTGTTATAGGACAGTTCTGATCTTTTGTACACCCAATTCTTCTATTCATGTATCGAGGTATACCATTGAAGCCACTTCGGTTCCTGCTGATTTAGGGTTTGCTCGGGGTCTGACGATGTCATGCTAGCTGTTCCCGGCGAGAACCTGCTCGGTAAATGAGTTGTGAGGGTCTGTAGACGATTCGAATCTACGAAACAGAATAGTGATGGAGTCAATTCTTTGTAAACATCCACCTCTCCAAGGTACCCTTCCCCCGTTCCATGGGCGTGCCCGCCAGTCAGCAACGAACTCCCGGTTGCGCTGGGCAACCTGCGAACCCTGAATGACATCGCCGGATCCACCCACTTCTTCCCCAACCACCTCTCTCTTTCTCGACTACACTTAACTTCCCACCACCACTACTCTACGTCCCCATGCCTCCCCGTCGCCGTGGCGGGGCGTCTGCCCCAGATGCTCAGCGGACGCTCTCCTTCGGCGCCCAGTCCCGCGTCAGCAAGCCTACGGCAGCAGCCCAGAAAGCAAAGAACCTCGATTCCCTCAAGTCGCCGTCTGCTATTCCCGAGCCCCAGCAACACCCCGTGACTCCAGCCGAGCCGTCGCAGCCTCATGTCGCAGAGCTCGCGGTACGACAGCAGGCCGCCAAGGCGATCCAGGAACCACAATCCGAGGAAGACAAGCGAGCTCTGAAGCTACGCAAGCAGGATCTTGAGCGCTACTGGAAGAAAGAGGAGCAGAACAGAAAAGTGGCTCGAGGTAATGGCCCCCAAACTCAATCGGAGATCTAAGTCTGACCGGCCATGCAGTGCACCAGCAAGGACTCGATCTAGACGAGCAGATCCTCCGGCATTTTGACCTTTCCAGCCAATATGGGGTATGTTTTTACTGAGTGAGCAAAAAAGAAGCGTTCTAATGTCATTTTAGCCCTGTATTGGCATCGCCCGTCTCAAGCGCTGGAGACGCGCGCATCGGCTGAACCTCAACCCGCCCATCGAAGTACTTGCCGTCCTTCTCCAAGACCAGGACCATGTCAAGGAACGGGCGCATATGGATGAGCTGCTGTCGTGAGTGCAGGGGACAGTATGGATGAGTGGGCGTCGATGGAGTTTGAATCGTTTTTCCGGCGTTGGGCATTATTATACGGATACCAAATGACGAATGAAGGACCTTTTTGAGGGATTGTAACCCCCCTTTTCTTTCCCCTGAGGCCGCATAGATCTACTGTTTCTTTCACGCGGTTGAGCCGGGGTTGCAGTATTTTCGTACTGGGCTAGTTAGCGGCGGAGGCCCCCGGAGAATATATCTTCGTCTGCCGGGCCTCGACCTCGTCCTTTAGGAAGATTCTCCGCGAGGCTGTGTAGACAATGCCCGATGCCTCGGGAGCAACATGCTCATTTTAAGTCGGATCATCGACGGACTGGAGAAATAAACTCGTCCCCATTCCGGCCCGCTGATTCGTCCGCTGGTGTTTCAGAAAGATTGAATGCGGCCGGAGAATACGAGACCGCGATGTCTGAATGGTCTTGCCGTCAATTACAGCTTGTTGCTTTGTAGATCCTCATTCTACCTCCCGCGCTATTTTAGTTGCGCTCCGCAACTAATCGTTAACGACCATCTGAGACAGGGTCCTGGACCAGTCGAGCCTGCGCCTCCGAATGTCTCGTTTACTGCTTACATACCACTCAATTTAATAACTAATACAATGCCCATGTGATAATGCCAATCCTGTCGGTTTTATGGCTCTGCAGAGCACCTTGGCACCGAACCCCCCTCTAATACGGTCGCCACCGTTCTAGCCCTCAGCGGCTGCCATGTCTCACATCGGATCGTGCGAGTGAGTACCCGGCGTCCGACCTACTTCCACGATTCTAGTGGAGCCAGGGGAGCCCACCCGCTGTGGACCATCTTTTACTGATGCAGACACGACCAGCAGATTTAGCTGCCGTGTTAGCACAGAGAGAGTTAGCGCCGACACGACGTGGGCCGAGAAAAGCGTTGGGGCACGCAGATCGGATCAACAAAAACATTTGTAGTCAATTAGGAGTGTAGGGGCAGAACGAGACTGCCGACGCTGAGTCCATCGGGTCAGAACCCTGATTGGGATAGTCGGATGCTACGGTTGTTATTAGTGTTTCCCCCAGATTTCGTTTTTGTTCCTGGGACTGTCACCCCGCCGACGCCACATTTGTGCTCCACTAACGACTAAGTGGTCACTAGCTGACTGTTCTAACTTTGTCCCTGGCCGCCGATGTCGTTACTATTACGTACAGCTCCTCGAACACCTATCTTCGTCCTGTGTACACCAGTGGAATCTTCTGTGGAAGGCCTGGAAACGGGAGGCCTAGAGATGAACCAGGCCTTCCAGACCTCCACCCCGCCGACATGTATGGGCGTATGTACGACCTGGGTGAACGTGGTACCCGCTACCTCCCCAGACAAGGCCACCCCAAAACAAAACACACATTATTCACGCTTGGCGAACATGCGTACGTACGCTCGTCGCAAAGCCACCGGCATCATCAGGGTTTAATCTATTTCCCCCGGACTGATGGCTAGCCCTGCCCTCCCGGGCCGCCCAGCCTCCAGTAATTAACTCTCGCCCATTACAGACTGAGTCAAGCCGCGGAACATCATTTCCTTTGGAGGAAACATGTGATGGGGTCGCTACGGGCGATGCGACCTATGCCAGGGTTCATCGGGACAAAGTCTATACTAGTACAGGCGGGTCCAGCTTATAAAATGGTCTTGATCACCCGCTTCCCCCCTGGTATTATATACTTGCCATATCCCATATCACTCGTTCACAACAGTCGTTTCCGGCTTGAAGAAAAGATACGAAAATTATAATCAAAATGCAGTTCTCTCGCGCTCTGATTGCCCTCGTTGCCGCTAGCCTGGCTAGTGCCCAGGGCCTGCCTAATATTCCCAGCTGCTCGGTGCGTGATACCTCTCTGTCTGGATGATATCAGATGCATCTATACTAACACTTCCTCGCTTCAGCTCAACTGCTTCATGTCTGCTCTCGGGAGTGATGGCTGCTCGGACCTGCTCGACTTCGCTTGCCACTGCCAGAAGCCCGGCCTCGTCAGCAAGGTGACGCCCTGCGTCAAGTCCGACTGCGACGTGGCTGACCAAGTCTGTACGTCAATCCCTCGTCCCTGGCCTCGTTTTAATACCTAGCGCTAACACCCATTCCAGCCGTCTCCAACGCCGTGGTCTCTCAGTGCTCCTCCGCTGGCCACCCCATCGACGTGCCTCCAGTGCTGACCACCACTTCCGACACGACTACCACCACCACCACTACTACCACCACCTCGGCCTCGGAGAGCAGCTCGTCCGCCAGCGCTGCCCCGACCACCACCACCACTGCCGCGGCCAGCAGCGGTCCCGCTAGCTCGTCCAAGGGCAGCTCGACCCCGGTGTCTCCCTCCAAGACGGGTGGCTCCAGCCCTTCGTCCACCCCCGGCTACAACGCCGCTTCCAACCTCCAGGGTGGTATGGCCGGTGTCGTTGCTGCTGCGGCCGCTGTTGCGTACGTCCTGTAAATAGCTAATGGTGTACCCTAATCTCGGTACCGTGTTCTGCTTTTCTTTCTGCCTGCGATGATTTTATCACCTGCGCTCGATTTTTGGGTAGAAGGTGTTTTTTTCGGAAAGGTGGACTTATGGAAGCGGTACGGGCACTTGTATAGTTTTGTGATACTTAATACAATGCTACAAGGCGGGTCTGAAATCATGATTCCGTGCTATCTGTATTCTATTACTGTTGTTTCTCGGCTAGAGTGTGCCTGTGTTATGTAGTAAAGGGTATGGTCGAAGTTGTATAGTTTTTGTTATAGTGAGGCGAAGCCATAGAACCGGTGTTGGATGAAGATATGCTCCTTTATTCGAAGTGCCACGAAACAAATTAGTATATTCAGTCTTGGGGCAGTTTAGTTCGGTTGAAACTAAAAGGTATCCCTTGCATTAGCTTCATGCACGGATATATATTTCCATGCCCGAGTCAATCAATCATGTATCGCGTGCTCCCCACAACCACCAGGAATGAAGATGTCAAACAATAATGACATAAAATGTACACTAAACTAATAAATATCTGTAAGGCAGCACGTGTGTATCTTCGGAGACCTAAACCTCACCATGGAAATAAAATACCAAATAATGCAATATGTTACACCGGTCCATGCCAACACCCAGCAAAGAATAAAACGACCCAGGGAGAAAAAAAGAGCAAGGTAATGCAGTGCAATGCAACATCAGTCCTATCAGTCCACATTTCATGGAACCCACAGGCGCATAAATCCGCCAACCTCCTGGCGACAGGTGACGCAGCTCCCGAAATTGTTCATGGCGAGACTAACTCGACAATCCTCACAGATACACAAACAGCGACAGGGCCAGGTGATGATGGCGCGCGGGTTAGTTTGGCAGACGACGCAGGGCGGGCCATTCGGCAGGCCCGTTGCGCCCGATTCCCAGGTGTTGGGATCGAGGGATTCTTTCTCTGCGCGGCGGGAGAGGATGAGGTGTTCTAGCATTTCGGATTCTTCTTCCTGGGTGGGTTTGCGTTTGGTACCGCTGGATTGAGAGGATGAGGGGCCGTTGATCAGACGTGATGATAGTAAAATGCGGGATCGCTCTCGTTCCACTTGCTTCTGGTACCGACTGCGGGTCATGATCTGGGAGGACTCTTTTCCGAGGCTGAGATGTGCGGCGAGAATTCGGGCTTCCTGGCGACTTTCGTGATCGTGTGGGTCGAGAAGGCGTGCGAGGGTGCCCATATCTATGAGAGTATCTTGGGACGGTGTGCTCTCCCGGGAGAACTCGGTGGGATAAGGGTTAGTCTGGGTGGGTGTGCGGCGACCATCCGATGCATAGTCTTCCCACTCGGAGTCAGTGGCATTGGTGGACACTGAGACCATACTGGTCGTGTCATCGTCATCGACGGGAGGATTGTAGTCAGATGTATGGTCTTGGTTGCCCCAGCTCCCACCCAACTTCCACCAGCCGTACAATTTGTCGTCCAGCCGAAGTTCATCAGTCCCTTCCCACTGATTCCGACCAGAGCGCTCTCGTTTTCTCATTTCCAGCTCGACATCAAACTCGTGGTCTTCTGGGAGTTCGAGCTCTCCATCTTCGGTAAGTATCCAGAAATCCAAAGACTCCGGATGAGCCACATCACCGGTCCCGGGCTTGAACTGGCGTGATCCAGCCGAAGGTTTTAGCCACCGCGGGCGAGTGTTGATGCCCAGTCGATCAAGCAATCGACTAAGCCAGTAGGCAATCCAATGACCCAGAAGCATGAATATGGCACGGAAGAACGAGATTCCATGAGCACACCGAACTGCGCCACGCACAGCACCTACACCGCCAAGTTCAGCCTGAGATCGCATTGATCGGGAACCGTTCTTTGGCTTTTCAATCTTTTTTTCCTTATTGTAGCCACTCTCCCATGCCGAGGGTGCTTGCGGAACGTCGAAGCTTGCAAAGCCCGCAGCGTCGAATGGCGGGCCACCGTCAGCTTGATTCGGCCAGTTGCCATAGGAAGAGCTTTTCTGTCGGGAAGCCTCAATCTCGGCGAGACGGTCTTCTTCCAGCCACGTCATTGACCGTGCAATAACCGCCTTCCCCTCATTCAAGAACACTGCTTCGCTAGCAGCTGTCAAGGCAACGTAGCCAATACGGAGCAAAGTTGTGTAGAAGTCGTCATGCCGGTTGATGCGGATGCTGCGGATCTGGTTGGAACCTTGCATGTTCTCGTGAGCTAACGAAAATCTCTCGCGCAGTGTCAATGTTTGGGAATCTTCCATATCCAAAGAGAATGCAGTGATGACTAGCGCGAGTCCGTAGATCGCAAGACACGTCACGATGCCGGCTAGAACAAGCATGTGTGGGACGAACCCGACGCTGCAGACGGTTGGAAACTTGAGGACACCCGTCTCATTGTTCACGGGGGACCCGCTATAGAAGCCCCAAACCATGGCAGCCATGAAACAGAATCCCCAGAAAGCGGTGTTGAGCAGACGATAATTACTCTGCTTGCCGAAGACATCAAGGACGTGAGAAGTCAGACTGTTAGAACAAGATATCAAGGCGATGAGAAGTAACTCCGGCGTGACGTTCATTCGTTCCAGAACCTGAGATCGTGTGAGCATTTGAAGCGGCGAGGGAGACTCGGCGGATCCGCCTTCGCTGAGAGGACTTTGCTTAGGCAGGCCGAATAAACCCAGGCCGATAGATTTGCTGATCATGGACTCGGCCTCTGCAAAGGCGAGTGAATGCTCAAAGATGGACATGCCCGCCTCGGTCAACACAGCTCGGCCCTGCAATGCACACGACAGTGTTTCGACAAAGTGGCTAAGGCAAAGTACCATGAAAACCGGCCACAGGATAGAGTAGGAGCCATAGGGAATTTCTGAAGAGCTGCCCAGCCGGCCCATCTTGACTGCGCTGCAAGATTGCTGGTCGGATTCCCAGCTCAAGAGCTTTGAGCTCAGCGAGTACAGGGCCCCGCCGCCACCGGCATAGTCGAAAATCAGCCGCTTCCCGGGTTTTCCATAGCGCATTGCCCCATAATTGGGGGAGGTCTGGCACCGAATACCCCGGAGCAAGACGAGGATCTGCGTCACGAAGAGGATGATAGGAATTATGCGCAAGGCCAATCGTCGTTCCCAACCCAGGCGGAGATGTCGTCGTGTAGATGCGTAAATAGCAATGCGGTTCAACACAAGAGCCTTGAAGATCGTTAGCACCCTTCCCTAGAATGCAGAGACACAAATGCTCACCTCGATCAAACAGGCAAACGACCAGAGACTCGTCAGATAGGAGAAGAATCCGCCGAGTTTCCTCATAGTCTGCAGCAAATCACTGAAATGGAACCCTTCGCCTCGAGCCACGGCATCGGCAACTCCCTCGCCAACTATATCCGCAGCACCGCGTGTCGCCGCAGCCGCAGCGCCATCCGCCAACCCCGTCTCGCCCACAGTCGCAGCAGCTCCACCCCAAAGACTTGTGGAGAGGTTCTCAAGCCCAGAAAGTCTCGCAATGCTTCGAGGGACGGTACGGAAAGCAAATGTTTCTGCGCGATAAAGGACTCGAAGGGGAAACAGGACGACGTCGCGGGCCGAAGACGGAAGCAGGGAGTAACCGGAGGCGGTAGCGTTCAGCTGATGCATGAGCGGAGCGGCGGAGGTGCTCGGGCTGGTTGCGGGACCAATAATGCCAGACATGGTGAACTGGTGCCTGTGCTGCGGTCCCCAAGCAACCGATGATCCGGGGAAGATGCAATCGGTCGGGCAGCCCCCGCGCTGCGTGGGGATTGATCAAGGAGAAGCGGATCAATCGGAAACAAAGAACAGAGACGCAGAGAACACAAGTGAGAGCACAGTGAGCAGAGCCCCTGTGAACAGCATCCCAGAAACCAAGAGGATGGTGGATGGAAAGTAGACGAGTCAGGGAGGGAGCCTCTATCAATCACACTTGAGTCCGTGCTGACTCATCCTGGCCAGGCCGAGGTCTACAGAACTACAGCGAACGAGAGATGTATGGATCGCCATGAGATTTGACTCTGACTTAATTGACGAAAGCAACATAAAAATCCAAACTCCCTGGTTGTGTAACAGTTGGTTCTTCTGAGCGCTCCCGGGGTAAGACATGTCTCCCTTGGAATAAAGCCCCGACACCACGGAATGATGGTGGGCCAAATTAGGAGGGAGTATTATGATGATCTGCCATCCATTTTAGAGCACTCAGCCATGGACGAGAGCGAGTGCATAATGCTGAGATGGTCTTCACGAAGAGAACAAACGGGAAAATAAGATAGATCGATTCATTCCAGAAATAGACATACCCGACGAACGCCAGACACTAACCCCCTAGAATTCAATTGATTCAATGAAAACATATATGCAACACATTTCTCCGTCATTCATCATCGATAGGAGTCTATAGACTGTTCCATTCATTAGCGAGACCACAAGTAAGCCATCTGGGACAACATACAATCACGTATCTAGATAGTCCGCCGCCATCAGCAACTCCAGACACAGTTCCGGCGGAATCTCCATATCCCGAACGTTGGTCTGGTCTTTATGTTTCTCATTGTACAGGAAGTATTCGCACACTTTCTCGAGAACGATTCCACTGCACCGTGTTAGTTCGGTAAACGGGGACCTCGACCGAACTGAAGCCAAAACATACGTCATATTTTCGAGCACGCATCGTCCCGTCAGAGCCTCGGAGAACTTGCCTATCCAACGTGTTAGTATGGCATTCTTGTCTGGGTCTTGCAGGGACTGTGATCGATCGTACTGGAAGGGTCGAGCATGCGCCGGATGGTGCCTGAGATACACGCTGCGCTGCGCGGGAGGATGTATTCGAATCCATCGTAGGACACGAGGGTCACGTACTCAGGCTGCTCCGCCATGGTCACGGTTGTCAGTGTGGGAGAGGAAGATGGAGAGAGAAAGAAGAAAGATGAATGAGATCAGAACTGGTCTGTGCTGCGATAACCGATAAGAACGGGGACGCGCCGCGTTTTGGCACTCAGCTCCGACAATGACTGCATGTATTCGACTACGTGCTCTTCGGGTTGACCAGCGTAGCCCAGGACTGGTCCGGGCGTTCTCATCTTCTATCGCCAGACACAACTATGCCACATCATCCTTCACACCAGCCCGTCGCCTCTCCGGCCGACGATGCATGATCACCGGCGGGACATCGGGAATCGGATTCGCGATTGCAGCGCGCTTTCTCCAAGAGGGTGCGGCGACAGTTACTCTTGTAGGCCGATCGAAGGAACGTCTGCTGGAAGCAGCGAAGCGCTTGGGATCCTCGAATGACACGGTGCCAGAGACCAGTGAGGACAACGGCGAGGTCGCAACTCGGGCTCCGGAGGAGGATAAGCAGGAGGATTCTGGCGTTGACAGTAATAGCACGCTGCAAGTCTCTGACCAGATTCGACTGCTTGTTGGAGACGTTTCAGAGGCAGGATCCTGGATGCGCGAGCTAGAAAGCGAGATGGTAGATTAACTCTCTGTCGGACTATCTAACTAGACGCTACGCTAACCTACCAAACTCTCACAGGGCAACATCGACATCCTCGTCAACGCAGCAGGGATCTCCACCTCTAGCATCCTTCCCCGAACAGAACTCTCCGATATATCCAGAATCCTGCGCACAAATCTCGAAGGCGCAATCCTCACCTCGCGCGCATTCCTCCGCGCCTCCATCCGAAGCCGAGTGCGCGACAACCGTAACGACTCAACCGAGACCAAGAAACCAGCCTCGAAATGTATAATCAACGTCTCCTCCCTCCTTGCGCTGAAAAGCGGAAGCGGCGCCGTGCCGTACGCGGCGTCCAAAGCGGGCCTATTGGGTCTCACGCGCTCAGTAGCTGTCGAGACGTCGGCCTCGTTGAAGGACCTAGCTTTTCGTTCGAATGCCATTGTGCCGGGGTATATTGATACCCCCATGCTTGTTGGTTGGTTTTGCATATGCCGTATGTAGGACACAGGCTAATATTACCATCTGCAGATTTCACACCAGGGGAAGTCTCCCGACTCAAGGATCTCATCCCTCTGCATCGATTCGGGGATCCGTCCGAGGTGGCGGATGCGGCGGTTTTCCTGGCGCAGAATGAGTATGCGAATAATTGTGTGCTCAACCTGGATGGTGGGCTGAGTGCTGTGTGATCATTGCTGGGCGGCCCAATATAGAAGGTTGGTTGGCGCGACATATAAACGGTCATTCAAATTTGTACTTCTAGTGATGGTGAGCCATCTGCGTTATCGCATCTACTCCCATGCAAGTAAATCATAATTTCCATGATTGAATAGATAATGCCTTTGGACGTGATATAGTACAGAGAAGAAACGAAGCAAAGCAAAAACCAGCACATGTCAAAATGGCAAAACCTCCCTCTAAACTCCGGAAATGACAGCACCTGCTTGAACCCCTTGAAAATGAAACCCGGGATGCACATTATTTGTTTGTGTCTTTTCTTCAGTCATCGTCAATCAAGAGGGGACCATCATCCTCTAGGACGATGGGCGCTGAGTCGTCACCATTGGACATCGGTTCGCCTGCCACACGCTTGGTAGCATGGCCATTCGTTAAGTCACCATCTTCAGCCTCGCGCTTGCGTTTGCCGATGACAGAGGTGCCGTTGGTGGCTGCAGAGTCGCCGAGAATTGGCAGCTGAGCTTGCTTAGGCTTCCGGGGGATCTCGAATTTCTGCTCTAGCGTGGCCGCCTTGCTCGCTGGCTCGGTCCTGAACGGAGGTGGTCAGCAAAAGACGTCTCGCTTGTCAAAAGGGTCAAACCTACCTTTCAACGAAAACCAGCTCAACGTTGACACGAGGTTCATCTTCATCATCAATGACCGTGACAAAGCTGTCTTTCCCGAGATCGAAGTCGGACAGTTTCTTGGCAAGGTTGTCTTCCAAATCGGGGTCATAGATCACCTCGGAGTCCCTCAACACTGACAACTCCTCACCATAGCCCAACTCAAGCCGAAGAACTCCCTCCACAAGATCCTGAAGGGTTGCACGCGCTGGATCGACCATTACTCGTCCACGCGCAACAGAACAGATGGTACAGGCGGGGTTTGGTTTATTCACCGGGTTGGAGTTGATCGCGCGAGCGCCAGACCTCTCAAGGAAGACCTGCAGATGCTGATTAGCAATTTAACCTGCCATGACTGGCGGGGAATTCTCACCATCTTAGCGTTCGCCAGGTCGTTCTGGAGCACCTTGAATGCCTGCAGGACACAAAGACCAGCGGTCATGGCGTTGGTCGTCGCAATAGCGGGAATAATGTTGCCGGCCATTTCTATGAGCTTGTCAGTCTTTTTTCGCCAAGGCAAATGGACTTGACTCACGTTTGGTATCGAACTTGGACTTTTGCTCAATGTGGAACGCAATCGCCCGTAAGTTAGCAGTGGCGGCAACGAAATCTAGTGTGTCCTCGTCATCCTTGTCAAAATCCAGGGTGGGAGAGCCACTGCCATTTGAAGTCTCTTGGAGCTCTTTGAAGCGACGGCTTAAACGATTCAGGCTGTACCAAAAGTCAATTGAGGTACGTAAATATCGTTGGAAAACTCTCACCTGTCTTTGAATACCACAAAGTTCTCGCCCAGCGCCCAAACTCTCTGGTCGGTCGAAGAAATGGTTGGCTCGATTGATGAACAGTCCGACTCTAGGTTATCGAACTCGAGTACATCCGGCTTCTGGCGTGATTTCCACATATCCTCCATTCCACGTAGCCGCTCGATATCCTTTTGGAAGACTTTCTCGAATACCTTACGAGGGAATTCGTCTGAGCCCATGGATTGCCGAATATCATTGAGTTCCCGAGCTTCCTTGCGCAGGTCCTCAATCTCTTGTGCTGTTCGCGGGTCAGACTTCGCTTGAACAGGAAATGTGCCAAACCAACCGTTTTCCGCATTTTCTGTACCGTCCACCTCCGGTGCCTCGTTTTCACTCGTCCCGAACAGTTCCCTAGAACACTTCAGCAATTGAGACGACCGGTATTATCGACGGGGCTTACGAGAATAGGTAGCTCTTCGCCCAGACGATACAGTGGATCGGTTGGCTGGGTGTAGACCGGATTGTGCAGACAGCGAATGATTTGGGAGTTTCCTTTGGGTTACATTCGTAGCATTCGGTATCACCCTGCTGGAGTGAGCAAAACTGCGAAGCTCAGATAATGGACGGTGCGCACCTTGCGGATAACTTGAACCTGTCCGTTGAAGCCCGTAGTCCCGCTCTCAACCAGCGGCACGTTGGCCGCAAGACACATGTGATTTACATGGCGTCGCGCATCGAGATTGTCCAGCGCATTAAAAACCACGTCGAATTTCTTGAACCAGTCCACGTTGAATTGGGCATCCTTGATGTTCGCATGGTATGCCTCGAGCTTCGCGCCGGGCTGGAACTTGTGCGCAACTTCCTTTGCAACCTAGAAGCCCCACGAACAGACGTCAGACCATCACATTTATCACGCGACAGGGAGCGCGCGCATGTCGCGCGGACGAAGTGGGAGAGCAAGGAATGCGATAGGCTAGACATACCAAAGCCTTGGGTTTCTTGATGTGCTCGTGCCGGAAGAGGAACTGGCGATTCAGATTACTCAGGTCGATGGTGTCCAGGTCGATGATGTGGATTTCGCCGAAGCCGGTCAGCAGCAGGTTCTTGAGCAGTTCGCAGCCAATCCCGCCGGCGCCGACGAGAAGGACATTCGACTAGAGGTGGGGGAAGGGCCAGGTTAGTGTCATTATCGCCGTAGTTGATTCAATGGGCGAAGGGCAGCTTATTGGCTTACCTCCTTGATCTTGTGGTAGAGTTCCGCTCCGAGGGAGCGCTTGACGGAGCTACCTCGCATGATGGGCGCAGATGACGATCGCCGTAAACTAGAGAGTCATTGCTTTGAGAATAAAGCTGGGGGATCACAAGCAAAGCGCGCCAAAATAGGGGCGTGGTGGTGGGATGGAGGGTGAGAAATAAAGAGAAAGAGAGACAAAGGAAGGAAGAGAATCCGGGAACAGACGCCGAGGTGGATGAGGTCAGTTCAATCCCGGTCACTTCCAAGGTTGGACACCCAACAAACACGAGCGATTGCCTCCGTTCCCTGACACTATCTTCGGGTCCTTGCATACCGACTGTAATGCTCAAGGAATATTATTCTTATGGGCGAGAAGCCACAGTACCGACTCTCACCCTATAACCTCGACTTGTACCTATACTACTAGGGGAAATGGTTCAACACCCTCAATGCTCGGCGCAGCCACTCTCCAAGACCAGATCTATTCTTTCGGATGATCACTACCAATGACTCCAAACACCCAGCCAGGCCTTTATCTTTTCTTGTTCAGCTCGCGGCCACGGTGATTACGTAACAAGGTGACTCTATCCAGACGAATTTTCGCCGCAACGGAGGCCGGACAAACTCCTATCACCCGGATATTCTGGTGATATCTGTTTCTTTGCTGAGAAGCAGTCTGTTGCAGGGAATCGAATATCCCGAATCACGATTGGACGGTGTTGGGTGTTCGATCGATCCCTGCTCCACACACACAGAGACGTCGCGCCACCCCCGAAGTACTAGAAATATCAGGGACAGACCGCGCCTCCAATCCACACATCCGCTGAACATTCCATTGGTCAGGCAGAGAGGAGAAGAAACAAAAATGCCCGCAGCAGATCCCTACGTTGATTCAGGGTCGGACGACGACGCCGACCCGGAACTCCTGGAACTCCTGCGCAAATCCCTCGGACTGGGCAACGAGCCTTCCAAAGGCCAACCACCCGAGACGAAAGTACTCGAGGGCGCACAATACGTCTTCGACGAGGCCATTGACGTGGCCCTGAGTCCCCAACAGACCAAAGAAGCCGCCGAGACAATATGGCGGCTGATGCAGAAGAAAGAGTACTCGACGCAGACTTGGTCGGAGCATGAATTGCACCCGAAGACCAAGGATGAGAGTACGGTGGATTTCATTTTCACTATGGATCTGTTGAATTTCAGCTTTTGGTCCGAGGAGCCTGATGAGGCGAAGCGGTTTGCCATTGACTATCGTGGGAAGCGATGGACGGGGTATTGGAGTTTGGTAGCGGCGTTGCAGAGAGCGCTTGAAGAGGGTATGTTGTTCTGCGTTTCCGCTGAAGTGTACGGTGTTAACATTCGTATAGACATCCCCATCACAGATCCGGACTTCTGGGTGGATGAAACCGAGTGCACCGAGGAAGTGCTAAAGCATGTATTCCGGTCCGCCACAGACGAAGGGATCCCTCTGTTTCAGGAGCGAGTACAGTGTCTGCGCGAAGCTGGAGAGGTCCTCAGTACAGTAAGTATTCCGTTAGCCTCTATCGCTGGTAATTAGTGCTGATGATCACCGCAGGAGTTCGGAGGCAGTTTCGCCAACTGCATCGACAGCGCCAACTACTCCGCCGCAGGGCTGGTCAACCTGCTCGCTGAAAACTTTGCCTGTTTCCGAGATGAGATCGTCTTCCACGGCCGACGGGTACGCTTCTACAAGCGAGCTCAAATCCTCGTGGCGGATTTGTGGGCTTGCTTCAATGGCGAGGACTTTGGGGAGTTCCATGACATTGACAAGATCACCATGTTCGCAGGTAAGCACTTCGTTGTCTTCCAAGTAAATCACAGCTAACTGGTTATCTAGACTATCGCATCCCCCAGATGTTGCACCAGCTAGGCTGTCTGCGTCTCTCTCCCCCTCTGGAGAGTCACATCCGATCCCGAAAGCCTCTCCCCCCAGCCTCCACGTGGGAGATTGAGCTGCGAGGAACGAGTATCTGGTGTGTGGAGTTGATCAAACGCGAGATCGAAAAACGGCACCCGGAAGTCAAGATGAATGGGAACAGCAAGCCCGCGCAGCAAGATGAATCGCACTGTGCAACGAAGACCCCTGAAAACAACCACACCGAGAACTCGGAAGAACAACCTGAAAACGCCGAAACGCCAAAAAAGACATACGGCATCAACGCCATCCTCATCGATTTCTTCTTGTACGATACGATGAAAAACCTGGAGGCCGAACACAACGAATCTATTCCTCACCACCGCACTCGAAGCATTTGGTATTAAAAAAAAAGCCCGGAATATAATATATAACCTGGCCCACGCTGCGCTGGAAGCAGCGCTGGACACTGATTTGACAAAAATAGACTTGACATCAGATATAGATGATGATGGTTTTGTCGATAACCTAAGAGTTGAAATACAAGGCTCGAACATAAATATGCATTCCATTCCGTTGTATAGGGTATCGAATATTCCTCATGCGCCTTTATTGCCTCCATTGCACCCTCGTGAACCCGGATCAGGCAGCAGCTGGACCAGCTGTGCTTTGCATGCCCTCCATGCGAGCCATAATGTCTGCTTTCCACTCTACAAAGTCCTCCTGTCTGTCCTCGCTTAACCAGTCGACGCGATCCTGCATCATAGTTCCCAGGCCGGGTAAAAGACCACCTCGCGGAGCAGAGGCAGAAGCGCTAGATGCCGCATTCTGCCGTTTGGGCAATCGCACACCCCTCAAAACCGCATCCTCTTCATCAAGGTCCTGATATGAGCGGCCCTCTTCATCTTCACCATCTAGCTCCCCAGAAAAAGGGACATTCTCAAACCATTCCTGCCCGTTAGCCCAGCTCTGCTCCATGATCACCGCAATCCACTGGTCAACGTCGTCGCGGTGACGTCGGTCCGTGGGCAAGCCGAGACTAGTGAGAGCCGTTTGACGCATTTCGTTGAAAGTCTTCTTGTCCATCTTTTGGGTTTCGGTGTCTTGTTCCTCGCCTTCCTCTGATGGCGGTGGGTTACGTCGTCGAGTGAGAACAAGGAAGTATACGGCCACGATCATGGCATAAACGAGCTCCCGGAAATCATCCTCGTTGCCCTGAATCGACACAATGGGTTCCAGGAAGTCTAAGGTTTCTTCGTTGATCCCTTCTTCATCGTTCGACATGCTCGATGTCAGAAAGAGGATAGAGGAAACGCCAGAAAAGATGTGAGGAGGCAGGGTTCTGGAAATGGGAGGTCGAGACCACGTATTTGTGCGAGGTGCAGGGGTCGATAGTGTCTTGCAGACCGTGCGGATGCCCGTCATCACCCAATCTGGGGCATCAGGGATAATAGTTGAATCATGAATGCCGTTCGGACGAGATACAGTAGATTTGCGAGCTGATTTGGAAGGCGACGCCAGTCTGTTGGCGACGCTAACGCTTCTCTTCAATGGTGTGGATTTCGAGGGCGTGTTCTGTAGACCGCGAGGCGTGGGAGCCGGCTTTGAAGGGGTCTTGCGAACAGTCGAGCCCTTGGCAGGGGTTGTCTGCGCGGAGGCAGTACGAGGCGGCGTTCCGGAGACGGAGCCGCTGGCTGAGCGCTTAATTCCGCTCGAACTTGCGGAGAGTGACTTGTCAAGGTATGAGTAGAGCTTCTTGTAGATGCGCGGAGGACAGGGTGCGTGGCCGAGGAGCGGGGGGAGTTTGAGAGGGCGGCTCAGTCTGCAGTTGTGGAAATCAGTGACCTGCCAATGGAAATGAGAAGCCGACTTACCTCCTGCAAGCGATTTCAGCACATGCGTAGGGCCGGGCGATCTCCTCCTCGGGCTTCAAGCTGCTGGAGAAGCTTCGGGATTGCGCGACTAGAGATAGCGCTAGACTCAGAAGCTCCTGAGGGAGATCATTCGCATGAGTGGGCAACAATGTGCCCAGCGCCTGCTCGACCGGCCGGTTATTCATGGTGACTGCCTTCTTGATAACGTTGAAGTTGAAGTTCGAATGGAAGGAGGGTAAATAGAGCGGTGACTAAGCATACAGACCTTGTCCAGCAACTTTGCGACTTCCACTTCACCCTGGCTCAATCAGACAAGATGTCAGTTACAGTAAGCACACCACGATTCTGGATTCTCTTGAAATGACACTGACTATTTTCACAGCTCCATACGCCTCAAGGTGACCTCAAGGTCGAGCTGTTCTGCGAAGCCGTCCCCAAGACGGTCGAGAACTTCCTCGCCCTGTGCGCCTGCGGCGCCTACAACGACACGCCCTTCCACCGTCTCGTCCCCGGCTTCATGATCCAAGGCGGCGACATCTCCCTCGGACCCGTTGCTCAATCCTCGTCCACGTCAACGAAACCGCCCCTCCCCTTCGAAATTCCCAAAGGCGGCACCTCGATCTACCACCCCTCCGCGCTAAACCAGGAGATCAATCTCCCGGCACTACGACACAATGCGCGCGGAATTCTTTCCATGGCATCGAGACCTGTGAAGGATAGCACGGCGCCAGGCTCACAGCATGCGACGGGACAAACTGTCAACGGTAGTCAATTCTTCATTACCTTTGCGCCGGCGCCGCATCTCGATGGGGCCAGTACCGTGTTCGGAAAGGTTTTGAATCTCAGCGCCCAGGATGAGGGTGGTGATGTATTATCCAAGCTTGAGAAGGCCAATGTCAAGATTGACAAGAAGTCTCGTGTGTCTCAGCCTAAGGAAGGTGAAGATTATGAGCCGCTGCGCATTGATAGGGTTACCATTCATGCGAATCCGTTTGCAACATGAGGTTCGCCAGACATACTCTCTATCTGTTGCTAGGCTCGAAGGGCACGATCGTGAATCATGTCCACGTTAGATCTGCGAGAGCCATGTGATTGCCACGACGTCACCAAACTTCGGGTCGAATGTCTTGCTCCAGTGGCTATGGATCACAATGTACCAACGCCAGCAAAATCCCTCAGCATGAGCCATTTCTTGCAGATAATGCCTCATCTAACACCATATGGCAGCATTGACCAAACCATGCGGCAGCCCTGCTGCACAATGGCACATGCTCCCGAGTTCACCCCGCGGACAGCATGGACCAAAGGAAATAGATGGTTTATAGTCTATGAGCTGCCATGGTACTGTCTCTGATACTATGATTTTAGGATGTCCCGTCACCGATGACTAGCAATTTTGCTCCACTTGCATCTTGACCATAGTTATTCAAGTATCAATGAAAACCATACAATCACCCGGCATTCTAATGGTCGAAAATAAGTAATTTCCATAGAAGTTATTGCCGATAACTCTGAGATAATCCATAGACTGGAACAATATGCATTGTCGAAAGCACAATGTTCCCCTGGCATTGAACTCTTCTAGCTATCTCCATCTAGTAGGGAACCTGCTGATGGAAGTAATCCATAATCAAGTCAACCTGCGCAGGCTTCGCAACGGGAACATTTTCAAAGGCATTGCCGAGCTCCATGACGACCTGGGTACCATTGGGACTGTTTGGACTCCAATGCGGCAGTGCACCTTTGCCAGTGTAAGAATTACCCTTGTTAGGGTTGAAGGTCTTTGCAAAGTTCGCCCAGTATGCGGACATCTTCTCTTGGATCTCATAGTCCTTCTCGGTGAAGGGATATGTGCCTGCATTGGCATAGAGGGCATTGAGCGCATACATAATCTCCGATTGGTGAAACGCACCCTGGTCCTGTCCTGGTGGCGCATGGGTCCAATAGTACGTGTAGAACGACGACGAAGCAGATTTGTACCAGTCGGTGGCATAGGCCCACGAGCCGATGAGAGAAGTGTCACGGGCAGCGGCATTCCAGGCCATATCGGCAATGGTCTGATTGCCATGGCCGGGGTAGAGTTGGAAATAGCGGCTGGAGAGATTGCCGTACTTGAGAGAGCAGTAGTCTTGGTATTCATCCAAGGTGAAGTCGGTAGTTGTGGAAGCACCGGATTCATCTTTGGTATTGCCCGTAATGACGGGGACATCATTGGCGGGACCATTGATCAGTGTCTCAATGTACTTCGATGGAAGAACATAGTCGTCCAGAACGGGCTTGAAGATCAGAGGGTAGTCGCACGAGAGAGCGGTAACCCACCAGATAGAGTTGTTGCCGACACGGTCTGAAGAGCCGATCATCAGGTCTTCCATAGACTTGGTTCGCAATTCCGCAATGGTAGAAACGTTGTGGAAGGTGGTGTAATTGATACCGTTCTGGACAGCAGTAGACATATTGACATAGGAAGTGGCTAGCCCAGCCAAAAGAGTATCGTATGGATACCGGATGCCAGACTCGGAGATACCACCATGGAAATAGCCCGTGAATAAAGGGCTGTTCACGGCGTGGTACACCTGCGACGAGCCAAAGGACTGACCGGCAACTGTAACACGGTCCGGGTCACCACCAAATCGGGCAATATTCTTTTGCACCCACTTGAGAACCTCCAAGTGGTCGAGAACTCCATAATTGCCAGAGGTTTTGTGCCCGGTTTGCTTAAAGCTCTCTTCGTTGAGTTCAGGGTGAGCAAGGTAGCCGAATGCATCATCACGTCGGTTGAAGGTGATAAGAATAACATCTTTCAAGGCCATTCCACCACCATACCACCAGGCGGTGTCACTCGTTTCATCCGAGCCCTGATTCCAGACCATGACAGGGAGTTTAGCATCAGTGGAGCCGGCATTCGTCCAAATGTTGAGACTCAGGCAGTCCTCGCTGATGTCGGAGGCATAGCTACTAGGACAAGCAGGGCCAAATTTCGTAGCCTTCAAGGTCTTGTTCCACGGCTCGCGCGACTGTGGTGGTTTCCAGCGATTTTGATAGCCGGTGTCAGCTGCGAATGGAATTCCCAGGAAGGCAGTCACATTGGACTCTGAGATGTTGAAATAGGTCTCGAGAGTGGACTCGTTGAAGTACTGGAAACCCTGGACGGGACCATAGGAGGTCTCGATGACGTTGTCCCAGAGCTGCGCTTGGGCAATTACCGCACCCGAGGCTAGTAAAATGAGAGTCTTGAAAAGGAGTGAGGCCATTAGCCTTGGTGAGCTTTTTAGGAGAAAAGCCGAAATTGAACAATGGATGATAGTAGAAGGAAAAGAAAGGAAGTAGGTAAATGAGTGTCTGCAATATATACTACTACTCGACCATCGGTTGGCTTCCATTTCACGACACAGACGCTATTCGGAATCAAATATAGTGGCTGGCGATCAATGTCGGCCCGGTTGTACGATTGAGGCGACAATGTCCGAGAGGTGGAGCATCAGTGACCGGTGGAGTCTGCAACGTGGTGGTGCCAGCGAATTTCAGTACGTAGCGTGTGAATAGGCAATAGATAAGTACATAGTAGAATCGAACTGGCAATAATCTGTAGCGGTTGTCCCGGCATGGAACTGTATACACTCCAAGCACATGATGGAAAGCAAGCTGACTGAAGAACCAATAGACATTCTGACTGTAGGACTAATTCAGACATCAAGGGCTATGACAACTGAACGCGCCATGTGCGCTTCATCCTTAGAAGTTGTGAATAAAGGCAGATAACACAGACAAGACTTCGATTCTTCCAAGTTGCCATGCTCTAAGTTGGGCCGGACCTGAAGAAGCGTCGCGTTCTCGGGTGGATCGGACTGTCTCTCTTAACTACATTGAGAAAACAAGACCGACATCTCTCCTGATAACTTCGCCAAGCAACCGGCAACGTGCATACCGCCGCGTAAGGCATGTGCGTACAGTCTGTTTCATTCAGTGGACCTGCTAAGCAAGCCTGGCACTCACCAACATAATTCGCAATCAGACAACGGGTGCAATCTTCAGCCCTGCTGTAAACTCTCCTTTTTGCATCCCTGATGGAAAGTCTTGTCTCTAGTCCGCCATTGCCTGTTCTTCTTTATAAATGCCTGACTGGCCGGGAACATGACAAAGGAAGAATTCATTGCACAGGGTTTTCGGCGTCTAGAAAGGTTGGGCTACCATTAAATCACAAAAGGACAAAGAGAATCTACATGCAAAGGGCCAGAAGAACTCGTGACCGAGCAACAATTACCATTCGAAGAGCACAGGAGCCTCCTGGCTCTGTGGCTAGATTATTGACGTGTTTTTAAATCCCGGGATCCGTGCTAGTGCTTCAGACGCCGGTGGATCTAAATGATAAATTCGAGTTGTGAAGTTGTAGGGGATGCCTTTAAATACAAGTAGAAGCTAATGCTTGATGTCCAGGCACGGGATTCTATTACCTGAGACGTTCGGACCGTTGGCTCTGGGACCTGTGGAGCTTATAGCAAATACGCTTGGGCATATCCTAACCTAACCACTGTTGAGGGCTGGTTTTGGTTAGATATTTCTGCGAGTCGATCATAGCATGCTGACATTGGTGGCAGACCACAACCTGGTATGGCTCGAGGCTGTGAAAGACTAGCGGAACAGCGGCAATTTCCTTGCGACAGAGATCCATTAAGACGGAGTTTACCATCGTCCGAAGTCATATCAAGGTCAGTGGTGGGTTGGGATAGGAGAGATTGACGGTCACTTCAAGGAACGGAGCAGGTGGCCCGCGGCTAACGAATCATAGCCACGTCTGTAGCGGCAATCAAAATTGATCGGTCGGTGATATATTCTGGCCGTTCTCGTTGAAGCCGAAGGAATTTAGTCACAAATGATTCTGGCAGAGTGGTTGGTGGAGGCTGCTTTTTAAATGCTGATACCTGTTTCTCGGCATATCCTCTCAGAGCTTCCGGTCCTTTTACCTCGCCCTTTGAACTCAACGAACTCAAGGTTTGTATGAGCTTAAATACCAAAGGATATAATGAAGCGTAGACCCCCACGGTACTGGCTATGGTGGCGCTAGCCGTTAAAATATTAATTAACTCATGGATATCCTGACCGGCGTCGAGAAATCCAAATCGAGAGTCAAACTTTCAATTTTGTCAGTACGGTAGACTGATGAGAAGGTCTAGAAAAGCAGTTACCGTGATCATGCCAATCGTATCAAACGCATAACACTGGAGCCAGTGACCCATATCAGCTGGCAACCCTGCTTCGGCAAACTCTGATAAACGTTGAAACAGAACATTGGTACAGGCCTCAACATATGGCTCATAGGACAACATCGAAGTCATTGAGTAAGCACTGGCCACTTTTCGACGATCTTCGGCATGCTGCTTAGCATTCTGTTCATTGAACAGATTCGTCACGTGGGGAACACCCCATGGTTGGTACCAATCAGCCTTTAAATGGCCAAGTCAGGATTTGAATAAGAACCGAGATGAGGGAGAAATGGACAGCTTGGAGAAACCTACTTTCGTAAACTGGGTACCATGACCATAGATTGTTCGGGCTGCGTCGACGCTGTCAATGCTGTATTGCCCAGGCGCAATTCGAACGATTGGCCCTATTCTTCGTCAGCAGAGCTCAGCAGGGTCTTGGGATTGTCTGATTGGCACCATATTTTTTGTGCAGTTCGATATTTATTTTATGATAGTTGCCTTTGATATATTGACGTAGAAGCCAGAGTCGGGTGAATCTCGCGATGAATGGACCAGGTACACCACGTAGAGTATCAAAAATCACGGAGCGCAGCCAGTTCAAAAGCAAATAGACTGCAATTAACAGTGTGGCCGTCCGGATCAGGTGGACCTCTACTATATTCAAATCCATCCTTGGGTTTGATCAAAAGAACGGGTGAGCAGGGTACACGGAAGATAGGAATATTACCTCTGCCACGATTGCTACGCGTCCATGAAGGAAATATAGTAATGGGGTAATGGGGTTTTATGCAAATGCATAATCGGAACATATTCGGCTCCACCTTAATGATGACCCCGATGGCCCGTTTGAAGGGCCAAGGCCCAAGCACCCAATCCACTCCGTGAAATACCCGCTTCAAAGTTGGAACCCAACCGTTACCACAACAGCGCAGCGGTTGGGAGTCCAGCTTGGGAGCGAGTATTGAAGACCTCGCAGTTAGCCACAACCATGTGAAGAGGTTAAGCTGAAGTGTTATCAGACTCCTCCATCCTATTAATTATTGTGCTCGTCGGTCCATAGAACTATTTTCATTGACAATAAGCCCAATTGATCTCCTCAGATGTAAATTCAGATATCTGGCGATTGCATCTAACACTATGGATATTCGAAAGTCCTGCCGCTCTACCTCAGAAGATAAGATTATTCACACGGGCGAATGCATCTCAAATGTCGGCAGGTTGATAGGAGTTACCCCACCACTCCATAGACCAGCGCACCCAGCCCAGTCTGTATAAAGTCAACAAATATTAGTCTTCATTTGTAAATGAAGTAGTCTCCGCGTTGATGCACGACTTACATGATAAAAAGCTGACAATATATCCGACTGCGTATCCTGCATTCAGCACACTATCATCCTGGGCCATGAACCCACAAGCCAGAAGAAGAAGGCTGACATCCAGGAAAGCTAGGTCGAGGAACAAGACCCAAGAAGACCTCATTGCTCCAATAGTGTAGAGAACAGTAACGATGAACCATGCCCATAGATATATGGACACTGCCTGATAGAATTCAGGCACCAGTTGACCCGTCGATGTATCGGTATAGGCGGCCATGATACCTGATCCCGGCAGATATATCATCGCGTAGGACAGATTGAAGGCCCCGTAGGAGGAGAAAACGGTTGCACCGAACTTTTCGAGTGGTCAAGAACTATCACCGTGCCTTGTTCGATTGAAGCATACCGTATTTCCGGCGACAAATTCCATGATTCCAACGAGGAATTGGCCTATACCGCCAAAGAATACCAAGACTCCCATCATCGCATTTGGGCTGGATATCCCCCTGGCATGTAATCCGAACGAACATATGAGGAACATATCTAACCAATCAGTCACGATCTCCTTACAGATGACATTAAAGGTACCTGTAGCAAACGATATGAGCCCTAATGGTGAAGGATTCGCGAGCTTGCGATGAAAAACGGGCAGTCCTGGTTGGGTACGGTCCTCTAAATGACCACCTGCGGTGTGGAGGCGCTCTAGGTGACGCGAATGAGCTGTTGAGGCTCCAACCTCTTCTTTCGAGCCATCATTTGCTAGTTCGTTTGATGACATGGTCAAAAATTCGAACGAAACTCAATCCGGATTTTTTCGGTAGAACTTATTTCCTGGGTTTCCTCAGAATAAGTGCAAACCAGGAGCGTCCGAGAGCGTTGGTTTATAGCGTCCCCTTGGAGCTGTTCACCATACATAACAGCGAACTCGCACGGGCGCTACAATAATATTAAACGGCAAATTCCATTCCCTGATCGTCCATACCCCGCATTCCAGCATGCTGAGGTTCGGTAACTGGGGGATCTTAATTTGCGGTAGTGTGATTGTTGAGCGGAGAAAGACGGAGTATCCGTCCTGGCGGAGGTTGTTGTTGAGACACCGTGCGCATTTGGGCCAGGATTCCGAGACAGGTTCTGGACTCTCGCAGGACTTGGACAGATAATAGAATACGGGACCTATAAAGCTTCCGCCAAGCAGGCAATTGGGCAAACTGGAGTTAATATGGATAACTTGTTGTTTAGATATATGCACCTGTATACACAAACAATATAATTTTGCGAGGTGGGATGTAGCTTGCCTCCCCTCTTCTTGCATCTGCGGGTGGAGTAAACGGTACATCTGGGGAGCCTTAAATCGACGTTGTTTAGGTTCCCCCGCCAGGGACCAAGCTCGTGGCGATGCAGGTAATTCACTGGATGTGGTGAACTACTTCATCTAGAGATGTGAACTACGGCGAATCAAGTATTTTCGCTGTGTGATGTGCTATGTTCAATCCCGACCGCTTGGTGTTCGTTTGTCTACCTGTTTTCTCATAAACTCAACAATCGGTGTACATGTCAATATGGTAAGCTAAGCCTTCTATCAGTCAAACTTGATTTGTTTTTCCAGGTCAATCTGACACCAAATGTACTAGATTGGAGACTATGCTGCCATCTACACACTTTGACGCACCTTGACGCACTATGTTCGTGGCCTTGCCAACTTCATGGAGGGCTGCCGATGCACAGGGTTGCTCAAAACCATTATACATTCGCAAGAACAAGGTCAACACATCCCTCAACTTCCTCAAACAAATGCCAATGCCCCACATCTTTTAGCACATGAACTTTCGCGTCTGCAATGTCTGCGGCATATTTGTGGCAGAGCTCCGGCGGGCTGACCTTATCCTCGTCGCCTGTCAAAATAAAGACCGGACACTTCAATTGCTGGACTTCCAATTTGTCATTGACGGACCGAGCGAGCGCCATGCATGCTTTTGCATATCCTTCTGGGTCCTGGCCTAGTAGTGACATGCGTGCTGCAACAATTGATAGCGGTTTTTTTGCCTGCACTAACGCGGATGTTCCTGCCTGAACAATTGCATCCACAACACCGAGCATTCCTTTCTCACGAACAAGTGCAGCGCGACCAAATGTGCCCTTGCTGGCAGCTTCAGGCAGAGGACTGGGCGGTGGGCCCATGAGAATCAGCTTTGAGACTAGCCCAGGGTGTAGCAAGGCAAGCTTCATTGCCACGAGGCAGCCCATAGAATGGGCAATGACGGTGGCTCCTGCCTTCACAGATGAAGCCTGTGCCATGTTGTAGAAGTCGTCGGCAAACGATCTAATCGTGAGGTTGCTTAGTGCCGAAGTTGGTGAAAGACCGTGCCCTTCCAGATCGAGGAGGTGCAATGAATGCGTGGATTTCAACTTGGATATCACTGGGTAAAAGTATGTGGATGATCCACCTAGTCCATGGATAAAGATAATTGGAGGGCCATCTTCCTTGCCCAGGTGTTGCGAGAAGAGATCCTTTCCATTGATATTGGTCAAGCCCGAACCTGCTGGCGCTTTTTGGTTTGAAATCGGGACATATCGTTCGAGGCTATCGACGGTAGTGTTTTTGGCATCTGAGGCTGCAATTTTGTTTTTCAAAGTGCCTAGCCCAGTCACACTGATACAAACCTCTTCACCCGCCTTGAGGAACTTCATGGGTCGGAACCCAAACCCAACACCAGCAGGAGTGCCAGTCGCAATCAGGTCGCCAGCTTGCAGAGTCTGAGCGGTGCTGATAGTGGCAATAAGCTTTGGGATGCTGAATATGAGGTCCTTGATCGTGCCTTCTTGTCTCTTTTCACCGTTGACGAAAGTCTGCACCTTCAAATCCTCCGGAAGGCTCCCTTTGGGGACGGCGACGGGCCCCATGGGGCAGAAGGTATCCGGCGATTTTCCGAGAAAGAACTGCTTATGATCGCGCTGCCTTTCACGAGCTGTCATATCGTTGACGATTGTGTAGCCCCAGACATAATCCATTGCCTCTTTCTCGGTGATTTGAAATCCAGACTTCCCGATTATTACCCCAATTTCACCTTCGTAATCAACAGAGCTGGTGAATTCGGGGTGAAGGAGGATTGGTTCACCGCTGGCGATGATTGAAGTGGCCCTTTTCGTGAAGATCACAGGATGTGTGGGTTGGTCCACCTTATCGCTAGCATCGTAGCCAGAGGAATTGAACTCGCGTGCATGTTCGGCGTAGTTCTTTCCGACGGCCAGAACATCGCGTCCTGATATTGGAGGAAGAAGCTTTATAGTCGAAAGAGGAATGCTCTCCGGCGAGCAAGGAGCGATATTGGCTTCTCCGGCAGCAATCACTTCGTATAGATTGGTAAGGGCTGTTCCCGACTGAAACGCAAGCGGGGTGATTGTCGATGCCTCAAAGTCCAGATGGCCGATACGAGAGCGTTTCGTAGTCGGGTCCAGGTAGGCAGCATAATTTGTGAGGCTGTTGATAGAGCTGGTGCCGTTTGTGGTCATTTTGATGGGTGTAAAAGAGAAGTGTTTGGTTTGGGAATTGGAGAATGTTCAAGCGTCTTGAATACTTCCCTATATATCAAGTTCAAGCTTTAATTATGGAACCGCACATTACGCAATCCATTCGAAAATATTATGGCGCCATGCGGAGCCATTTACCCCTCGTGCCGGGCACAAGTCCGCCATGGTCACATAGTGCCGATTGCGGGGATGCGCGGAAGGTCCGCTCCTAGCTGTGGGACTAGTTAATTCCCCCTTTGTCTTGAAAAAGGTTTTGCCTAAATGTTATGCACTTCATTTTCATTGTTGTAGACAAGGACAAATCTGCAACAAACAATGGTGGATAGCTATTTGGCCATGTGCACATTGAACTACAAGTACACAAATCAATGATAGATACCTCGCTCTTTATTGGAACATAAACTATGCTAATACCCCTCGCCATTCAATTTCGATGATCCAATATATCTCGGTATTTCTTTGAACCGGTTTTGTATTCCTTCGGTCCGTCCAACACGCAAGGGCCGGCCATAGTCCTCCATGGCCCGCCTGGAATGCAAGCGGCGGAATTGCCAGGAACAGTCCTCACCAATAAAGCTTCGAATAACGGTATCTCCGCCTGGGTGTTCATGGATAAAGTTTGTGCAATCGTAGACAATGTTGTCAATGACAATCCAGACGAGAAGCGGTCCCCCGCAGGTGTCATATGCTTGTTGGCGAACTCGATCGGCGGGAATGAAGGGTAAGGCATGATCAGGCATAGATTCATCCTGAAATGGGAATTCCAAATTGCAAGGTGTGTTGCTAGCATGTTCTATGTGCTCTACCCATGAATTCACATTCTCAGTGACCGGTTTGACGTTCGGTTCGACCGAGCATGGTTTTTGGTATTGGTGGCGGATGCTGAGCCAGCCCATCTTGAAAGGTACCTCTAGGAAATGGAGCAAAGAAAACACATGGAAGATACCTTTGGGATCGCCTTATTATCCGGGGGCGGAGAAACGCGGAGGCTCGGGGTTCAGACTCGTACAGGTCCCGATTGGCGCCCGCATTTTGAAGTTTGCGGGGAAATACTCCGGCACGATATCTACAGTTGTCTACATGCATTACAAATGGGAGAGAGAATCTTTTAAGGATTGTGATGATATTTGCTCAACGCAGTACTTGAGAATCTTTCTAGGGAATTGTATAACTACATTATGGCGAATCTTTCATGGATGTCTCCAGACTACCCCGTCGACAAATACAATGGTCCGCCACGAAATGTTGCCTATATCGATCAGGTGAACTTCGATCCCTCCCTTCAGCCAAAACACTACGAAATTGCTGGCACCGACCCAAACTCGAAGGTCCTCATACTAGACGTAGAGATTATTGATGCGACAGGTCGTGAACCGTACCGTGGCGACGTGCTCATCATTGGTAATCTCTGACTCCTATTCTATGCTGAAGACTTACACTGACGCTCCAATCCTCTCAGGCCAGAAGTTTGCTCGAGTAGGGAACGTTCCAAACAAGGATGCTCTCCTGGCTGATTCCAAAGTTCGCGTTTTCTATGGAAAAGGTCGTACTTTGATGCCCGGTATGGGGGATGCTCATACACACTTCACTTGGAACGGTGGAGATTTGGATGCGCTAGGAGATCTTGGCGTTGAGGAGCATACTCTCCTTACTGCTAGAAGTGCAGAGTGCTATCTGGATTCTGGATACACAATGTGCTTTGGGGCAGCCTCGGCGAAAAAGCGTCTCGATGTTGTCATTCGAGATGCAATTAACGCAGGTGATATTCCAGGGCCAAGGTATCTAGCAAATGGTATGGAGATGGCTCGAAGAGGAGGTGAACTTGTTGGAGGTATCACTGCTTTTGCAGATGGCCCTGAAGAAATGCGAAAAGTGTAAGTATTTCTTCTTCAAGCCTCGCTTACTTGTCTTACATGATGTCAGAATCCGAGAACATGTCGAGATTGGAGTTGATCAAATCAAACTTTCTATGTCTGGAGAGTCGGTGGGTAGTCCCTCCCAATCCTTTTGGCTTTTGCTAATCTAGGAGCGCCCAGATTACCGAGATTCGAGATGCGGAAGATTGTTACTTTACGCCAGAGGAAACAGCTGCATGTGTCGATGAAGCGCACAAATATAACAAGAGGGTTTGCTCGCATGCTCGAGCACGAGACTCGGTCAAACAAAGTATTGACCACGGAGTCGATGTGATCTATCATGCCTCCTATATTGACGAAGAGGGAATGGATGCCCTTGAAAGGAACAAGTCTAAGCATATTGTTGCACCCGGGATTAACTGGATCATTGCAACCCTCAAAGACGCAGCCATGTTCGGATATTCGACCGAAAAGGCCGAACAAGTGGGTTATCAAAAAGAACTCGAAACTGCAGAACGGGGCATGCGGGAAATGCATCGGCGAGGAATTGTCGTTCTACCTGGAGGGTAAGTGAACTTTGACTTATCAATTATATATCCATCATTGTTTTGTCTAATACTGAAATAGAGACTATGGCTTTGCCTGGACACCACATGGTACCTATGCCCGTGATCTCGTCCACTTCGTGGAGCGCTTTGGTTTCACACCCCATGAGGCCATCATCGCGGCAACGTATGGGGTTGCAAAACTGTTCATGCGTTCCCACGAGATGGGCCAGATTAAAGAAGGCAACTACGCCGACTGTGTTGTGGTGGATGGGAAGCCCTTGCAGAACATCGCAATTTTGCAGGAACATGACCTGCTCAACATTATTATCATCAACGGCCGCATTCATAAAGCCGGTCGTAAAGAATATGTACTTCCAGCCCAGGACGCGACTGGTGTGCACTCGATGACGAACGAGATGGCCCGGGTTGGGATGCGAGGGCAAACCCAGACTGCATTTTAAACATCTAGCTTGACTTTCCCGGCCGTTCCTGACGTTTCTTCTTTTTGTACTGCTTAATTGTGTATTACAACTCCCAAATCCAATTGTAGCCAATAGCCCTAAAATCATCACGCTTTGGATGCTATTTCTGAAAATATAGAACGTGCAGCAGTAATAGCCTCAATCTAATGATAAATATTGTGTAAATATCAAGGAAGGGGTATACCCCGCACAACGCGGAGTTCCAGTTGTTTGGTTCGCCGTATATAAAGCTTTGAGGAGCCCCGATTATCTGAGCGAACATCACGTTCCCGCTCACTTTTCTCGCCATGCCCTCAGAAGGAACCAAGAGACAGCCACTCAGCTGTGAAAACTGTCGGCAACGGAAAATTCGCTGTATAGGATATGGTGTGCCATGTGACACATGTCGAAAACGGGGATTTGCTCTTAGCTGCCATTTCAAGCGCGATATTGAGCCCGCCACCCGAGATACCCGAAATCATGACGCTCAACAGGTCCTGCTGCAACGCATCTCAACCCTCGAGAATCTTTTGCAACAGAATATTGATTTAACTGCCGTCTCTATCAATTCTCAACAGTTGCACACTCTGCGATCCCCTGTCTCCGATCATAACCTGCCTTCATCTGCAGGTCACATCGCTGCTTCGCCCTTGTCGATGTCAACAAGCAATCAAACTCCACCACCTCGCCAAAAGTTCGGCACACTAGCTACCTCCCCAACGGGTCATGTCCGGTACATTCCCTATAACACCTCTCCCGACTCCGACCTGTTAGACTCCTTGCAGGATTCGATCCAACCACATCCGCCGACCCCAGAAGGGTTTCCTTTCTTCTCCGACATGCCCACCGTTCATCGATCTCTTCTTGACATGCTTCCACCTTCTCGACAATGCGATGAGCTGGTTTCTATTTTTCTTGAAGTCTTCTCGCCGCTTTTCCATATCCTGCACGACCCCACATTCCAATCAGCATATGTCTCCTTCAAAAACGATCCACATTCGTCACCACTGGCCTTTTTGGGACTGTTATTCACGAGTCTAGGACTTGCTGTTACAGCTCTGGACGAGAACAATTCCCTCCTAGAAGATTTGGGCCGTGAGTCTTCACCGGCAGCAAACATCAGATCCTTGGCTGCGAAATATCGATCTGCTGCCATGAAGTGTCTGGCCGCCGATAACTTTATGTGGCGGCACAACCTACACACTGTCCAATGTCTTGTTCTCTTGGTCTACGCAATAAACCATACACATGGTCCAGCATGGTCACTACTAGGAACTACCCTGAACATTGCGATTGCTATAGGGTGTCACATTGACCCGGCTGCTTTGAATGTGGATCTTATCCAAGCAGAGGAGCGGCGACGAGTCTGGGCAGCATTGATGATGCTCTACACGATTCAAAACACATGTCTCGGAAACTTGACACCATTCAAGCTTGAGCATAACGTCCCGCTTCCCGCGGATTTGGATGATGAGGAAATATTATCATCTCATTCCCCCCCGAAACTGTACCCATCCGGGACCAGAAAACCAACCAAGATGTCGTACATCCTGTTCAAATTCCGCCTCTATCATCTAGCATCTGATATTTGCCAGTTGACCTCCTCTGTGAGCCCAACTCAGAGCCAAATACACGCTCTTGATGATCGAATAAATGCTGAGCAAAATGAACAAGCCGCACGTTTTCAAGGGAAAACCGATCTTCCTACTTACCATCAGGCGCATTCATTCATTTTGGACAATTATACCAACCACCTGATTTTGCTTCTTCATAGGCCTTCGTTTAGCCTGGAAGATTGGGACGGGTCCATCGACGCGAGCTATGAACGGTGTAAACAGGCCGCCCTGGTCATCCTCTCCAACTACCAAATGTTACACACCCGCCAAGAGTTCCACCCATACTGCTGGTATATCAATGGAGTGGGATCGTTCCATGCGTTTCTTGCTGTTTCAACGCTTCTCGTGCTTGTGGGGAAAGAGAAAGCTATGACGGAGTCCAGGCATTTCATGTCGGAAGCTGTGCAGGGGTGTCTAGCTCGGTTCCAGGAGAAAGCGCCGTACAGCGAAATATGCCGCAATGCGTTCTCTATTCTCAAGCCATTAATTGTCGGCGAGAATCATCAGACAGCTTCACTCCCCGCTCTAACTCCGAATGTGCCGGAATTTGAGGTCATGAATACCACGGGTGGCAGCACGGACCAGTCTGTTAGCATGGATATTCGAGATGATGGATTTGAAGGACTCGATCTCAATGGTTGGACGGTACCTGAATCATTGGAGCATATGCTCTGCGCCATCCCGTCTGAACAATGGCTGTACTCCGCGGGGTTCCCATGGGCACAGCCAACCAGTATATAGCGTGTTCGACAAATACGTATATTGAGAAGTCGAAGGACATAAGATACATAAGCATATTTTAAGTTTTAACTCTTTCCCGAGTATGTTTTCTTTAGTTAGCGTTGGGGTGTGGTAATTGTGGTCTGGAGCATGGAGCACATTCTTTTCGACTGTCGCTCTACTCTATACATCCCGCGATGACCCACTCTGCCCAATGCGGGCAGTGGAGCTCGGCTGCATCTACATCGGCCGAGTAGAACCGGATATCCAAGCCACCATATGGGTTTCCGTTGATAAGTAGATTAAAAATAAAAGTCCGAAAGATCCAGGTCTCGTCTATAGACTCCGAATGATCCGTCTCCCATGTTGTTATTGTCTAAGCGGAGATAAGGAACAGCCAATCACATGACCCATTAACACGAATCCGGCCTAGCGCCCGACACGACTTTTTCCACCCGCGTCGCCGCTTCTTCTTGACTTTTTGCCGTCCTCGATTTTGCTGTACCCCAGTCACCGCAACTGCTCCGGACGGTCAATCACGCCAAAATGAAGTACGTTCTGGTTTCTGGAGGTAAGTGTGGTACCCAAATTCTTTCAAAATTGCAAAACACCCCGGGCCGCATGCTTCGTGGTCAGGTCTGCGATTAGTGAGTCAAAGGCTGACGAAAAGCACAACTAGGTGTGATCTCCGGTGTGGGCAAAGGCATTATTGCCTCCAGCACGGGTCTGCTTCTCAAGACCACGGGTCTTACGGTCACCAGCATCAAGATCGACCCGTACATCAACATCGATGCGGGGACTATGGCGCCTACCGAGTCAGTGCCCGCGCTTCGACATTTCTCCCCATATACTGATTGATCCAGACACGGCGAGGTCTATGTGACGGACGACGGCGGCGAAATGGACCTTGATCTTGGCAACTACGAACGCTATCTTCTGACTACGCTTACCCGGGACCACAACATCACCGTACGCACTTTCTCCAGACCCTTGTTCGCACCATGTTTTGTTTTCTGACGAGAATCAACTTGGCAGACCGGCAAAATTTATGACCAGGTGATCCGGAATGAAAGAATTGGCCATTACCTAGGCAAGACCGTCCAGGTGGTGCCCCATGTCACCAATGCCATTCAGGATTGGATCGAGCGGGTGGCCAAGATCCCGGTCGACGATTCCCGGGCTGAACCCGATGTGTGCATCATTGAACTCGGTAAGTACCAGTGAAGTCTCCAGTCGGTCCAAGTCGCGGCGTCTCACATAAGTAAAGGCGGAACCGTGGGAGACATCGAAAGTGCTCCGTTCATTCATGCCATCAGCCAACTTCAGAGACGGGCCGGCAAGGGCAATTTCGTCCAGATCCACGTCTCTTATGTGCCCATGATCCCGTGCGTTCCTATTCCCTATAACTGGCACTTTCCCAAGCTAATATTGTCCTAGACCGGGACCTGGTGGTGAGCAAAAGACCAAGCCGACCCAGAGGGCCATTAGCGATGTTCGAAGCGCTGGCCTGAACCCTGACCTGGTAGGTTACTTATTCACCCTGCTATGGGGTCCCAAACTGATCAATCATCAAGATCGCCTGTCGTTGCGACCAACCTTTGGAAGAGGGTACCATCCAGAAGATCGCCAATATGTGCTCCATGGATCAGAACCAGGTTATCGCTGTACACAATGTGACGACCACTTACCACGTACCGATGCTTCTCGAGAAGCAGAATCTGATCGGCAATCTCAGCGAACTTCTCAATCTTCAATCCATTTCCCGACCAGCGGAACGCATGGAACAAGGCATCCGTATGTGGAAGGACTGGGTGGACCTTGCCCGCGGTCAGGACCACGTGTACGACACGGTGTCCATCGCTCTGGTCGGCAAATACACGTCGCTGAAGGACGCTTATATCAGTGTTTCCAAGGCGCTCGAGCATGCATCCATGTACTGCCACAAGAAGGTCGAGATTATTTGGGTGGACTCGGGCCACCTCGAGGACGAGGCTTTTGAAAATTCGCCGGCCGAGTTCCACAAGGCGTGGCATGCTGTCTGTACGGCTGATGGAGTGTAAGTTCTAAGGAATGCTTGGCTTGTCAAATTTATTACTGACATTATCACGCCAGATTGGTTTGCGGTGGCTTTGGCACTAGAGGTAGCGCCGGAAAGATGAAGGCGATTACCTGGGCGCGCACGAAGAAGAAGCCCTTTCTCGGCGTTTGCCTGGGCATGCAGCTCGCTGTCATTGAGTATGCAAAGAATGTTGCGGGGATCGAAGACCCTGGCAGCGAGGAATTACACCCAGGAGCGAAGAACCACGCTATCGTCTTCATGCCCGAGGTTGGTTGCTGACTGTATACTCATTGAACTGCTTACTGACACATGATGACTAGGTCGACAAGGAGAAGCTCGGTGGCACTATGCGCCTGGGCAAGCACCCGTGTGTCTTCCAGGAAGGCACTGAATGGTCCAAGTTGCGCGCGCTCTATGGGCCGTCAGTGTCGCAGATCGGGGAGCGCCACCGCCACCGTTATGAAGTCAACCCGGGCATGATCGAGGATCTTGAGAAGGCCGGACTGACTTTCGTCGGCAAGGACACCAAGGGTGAGCGGATGGAGATCATTGAGATCCGTGACCACCCCTGGTTCGTGGGCGTGCAGTTCCACCCCGAATACCTCAGCCGCGTTCTGGACCCGAGTAGAGCCTTCCTCGGCTTTTTCGCTGCTGCCGCGGGATGTTTGGATGAGGTTACCAAGGCTATCAACAATGGCCAACGTAGTATCGAAAGACCAAATTAATAGACAGGGAAGCAAGTGGCGTTTATGGGAAAGGGTTTTGCATATATATAGACAGGAAAACGTAAATTATTTTGCACAATTGAACAATTCCACGACTTACACGCGCGGCGAAGCTTGTATATTGACACCTCAGGCTACCAGGCATCCAGTCACAAATGACAGCTGTGGATCCGAGCTGCTTTAATTGAAGCAGTATCAAGGCCAAAAATAGTGTCTAGTGGGCATATACATCGTGACATTTACGTAACTAACGCACCTATTTCGACAAGCCAACCCGAAAGAGAAGTTTCTGGCGATATACCCCGATGGGGGGTTGGGGATAACGCGGGGAAGTAGTTCCCCGGATCCACAATGGCGCCCGATCTTGCAATTGAGTCCAAAGGATGCGATGATCTATTACTTGCCGCGTCTTCCATCCCCTCATCATATCTGCCATTGCGGAACGGCTGGGAACAGCTACCGACATCAACGTTGTCTGGCCCCAGCACCCCTGAGGAAAATTGTCTCATACAGCATTAGGTACATTGTGAGCTGCTTTTTCTCACGACACTCAAACTGTCATTGTTGTTATACCTGTTTTCATCAATTGCCAATGGATTTGGAAACGAATCCACCCCTAAAACCCCTCGACTCGATCGACCAGACTGTCCTCGATGCACACGATCTCGCTACCCTTGGCCATGATCAGGCACTATCGCGCAAGTTCAGCATCTGGAGCATGCTCGCTCTTGGATTCTGCGTACTCGGAACATGGGGAACATTTGCACAAGATCTAGCCACTGGCCTGACCAACGGTGGGCCCGTTGGTATTCTCTGGGGGTTGCTGCTAGTCACGATATGCAATATCTGCGTGGCATTGTCCTTAGGAGAGCTGTGTAGCAGTATGCCGACAGCACTTGGCCAAGCATATTGGGTTTTCCGCCTCTGGAATTCCCCTACTGGTCGATTTACCTCCTATCTTTGTGCCTGGATCAATACATTCGGATGGTGGACTCTCGCCGCATCTGCGAATGCCTTCATGACGAATTTCATCCTGGGGATAAAGGTCATGTTTGATATTCATTGGTCAGGGGCTGCCGAAGGCTGGGTTCAGCTGTTGCTGTACATCGGCCTGACGTTCCTGCTCACTGTAGTGAATCTGGTGTCTTGCCGCAGTGACCGGACATTGCCTATCCTCAACAATTTTATTGGGCTGTGGTTCGCCGGGCTGTTCGTGGTGATTAGTATTGTGATGATTGCTTGTGTTGCGGCGAAACCGAATCTATCATTTCAATCAGCGCGATTTGTGTTCGCTACATGGTCTAACCGGACCGAATGGAGCGATGGAGTCACCTGGTTCATTGGTCTCGTTCAAGCTGCTTACGGATTGACGGCCTTCGACTCCGTGATTCACATGGCTGAAGAAATTCCCGCGCCTCGAACGAATGTTCCCAAAACCATATGGATGTCGGTTGTATGCGGGGCAGTTACGGGCTTCATCTTCATGGTCATCTGCCTATTTTGCATTCAAAACCTGGGTCGCGTCCTGAGCTCACCAACGGGTTTGCCATTTATTGAGCTCATCCAGAGCACAGTTGGTCTAAACGGCGGTGCGGTTCTTATAGCAATGTTCGTGGCAAACGGATTGGGTCAGGGAGTTAGCATTATGACGACTTCCTCGCGCTTGACCTGGGGATTTGCTCGGGACGGCGGTATACCATGGAGTCAATACTTTGCACATGTTGATCAGAAGTGGAAAGTGCCCGTACGCGCACTATGGCTCCAAGGCGCCCTAATCGCCGTGGTCGGTTTCCTCTATCTTGGCGTGACCACAGTCCTGGAGGCTATTCTCAGCGTCAGCACGATTGCGCTCACGATCTCATACTGCATCCCAATTTTGACTTTGCTTTGCGTTGGCCGCGACAAATTACCACCTGGCCCTTTTTCCTTGGGTAAATTCGGGCCTACTATCAACTGGGTCAGTGTGGTATACTGCGTTATCACCACGGTCTTTTTCTTCTTCCCGGGCAGTCCTACACCAACGCCGAGTGATATGAACTACGCAATTGCTGTATTTGGGGTTATGTTGGTTATTGCAATTGGTTTCTGGATTTTCAAGGGTCATAAGACTTACTTGACGTCGGAGGAGGCAATGAATATCATTATTCAAGCTCGTTGCCAAGAAGAATCTGCAGGGGCTACACCTGATGGGAAGGAAGGCAAGACTGGATCTTTTTGTACATGACCTTTGCGTATCATGCAATCCAGTAACTCCTACTGTATACAAACGACCAATCACACGGCCCGCGGGTTGTTTAGGAATATTAATCGCCATAAACTCAGTAGTCAGCTTTCCCTTTAGTTCCTCTTCCAACACTCTACCCGTATCTCATGGAAATACCACCCATTCAAGCACGAAGCAAACTCATGAGTCTGCATCGGTAGTTAGCCATTGATTGGCGTACAAGGACAGGGAGACTTATAAAAAAAAGGGGGCCGTTTCCACCCGCCGAGGCGGAGGAAACGGCAGTTCATCAGCCATCATCCGGCCCAACTGTTCTGTTGCTAGATCCCACAAGCACAACCCAGCACGCGACGGAATCCGACTTCCAAAGATCAGTCAGCCGCTCCTTGAAGCCATAAAACGCAGGATGTCTCTTCGTTGCCTTTGGATCCACCTCGTTTGCCTCGTCCGGAGAGTTTGAGCTGAGAACGGCATATAGCAGCAAGGAAGTGACATAGACAAGCCGAGGCTTTGATCCTCACTCGAGAGAGGTCCCACATCGTTCCTGCGTAGCGCTGTAACACAGAACTAGCCCAAAACCCCCAGTCAGAATAAACAGGATGAAAAGATTGCGAGTCAAGCAATCGAGAGGAGACACGCTAGCGGTCTTCAGCCAGAGCAGCTGCGGTTATTCGGAAATTTGAAGGACACGAAAGAGTAGCCGGGGCTGGCAAAAACACGGGATGGCAACTGAGCAACAGTTGAGGGGCTTGAGCAATGGCCGAACGAACGAAGCCTGCATTTTCAGGTGCCCTCCACGTCTCCCCTGGGATAGTCGATTTCGAGTCTTGTCACAGTGCAATCAACCCGGCCAAGCCCCAAGCACACCCATCTCCTCAAACCTTGCTCATCTCGCCGTCAGCAGCACCAAAACGCCAAAGTGGATGCGGGGTCCGGTCTCTTGTGCGTAATACAGTACCCTCTGGGACAAGTTTTTGTTTCCTCTCCATTGATATGAAGGGCATTGAAATGAAGCGGACAAAGAACATCCAAAAAAAAACCGCTTCCTTCTCCCGAGGGAAGAACGCCAATAGAACATTGCCGTTGGAGTCGGCGCCCATCAATCTATTTACAATCTTCTTTGCAAAGAGATGGTTAACACGGTCGGTCAGGATCTTCAATTGAAATTGAAATTGAATCGGTGGCGAGTGCCGTGATTCAAGGCGCCTTGCTGCCGAAGGGCAAGGAACAGTAGACCCAAAGAGGTGGAAAGTAGGGGAAAGATACCCAGGATCTCGAAATGGGGAGCATGTACGGGACCGCAGGCAGTTTTTTGTTGCAAACGGAGTCACGGAATAGATACGAACGAACCAAAAGTCGAACAACATCTAATCTTGCTTGAGAGAACTCCTTGCCACCCGGAACGGGACAATGGGCCAAAATTTCGATGAACCACAAGGTAGAACATCAAAAGAGCCATGCCGCGATCAATCAAAAAACCTCGCGACATTTTTTGTCTGTAATAATGCCTGGGCAAAAGTTAGGGAGACAGAAGATGACTCCGACGAGTGGATTTATTTGAAAGTCGAGAACATGACTGTGTGGAAGCAGCCATTGTGTTCAAGGCGCCGAGACTCTGAGCCAAGCAAGATGATGTCCCGGGATATTCGATTCTGGAATGCTGCATCCAACCAGCCTCCGCTGCACTGTCCTGTTACTCTCCCCAAGGCATCCTCTAATACCGAGGCGCCCGACATGCTCCACCCACTTTCTCTCCTGGAAAATCCGTGTGTCCGTAGCAAAGGTCGACCATCCGCTCGTGACCAGCATGAGAAATCCAGCATTGGTGAACCGACGCGTGGTTCGTACGAACACTTAGAACGCATAGTCCACCGTCTTTTGTGCCACAAAAGGCTCTGGACAAATCGGACCCCTTTCGCTTCATCGGTCCGTCACAGACTGAATCCACTAATTGTGCTGTCCGCCATGCGTTACCGTGAAACTCGAGTCTTGGATGACAACCCGACAGAGGTTAGGGCTTAGGGTTTCTTCTCGCTTCTTCGTACACTGCAACTAAGATGTCACAGCTTGCCATTAAAGGTAGTACGAGAGAACCGAAAATGAGGGTATGGCTGTACAAGTGCCTTAGGAGGCAAGAGACTTGGGGACTGCAATTCAAGATGGGCCGTGGTGGAGCTTCGGCGCGACTGAGCAAGGATTGGGTCCAATGGAGGCCTCGACGGAGGCAAGAATAACAATGGCTGACGCGTGCGACAAGAAAAACCGGCTCGCTGCAGGAAGAGTGGGCGATGGCAGTGAAGAACACAGGCGTTGGAGAAGGGAAACGAGAGGGACAAACAGGGTGCCCGAATAAGAAGGCGCGTCGCCTGGTCACGGGACTGACGCGATCACGTGCCTTTCTGATTATATCATCGTAATGGATTGATGATGAGGAACGCTATCTGATGCTGGCAAAATGAGTTAGTCGACCCGCTCAGACCGATATTCGCCATGTTTCGTATCGTATATCCATAATGGGAAGCCTTAAGCTCATCCGGGATGCGTTTGTCGCGGCCGATGACTTCTTACACCCCATTCTCGATCGAGGCATGCAAATCCAACGGCCCTTTATTTTCTGCCCCAAAGCTAACTAGAGAACAGAGGAAATTCAAAAATCTCAGGGCCAATCTCTAATACATATTTTGAGACAACCTTCAGCGGGATCGGATCTTAACGATGACGCCGCCAGGACAGGCGTCATCGGCCAGGCACTGGATATCCTGGCTAGAATCCATGTAGCCTTTGCCTCGCCTGACGATGATCCTGACGTATCCCAGCAGCATGGGTCCACTGGTGGAGATCCTGCTATGGAAGATGCAAAACGGCGGCGAATGCTGCATGCATTGTTGGATCTCATCTCCCTTGAGGGAATCTATCCGTCACTTTCATCCGGCGTCGGAATTCCATTGCAGCAGAGAGTCATATCCGTGCTCCCAGCGGGTGTCATTGCCAAGCAAGCCCAGGTGTCTGGAAGCAGTGTTCCTCACAATGAGGCCCTTCTACGCGGGATAATGGAGGTGCTTTCCGGTATCCTCTTTGATGCATGTCAGAGCATTCAACCCGTCATTCGAGGCCGTATTTTGAGTGATATCATCAGCGGCCTCTCGGACCTTGCATTTAATCCGAATATCCAACCCTCGCAATATCAGGAAAGATACATGGAAGCACTCGCAAGGGTCATTGATGAGTAAGTTGCAACACTGCCAAGAAACAATACAATAGTAACAATGAAAAGGACCCCAAGCTCTGTCTTACTGCCCACGCTGTCAAGTTTCCTGCAGGCGGACGCCACACAATGGTTCAAGTCAAGGGTGTCCAGTCAAATCTCTCGAATTCCACTCCGCCCTGGGGGGGTGCTCCAGACCATTATGTTCATGGCTTCTCAATTCGCCCCCTCCCTGGGGCAGGAAGCCCAGTCCCAAGCTTCTAACGGGCCTCATTTTACGGTCCAGGCCATTATGCAAATTTCACGGCTTCTTTCCTCGGTGCCCCAGGACGTTGATTCATCACTATACTTCACGACCATTGCTCCTCAGCTTCTTGCTTTGATTGACGGTGATGACCAGGACTTGCAGAAGACGGCATCATATACTATTGGCAATGGAATTCTAGGAAAGCGAGCTTATGGGGCTCCTGGGACGATTGGGCATTCTATCTTCGTCGAACCGCTTTTCGCCAGTCTGACTGGAGAGCTTAATGATTCATCTACAAAATGGATGAACCGGTTTACAGATGCGGAGGACACTATCCCTCAATCGTCCCGAAGGAAGTTGCCTACGGGCACGCTTGTGGATAGCGCCACAGTTGAATTGGCCATTGACAGATTGAGAAGTCTGGCCCTTCAACATCCAAATCCCGTCCTGGTCAAGAGAATTGTCTACCCCATTCTACTTCCACTTTGGGGATTGGCTTGCTTCTGCAAAGAACAGGAAATGATGTTATGCCATGAAAGGGTTATGGCTCTACTGCAAACATATTTCAGCATCTCGGTTGGGGCGCAGCCTCTAAAGAAACTGGTTGACAATCTCCTCTGGGACGGCGGCTCGACCTGGACATACGCTAAAAGCTCAAACGATGGTGCCTTTTTGGTAGGACGCAATGAAAGCAGAAACGATGCGTCGAATGTGATTAAAATGATGGAATCCCTACAGGGTCGGACGGATCTCTTTGTCGGTTTGCTAGGCTCCGATCCCAGCAGCGAGGAACGGACTGGCGATATCTTCCTCCATGTGAGCGAGTCCTGGCTTGTGCATCCCACCGGTACACAACAGGCGCACGGACCGTCCAAGACGTCATTAGGTGATGGTGCCAGTGAGAACCTCGTACAGAGATTGATCAGTGCAAAGGTTTCGGAGAAGCTGCTCGACAATTTCCGCGATATACTCTCACGCCGCCCCCTTCGAGTACTGGAGCTCATCAAGCAGGTCATCAACGGGGAGCTGCAGAGGCTCGATCCCCGGCGAGGACCACAAGAGGCCGGCAAAGTATCACTCTCTTCACTGGCAAATATTGTCCCCAAGGAAGATGGCCAGGAGAAGAGTCGATCCGACAATGAGTCCTTCGAGTCACTCTCGACCGCCTTCAGCTTGCTGTCTACCGTGCTGGCCTCTGCTGAGTTTGCTACCTCGCAAGAAATCAAACCGCTGCTCGAGTCAATCAAAGATCGATTGGATCAACTTATCCCCCTACTCCCTCCATTCCTCTCAAAGCCCGGGACGACATCCTCCATGTTACTTGAAATCCAGCTCACACACCCCGAGCACGACGATACCAAGCCTGCACCGGCATATATCTCCGACCTCGAAACACATCGCCAAGCGCTATCCAATCTCAATTCGGATCTCCCGCCCGTTCAAGCAGAGGGATTCTCGCTCCTGTCAACGTTGATCACGAAAGCGTCTCCTGTGCTCGATATCCCCGCGACCCTGACACTCCTTCTCTCCATCATCACCGACACATCCGAGTCTGCGGCAAGCGAAGAGTTCATCTATCTCAACGCTATCAAAATAATCGGCACTCTGGCATCGCGGCATCCGCGCACGGTGGTCAAGACACTGGTCGACAACTATGCCGACAGAAGCGAGCAGCGGAGTCTCGATCAGCGTTTGAAGATCGGCGAAGCCTTGCTGCGAACAGTGCAAGACCTTGGCGATGCGCTGACAGGCGAGACGGCAAAGATCCTTGGCGAGGGCATGATCGCCGTGGGCGGACGACGAGGTCGAAAACCACAAACGCAGCGAAGTCGGGCAGAACGACTTGCAAAGGAGAAGCGGAAGAAAGAGCGAGAAGAACCCGCCATGTCAGAAGGATGGTCCATGGCATCTGGGCCTTCTGCCTCGTTATCTGAAGTGGATCTCCTGGGAGATGACGACTCGGAAACCGAATCCCCCGAGCAAACAGTTCATGCCGCGAACATAGTTGCAGCTTGGGAAGCGGGCGCCTCATCAGACGAAGACCCGGACGACCTTCGCGTCCGCGCTTCTGCACTTTCGGTCCTTGCATCTGCTGTGCAGAGCAATATCCTCGGCCTGGGCCCGGTTATCCTCTCCTCCGCCGTGGAGTTAGCTCTCGCAACATTAACCCTCGAACCTGCACCCGAGAGCGCGATTCTACGCCGTTCAAGCGTGATCCTCCTTCTGGATATCTTGAAGACATTGGACACGACCCGCGAAGAACGTGGCGGAAAAGATATCGGCTTTGGGTTCTCGTTGACGGACGATGGATCCCCTTCCTCCTCTTCTCATGATGCCGTCTCGCGTGGCCCGTCGACTATCGGTAATATACCGTCCATGCTGCGGACGCTGGGATTCGTGGAGAGCCGGGAAGCGGACAGTATTACCCGTGGACATCTTCGCGCGCTAGTTGAGAGCCTGGAGGCTTGGTTGGAGAAGTCGTTGATGTGGAGGATCGGGGCTCAGACTGGAGATGGAGATGAGACAGTTGAGCCGAGGTTGGAATTGGGGGATCGGATTGCAGGACTCAGTGTTGATCCCATGGCTGGACAGAGTGGAAGGCAGCGGCCGAGGATTGAGGAGATAGAATGAAGGTACTAACTTGTGATACTTGTTCTAATCGGAGTTGGAGTCTTTGGCTGTCAATTGCATGTCTCATTTCGCCCATAAAATGTCAGTCACAACCCACGCTAGATATGCTAGAATACAGAAGCAGCCAATCTTCCCGTGCGCCGCACTGGTCTTGCCCGCTTGTAGTCAGGTTACAGGCTCTCGCGCGCAAGGAGATCAACAGAATTCAATGCCAGTACAACAAACCGGACAAGCACTTGGGTATTTCTTTTCCGAAAACCATCACAACGCCATTGAAAAAGACCTGGAGTTACCAGGCAACGTCCTGGTGGTGGACTTCCGTACCACCACCACCCCTGCCACGAGAGTTGTAAGCACCCCGGTGCTGACCGCCACGTCCACGACCACGACCGCGACCACCGCCACGGCCACCATGCTGGTTGAATGTTGGGGCCCTCTCCCGGCAGGGACGCGGTCCGGCAGCGACCCGGGCGAGGCGTTGCTCTTCAGTCAAGTAGAATTTGTTCTCAATCCCTACAAGCTCACAGAACTCGGCAGTTTGGATATTGTTGTATTCCGGGGGAGCTTCCGTGGTGCTGATAGGAACAGAAGGGTCGTACTTCGGAGCAGACCGGGTGAAGTTCGCGGGAATGTTCATCAAGCCTTTCTTCACAATGTTCTCCTCCACCCATTGTTCCTCTTCAATGACTCGTTTCTTGTATTCGCCCTCATCCATCTCCGGGGGTGTTCGGGCATTGGGATTACCGAGCTCGAGCTCATTGGCAAAAACACGCGTGATCGCCAGCCACTCTTTGTCATACTGGAGACGAAATGGACGCTCGGTCTGAACATTGCTTTGGGCTGAAATTGGGTTGAGTTCGAGCACTCGAACAAAATGATCGCGGTTGCGGGGCTTGTCAAGCGCCAAAAACTTGGTGACAGTGTTGCGAACTTCCACGGGCACACTGACCTTGCGAGACTGGGTGCTCTTTACCTGAGGAGGCGGTCGAGCGAAGCTGGCTGGAAGCTGACTTCGAAGGTCTTGATCCACACTTGGCGCCAGCGGCGAGTCTTGGTCAGCCATGATAGAGGACTCGTTGGGCGACGTTTGCTGGCCCTCCTGCGATTGCTCCTCGTGCCACATTGTTTCCTGCTGGGGAGAAGCGGAGGTAACATCAAAGGCACCATCAGTGCCCATGTTAGGAACCGGAACGGTCGGTTTCTTGAGCGTTTCAGTCTCTTCATCACTGCTCAAGTCCAAATCGATCTCGTCACTGTTCTGTACAGGCGCATTGGGCTCGACCTTCTGTTTCTTGGACTCGAAAATATCCGGCGAGAGCTCAGTAGCAAGCACCTGCCTCTTGCTATCAACCTTCTTCCACGTGGCATTCATGTGTGGGACTGAAACAGGACTTTTCAGCAGTTCTTCTTCCGTGTTCTTGAAGAATTTCTGTGCATGCTCCTGCTCAGACATCTGGGCGTGGTTGGAAAAGTTGTTCCAGGCACCAACGCGGTCGTTCATGCTGCCGGATGCAGCGGCCAGCACCGTGGATTTCACATTCTTGTTTTCAACCTCCACGGCCCACGATGCAGGCTCACCTGCGGGGATGTTTGCGGGGTCTATCTTGCGAATTGGATCTCCACAGTGGGACATGACTGCCCCAAACTCGACATGAAGATGACCAGAAAACCAGTAAGCGGGCCGAAGCCGATCGAGAACCTGTCTGGCAGGCGTACTGCCCAACCTTCCGCTGGCCGAATCTGCACCAAACCCTTTCTTTCGCTTGAACAAATCCTCGCTATCTCCGAAGTGCTCGATGCCTCGAGGCCAGTCGTGGGACAGACCAACGTCCACCTGAGTGCGGATCTGGAGCAGCTTGCGTACATCGATCTCGCGGATGTGATAAATGGACTGGATGTCATCCTGGTTGTAAGGAAGGCGCTCAAAGTGGGGCTTCCTGTAGTCATATTGCTTGAAGATGCCAGACATGCCGGCAATCCGAAGCGGGCCACAGCGAATGAGATTGGCAGCACCCAGGTAGTAGATGTTGTGGGCCACCCAGCCACCGTAATAGAGCTCGAACATGTAGTTGCCGGCTTCATGGTTGCCACCAGCAAAGATGGTCAAGTAAGGGGCAATCCGATGACCACTGTAGTACTCATGGAAGTCCCCAATTTTCTTGAACCTGTTGGGCACAGAGATGCAAACTGCGTCGTATGAGTTGCGCAGCGCCTGTTGTTGTGAGTAAGGAGTGTGATCCAGTCAAGTGAGAGGAAGATTTACCTGAAAGTCACCACCGATGATGACCAAGTCAACATCAGTCCAGCCCCGAAGAGAGGCCTGGCGCGTGACCTCGTCGTAGATTTCATTCAGGCTGCCATGACCCTGCAGTCATCGTCAGATTAGAACTGAAGTCACTGGGAGAAGAGAGGCGATCAGCAAGGTAGTACTCACGCAGCCTTCAACAGCGACTCGCAACATGACGGATATCGCGCAGTTTTAGATTTTGAGCGTCAGAGAGATGGGAAGCTGAACGAAAGATAGATAGACAGAGTGCGGGCCTCGAGAAGGCCACACTCGAGTAAGAAGGAAGGATACCCAGCAGAGAAGGTGGAAGGGTGTTGGTTGTGGGGGAGAAGAGAAGAGAAGAGAAGGTGGGAAGAAAGAAGGAAGTCGTTGGTTGCGATGAACAACAAGAGGGTAGGAAAGAAAGTCGACGGGAGTGGTGGACCCGGCCCGACCACTGCACTTTTTCCTAGGGACTTGCCCGACTTCTTCCATTAACTAACTACCTTACTATCTTCTCCTGCTATGTCTACCTCCATTGACCAGCGCAAGTTCCTCGCGGAGGCTGCGGAGTCGCTGAGCTTATCCAGTCCCTCGACGGCGGCATATCTGCTGGCGCGACACACCCAGATCCTCCACGAGGAGTCCAAATCGCTGACCTCTCGCCAGAGAGAACATTACTGCGGTGCCTGTGGCAGCATTCGACAGGCTCAATGGACTAAAAAGGCGGAAATCAAGCCGAAAAAGACAGCAGTCGTGTCTGGTGGTGCGACCGTCTATCAGTGCTTGCGCTGCCATCGGCGCACGGTCAATCCCCATAAAAAGGCAGCGCCGACCAGGGCAATGCCTCGAGCTGTGGCCGCGACAGCATCTCCTGGCCTTCCGGTCACCACGGCCGTCGGAGTATCATCCTCGCAGACAAGCCAAGCAACATCCGACTCGGCAGATACGCAGGCCACCAAAGCCGCCGACAACGTCAATAGCAAGAAACGAGCCAAAGCCCGCAAGCAAGGTGGACTGCAGGCCTTACTGGCCTCCAAACAACGCCCCCAGACATCCTCCTCACTCGACCTGCTCGACTTTCTGAATCAGGCCTGAGGCGCCAAACCGGAATATTCACCGGCCCGATCGGGACTAGCGCGGGGCAGCCAGAGCTCCAACTCCAACTTCACTTTCCATTCACCCTCTGGTTGCTCATTGTCCACTCCCACATCACCATGTCCGTCTACGAGCACGACGAGGATCATGATCCTCAGGCGGACGAGCTTCGTGAGACCGCCCTGGTCACGTTGGAGGCCCTGATCAGCTCGTGCAATCAGCAAATGCAGCCGTACCTTGCCAACACCACCCGAGCTGCCCTTCGGTTCCTCAAGTACGATCCCAATGTGGCGGAAATGGAGGATGACGAGGAAATGGGAGGCACTCAAGACGATGGTAGCGAGGAAGAGCCCGACCTGGACGACGACGACTTCGAGGACTTTGAAGAAGAGGGCGGCTACAGCGACATCGATGACATGAGCTGGAAAGTACGGCGGTGTGCGGCCAAGCTGCTCTACACCCTCATCTCCACCTACGGCCGCAGTCGGGCTCTGGATGACGCGTCCCTCTACCAACAGATCGCCCCGGCCTTGATCTCGCGCATCAGCAAGGAGAGGGAGGAGAGCGTGAAGCTAGAAATTGTCTCAACGTTGACAGCCTTGGTGCGGAAAACTAGTGAGGGGACGGTGATTCTCACGTCGAACGGCTTCCTGGACGCAGTCGGGGGATCGAAAAACTCGCGGAAGAGACGACGCCAGGACAGCGACGCGAGCATGATTGACTTTGAACCGGGCGTGGGTACCTCTTCGGCCATCGACTCACCCGTCGTCCCCTCGTCTCCCAAGTCGGGTCCACAGGCTGATTTGGCCCGTTCGGTCCCCTTGATCGTTCAGAGCCTGGTGAAAATGTGGAAGCAAGCCTCGGTGCCCCTGCGTCAAGCTGCAATCGTTCTCTTGAAAAGCCTGGCGCTGGTTCGCTATGGAGGTCTTGCGGATCACCTCCAGCAGATCGAAGACCTCATCGCCGATGCTCTCAAAACCTCTCTCTCGGGAAGCTCGACGGCCCACGCCGGGGCGGCGGTCAGCGCAAGCACCCTCCAGATTGAGACTTTGGGTCTCATTGCTGCCATTGCCGAAACTCACGTCTCCGACGCCCTTCTACCCTTCCTGATCGCCCTGGTTCCAGGTATTATCGGGGCGGTGAACGACCGAAACTACAAAGTGAGCAGTGAAGCTCTTGGTGCCATCGATCAGACTGTCAAGGCTCTCACCCCGCCGCGTGTCTCCGCCAACGCCCGTGATATTGCGATGCAGCTGGAGAAACTCTACGAGGTGGTCCATAGTCGAATTACTGACACGAGTGCCGATCTGGAGGTTCGCCAGCGTGCTATTCACGTGTTTGGCGTGATTTTAGCACGGACTTCGGGAGAGCATGGATCTGATTTCCTTTCGCCCAAGAAGAGGTCAGCCGGTTTGACGGTTCTGGTGGACCGAGTGAAGAACGAAACCACACGCCTATCCGCCGTCCGCGCCATCGATGACGTTATTGTTCTTTCGAGCCGAAACGAGGACGTGCCTAGTGACTGGGTGAATGAAGTCACGCTTGAGCTTGCATCCAATCTTCGAAAATCAGACCGTGCGTTGAGAGGAGCTTGTCTAGAAGCTCTCCGCAGTCTGTCAATGAACTCCAACTCCCTTTCTCAACTCCAACCCAACACCATGAAGACGCTTGAAGATGCTCTTTTGCCGCTGCTCGCGGCCCATGATTTCCACCTTCTCACCCCTTCATTGATTATCGTGGCCAAGATTATCCCCGGAAATGCAGCTTTGCTGGTCAATGAATCCCTGATCACTTCGATCTGCTCGATTGTGAAGCAGCCGCTCATCGGCACTGTTCTCAAGGCCTTGCTGCTGCTCGTGAAGGTGATCGGAGATGAGGGCGCTGGTACACAGCTGATGCAAAGCCTCCTGCAAAACGTCGGCATTACGGGCGATTCCTCTGTCGTGGGGCGAGCCGTTGGCACCCTGCTTGTACATGGTGGAGCCAATCTCGGCGTTACCATGGACGACTTCAAGACCGAGCTGGAGACTGCGCAAGATGACAGCCGCAAGTGTCTTGCGCTCGCTATTCTCGGAGAGATTGGTTTACGAATGGGCTCGGAGTGTACGTTGAGTCCAGATTTGTTCATTAACCATTTCTCCTCGCCGAGAGATCAAGTTCGATTGGCGGCTGCTACTGCACTGGGTAATGCAGCTGCAGGCAATGTCAAGGCGTATCTGCCCATCATTCTGAATGGCCTGAATAAGGCGAACTCGCAGAGCTATCTGTTGCTGCATTCGGTCCGAGAGCTTCTTCAACACCCAGAGATCGTGCGACCGGATTTGGCGCCCTCCGCTACCAAGTTGTGGCAGGCCCTTCTCATCGTCTCCGAAGAGGAGGATAACCGTGCTGTGGGTGCTGAATGTATTGGTCGACTTGCGCTCATTGACCCTGCTGCCTACATTCCCCTCTTCCAAGTAAGCCTCTATACCCCGGTTAATGTTGTCCTGGCCGTTGACTCTCGCAGAATCACCTTTCGAGCTCCGATCCAGCTATTCGTGGCGTTGTTATCTCTGCCTTCCGCTACACGCTGGCTGATTCGAGCAATGCATACAATGCCGTCCTCCGGCCGTTGATGGTGCCACTCCTGACCAATATGCTCAGTGATACCAATCTGGGCAACCATCGACTTGCATTGACCACTCTTAACTCTGCTATCCACAACAAGATGAACCTGCTCGCGCCGCACCTTGGCGAGCTTCTACCCGCTGTTTTTGGTGACACGAGGATCAAGCCAGAGCTTATTCGGGAGGTGCAAATGGGTCCATTCAAGCACAAGGTCGATGATGGCCTGGATCTGCGCAAGGTGGGCATTCCGTTGTCTTTCTGAATCGGATTGTTGTCTAACTGTTATTTTACCAGAGCGCCTACGAGACTCTCTACGCATCACTGGACACATCCTTCTCCCATGCTCACATGTCGGAGCTGTTCGACCGAGTTATCGCCGGAATCGAAGACGAGCAGGATATCCGCGCCATCAGCAATCTGATGACCTCCAAGCTCATCAGCCTGGCACCCGAGGAGACGGAGCGACGCCTGGATGCTCTGTCGGAGCGCTACACGGCCGTCCTGTCGTTCAAGCCGAAAGAGAACGCGGTCAAGCAAGAGCTGGAGAAGGCGCAGGAGGCGTCGATGGGTATTCTCAAGATCACCAAGGAGTTGAGTAAGGCATATCCCGGCGCGGAGACATCCGGAGAGCTGCACAAATGGAAAGGGTACATGGAGTGGGTGCGCAAGACGTTCTCCGGGCAGCTGGCCATCCTGGACACGGATTTCTAGGCGTCTGTTGGTCCGTTTAACTTGCATGAGACAGCGGGTGAGCGAAGATGGAACAGGCACCTTTTTTTCTCCATCACTTCATACACCACCACACCCACGCTGTGATGATACCATACCTTTAATGATTGACGACAATCCCGTAAATGGCCCCCAGTATTATTAAAAAAATTCCACCTTACCAAGCTTTCTGGTGCTCCTTCCGCCCCACTTGGGGTCCTGCTATTCAGGATTGCCAAGAAAGACTCGAGTATATGTTTCGGATGCCGTATTATGATCCTTGTTTTCCCTGCCTGGGTTGAGTATGGGACCGTGCCTCGCGTAATGTAAATAGCGGACCTGCGGCTGCCCAATTCGTATTCGTGTTGTGCGCTAAGCCTCAAACTGTAACTAGCCGCAGCAAACATAGCCACCAACCGGCTATGTTTTCCCGAAGGCAGTAATCCTAGGCGGTGCGCCTGGTTTTAAGTGAAGGGCTCTGACCCGAAGGGGCAAATGGCCATGTGAGCTGGCACAAAGTCTGGCGTGGTGATTAAATTGTCCTGCATTCCATTTGACCGTTCCTCTCTCCCTGTTCTTTCCATACCTTCCTGTTCCCTCTACAACTGATTACCTTCCCCTTCATTCTATTCATTGGCGGGCTGACAGCGGGAGGAGTCGATCGGTCCCCCCGATCCACCATGCTCTGCACAAGGCGGGCCGCGCGAGGCTGCAAGATCCCTTCCTGGCTGCCGCGCCTATTCTCCCGCCTCAACTGGTCCTTCTCGCGCAAGTACTGGTTCTCCCTGCTGTTCAACGCTATTGTCGCCGCCAAACTGCTCCATATTTACTCGCATCTGCACTCTGTTCCCTTGGACCGGTTTGTGGCATGGGGCCCGACGCTCTTTCTGCAGGATGCGCTGTTTCTCATCTTGTCCTGGTGTTTCTGTCGGGATTTTCGCCCTCAGTGGGTGCGATTCGGGGCTATCGCGGTGGTTGTACCGCTCAGGTAAATACCTATGAGGGACCCTAGAACCGATCCATTACCCACCAGTTACTAATATCTGGTGCATAACTAGTCTCGGCATCTCCTGTATGGCTGCTGCGAACATCTCCTTCTACTTCTCCACCGGCGCTGAGATCCATTGGCGACAGGCACACTACTTCCACCGCGATGCCGCATCCATCAAGACACTGCTAACTGGTCTGGGGGGTTTGGTGATTGTGGAGGTCCTGTTCATCGCCGCAGCCTGGTTTACGACTCCATACACATTCAATGCGGTTGGATGGTTTTGCCGCACTCTGTGGTCCTTTTTGCCCGCGAGGATTTCCCGCTGCTTCCGGACAAGAACGTCTCCTGCTGTTTCCGAGGTCTATGAGCAAGTGGCCCGTGACGACTACGAAGCTGGCGACAGTTATGGGGCCCGTGATGTCTATGAGGATGATAAGAGTGATACCGAGTCCGTATCTCTCTCGGACGAACTCGCTCCGGTTCAGCCGGTGATGCGCAAGAAAGTTCACGAGGGTCACTGGTCTTTGCTGGTTCGCCTGGTGGTGCTTTTTTGCACTATCTTGGTTTTACTTCTCCGATTTGTTCGCCCATCGGATCCTGCGTTTTGGTTTCTCTCGCAGACATTGATCATCACGCCGTTCGAGGATTCGGCACCTCGAGATAATCACCCGGTCATCGAGATGCCTGATGATCTGCAAGGCAACTACACTTGGCTGGGGAATCATACAGCACTTGGGACTCCACCTGCTTTTGACTGGCTGCCTTCCGAACAGCTCGCTGGGTTTAGGGACTGGTACTCGAATTCGAGTCGTCCCCACGGATATACCCACTATGATCCTTCCAAAGATCCACTGCATATTTCCAATCTGGAAGAAGACATTCTCCAGCCTCTTCGCGAGGCCCTTCACAATGGTAGCGTCAACATCAAGCACATCCTCGTGTTTGAGCTGGAAAGCACCCGGGCGGATGTGTTTCCTCTGCGAAAGAAATCCTATATGGCTGAACGCATTCGAGAAACTTACAGCCATGGTCATCTCCCGGAAGATGTAGAGGAGCGGCTGGCTAACCTGACGCGTACCGCGGAGCGATTGACTGGCGTCCAGTCAGGATGGAAGAACTTTCCCCGTCAACAACCGTACGGTGGCATTCGTGCAACAGACTCCTACACTGGCGGTACATTCACTCTCAAAAGTATCACTGCTACTGTGTGTGGCCTTGTGCCATTGGTCGTCGACTTCAATCGCGAATATCTCCATCACATTTACCAGCCCTGCCTGCCGCAAATTCTCGGTGCGTTGAACGCGCAATCTAATCTCGAAAACATAACCGATAACTACACTTCATGGACCTGGCGTTCTTTGTCTATGCAGTCCATCACAGATAACTACGATAACCAGGATCTTCTGATCCCGAGGTTGGGCTTTGAAGACTCAGTGACCTCCGAAACTCTCGCTCACGACTTTGCCGAGAAGGGCATTGAGGGAGAGAAGTACAACTTCTGGGGATATACCGAAGATCAACTGGGCAGCTATTTCCGTGATGCTATCCTTGACGCTGAGAAGAAGCACGAGCGGCTATTTATTTCGCATCTGACCGGCATTTCGCATCATCCTTGGGACATGCCGGGTAACAAATATGAAAAGATGGTCGGTTGGAGCTTATTTGGGGGCAACAAGAAGTTGAACCGGTATCTGAACACCATTGGTTTCGTCGATCGATGGTTGGGCCAAGTCCTGGATATCCTTGAAGAGACTGGGGTGGCCAACGAGACTCTTGTCGTGATGACTGGTGACCAGTAAGATCTTCTGCATTCCATATTTCGACACAGTAACTAACCCACCCCAACAGCGGCATTTCCCTCGCCGAGGATGGTGGCGTCACGCCGTACGACAACCCCCATGTCTCCAATTTCCACGTGCCCCTGGTCTTTGCCCACCCCCATCTCCCTCCGATCGAAGTCAAAGACCGCGTCACTTCCATACAAATCCTCCCAACGATCCTTGATCTTCTCGTGGAATCCTCCTCCGTTGACGACAAGTCCATGCAGGCCTTGAAAGACCTACTCCCCCTGTACGAAGGACAATCCATGATCCGCGATCTCATTCCGCAAAAGGATGGAAAGCATAACTGGCAGTTCACTGTAATGAACACCGGCGGCACCTGGCTTGCTCTGCGCTCAGCTGCATACCCATATCGACTGGTTATCCCGCTTGTTCCCGATGTGGAGTGGCGGTTCTCGGATGTCGATGCAGATCCACGTGAATTGCACAATATTATGGCATTTGATCTGTCGACTTTGATCAAGATTGTCAGTGAGGAACGCACTGAGGATGTGGTGCAGTGGGTTAAGGATGCGGCCCATGTTGCGCAATGGTGGCTTTCTGAGAACTGGAGCCGCTATGAATATGTGCCAGAATGAACGGTGTTGCGGGTGAAACGACACAATCTACCCGAGGACTCTCTGTCCTATAGACACATCACAGCCTGTTCATCGCGGCGGGCGCTTTCTTCCTCTGAACCTCCTCGGTGTTAGAGGAAAGTATTGCGCTCAAAGTAATAACAGCCAACTGTGCCGGTGATGGCTAGTTACGGATATGGATTCACACTTCGCAAACCCACCTTCTTTGGGACCCACCAGAAGGGACATTGTGCACCCGTACAATTGCATATTCACAGAACTCTTGACGTTTCATCTGGAATCTGCGATATCTCGAGAACAACTCCTTGGTGCTATTTTAGCCTCCAATCGTGTCCTACGTGCCCCTTGTTTCGCAGCGGTCCAAGGCTCAACATCCTGAGAGGAAGATCTGAGTGTTTCCTTGATCTCCAAGGCAGTCCCAGACATTCAATCCAACCCCAGTCTGGGTCTCGAATAGATCTATGAGAATCTAATTGCATACGATATCATGAAATCTACCTAATTTGCATTCTTTCCTGTCAAAGTAAAAGTAACTCCACTTAAGTCTATTTACGACTGTTCGCGCCCAGGACTCAATAGCCCATCCTGCAATACCATATCTCAACCATGCTTCCACCTGGTGGTACAGCGCAACGATGTAACTATTGACTGAGCTAAAGCCTGCCGTATCCATCTACAAGGACCTAGGAACCAGGAACAGCGCGAACGAGCAATAGCCTCTACGGTATTTGGCTCGGTCTTCGCGTTCACATGTTCCGACGAGATGGATCTGGGCATCCGTGGATGGCGCCGTGTTGGTACGTAGATCCTTACGAGTCCCTATTATTGACTATCGTTTGCGACAATATCATCTCGAGCAAAAGAATAATAGTCCGGCTTACATCTATGACTATATCTCCAAAAGAATTTCACGCAGTCCATTCTTACCACACCGATGGTACACGTCCTCCTGAGAACCTGGCAAGTCTATCTTCGCTGAACTCAAAGCATTCAGGCAAGCCAGTATCACTCCAACATTTTCCAAGCACAAGTTTAGCAACACCGGGCGCGCAGGTGAAAATGCGTGCCATTCCTTCAATCGTCAGATATATCTGTCCAAAGCTCAGTATGGATCAACTCACCATGTCCGTTAAACCCGGCACATATATATTGCCCCGGCAATGATTCTATCTGCCCAACAAATGGAACCGAATCGCTGGTCATGGCAATAATCCCTGTCCATGCATGATCCAGGCCCTCTCCGTGTAGCATCCCCCCTGAGGCGAAGTCCGGAAAGATCTTGTTAAAGCTGAGAGTTGCGTCCTCTGCTATCTCCTTGTGGTAGTGTGAGTCGTCTATACTGAAACGGCTGGCAACTGTTTCCTCGCTTAGGTTTGGATTGGACCGTGATACTCCTAGTATCAGGGTTCCATCACCTTGTCGCTGGATGAGAGAGTAAAAGTGGTGAAGGCTGTAACGCAAGGAAAAGGTATTTTGCAGAGCATTTTCACCCGAAAATTCCGGCGTTGGGATCAAGGAATGAGCTTGCGCGCGGTTCGGCGTGACATAAGATTCCAGCCTTGGTAGAAGCTTAGCAACGTGCGCGTTGGTGCAGTGTATGATCTTTTCCGTGGTGACAATTCCTCGACGCGTATGCACGTCCCATAGGTCAGGTTTGGATTGATTTCGGTGTATCTCTGTCGCTGGACAAAACGTGAACAGCTTGACTCCTTTTGCAATTACAGCTTGGAGTAAGAAATGGGCCAGTTTTGCTGGGTGGCTGGATCCCGCTGGCCACTCGTATGCTGCTACTGCTCCCTTGATTCTCGTCTTTGCTTGCGCCTCTTCGCCTTCGTAGAATTTTATGTGCGAGGCATTGCCTCCTGCCTGCTTGAATGCTTCCAGACTCTGGGCCGCATATTCTGCAAATTCAGGAGTCATACAAACTTCAAGTGTGGTTGTTAAATTAAAGTCGCACGGAACGTTATACTTCTTCGTGAATTCATCAACCTTTCCCAGCACTAAGCGCTCGTTGGCGATGATTTTCAAGGCTTGCTCTTCTCCATGAACTTTAGAATAGGCACTGAATCCTCGGAAAGCATCTAAGGGGGTTAGAGTAGCCTGTGTACTGCTTTCGCCGAGAGTTTAGACATACCAGGTCGAACGTGTCCGGCATTCCGGGAACTGGCGCCACTTGCAGCCTCTCTCGCTTCAAGGATGATGATATCTTCCCCTTGGACACCGGCCACGAGGAGTTCAAAAGTTGTTAAGCCACCCGATATTCCGGAGCCGATGACCACGTACTTGGTCTTCGTTGGAACTTCTGTAGATTGATTTGCGTTCAAATGCGCAAATGCCCGAGTTGTTCGTTGCCAGTAACTCAGACATGGAGTTGAGAAGGGTAAATTGTTGGACATTTTTCTGGGGCAGCAGCAATCAGAATCAAAGATTGGACGTTCAGCCAAAGTTGTCACCGTCGAGTCTGAGACGCAACATATACGAAGAGGTAGGAGTGACTCGGTTTGCGGCCTTCGGTGCGGGCACTCGGTCGTAATCTTATCGTTCACTCGTCCAGCATTATCATGCCCCTCTTAACTCGCTTCGACCTTCACGTTGGACCACCCTTTCGTATCAACGCGGAACCTCGCCGAAGAATTCCCCGCCACGCCAAGGCACGCCGCCATTGGTGTGGGCAGCTATCAGCGCCTTCCCCTCAGATCGACACGAGCTCGGATATTGGCTACTACTGCAGATAGGTCATTTGACCGGGAAGGAAAACTATATCAAGCACCAGCCCCCGTTTTGGTACATTGTCCTCTTTTTATTTTCACATTTTCTTTGCAAATAACTATGCTCACTTTCAGATCGTTCAGGCGAACTGCGCCGGCTGACGAGTATGTGCGCTCTCCTGACGAGAAGGCGTTGGTACGCCGCCTGGACATGTTTCTCATGACATTTGGCTGTCTTTCCCAAGGTACAAACGTCAGGCTGAAAGCCAAGAGAGTGAGCTGACTTTTGCAGTCATCAAATATCTCGACCAGCAGAATATTAATAATGCCTATGTTTCTGGAATGATGGAGGACCTCCACTTATATGGCAATCAGTTGAACCTGTAAGTATCACAAAACACGCGGCAGCTTGTTTGTATTGATGTAACATAGTTTCACGACCTATTTCAATGCTGCATACTGTATCATGTTGATCCCGTCTCAGATTATCCTGACTTATGTTCGGCCCAGCTTCTGGTTACCTGGTCTCGAGATCATCTGGGGTGTTCTAACAGGACTTATCGCCATGACTACTAGCGCCAAACAAGTCTATGCCCTTCGTGTATTCCTAGGCCTCTGTGAAAGCAGTGCCTGGCCGGGAATGATAACCCTGTTTAGTAAGTTGTTTATTCTTCCAGACCGGTAATCGGGGGAGGTTCTGACTGATACAGTGTACTGGTATACCCCAACTGAACTTGCAAAACGGATGGGATTCTACCACTCATGCCAAGCTGTTGGCCAGATGTTGTCTGGGGCTCTACAAGCTGCCATCTCCGATACCATGGATGGTCACGGGGGACTGGCTGGTTGGCGCTGGCTGTTTGTGATCAATGCAATCATCACGGTTATATGGGGTTTCCTTGGGTTTTTCATGATCCCCGACCTCCCAAACAACCCCAATCCGCGTGCTTTCTGGTTCAAGAAAATCCATGCGGAGCTGTCCATGGAGCGTTTGGCACGAAACGGCCGCGCCGAGCCCAAGCACATGACATGGGCAGGTGTCAAGCGTACATTTTCTGGTTGGGTCGTTTACTTTATTGCGATTTTATACATTGCAACCGTCCTCGGCACCTATGGATACGTATACTTTTCGCTTTTCTTGAAGGCACTCAAGAATCCCGACGGCAGTCCTACCTGGAGCGTCTCGCAAGTCAATGCAATCCCAATCGGTGGTTCTGCTATCAATGTCGTTTTTGTCTGGATATGGGCACTGCTTTCTGATTTCCTGGAAACTCGGTGGACACTCATCGTTCTTCAGGGCATTATTGGCATTATACCGTGCATTATCATGAGCATCTGGACATCTCATCCGGATTCGGTCGCCTTATCCGCTGCTTATGCGTCCTACTTTATCTCCTACATCTGCCTTGGAACTGCACCCCTCATCTTCGCCTGGCTCTCTGATCTCATTCCACAGGATCCAGAGGCCCGCTCTTTGATTGTCGGTGTATCTGTTGCTGGTTACTATGCTATCTCAGCCTGGTCACAGGTCCTGGTTTGGCCTGCATCACAAGCACCATATTATAAGTATGGCTGGCAATCTGCACTTGCGCTGTTGGTTCTGGTCATTATCATGACATGCGTCCTTCGTTTTGTTGATGTCACATACTTGCTGCCAAAACGTGTAGCCTTTCGCGAAGAACTCGATGAGCAGGCTGCTCAGGGCAAGGGCAGCGTGTCTGCACCACCAGAACGCACCTTGGATGGTTCGAGCGGAAGTATCTATATTCAATCATGAATGTTTCCGAAGGGTATGATAAACCGCATGGAGATTTGCGCTTTTCTACGCGATCCTTTTCGTTAAGAGCTAGGACTTTAAAATTCCACCGATTAGATCCTCCAGCTACCTACCTATCTAGGCATTTCAGAATATTTAAGCCACCCGCAATAACCGCGTCACTACGACCCTCTGCCATTATCACCTCCGTTGCGCACGTCGGTTCTTTCCAGCTCATAAAAGTCGAACACGCTTTCGAAATATGTCATCACGTCCTGCTCGTCCCCCTCTTCGAGTTTCTTCAGAATACCCGTCTTGATTTCCTCTAGAATGCCAACGACACGCTTTCGTGAGTGGAAAGCGTCGTCCACGGCGTCAAGCTTTTCAATCTTCAAGCACAAGAACTGCCAATCAAGGTCTCGATCACGGATGTCTTCGAACTCTGTGAGGAAAGGCCTGGCTCGCCGACGCCAGTATGGATCTAGAAAGGGTGATTGGAACATTGACTGAAGGATTGGGAGAAAGCTATAATCCATATAGTCCAGGATCATGTAAAGGACCTCTCTGGGGAGTCTGGTCTGAAAATCGATGAGCGGCGATTTTCCCTGCGTTTGTCCTTTGCGGCGGAGCTGGCTCTCTTGAATAATTTCTGCTACTTCGGGGAGTAGAAATGGCTCTAATGAAGGCTTGTATATCAGGATCCGTATCATCCCCAGTGTGCTTCGGCTGCTCATTACCTTTTGCATCTTGGCATTCCTGGAAAACATCCCCATTCAGATTATAGTTTGCGCGGTAGGTATGCATAAGTGCTTCCATGAGAAATAGTCCGAGATTTTCTTCAGCGAGACAGCCCACATATTGCCGAGCAAGACACCAGCACCGCATATGAATTCCAGGAGAGATATCATGCCAATCCATTTCAGGGCTATAGTACCACGACCACCAGTTCGCACTATCGTGTGAAATTCGATATAAACTGGAGTCTGATATACGCGGGATCCCGATATAGGCAGTTTGCCGATCCCGTGGAGGTTGGTTAAAACATGTTGGCTTGCGACGCTCAGGAATCCTCAGTCGCTGTCCGATTCCTGATAAATGATATTGCTCACTGGAACGGTCGTACACAACTGATCAGCGGGAACCGAGTTAGTTGCAAAATCAACATGGGAATGTGATCCTTGACGTTCAACATACAGAGGCGAAAAAACCCACGCCAAGTATATTCATCTCCCGTAAAATATTTTTTCTCCAGTTCATTCTGATCAACATAAAGCATTTTTGAACGCCGTTTCACTCTGTAATGCTTTTCCCACTGGATGTCTTGACTGAAAATATCTTTTTCGGTGCCACCTACGCAGTTTTGGCCACATAGGACGCATGGGAGTTCCTCTGTTGATTCGGGCATTTTGGACGTAAGGACAGTGGACGATTGCAAACCTTGAAGTCTTCTATGATTTACATATTTCAAAACCAGTGCGGATTTTGGGGCATGTCGTGTCATTATTACCAGTAGATTGACCTACGAAACCTGAAATGTTCTTGACCAAGTACCTGTCTGGAAAAGCACTGGCTTGCGCCCTGGACCATGGATCAAAGCCAAAATTGAATATGGATTAGATTTGTTCATAAACATGTCTCCACTTTCCCCATCGCAGACAGTCCATTTTCCCTCCACTAAGTATGGTTGCCCTTGATTTCAAGCAGTCTGCTCTCGACCAAGTGCGATTCTGAGAAGATATTATACTTCCGCGAGCCCCTGAAAAATGCAGCTTCACCATTGATAAACCGGTGGAATCGATCCCGGTTTCCGAAAGCCACAATCCCGTAGATCGGGTGATTCCAGGTATTTGTAGCGGCAGTGGCAGCCATGTATTTCGTGAGTTGGTCACGGCCTTGCTTCCATGCTCCTTCCTCTCTGGACATTCACTTGCACTGGGTAATGAGGAAGACGCATTCGCTGCGGGCATGCTGTCCCGGTCGTGTAACCCACTGAGTAGTTTTCACGTCAATGTATCCCCCAACCACCAAGCCCTGGGATCGATGCACATATCCCTCGGCCTGGTTGAAGTAATGATTTAGGATTAGGGACCAAATTCCAGTGACTTTGCCCTCATAATCCTGCATATTCATCGAGTTAAACTCTTCCAGGAACGTTTGAAGCGTTGCATACTTTATACATTGTTAGTATTAATGAAAGCACTTATATATCATGAAGTACTCACATGCTGAGGGGAAGGGTTCGCCATCTTGACGAAGCAAGAGTGGATGGGCGAAATTTGAGTGGGATAGTTTGCTAATAAGCAGAGACGATGAGAGACGGCTCATTCCAGTTGATCAGGCACGGGTTCGTAGATGGTTCGTGGGGACAATTCAATGCAGAACCAGAGGAAAGAAAACACTCGGGCGAGTGACTGTGAGGAATGAGTGAGAGAGTGAGAAAGGGATGGGACGTAGGGACTTTTATAATTATCCCTAAGCTGAAATGGTGTATAGGCTCATCATTGTCTCTATTGACAACTAAACAGGAAATGATGAATAGGTCGTGTCTGTAAGCGAGACTGAACAACCAGAACTGGGAACAATGGTGTTTGTGAGTAGATTCTATTGTCTATAGGGCACAGCCTTAGAAGATCTTTCATTCATTGAATTTCCTTTATTCACAGAAGCCCAACTAGGTAAGACATGCATTAGGGGGGTTGGGCGGGGGTAACAAACGCTGTGTTGTCTCTATCAATTCCCATTCATCAAGCTAACAAAGGCCAAAAGAGCTACAGAAATAGCCCCTTTCCCTCTCTGTATAAATGCGTTTACAAGAACGATCGGTCTATCTTGCGCACATGAGATTTCTAGCTTGTTCGGAAGCAATCAAGTTATTCCATTGACACATATTCACCAATTCTGGCAATTCTGCCTAAGGGCGAATCAGGATATCTTCCACTCTCCACTCTCAGAGCCATTGATTCTTTTACCAAAGCATAAGGAAACGCAAGCGGGATGAAGACCAGGGAGACATAGGGAGCCTACTCAGAAGCGGAAGGGAACACCACAAAAGTGCAATACATGTGGTGAAGTTGGGTATGCACGAAGATCAAGTAAATTCCTAAGATAGAGGATGGGAGGGAGCACGGGAGACACTTTTCATTGCACAACTACTTTTCATTGCACAACGACTCAAAGGTCTCTAGACAGGCATCACAAAACAAAGAGATCACTACTGAGACGCCAGCAGTTCTTAGCATCCAACTTCGTATCACACGTTAAATTCACCTGCCTGTCTTTCACGAGGATCTTTTGTTTGCCTTGCTGACGCTTTTTGGTAACAACCACTTGCTCGGTGTCCATCAGGTTACGAAATAGGACCGACCTACACCGAATCTTACGAGCTAGGTTTATAAAAGAAGTCATGAATCTCTTTAAATGCCATGGCCGCACTTTCAATATGAAACAAACTCCAATAATGCAATGATGTTTCAATTCCCAAAATCCCCAACGCCAAACAGCGAGAAAGACAGGAGTGGCGTCCATCCTGGACGTTGTGGGTGCAAAACTCCATGTGCGCAGCGGAACAATGTTTAATTTGTAATGGCCTTCCTCCGAAGAACGCCCAATTGTTCGAGCCTCGCCCACGCTTGATTCATATCCAGACACTCCTCGCCGAGGGAAGGTCGCAGATCGAGGCCGTCCAGTCTATGCAGGGACCCGTCTGTTCCGGCGTAGAGAAGGAGCTCGAGGACTCTGCGGCGGAGACGGGTTGGTCGGTCGAGATGGGAAAGGTACTTTTGATCGGATTGTGGGTCGGCTGGGGGAACGGTGTATGGGTCGTCGACCTCGACGGGTCGATCGGGCTTTGTGCCGAGCTCCCAAGAGCCTGGATGGGACATCTGGTCGTCATCGTGCCCGAGGTCAGCCAGAGCATCTGAAAGATCTTGGCTGTTGTGTGGCCGGCGGATAACTGCCTTCGCGTCTGCTTTTAGCCTCTTGCGGTCGGTGTGGGTTGTACTTCCACTTCCAGTGACAGCGGGCGGGTAGAAGCCGACTGTAAGGGGATTGCCGCGGATGTCAAGTTTTCGTAGAGAGCATGCGCTGCCCTTAACAGTCCGTCCCAGTCGACTCAATACTTGACATACTCTTCGCATCCTTGACAGGCGATTCCCAGCTACTAGCAACCTGGAGAGGCAGTTCATTCCCACAAGTGACTCGATCTCGGCCACGGAGTTGAAGTTCAGGTTGAGAACTTTAACGTTGGGGAAGCTTGACGCAAAATCATCTGGGAGGTTTTGCAGCGCGCAAGCGGCGATGTCAAGCAGCTGCAGCCGCAGGAGTGGACATGATGGCGAGAGACTTTGGGAGGAAAGTTTGTTGGACGACAAGAAAACTTTGCGGATGTCCTTGACGACTCCAAGATCGATATCAAACTCGAAACTTCGGTCGTTGTCTGCAGCTGATGTCTGTTCGCGAACAGATAGTACTTCGATGTTGTGGCACTTTTCCAACCCAGCAACTGTTGAAAGGCAATTCTGGTCCAGGTAGACAAGATTCACGGACGGGAAAGCCGCCAAGTCCAGAGTCTCGAGTCGATTGTCAGAAAGTTTCAAAGCGCGCAAGCTGATGAGGGAAGGCCCCGCATCAAGGTGACGAATCCGATTGGAACTGAGATCGAGAGTGGCAAGGGATGGGAGCCAGTCGATATTGTGAACGGAGGTCAAACAGTTGTGACTTAAATCAAGATCCCGAAGACGAGTCCTTCGCAACAACAGATTAGCATGTACATTGTAACTGCCAAGCCCAAAAAAGTAACTCACAATTCAGCCCCTTCGAAGTCCACTTCGATCACAGAGTTGTTGCTCAGCTTCAGGCTCAGCAGCCCATTCAGGTCGAGTATTCCGTCGATGTTGCGAATCCGGTTGTCATCCGCCTTCAATTCCCGGAGGTGGATCAAACTGGAGAAGCCGTCCAAGGTCTCGATGTCATTTCCAGAGACGTCCACGTATTGCAGATTCATCAGATGGCCCCAGGGAGTGAGGTTAGAGAGGCAGTTGCGCGCAATCTTGAGGGTACGGAGGTTGGCAGGAACGCCACTTAGTTGGCCAATATGGTTGTCAGAAACATCTAGCTCTTCGAGACGCGGACAGAAATCGCTGAGCTTGTGCAGCGTGATCAGTCCTTTTTCTCGGAGAACCAGGCGCCGCACATGCTCCCAATATGGCTCATACGGTTCCACGTCGGTGATGTGTTTGACCAAGTCTTCAGTTGCCAGGGCGAAGGTGCCGTGCACCTGACGCAACGATGACGGGTTTGTGCGCTGGGCCACATAGCTCATTTCGAGGTTCAGAGGATTATCGGCTTGGTTAACGGAGAAATCCGCGAGTGGTGTGAGCTGGAAGCTGTAGCTCGTGTCCGGACCCGGGCTTTGCAGGGGAACCAAGGAATTCTCCACTCCATCTCTTGCAGGTGTTTGTTGAACAGCCAGTGAGTCGTTCCGACGAATGAGACTGGACTCAGCGCCCGCGTCCTCGTTGCCCTCTTCGATCCGGGAGATTGGATGTCGAACAAATGGCTTGTCTGCAGAGCTTTGTTGGTCTGTTTGGCCTGTATTCTCTGTCCCGGTGGGATTCGCTGGGCCAGAGCTCGACTCCGAAGCATGAAAACCATCCCCGTACGTGACATGTGAAACAAGAGGGGATGAGAAGCCGATAGTTGCCGTACGAGTCTGCTTTCCTGGTGGCCGTATATTGTCGGCAGAAGGGCCTCTTTTCGGCACGTCATCCGTGCCCCACGAGGTAGCCCGGGTCCCGGTGTTTGGAACGCTGGAGACGGTCGGTCGAGAGAATCTGGACTGCACCGAGCTTGTGTTGAGGGACAGCTCTCCATCTATTGTCTGCGGCCGAAGCTCGGAATCGTTGGTGACCACCTTATCAGCCATTGAACTGCGTGCATTGCCGTTTGCCAGAGGAGACTGGTTCTTGCTTTTCACAGGAGACTCGGGGCCATGAACTCTCAACATCTCCTGCAATTCATCCACGCTCAAATCTGGAATATTTCTGAAAGGATCGTCGTCAGTGTCATCGCCCCGAGAGGATTCTGGTGGCGGTTGCTCGGCGGCATCTTCTTTGACCCATAGATTCTTCAGCCGGTCATAGGTGAACCCATTGACTTGCTCGGGGATCAAGTGAGAGATTAGATCCGACGGCAACATGCCTTTCGCTTGAGAATTTTGTGACGAACCAGTCGGGACGGAGCGAACGCTGAAACCAGACATTTGTGTGTTGATGGTCATCAGGTCGTGGGCGATGCTCTCGGCGGCGTCCTCGATGGAACCACTGGGCTTGCGCTTTCGCTGTTCCTGCGAATGTTGGGGGATTGAGGCATTCTGAGAGTTGCTGTTCGTTCCTCGGTGCTGTTCTTGACCACGGTGGATATGGAGAGATGCAACTGATTCACCATATCCCGGGTCTTCTTTCTCTTGATACTTCTTCAGATGGCTCAAAATTTGCGGGTTCAGCTGCTTTGGCTCTCGAATCTTGCGCAGATCCGATCCATCACGGCTAGGAGGTCGAGAAAACGCTTCTCTAGTTGATTCGTCGTCATAACTGAGCTCGGCATCCTCGCTCTCCGGGTCAGACTCCTGAACACTAGTTAATTCAGATGTGTGCCGGCCTTTGGCTCGAATCAAATCCATAATCTTAGTCGCTTCATTCAGATAATCCTGGGTGGTGATGGATCCCTTCCGCGAAGCATCGCTCGCCGCGGTGACTTTGACCAGTGGGACTTCGCCCTCCATGGAAAACGAATCCGAGTAGTCAAGCTCATCAAATGGAGGTTCCGAAAAATTGCGAGTCGCAGATGTATTGTTATCCTGGCCAGCCCGTATCTGGCTGGGGGTTGGAGTTCTGGGCCGTGTTGTAGACTGGCCGGGAGCGGGAGGCGCCAGGTAGTTCCCATTCTCGAATTGCACTCCATGCTGCAAAAGACTTCGTTGTAGGAGAGACATGCTGTCGCCATACTGCGCGGCATATTCGCCCATTGAGTGAGCATGATCGGGCTCTGCACTATCGCGTAGTATCGTTCGGCGGCGTTTTGGAGTTGGGTCCATTCCGGGAGCCTTGGGGACTCTCTTGGTTTCGGGGAAGGCCATATTTTCCTTCTGATTCAAGACAGGAGCCCGGGTGGTATGCTGCAGCTCGCTCAAAAAGTTCTGTCGGGCCCACGCTGTTGGTTTTTGTGTGAAGCTAGAGCTACTGGATCTGGTAAGGCGGTGGTATTCCGACTGCGAGCCCCGGCGAAGGTACTTCCGCTGGCCAGATGCTTGTCTGCGTGAGGTTGGGCGGGATCCAAAGCCTTCATTTTCATCATACACCAATTTTGTCTCGTAGGGGCTGTTGTCCGAAAAATCGAAACTATCCAGTTCCCCGCGCCCAAAGCGGCTAATATGGGCCTTGAGAGCGCTCCGTGAGGCCAGGCGCTCGTTTCGCCCCGGGGTGATTTCACTCAATGGCTCGTGTCGCGCACTCAAGAAGCTCCGACTCTCTCCCTTACGCCGAGCTTCTTCTGAGGGCGAAGGCGGCTCCTCGCCATCGGACAGGTCGTCAAATGTCTCTTCAAACTGACTCATGCGGCGAAGCAGCCTATTGTTGGTGAACGTGTCATGCTCTCCAAACAACTTCAATGGACTGCCGGACGATGGCATAGCTTCGTCCCTTGTGGGTGGTGTGCCCCGTGATGCAGGTCGTACATGCGAAGAGGACGGTCGTGGTAGAGACGGAGGATCGTTCTGAGAGCGGGTAAAGAGAGGTGAACTGCGGATCTTAGAGTTGGCGAGTGAAGGTGACAGGCGATTAGAAGGAAAGGGCGAAGGAGAGAATCGATGGCGGAAAGAGCCGCGATTCACGATGCCTCGCCGGCTGAAATCCACCGTACCCATGGACAAGTCCTGTGGGAGAGAATGGCTTGTCGCATCCAGTAAGCTGTCTTCGCGAAGAGAGCTTTCCGGGTGTGGTTCACTGTGGTTGTAGAAGAGGCCACTGTCACTCACGGGCGAGTCAGGGCGGCTGCCAGGCTCCATCGATAAGCTCTCGAGTTTGTTGGTGACCTGTTTGAGAGCCGATTTGATCACTTCTGCCGTAGCATTGCCTCCCACCGTGTTCGTTCGGCTGAAGGTTATGGGAGTGATTCCCTCATTACGGAGATCCTCCAATCCACTGGCCGTCCGGAGCTGCGTATCACCCAGTGATAGTCCTGACGGATCCCGATTCTTGCGTTTATCTGGCCAAAGGGTCTGGTTCACGGTTCCTAGCGGCGAATCTGTTTCGTTGTCCACGCGTTTTTCCTCTTCACCTTCCTCCGCCACGCTGTCCCGGCGAGAAGTCGCGTCGGTGAAATCCCACAGCTGGTTGTCCTGTTTCGATAGCGGTATCGAGTCTTGTTGCGCGCTGGCAGAACCCGGCGTCGGTGGTTTGAACACGCTCTCCAGGCCCATGGGGGCAAAGAGGTCGCGTTGATCTGCACCAGATATTTCTCCGCGAAGTCGCCGGCGCCATTCTGGTGTCCCATCTTCCTGTGCGTTTGTTTTGGCCTTGATCTGGACGGTCCCCGACTGACTGGAGACATTCGACACCGACCGTAGCGGGGATCGGCTGTCCATCACCTGTTGTCTGCGTGCCGCTGCCGCCCCGGGGGTGGGCTTCGGGGTGGGCTTCGACGTGGGTTTAGGGCTCTTGGGGGTGGACTTGGGGGCAGGCGAACGAGGCTTCGGGGTTTTGGGGGATCGCGGTGACTTCGGGGTCGGAGGCTCCCTTTTGACGAAATGGCATGGTCGCGAAACCTTCTTTTTGCTGTCGGCCGGCGATTGTTGTTCGGCGGGCCGGCGTGCGGGCACTGGAATGCGACTCGGGGTGCCTGGCTGACTAGCTGGTACAGGGCTTGTGGGCGAGTTCGGGGACGAGGGCCAGTCGTCGGACAGACTGTCGAGCCAGGGCTGGGCCATTGTTATTGTCGCACACCTAGGCGCGCGACCGTGTAGAGGGACGCGCACTCGAGGGCAAAACAAAGGGATCCGGGATGGAGAGAGACATGAAACAAACAACAAACATGGGATGAGGAGAGTTGCGGAGGTTAACTATTAAGGGTGGGTTGTGGGGCCGTGTTTATGTTTGTTTCGCCCATCTAAACTATACGGTCGGGTTGGCAATAGGCAGTGGTCTGTTCAACACGGTTATTGTTATTATTATTATTATTATTATTATTTATATTTGAAAGGGCGTAGCGTATCTTGTCTGTACCATAATCAATATTATTATCCTTGTGGTTCATTGCGTACACGTCTGTGGCTGCTCAGCCCTAAAAATATATATCTTTTGCCTTTCCTCGTGTAAAGATCTAAAACTCAATGTGTCCAGCATGTTGACGGTATTAACTTTGCTGAAAGCCCTATTCAAAGTATGTGTTCCGCAAAAGCTTGCCAAGAAGATATTGCAAGGTGAATGATGACCTAGGGTCATAATGACAAGGTTAGTACAGACAAATATCTGGAAGAAGTGCTCACATTCGCGACGGGAGGGTTGTAAATATAACGTCATCATCACACGCTCTTGGTTTCTATGCCTCTTTTGGCTTCGAACTTTTCTCTTGACTCTTTTAAAGCGTCTCAGATGATACTGACAATCTTACTGGATACTTGATTCCAATCTTTGGGTCAATTAGCGACAATGGAGAAACGAGAAGTACAAGCGGGGCATAGGGTCGAGAGCTTTTGGGCCAAGATGCCTTTTCTGTCCTTGTCTCTTTTCCACAACAAAGTACAAGGGAGGCATAGGGTCAACAGATTTTGCGCCAAGATGGCTCTTATGTTATTCCCTCCTTTAAAGATACTTGCCTTCGAAGACAATATTCTACGCAAAATCTTCCAATACCTCCCCCTAGTCGACAAAGCGTGCCTATCGCTCAGCTGCAGAAAGTTATTTGACCTGTTTGGCACGATTTTGACACGAGGAGAATTTGCTTTCCCGCACCTTTTGGGCCTTCGAGTTCCTATACTGTGTGTCAACAGTAAAGAAGTGATACGAAACCAACTACTTCTTCGACTTGAAACTCACTTTTCGGGGTACTGCGCAAATTGCTTAAAGCTTCATCCACCCACGAATTCACTCAAGATCCACTCTATCCACGAAAAGGACTGAAAAAATATTTCCTCAGACATCCAGTTTTAGAGAGGTCTTGTACATACTACGCTGGCATATTTGACCTATGTCCATGTACCTCCACGATTCGAGAACGACAGCATATTCAAACTCCTTGAATCACCCACTACGCTACCCCGGACCTGCTATAGCCGCTTTGAATTTGGCTTTACTGGTCCGCCTGGTCTCCCTGCTTTCAGCCACTGTTGCTCATTTAGCACAGAAGACTATCGCGCGAGAATCGTTATACGTTTAACTACTGGCAGTTCGAACTACCCTGTGGCTGCCTGCAGAGTATTGTCTATTGTTTCTTGGTATACGATAAACTTCATTTCCAACACGTATCTCACAGCCGAGCCTATCCTGTGCTGTCCTCATCACGACCTTATGTCTCTGGTGCGCAGGGAGATAGTTGTCACAATGTGTCAGAAATGTGATACTACCATTGCCCAAGTGGCTGTAGTAGCATGCTTCATATGCAATCACTATCACGGCGCCTAGCCGAACGGGCAATAAGGTAGTTTAGTCGAGTGGACGTGGCTGTTTTGCCTAGCCAAGGCTGCGGACGAAGGGGGTAATACTGTAAGATCATAGTCGTTTCGCTAAAATTTGACCACTCACCGCAACCAATACGATCCCCCTGCCTGCTCAGCCATGACGCATCCTAGGCGGTAGTTGATTTTGATGATTTTTTGCCTAATTTGCACCTTCGCACCACCCAACCCATTTTCCCTCTCTCTCTCTGCCCTCTAGCTCCGGAAAGGCTACACTTTTCAAGGTGACTTATCTACTGTGCGAGGGCTTTTGGATTACCAAAGGCTATGCAGGTATTCCGACGGCTTTTCTCCCCACATCATTACCAAAATCGAAAATACACCACCATGCAATTGATTAATATTCTCCCACAGTTGTCGATTGTTGAGCTCGAAGGCGTCTCCTATTATGTGAGAAATCGTGTAGAGGTACAGGCAAATCTTTCTAGGGGATGGAACAGAGAGCTGAATTACCTATTATTTAGTACCTGCTGCCCGGGGCGAGAGCTGAGTTAAGCGGGTCTCTTGTGCCAGCAACGGTCATTCGTGTGCCCAGCGATGGAATATCCCTAGACGCAATTCAAGACAGTTTCAAAAGATTTCTCACAGAAGACGATGTTTTCCAAGACGGTTTCACGCGACATGGTTATCTCATCATCAAGCCAGCTACGCCAGAAACCCCAACCCAGACATTGCCAAAAGACGTGGAGGAATACCTTGCACAACGTCTGTTAAATCTAGTTTATCTAAAAGGGTCGGACAATCTTCCTCAAGGGCCTTACTTCGCTATGAACGGGAGGCTCCACCAGTCATGGAGGCTCTATCCTGATAACCTGGGGGCATTCACCACTGCAGTGATTCCTGATGATGACTCCACCCAAGAGCAAGGGTGTCCCACAACATTTAAGCCATTCCACACAGCGGCATTTACCGGATCTAATTCTGTTGTTCCTGTTCCTTCTCGCCTTTATTCCCAGAAGAACGCCGCACAACCCCTCGCCGGCATGCGTATCGCTATCAAAGACAACATGCACCTAAATGGTGTGACTACCACGCTCGGTAGCCGCTCCTACGCAGAACTTTATGGGAAACAACCTAAGTCGTCTCAATACGTGGACATTTTGATCCAAAAAGGTGCAATTATCGTCGGTAAGACGAAGATGTCAGCCTTTGCTGGATCGGAAGTACCCCCCACGGAGTGTATTGACTACTTCCCTCCTTGGAATCCTCGAGGAGATGGTTATCAGGGGCCATCAGGAAGCTCAAGCGGCGCAGCTGCGACAATCGCAGGGTATCCCTGGGTTGATATTTCTCTATGCACAGATAGTAAGTGATTATAAGATCGTTATAAAGTCAGACAACCTTGACTGAGAATATCCAAACTTAGCGACGGGAAGTATGCGCCACCCAGCATCCTGCCATGGTGTCTGGGGCCACAGAGCTACTTGGAACTCCTTGCCCATGAAAAACATCGTCCCATCTACCCCGTACGTTTACTCTGTCAAATTTGTTGTGCCATCTGAACATGTTTGTAAAAGCTCACATTTCACAGAGTATTTGATGCTCTAGGTATACTTTCTAGGTCTTCCTCGATGATTCAAGAGCTTCTGGCGTCTTCTAGATCATGGGATCCCATCCGAAATGTTGGCTTTGTCCTATCTACTTTGCTACCCACATGCAGCCAAAAAGCTAACTTGTCATTTTAGCCAACGGAGATAATATACCCGACAGATTGGTATCCATGCAATGATGAGAACATGCAACGAATGACTGAGGAGTTTCTCGCGGCGTTGGAGAACTACCTTGGCGTGAAACACACTAAAATTTCACTCATTGAATTGTGGACACAGACTGCTCCTGCAGGTCTGCATGACCGGGCCTTGGTCGATTTCCTTCGTGGTGTGAGTACTTTAAAAACATCTGTCTAACAGAATGCTAAAATATACATTTTGAATAAAGATCGCTGGGAAAGTCAATGTTTTTGATGGATATCACTCTTTCGATGATTTCCGTCGTGAGTACTCAGAAAAGTTTGGCAAAGAGCCGTACTTGAGCCCAACACAAAAGGAACGATGGTAATATACGTCACTCTCATTCATTTGGAGATAAACCAAGGTTAACATGAGCATAGGGAGGACGGCGCCGCTGTGTCTAACGAAGACCGAGAAGAGTCTATTGCGAAGATAGACATTTTCAAGGCATGGGTTATGGACCATGTGTTGGAAGTCAATGATGGTAATACTATGAGGGTGATGCTTGTGCCCCAAGGACGTCCCGGAGCGAACTACCGGGACGGCACCCCCGGCACGTAAGTTTTACTCCTGAAAATCTATAGCCACGCAAAAATTATACTGGCTAACAGCATTGTTTTTGTGACACAGGAAAGTTGACAAGCAACCCTACTCCCCAATATTTGCCATCTCCATGATCGGTGGACCGCAGATTGTCATACCCAGTATGTCTACATGCTCCGATCATAAATCACCGTTCTCTCTCACTTGGTACTGACAGGTTGTAGTTGGTCAAAACAAATATGATTCTGTAATTTCCGGCCAGAAAGAATATGCTCCAATCATGACCACCTTAGTAGGACCTAAAGGTCAGTCAATTCCCAGCCTCGTGCTGAATTTGAGGCTAAGTCTTTATGCAGACAGCGATTTGACGCTTTTGTCTATCGCCGAGGAAACTCTGAAAATGGCATCCTGGCAGTCTACCCTCCTCACCGGCAGGCACATGCTGCGCGTCGGAGAGAACAGCCGTAATGCGCAAGCAGCGGACGCGTCTAAGCTTTAATTCCTACCAGTGTGTTAATTCTTCTAGTCTTCATTATAGATCTTGAATATCTATTCTTATGAACGGTGATATGCTTTTTTTTTCACGGATCAGGATCCTCAGTTCAAAGGTGGAGGAATGGGACGAATGAGAACGCTGGAAAGGAAATAAAACACTGCAACTAATCATATGTGCAAGTTAATTGAGATACATATAACCATAAAAATGTTAAAGCTTGGGGAGTTGAAATGTCATAAACAAGAGAATATGCCAATTAAAATGAGTTTCCGGTAGAATCAAACCGACGGCCTCAATCCACCATATCACGGCGCTTGGAGAACACTTTTGCCTGGAAACCGAGATATGGTACATACCGCCGGCCGACTGCCATTATCTGAGGGAATAAGATAGAAAGCACAGTAAAGGGCAATGCGACTGCAAAATAAAGCGAGAGCCTCGGGCCCGATTCTACAAGCTCTTGCACATTCATTCCAAACAATGATGCAATTAGACTCAAGGGAAGAAACAAATAAGCCAGGTAACTAATAACCTGGGTGCGCTGAGCCTGCGCCATGCTTCTTCGAGAGTCCGCGATGCTGATGGTATTCATAGCAATGCCGACCGAATCGCTACATAACTTGGAAAGCTTACCTGCTTCCTCTTGGAGGAACTGGAAATCTTTCATAAGTCGCGTGGCGGTTTCGGTAGGATCTCTGTCAAGGTCGGGTTGGGTGCTACCCATGTCTCTTGCCTCATTCCTCTCACCGATAAACCGAATAACATCGTCAAAGTATTGTACGGCGCGGTCCAAGACCTTTTTGTCTGCACGAAGACACCCAGCTTGATATTCTGGGTCCCCGGACATGACTTCATGTGAAGCACGTATAAAGCTGAGGAATTTGGCCCATGAGAGAGCCGATGTATCCAGAAGGTCAGCGACAAAGACAAACCAATCTCTCTGACACATGATTTGTTCAGATTGAGACATTATGCAGTCAGCCATTGAGCGGGAAAGAAATGGTTCGGGGCGAAGAAAGCGGGGATCATTGCCGTCTCGGCGCTGCGTTTGCCATTCCATGGAGGAGGGGCCAGATGTGCTGACGGGATGAAAATGCACATCAGGCGCAACGGCCGTCCAGGGTGGTATTCTGTTCATCCGACCAGAGTCACTGAGAAGGATGCCGGACCAGCCTTTGTCGACTGCCGATTCGAGATAGGGGAAGAATGTGGCTTGTTGCTCGACGGAGAAGAACCCAGCGTCATGGAGATTTACTCCACGAAAGACGTCCACTCCAGCCCGTTGGTTCTCCAGGCACTCTTGACAGTGACTCTGCATTTTTTCGGCAAGCTTTTCGGACAATCCAGCCATGGTTCTGGGGTGCGGTGGCTGTTGAAAAACAAAAGAGCCCAGACTGATGAACCGGACTATCACGACGTTACTTCTGCGTGAGGGTAGAGGGCGTATTCGAAACGACTTGGAAAATTCCAGATGCTCTAACAGGTCTTTTGCCGGTAGATTGAGTCTGTTCCCAAGGCCATGAAGAAATGCTAGTTTGGGGACTCCCCTGATGACAGTTATCATGCCGGGTGTGGATGATTCAACTGAATCGAGAGGGATTCCCTCCTGTGAGGGGGGTTTATCCAGAGCACCGATAATCTTGCTGGCCTCGATGTAGTCTGCGAGACGCATGGTGAATGCATCGCTGCCCGGAGTGATTTTCGAAGCGTCGCCATTTGCTAGGATGGAACGGATGGGACGGTTCCGGCTTTGTTGATCGAAGAGACCAACACTGAGCAATGATAGTATCTCGTCTCTCCACCTTTTATCCATCACCAATAAAGCGTAGCAGTTGAACCGGATTAGATAAAATCTTCAGGGAGGGAAAGGGATTGTTATATACGGCCTGGCTAAGCCTCACTCCCGGAGGACTAGTGGTGGCTAAGCGCAGATGCCAAGAAGTCTGAGTGTTTTGAATGATCTGAGAAGAGCCCATGATTTCAGTGAAATATGTACAAATATAATAATATTATTAAGTCAAGTTTATTGTCCATACCGAGCCCTAAAGCACGTTTCTGAGGCGTAGGCCGACCCGCAGGGCACAAACATATGAAGTGCATTAGTCTTCCAACCTGGTCACTTCATTAACTAACATCCCACAGCCCATCTTATTCAACAATTACCATATCACGAATCAGTTACCATGATTGCCAACAGCCACCAAACTTTGATACAAACAAAATTCTCTTCTCAAGCCTTCATGTAGTTAACCAAGTTAACTAACTAAATCAGTGGATGTTATGTCAGCACCGTTGCCCGGGCATCCAACTGCGCGCGTTAAGTGCTTTTTCGTGTCCAGGCAGCACAGCGAATTTCCTCTTCATCTGCCAGCGATGACGCTCGGCCATCACCGCTGCTATATTACTTGGCTACTTCGCTGCAGTGCTCAACTGCCGCACTCCCCAGCCCGCCCGCCATCCCACCCCGATGCCATACCCGCGGCCGGTCTCCCCGATCAGTCTCGAAACCTGCGCCCCGCCTGCCTCGGACATAGACCTCGACGGCGTGCTGGGCTCCGACGATGAGCTGGACGATGATGCCGGGGCTGCAAAGCGTCAGAGGATCGAGAGGCTGGCCGAGTCGTACCTGGAGGGCAAGCCGCTCTTCATTCTCTCCGCATCTCTTCGCGGACCCTTTGACAAGGACTGGGTGAACCCATGGAGGAAGAACAGGAAGGTTGGGACAAGCACAGGTTCCACAAAGGGGCAGACTGCAGGCCGTGTGGTACAAGAAACAGACTTGCAGCACGCAAGGCGCCGCGAGGCCTTGACGGTCAATTCACGACTCTTTCGACAGACTGCTGTGCTACCACCGAGTCCCTCAGCACAAAGGCGATGCTCTTCATCGCGTTTCAAATCCGATCGAAAGACACCTACCACCGCATTACGCCAAGGGGAAAGACAGGTCCAGCTCTCACCCGGCAAATCGAGACAAGTGTCGGTGGACGAAGTCGATGAACCGTTCTTTGCTGTCCCAACGGCACCGGACTGGCTAAAGAAGGACCGTCAGCGAATGAACTTTTTGAAGTTTGATCCTCCTAGCTCTCCAACAACCAAGGTTGCTTCGCGGAAAGCAGAGGACAAGCGTCGTGGGCCCGAATTGTCTCCATCTCGCTTGCGAACCCCTACGGCGATGCCCATGAACATACAACCGCAAAACCATCCTCCAGACACATCGGCCCATTCTACTCGATCAGCTGCAAATGTTTCCCAACAACCTTCAGCGTCTACTAAGGATGAGCCCCAAGATCCGTCGCTCCGAGTTATCTCTTCGTCGTCTCAGTTACCTCGATTTGAGTATCGTCGATGGCACCACACATGCAGTGAACCAGCCCAGCCAAAGTCCCCTAGCTGCGCGGATGCAGATGAATATCTTCACGCGAACTCAATATCCAAAGACCGATATACGGACGCTGCTGCTCCCTACCACATAAAAGAGCCTCCCATGGTCCCTGCACTGCTTAGCATGGATGAGGGACCCAAAAGTCTTCGGTTCGCCGATAATCCAGATGTCTCAAAGGGGAATACCGCGCAGCTACCAGTCTCGACCGAAGAGAATTCTTGTGAAAACCTGCCTTCCGCGCAGGAAGTACCAGCACCTCCTGGTGTATCAGACCGCATTACTTCATTGCATTCGACAATGGTGCATAAGGCTGATACCGAAAACGGCTCAGATCACAGTCCTGGCACCCAACTTTCGACGCAAGCCGCCCTGATACATGCGCAGAAGTCGTTCCAAGATGACCTGGAGAGCCCAGATCCAAATGACCAAACAGCACCAGGCCGGAAACGACCTGCCTCGCGGTCACCCAGCAACTCACCTCATCTCTACCATACCACCCCCTTTGCCCGTATCGAGGCTTCACATCAAACTGAATTGACTCGGACCTCCAATGCTATCAACAAAGATATGCTTCCGGCCTTGAGCACGCAATGCATGATCGACGCAGCCACTCCTTATGCCTTCAGCACCGTCAAGAAACTCAGGACGTACCGAGCAGGGTCACCGACAAACCCAGCCAGTGCCCCAGCACCTGCAGCTCCTCCTTCCAATGACCTCGAGAGTGTCTATCAGACTGCGCATTCCAGTACAGGAGGAGGTAGCCCGCGGCTGACAGGCCAACAGTCAAACCGTCCATTGGCACTTCGGTCAGGCACGCAAGCAACCTCATTACCGTTTACCCTGAGCGAGTCCACGCCTGCCACTGCGCAGGATGGGCAGGGAGTACATCCCGAGAGCTTCAACCTAAGCCAGGCAATAGCCGAAGCCGGGAGCTGGCTCCAGCAGAGCTTTGATTTCATGAGAGAGTCGTCGAGACAGCCGAGCCAAGCTGGGAAAGCACCGTCCTCGGGCGATGCACATCCGTCTGCGCTGGATTTGGACCTGGCGCGCTAGAGAATAATAGACGACCAACGAATTCTTTACGAATGATGACGATCGATGAATATATATTTTTTTCCGTTGATAAGCAATATCCGTTGTAGTCGTAGTTCTAGTTCGGGTAACTTAACTTGGTTCCTGAGTTAGTAAGCGTCGCGGGGAGAGCTGCGGCCAGCTTCATCTCTTCCCTTGTTCATCCCCCCATGGCGCGCCCAAATGGCCTTGACATCAGTGCGTTTGAGACCTGCTTTTTCGAGATGTAGATACTGACTATTTCTTCTCAGTGGAAAGCATTCAACTTCATCGACGTCTCCCCGGTCAAGCTACCGGAGGAGAGCACCTCCGTCTTCAGTGTAAGGCTCCCCTCCCACCTCTCCTGCTGCTGCGGAATGCCAATGACGCTGACCTCGACAGAGCGATCTTGCCAGCCTGTGCACCGGGTCTGCGAATCTGTTCCTCGGCACCACCGATGGCTTCGTTCACATCGTATCGTCGGCCTTCCGGGTTCTCCGAACGTTCAAGGCCTACGATGCCGGCTCCATTACGCACATGAAGCAGATCGGCGGGACGTCGTTGCTAGTAACCATAGCAGAGGATCTGCTGAACGAACCAGTATTGAAAGTCTGGGCGCTGGACACCGAGAAGAAGGGTGGTGGGCCGAGGTGCTTGTCGACGGTGTCAGTGCAGAATGCTAGGAGACAGTTTCCGGTGCGACCCTGGAGTTGGCACTCATTTTTAGTGACGGCGCGTTGACTTTAAACACAGATTTCTGCCTTTGCGACTGTCGAGGATCTTTCCCAGGTGGCAGTTGGGTTTGCGAACGGGTCGGTGTCGATTATCCGCGGCGACTTCATTCACGACCGTGGCGCGCGACAGCGGATTGTGTTTGAGTCGGAAGAACCAATCACGGGACTCGAAATCCAGAATGGCGCTATCACCACGCTGTACATCTCGACGACGAGTCGGATCTTAACTCAGGTCATTGCGGGGAGAGGACAGGGGCAACCAGCGCGTGTCCTAGAGGACTCGGGCTGTGCGGTGCGGTGCATGACGCTGGACAAGGAAGGCGGGGATATTCTGATTGCTAGAGAGGACGCCATATATACCTACGGCATACGGGGCCGTGGACCGAGCTATGCCTTTGAAAGCCCAAAGACATCCATCAATGCCTTTCAAGACTACGTGGCACTGGTCTGTCCGCCCAAAGCTGGATCTTCAAAGACGGACCCGCTGCGGAAATATGGCGTCAATCCGGCGGATGAGATCTTCGGGTCGACCACGTTCACCTTGCTTGATACCGACCTCAAGTTCATCGCGCACAGCGAATCACTGTCCTCGCCGATGAAACACATCTTTATTGAATGGGGCGATCTCTTCTTGCTCACGACCGATGGAAAGATCTTCCGGTACCGAGAAAAGACGCTTCAGCAGAAGCTGGAAATCCTCTACGAGCGCAACCTCTACATCCTGGCCATTAATCTTGCCCAAAAGATCGGCATTGACGCCCTGCAGCAGAATGCAATCTATCGAAAATACGGCGACTTTCTGTATCAAAGGGGTGACTACGACACTGCCATGCAGCAGTATCTTCGGGCCATTGCCAACACTGAACCATCGCAGGTTATTCGCAAGGTGAGAAGATTTTCTAGTCCATGCCGCTGCACCGCTGACTTTTGATACTAGTATCTGGATACGCAACGCATCCACAATCTAATTGAGTACCTGGAAGAATTACATGATCATGGCCGCGCCACTGTCGACCACACCACGCTTCTGTTAAATTGCTACGCCAAGTTGAAGGATACGAGCAAGTTGGACTCATTTATCAAGGCTCCTGGTGAGCTGAAATTTGATCTGGAAACTGCTATCGCCATGTGTCGCCAGGGCGGATACTATGAGCAAGCAGCCTACCTGGCTACGAAGCATGGCGAAAACGACATGGTCGTTGATATTTTGATTGAGGACTCGAAGAAATATGCCGAAGCCGTCGAATATATCTGGCGACTAGACCCCGAAGTGGTATGTTGAGACATTGACATTGATATGGACAACAGACTAATTGATTCCAGGCATATTACAATCTGATGAAATATGCCCGGGTGTTAATGGCCCATTGCCCCCAGAGAACCACAGAGCTCTTCAAAGCTTATTACACGGGCCAATACCAGCCACGCACAGAGGTGGAATTGCCTCTTGAGCCCCAGGCTCAGCCAACAAGTACTGTCCAAAGTCTTGCGGCTTTCCTCCCGCTCCGATATATGACCGTCGGAACTAGCACGCGGTCTCAAGCCCAAGTATCCGAAACGGCGGCCACGGAAGATCAACTTGTAACACCAGCGCCGGACTACGAAGTCCCGAAGCCACGGACGGCCTTCTCTGCGTTTGTAGATCATCCGCAGGAATTCATCGACTTCTTGGAAACGCTGGTGCAGCAGCCTGACCTAAAGGAAGAGTCTAAGGTGGATCTCTTCACAACACTGTTTGAGATGTACCTGGACACAGCCAACAGCAAGAAAGATGCCACAGAGAAGCAAGAATGGGAAAAGAAGGCCAAAAAGCTGATCGAGGGCAAAGATGTGAGTTTGCAAGCTTGAAATTGATGATTTCCTACTGACATGGCCAGATCCCCATCTCAACATCCAACGTCTTACTCCTTTCCGACCTGTCCAACTTCCGAGAAGGCTCCACGCTCGTCCGCGAGCAGGAAGGTCTACGGCTAGACATCTTCCGCTCTTTCACTGCTGCCAAGGATACCCAGGGTGCCATCACGGCACTACGACGGTACGGGCCTGATGAGCCCCAGCTCTACATTGACGCATTGACGTATTTTGCTTCGAGCCCTCAGATCCTGGAGGAAGCGGGCGATGAGCTGGACGCGGTTCTCCGACGCATTGACGAAGACGGTCTTCTCTCACCGCTGCAAGTGATTCAGGCACTGAGTAACAACGCCGTGGTATCGATGGGCCGCGTTAAGAAGTACCTCAGCGAGAACATCGACCGTGAACGCAAGGACATCAACAACGTAAGTCTCGTATCTACTTGCCCCTACTTGTCCCTTCAAACCTAACCCAGTGCACCAAAAGAACCGCCGCCTAATCACAAGCTACAAATCCGAAACCGCCATAAAGCAAAAAGAACTCGAATCCCTCTCCACCCAACCCGTCGTCTTCCAATCGCGCCGCTGCCAAGCCTGCGGCGGGTCCCTGGACCTACCAGCCGTGCATTTCCTCTGCAAACACTCCTTCCACGAGCGGTGTCTCAACAAGATCGACGACGACGCCCAATGCCCCGTCTGCGCCCCGACTAACGACACACTCCGCGCCATCCGTCAGCGGCAGGTCGAGTCTGCAGATCAGCATGATCTGTTCCGGGGGAGCTGTCGCGCTCGCGGGATGGGTTTGGCGTTGTGAGTGAGTTTTTCGGGAGGGGAGTTATGCGGGCTCAGAATACGATGGAGCGGTGACGGCTAGAGGGTGGTGGTCCCTCTGTATTTTCTTTCGTTTGTTTAGGAACCTTGGAAGACATGTGGATATTTTCGATACCTCGATATATTTTTGACGCCTCGTCTGTAGTCAATCTCAATAATGGAGTCTTCTGATGTTTGTAAGGAAACCGAGTGTCTTCCCTTTTGCGACGCATCGGAATTTCGTGCCCAGAAGGAACGGAGGTCAAGGGGTGGCTGGAAATGCAATAATGGAATCAAGATACGGGCCGTAGAGATCTGAGACTACAGGCTAGCCGTTGGCTGCGCTCCTAGTACTTACGGCGATCTTCTCATGGTCCTCGTTCATGGGCGTTCCGTGGCTCTATCACGGATCTAAACGATCAAAGCGAGGATCTCTATACAGCCCTTTGCTATGATGGGCCGATATTCATTCTTTGTATAGCTTTTCCTCACTTGGTCGAGTTTCAACACATTCCGCCCGAATACTAGTGTCATGACATAGTAATGTATATCGTGAATTCGCTCTGCTCTAATAGCCGTAATATAATAGTCGTGGTTGGAACATATGGTATGGGAATCAGAAAGAAAAACAAACTCCTAGAGTCAATTTGACCTGGCTCAGAAATTGCATGCCACACCAACTCGGCACAGAGTGCCTCGTATGCACAGGCTGAGGAACAAGAGCTAGATACAAGCAAGGGAACGGGGGCGTATGCAAAACAAGCGCTATGCAGGAAAGAGGAACTAACGACAGACTTTATTGTGCAACAAATAAAGCCTAAGAATCACGAATCACGACCCATCTCACCACCCCATGAAATACGCGGGCGATGGCGACTGGTAGACTGAGAGCCAGACCCAGATCCAGAGGCCGAGGACTGGTCTGCGCCCGGGCTGGGACGACTTCCGGGCTGGACTTCGTCGGCGAACTGCACCTTATTGCTGGGCACCCGACGAGGCTCGCCATTATCCTCGCTATCGGAATCTTCAATGGCGGCATCTGAATCAGAAGCGGAATCGTTGCCTATTTCACCCAGTGCAGCTAGACGGCGACGACGCTCGGCAGGGGTCTCGCCGGTGTCGTCGTCGGCCTGGCGTGGTGGAGCGCTGAGGCCGGCTGCTTGGCGAAGACGAGAAGGTGGAACACGCTCGGTACCATCGTCGTCGGAATCACGACGCGAACGCACTCGGGCGGGAGGCGCGGGACTGAGGTTGCTGCGCCGTTCTTGGGCGGAGGTGCCCCGGGTGAACCTGGCGAGCGACGCTGCCACGCTGGGGCTGGGAGCGTTGCCGCGGTTTTCGGAATCCTCGTCGCTCACTTCGCTGCCTGTGACCGACTCAGTTGAGAGGCTTTCGTCCCCTGCCTCTGGAATGGCGCCAGAGGCGGCTGAACTAGTAGCAGCGCCTGCCATGGAGAGACGGCGTTCCTGTTTCTCTTCCTTGTTGGCTTCGTGTTGAGCGACTTGTTGGACGGGGGCCGGCGCGTCCGTTTGCTGGACCAGATCCCGGCGGGCCCTGGCATCCATGCCTCTCAGCTGCTCGAAGAATTCCTGTTTGTTCATGCGACGGCCAGCATGGCCAATGCCAACGCCCTGGGCGCTAATATCCTGATTCTGTGCTACCGTAAACCGTAGTCCGTCGTCCAAGGCCCAATCTTCCGTGTCGGTTCTCGGCGCGGCCTTCTTCTTCTGGCCCCGCCAGGCCTGGGAGGCTTCCCCTTCCTCCTCCCTGCCCAACCACGTTCCCATACGGTTCAGACCGCGCCGGAGTTGTGCCTGTGAAGAGGGTCCAGCTTCGGCCTCGGGTTTGGGCTTGGGCTTGGGCTTGGTTTTATCGCGCTCGCTGCCCGGGATAGTGTATTTCTTCAGAACTTCACCATCCTCATCCTCGACGATGATAGTGTTACCAAACTGGTATGCATGAGCAGACCGAGCTTTCTGCTTGGGGGCAGGCTCTGGCTTCTGGCTTGGCCCCTCCTCTGTCTCTTTGGCACGGCCCTTGCCAAGGCTGGTCCAGTTGGTCCACTTCTTGAGTTTCTGATATGGCTGACCGGCCGACTCATTGACAGCATGCTGGATTTCTTCTCCTTCGGTCTTCTCGTGAGGTTGACTCCGAGAGGGGGCAAACTTCCCAGACGTGTCCTTCATCAGACGTGTGCGCTGCTCCTCGATATGTTGTTTTTGTTCCTCGGGACTTAGGTGACTGGTATCTTCGGTCTTGAGCACGTTGCCTTCTTCATCCTCGATGACCATTTTATGGCCCTCTTGGTAAACCTCGATCCCAGGCTCGCGACCATACCGGTCTCGTTCAGCAGTCGGTGGAGAGGTTCCGCGCTCAACATGATCACGATCTTCCAGCTCATTCTTCTCTTCGTCGGATTCGGTCTCAAGGCGCGTTACTGGTGCGATTGCCGACTGACTGATCGGTCCACCGGCATCTGCATGGCGTTTGCTACGACGTCTCCTTTTCAGAGATGTCCGGTTGGGAGACTGAGTACTTTGAACCTCACTGTCATCGTCACGCACGCGTCGAAGGAAGTTGCCAGGCATACCGATGGGAGGTAATGTCCCAGGAGCATACTCGGGCAGCTTTTCATCGGACGGTGCATCCAACTCGTCGGGCTTTCGAAATGACATGGACCCCTTCGCCAGCGACTGTACCCTGGGCAGCCGGTTCATCCAAGAAGGACCCTCCTCGTTGGCTTGAGTGTAGGAGAGCGTGATGGTCAAGGTGTTGATGCGTTTGCCCAGCGTGAACACAGCAATGGATGACCCGTGCACCAGGATGGAGGATATAACCATGAAGGTGGTTATGGGCCAAATCAGTTGTATGATATAGTAATTTTTGGTCCCTGCTTTCGGCAGTTCACTCTGAGGTAAGGGGTTGGTACTGTCGTTTTCCAATTCGGCTCGGGCGAGGATCGCGGCGAAAATGGCGCCGACACCAATGGGACCGAAATGGCCCGCAAAAAGTGCCTCACGCCACGTTTTGACATCAGGTATAATCGGTTTGAGTAGAAGCATGATCGGAATGCGGCGAAAGAAGATCACCAAGATCGCAATCACCACAAGCCTCCAGGGGACCAACCCAATTTCGGGGGAGTTGTAGTCGCCCCATGGTATGATAGACCCAAAGTAGACAAAGTATGCCAGATTGAGTAGTAGATCAATGACATTGGAAACGTGCGACTCTTCAGTCTTCTCCGTGAACCAGCCATCGTTGCTGAAGCCGACACCGCACGAGAATCCGATCAGCAGATCGTCCATACCGAGCAAACTCCCCGATCCGGCACAGAAAACCGCCAGAACAAAATAGAAGACCAGGAAACTCTCGCGGTCAATCAGACCTTTGCGTTCCGCCAATTTGATCGCATGACGCGCCCCGTAGCCGATCAGGAATCCGTAGACGGCGCCGAAGATACATTCGTACAAAATCGTCACACAGAACCAGTTCAGCGAGACTTCTCCGGCATCCGGTCGGTAGCGTAGAATATAGAATGCGAGGTAGATAAACGGGAAGGCCATGCCGTCGTTACATCCGGACTCGGCAGACAGCACGTCCCGCAAATGCTTGGGGACACGCTTGGCGAACTTGCCCTTACCGACGACGGACGAAGCCAAGACGGGGTCGGTCGCGGTGACACAGGCGGCGCAGACCAAGCTCTCGAGCCAGTTCAACGGCGGCACCAACCACCAGATAAACAGACTGGTCATCAGCCAGCCCCAGGTCATGACGGGGACGAGCAGCAGCACGACGGACTTCCAATGTCTTTCCATGTAGGCTTTGGGCAACTCGACGCCGACGGCGAAACACTGCACTACCAGGACAATGCGCGAGCATTCGAGCGTGATCTTGTCGACATTCCCCCACTCGCGTGGATTGAAGAGGTTGGCCGCACTGGGGCCAAAGATGATGCCGCAGATGGTGGCTACTGTAGCTTCGCCGATGTAGAGTTTCTCCTTCACAAACAGCGAGCACAGCATGAACAAGCCCGTGAAGCCGCCGAGGATCATGTACGCCAAATGCGGCTTGTCGATGTCCAGGTGGTCCCACGCCATGGTGCTTTATGTTCTCCACGACACACAATTACCAGAGTTATTCCCTCCTCGAACGTCGCAGTTCCGCGTGGCTCTTCATGCCTTGGGGGGGGATTCGGCGACGGGGGATGGGCACTGCGACAGGGTGTGAGAAAGGAAGAAAGGAAACAGGGCTAGGCAGAAAGAGACTGACCTCCCAAGACTCTTGGCGGAATAGAAAAGGGCAGGATTCTCGCAAGACGGAGGAGGAGGGTCGAGAACGGCGGGATTATTCGTCAGCCCGAACTCTTGTCGCCCCACGTCGAAAGCGGAACTGGGCTTGGCCGGGCGGAGGCCGGGAAAACAAATCGGAGGCATTCGACGCAGGAACTATGCAGGGAGGCGGAATTTTCTCGATTGGGATTGACGCTCAAGATATGCAAGAACCAGAAGAAAGGGAAGATGCCCGTTTTATTCTCTTTAGTTTCTGTTCCGACTGGAGCTGGAAGGGGATCAACCAATACGTCACGATCAGCCCTAAGGGTGCGCAGCGATTATTGGTCACTGGGTGGCTTGGGGCTCCACTTGGCGGTCAGATCCAGTATGATAGATTATACCGATCTATAGACTCCCGGTGCTGCCCGATACAGTAGTCTACAAGACCAGAGACTGGAGAAGTAGATAGATAGTGTAGCAGGAGAACTGCTCTCTGACATGTCGGGGCCAACTGGAAGATCGACAGGAGAACCAGAGGGACGGGGATGGACGACCGAAAAGAAGAGAATGAAACGAATGGAGTATGCGGGGGAGTAGATGTACAATCAATTTGTGTCGAAGCTACGTGGATTGTAACAAAACCTGGAAATAACAGACAGACAGAGCCACCTGATGACACGGGAACTGCAAGGACAAACAAACAACATGCACTGGTTTCGGGTGGATTCCAAACATCCGCCACAAAGCCTCTGGGAATACGAACGACAGGCAACACACACATCAGGACATATGCCGAGGTTAGTAACAAGAAAAAGAGCAAAATAAAACAAGATCAAGCTGCAAATCCTTCTCCGCTTCCTGCGCACACCGGCGGATATAACAAAACAGAGCACCGGATTGGGAAAGATGGTATGTACGACGATGCCCGGGGTGAAACAGTCTACTCGCCAACCGGCATCCCCTCGATCTCGTCACTCAGTCTGCGCCAATTGTCCGCTTGCAATTCGGAGTACTTGACGCGCTCCTGGCTCCAATCCTGGTGTAGGTGGCTGATGTGGTACTGGCTCCGTTGGAAATGGACGAGCTCGTCACGAATGCACTCCTTGATGAACACCCCGCGCGCATGTTGTTCAACGATCGATTCTTTGTCCTGTAGGACCAACAGAGTCAGTAGCCGAGTCTCATCAAAAAAGAACCTGAGTGTTACCTTGAAAATGGCATCCTCCACCTTTTCAATCTCCCCTGGCTTGGCAGCCCCCGCGGGGCGCGCACGAAGGTCCTGCAGTTTACGTTCGTTGGTTTCAATGCGCCGTTCCAGCTGGGGGATGTTGTTGTGGGCAAAACGGTCCCGCCGATCGAACATTTCGCGCACGCTAACCAGGCAGTCACGCTGCTGCTTCAAGTCCTCCAGCACCCCGTCCGACCAGGCCCGAGCTTCGTCCTCCAACAAGCTCTGACTGGTGGAGAGATGACGCGCGGTTGCCGTGATGCCCTCGTTGAGCGCCGGGATATCATTGGAGTCGACTGCGTAAGTGTCCTTGGTGACTTCGGTAAGGGACTGCAGGGCAAGCGAGAACCGCAGGTGGTCGGCAGCCAGGCCGTCATTGCGCTTGGACAATCGCTCAAGCAGGGTGCACAGGTTAATATAAATCTCAGCGGACCGCTTCACCCCGCTGCGAACGGTCTCAAATGTGTCGGTGAGAGTCACCGGCAGCGAGTCTTCAAGATCTGGAGGCAGAGAGCGGCCGACAAATTCATCCTGGACAGAGATGGTGGCCTGCTTGCGCCAAATAGAAAGCTCCTGTCGCAACCATTAGCAATTTGTCAAGTACCAATACGAAACATTCGCAGACTCACCGTGGGAACGGTCAAAAACATGACCACCAACTGCTCCTGGCCGAGCACGGGATGACGAACAAGGGCATTGGTGAACCGCACGAGTCCCCGACGACGCTTCTCGAGAAAAGAATTGGAATCCGCTGAAAGGTGAGTACCATTAACTTTAGAAGAGTGAGCAAACGGTGAGCGCTTGAAGCAGCGTCAAACATACCTGACACACGTTTCGGTGGGAGAAGGGGCAATTGTCGGAAGGGAAAGCGCTTTTGCAGACAGTCCAACAGCCACACGAAATCGCTGTATCGCCGGACTACCGTACTGCCTCGCCGTGCCGACTTGACCTCGTAGTTGCGATGCTGGAACATAAACATGCCCTCCTTCTCCGGCAGGAGAGTGACGGTGATCGTCTCCTCTACTTGCAGGTTGGCAGAACGGCTAATCCCAAGTGACCGTCGTCGAGGCACGATGTCGCCTGGATCATCGCCTGGAGGGCCAAACCCTCCCAGTGCGCGCTCTGCGCCGCCAAATCCACCGTCACCCGGGGGCGTGGCGCCAAAACTGGCCCCCCACCCGCCTCCGGAGTTGGGCGGCACCGGATCGGTTTGGCCGTTGGCATGTTCGCGCGGCACTTCATCATGTCCACTTTCTTCGGTGTGCCCTCTCGACCAAGCGTTTGTTGTAGATCGCACGCTTGAGTAGCCATTCAACCCACGGGTGTCCGTTGCCTCATGACTGTGGCCCTGATGTAGCTCTGGGCTCGCCCACGGATCCGACTCTAGCGCGCCAAGTGAATTCCGTTTTAACCGTTGCGACCGTGTCGAGCCTGGCTCTTGAGGTACTGTCGTAGAAGCCGGCGGAGTAACTGGGCGTTCTTGCTCGGGCTTAGAGGGATGTTCGCGGTTCGTTCGCAGCCGATCAAAATAGCCACTTTTCGGCTGAGGCAGTTCTGGGTGGATTGATCAAGAGTCAGCGACAATCAGCACAATTAGCTGCATTAGAATTAATACATACTTTTGCGACGATCATCCACCGCATCAAAGGACAGATCTTCGCCTTCCTGCGCTAGGCCCACCAGCGCCAACAAGACATTGAACTCATTGCGCCCCAGTCCATTGAAGCTCTCATTGTCCCCCGTTACCACCAGATTGAGGACTGCACCTTGATCAGATGCAGTGAGCCCACTGCTAGACAGGATTTCGCGGATGGAGGTCAATCCGACGCCCGAGCCGACCCTGTCTCCGCTGTTCAGGACCAGGTCGTAAGCATCGACGTAGCTCTCCGGCACATCGGTCGCGGGCAGTAGGTTTCGGATGAGGTCACGCCGCGCGGTCCGTTTGGCGGTATTATTCGTAGGATTCCATGCCGAGGGGGAGCTGTCGTCGCCGTCGTCGTCTGCGAAGAGGGACGAGGAGGCACCGGTGCCTTGGTCGTCCGCGAAGAGGGAGGACTTCGATCTATGAGCGGAGTTGGCCGCAGAGGGTTCGTCCGGGGAGGTGCCGAACAAAGACATCGGGGAAACCGGCGATGCAGGTGATGGAAGGCACCGACGAAGGGGAGGCGTGAGTGGAGGCGGAGACTGCGATGACGCTTGGGGGTGTTGATCAAGCGGAGCTCGGTCGGAGGGCACGGACTCCACGAAATGGTTGTTATCGGTACTTGGGCGAGGCTGGGGGGCTCGCCCGAATCAATGTACCAGATACAACTCAGGCTACTACTGTCTATACTCGTTAAATTGCCTCAATCACTATGGATTTAGGTGCAAGTATTTTTCACTAAGGTGGGAGACTCGTAGAAAGAAGATAAGCACTGGCCAAAATATATATTTGACCCGGTGTAGCAAGGCATGGACTACGAACTCGGGATATCCCTCCCACTGCATATGAACTAGTCTAAAAAGACCTAACAAATCCCCAGACCAGGTGACAGTGCGTATCTGATTCAAAGTCGGAACGAGATCCCGACCGTTGTGGCTATCTATGCATGCTCATGGAGGACCATCGTGGACAAGCATGAAGATCCCCCCGCTCGGGATCACCTCCCGATGGTCGAGATGCCTAGTACACAGGGGTGAGCTGCACCGTATTTAAATATTAGCAAGCAGAATTGCCAGTATTTCTATATCTTTGCGACTAGCACGGTCTCAATCCATACAACCACTATGCGGCTCCTAACCCCAACGCGGACCGTTGGTCTGAACCGGCTCAAGCCTGGCTTGGCCTACATACCTGCGCGAAGACAATTGACCCTGCTGAGCCCGCCAAAATTCGAGAATGAGAAAATGGTAAGCATGGAGACAACGGACTGAATGGTGCCAATCTAACAAATGAATAGCTCGATTACGCGAAAGGGTCTCCAGAACGAGCGGAATTGACCAAGAAGATCAAAAAGATGAAAGAGGGATTCCCATTCAAAATCCCAATCACAATCAATGGCACAGAGGTATGCCAGTCTCCAATGAAAAATTGATGGCATGGACCTAACAATGGTCTGCGCAGGTCCAAACACAGCAGTCTCTCTCTCAACTGAACCCTTCCAAGCATAGCGAGATCGTGGCCAACTATGCCTCCGCTACCCCCGTACAAGTAAACGCCGCCGTTGATGCAGCCCTCAAAGCCAAACCCGCCTGGGAGGCCACCCCCTTTGAAGACCGAGCCGCCATCTTCCTGCGTGCCTGCGAGCTTCTCACGGGCAGGTATCGCTCCGAGATAGTCGCAGCAACCATGCTCGGCCAGGGCAAGAACATCTGGCAAGCTGAGATTGATGCAGCTGCGGAGACGGCGGACTTTTTCCGTCACTACATTCAAGAGGCATGGGCGCTTTACGCGCAACAGCCGAGGGTTCAACTCGATGGAAATTGGAACAAACTTGAGTACCGGCCGCTGGAGGGCTTCACCTATGCGATTGCTCCATTCAACTTCACTGCACTGGGAGCCACGCTAGTCGGCCCGTCTGCATTGCTTGGAAATGTGGTTATCTGGAAACCTTCAGACTATGCTATTCATGCTAGCTGGCTGCTTCACAAAATTCTTCTCGAAGCCGGTCTCCCCAAAGATGTGATTCAGTTCATCCCTGGCGATGCCGAGCAAATCACAAACGCTATACTCAAAAGACCCGAATTCAGTGCTCTGACTTTTATTGGATCTACCGCCACTTTCAAAGGAATCCAAAAGAAGATCGGAGATGGAATTGGCCAAGGGATTTACAAATCTTATCCTCGCGTTGTGGGCGAGACCGGCGGCAAGAATTGGGGCGTCGTACACCCGTCTGCGGATGTACGAAGTGCTGCTCTCAACACTATCCGTGCTGCATTTGAATACCAAGGCCAGAAGTGTTCTGCTAATTCACGTGTTTATATCGCCGAGTCCGTTTGGCCTGAATTTCAAAAGCATTTGAAAGAAGAGGTTGCCGCGCTAAAGGTCGGGGATGTAGAGGATTACAGCAACTTCATCAACCCAGTAATTCACGAGCGGTCCTTCGACAAGCTAAACAAGTTCATGGCGGATGCAAAGACAGACTCCGAGCTGGAACTCATTCTCGGCGGCAAGGCCTCCAAGAAAGATGGATTCTATGTCCACCCCACTGTCTACAAGACATCCAACCCACGGCATAGAATAATGTCCGAAGAGCTCTTTGGACCATTGCTCGGTGTCTATGTCTATCCAGACGCTGAATGGGAGCAGACCCTGAAGCTGATTGACACTACTTCGCGCTATGGCCTGACAGGCAGTATCTTTGCCAACGATCCATATGCCAGTCGCCAAGCGCAGACCATTCTCAAGCATGCTGCTGGTATGCTATACCTTAACACCAAGTGCACTGGTTCTACTGTGGCACAACAGCCGTTTGGTGGCAGCCGGGATTCAGGCACAAATGACAAGACGGGAACTATGGCCCATTTGCAGAGATTCGTCAGCACTCGGACAATCAAGGAGGAATTCGTGCCGTTGGAGAAAGTTCAGTATCCTTCTAATGAGATTTAATATGGAGAATTACTAGAATATGCGGATAGGAATCTCCTAAGATAACCCTTTCCTTATGCTGTTCCTACGCAACATTGAAGACTATTCAATAGTACGTAGCGGAGAACCTCAAGAGTGTGTATCGGAGAATTCCTGCGGCATTTAAATTTATAAATATCCAGCTTATGGAAAGGCAACTCATATCTTCTTAAGGCTAGACATTCTTGGCTTTTCATTTCACATTTTTCTCATAACCCCCTCGGGACAAGTTACTGGATCCTCATACGTGGGATATATCTGCTCCGACACAGACGGGACTGGTTAACGAACTGGTTATGATAACGCTGCTGCATCCAACCGGCACACCCGGGCCGGTGGTGATAGGAAGATGAGGGGTAATTCATACTGTTCCAAATACCATTGATAATAGAATCAAAAGAGCGCCTCCTCGGTGTCATGTCCGGCCTAGCCATTATTTTGACTCGAGAAGGCCTCCCGCACCCTCGGTCGGCCATCCCGACCAGAGTCGGCTGACTATCGGAAATCCAGTCTCTTGGAGACCCGTGCAACAATTATCCTCTATAGACGTATTTTGCAGGCGATCAGTAGATATGCTTTTTAAGGTGAAAATTTGCCGCAAGGCCGTCATCTTGTTGACCACTGTAGCGCAGCACCGCAAGCGAGCAGATTATTGACGCCTTTTCTTCTTTTTGACTGTCAATACAATGCTTGCTTTCTCAACTGGTCTGCGAGCTTCACTTGGACTTTCCTCCAGGCACGTTCCTTTCTTATTATCCCCCGGCTATCGCTCAACGAAGTACTTCATTCATGATGCTGCTCTCCGACCTCTACCCATGAAACCAGCTTTGGAGGTTTCGTCTATGGCGAGACTTCCGACACCATTTTTACTACGATCCTTGGTCTTAACCTCCTTAATGTCGTCCAACCTTTTCCTTCGACCCGCCCTAGCCCTGCTGAAAGTTCTCACCACTTCGAAGTCTATTTTCCTGAACCCAGATCGGAACCCTATATTGAACAGACTTCTCCGATGGACAGTTTACAATCACTTTTGTGCGGGAACAAATCACCGAGAAGTCTCGAAAACTGTTGCGGAAGTGAAGAAAATTGGATACCAAGGTGTCATACTGGGATACTCGAAGGAGATCGTGTTGGATCCCAACGAGAAGCTGGCTGTGGACGAGACTGGTTCCACTCATTATAGCGAGAGATGCTATGAAGTAGTGGAAGAATGGAAACAAGGCACTTTGGAGACTCTGCGTATGGTAGGATCCGGTGACTTTCTTGCTGTGAAGTGAGTATACTTTCTTACTTTTTGTTTGCTATACAATGCTAACAGGTACCACACCCTAGACTGACTGGAGCTGGTCCAATAGCTGTCGATGCTATGAGGGCGCGCTGGCCCATGCCGGAGGTGATGGCAAAAGCCGTGGATGAGATCTGTGCTGCATCTATAGAGCAGGGATCTCGACTCTGGCTGGACGCTGAACAACAAATTCTCCAACGCGGCCTGGATGACTGGGCTATTGAGATAATGCGCAAACACAACCGTGAGAAAACACCCTTGGTCTATAACACTATTCAGGGCTATCTCAAGGAATCGAAGGCAAACCTCGACTATCATATTACACTGGCCGCCAAAGAAGGCTGGTCTTTGGGAATCAAGTTGGTACGAGGCGCGTACATTGAACATGAGGTTCGCTCTCTTATCCACGATACCAAGGAGGAAACGGATCAGTCCTACGATTTGATTGCAGATACTCTGATCTGTCGAAACCTTCCAGAAGAAGCTAAAGATCTGCAATTCCCCTCCGCTGCCCTCTTCCTGGCCACCCACAATGCGGCCAGTGCAGCAAAGGCCATTGCTACCCACCAAGGACGTCTTCATACAAAGCAGCCTACAATTCCGCTTGAATGTGGACAGATACAAGGAATGGCTGACGAGTTGGGTTGTGAACTGGTGCAAAATTATGAACAGGCTTTAGCCCAGTCCTCTATGTCGAACGTGACTGTTCCTAAAGCTTTTAAGTGTATGGCGTGGGGTTCTGTTGCGGAATGCATGGGGTATTTGCACCGTCGGGCAATCGAAAACCGAGGTGCGGTTGAGCGTACACATCATATGGCGGATGCTTTGCGAAAAGAGATGTGGCGAAGGATGTTTGCGCGAGCCTGAGGCGATAAGACATGAACTATAACCCAAATCAAACCCAGATCCCAATCTCCTTATGCCGGGACTTCTTTTTAGGGCACCCCCCAATCAGGTGATTTCAGCTAGAACCGATAAGCGTTGGCCTTCATCGGCAGACCAACCCGACCGATAAGCTCGAACCCCGCAGTATGCTGGCACTGATATCGGAAGGGTGCCCCGGCCGCTTTTTTGCGTCTTGTCCTTCCAACTACTTCGGTAGATTTGCCCGAAATAATGCCTCCTACAGCGGTTAAGACTAAGAAATGCGTGAGGGCGTAAGTATTCAATCAAAATAAGGAAGACCAAGAAAAAGAAACTGGGGAGAAGCTGACCTTCATTAAAGATGCGAGCGATGTCGGGGCATGAAAGTGAAGTGTTCTGGATCTCAGCCCTGCACAAGATGTGCACGCAAAAAAAGGCCCTGTCACTTCCCAGCTGAAGATGTCCGTATCTCAGTTTCAGAAAAGTGAGTATCATGATACTAGTTGAAGTTGCCCAGTACTTACGGCGAGGTTTAGATATTTGCGGCAATTGGAAGAGCATATTTCCAGGAATGCGGGTTCCATGCCGTACATTGGCGCGGAACAAGCTAATCCATTGGCGGAATCGCCGTTTGTTCGCGACGAGAATGGTGATCTCGTCTCCATCCCTCGTCCCCCACACCTGCAGATGGAAAATCGGCGAGAGACCCCGTTACGAACAATAACCGATAGTAAGCACTGTCTCGAAGAGAAAGAAAAGTGTTTGCAGGAAGTTTTTTCTGACGTGATGGATAACAGGACTTGACCGTCGTTTGCCCAGAGCAGAATCTCCCCGTCGGGATGATTCCGAGAGCGAGCAAGAGCGTCATCGCTCACGATTTTCGCGCAATCCTCTTGTCGAGAAAGACTGCTCATTTGCCCAGACACCAGATGGGCGACTTTGTAAGTTCAGCAGCTATTTAATGGGAAACTCCCCTGCTCACAAGATTAACAGGGTACATGGGACCAACATCATCGTGGTCGTTCTGCCGGCGTGTTCTCGCTCTAATCGGAAGACGTGTTCCAGAATCAAACTGCCCGCCAGATCCATGGTGCGTAGATGGCATGGCATTTAAACTCCAATGGAAGCCCCTTCCTCCCGACGAGGTGCCAGATGTCTCCAACCTGCCACCTTTGGACTATTCACTGTTCTTGTTCAATACAGTGAAGTTCTATTTTGGATTTTTATCCTTTATGATTGACGAGTCAGTCTATCTTCGCCACTTACATGAGTTCTACAAAGATCCAGGAGCAAAAGCCACATCAGCACGGCCATGGTACTCCCAATTCCTGCTCGTCCTTGCTTTTGGAAAGGTCTTCCTTACACACAAAAATCCGGGCGGGTCTCCCCCAGGGCACCAATACGCTTCCAGAGCAATGGCCTTACTACCTGATCTGTCGGCCATGCATGAGGACGCGTTAACCTGCATTCAGACGTTGAGCCTAGCAGCAGTATACTTGCAATCCATCGACATGAGGCGAGCAGCCTTTCAACATGTGAGACAGATGGCGGTTGATGACGGTGAAATATCGACTGACCTATTTCAACAGATTGGACAGGCTTTACGCTATTGCATTATTGAAGGGATACATCGACACGTGCCAGAAGAAATCTGCGGCCCTGAACTCTCCCATCGCTGCCGGACTATCTTTTGGGTAGTTTATATGTTAGACAGAGAGTTCTCTGCTCTGATAGGGGCGCCTAGTTCTATTCGAGACGAAGATATCACTGTGAAGCTGCCCGCAGATGTGGAGCAGTCCGTGGAAAATACTAACTTGACACTGCATGTGCGATTGTCCCATTTGATGGCACGGACTCTTACCAGTAAGTCCAGATGAACATAGTTTCCCACTGGGTATCTAACATGAATATCAGCGGTCTATGGGGTGGGCAAAGAATTTGACGGAACTCTCATCCGAAATACGCAGTCTCTTCTCCATGACTTGGCAGAATTGTCCCATGATTTGACCGAGTTCTTAAATACGCATTTCCATGGGCTAATTAGCCGGGCCTCGAAAATGGCAGTTCGACTCATGCTAGCCCACCACCATGTGAGCATGAGAAAATCCGACAAAAGAGATTCAAAGCTGACTGCTCTAGTGTATTGTCCTCACAACTCGGCCACTGGTAATGTGTGCTCTACACATGCATATCGAAGGGACAGAGACACAAAAGTCTCCGCCGATTTCGTTATCATCGCCAGTCGCGTCGCTTCTGCAATGCTGTGCTGATTCAGCCCAGACAATCCTTCAGACCCTTCGAACGTTAGCTGACGATGACTTAGTGGGTGCGTGCTTTCCAGGTGCATTAGACTGCTACAGTGTTAACATTTACTCACCAGATGCCTTTCTCCCATTCCAGATCGAGGACGCTTCATCATCAGCTTTTGTGCTATATCTGATCCATGCTATTGCCCCGTCACTTATTTCCAATGATGCGTGGTCCGAAAATCTTGACTGTGTTTTGAATAAACTTATTGCGAAGGGTAATCTTGCAGCACCCCTTCGCAGGTTGGAATTGAGACAACTAGAGATCATACTGGCACCGCTAACGCCAAGAAACACAACTCTTCAACTTCCCAAACTCACTCCATTGAACAATACTGGAAGCATTGAGGATGTTGAGGATGTGTATGCTTTTGATGAAGTTAACATGGGCGAAGAATTCGGGTGGGATGTGCTTGCTCTCAATTCTTCCGTTAGTTTGCCTCCACAGGAATTGTTGGACTTGGCGGATCAGTTGGATATGGACGGAATCATGTAATCTGTTGAGACTTTGGTGCTTTCAATCTCGTTCGCATAATTGCTATGTTTTGTAATGTGCTTAAACCCTTTTTCGCGTTTCAAATCGTTCCTGTCATCATTGTTAAGATTGTCAGAGTCACATGCCGCTGTACCAGCTGTCGACAGTTGCCAACCACAAATAATAATGTCTGCTCTGAGCGGCTGCTATCCTAACAGGGTAGAACGAACACGCGAGACAATCATCATGCTTAGCGTCTCAGGCGGGAAGTCGCACAGACGATCTGGCGCTAACTTACAGTAGAAGTCTGTTGTACTCCGTAAATGAGATGGACCACTCATCATTCACCGATGAAACGATTTTGCATTTGTCTCAGCAAAATTCTAGTTATCTTTTATCACTAGTTCCCACTAGCGGGAACGGGAAGCAATAGTGATGTTTACCGCCCGCTTCATCCTACCTTTTTTCTTGGCTATCTCGTCTAGTTTCTCGAAAACCGGCTTCTTAGTCGTTTCCGGGTAGTATAAGGACCTGTTGGCTCCCATTGAGTTCGCGCCGAGTTATGGCGAGGGCTACGTACAACAAGCTTTTCAATAGTAAATGCAATTTTCTGATCGAGAAAGCTATGTTTAGGCGTCACCGGCCAGGTCCCAATGGGGCCAATGACGATCCCAATGACGATCCCACGCGATTGATTGGCCAGGGTTAGTGCGTTTCAACCTCCCTCCCACATACAAATGTTGGCGGTTGGAGGAGCCATACTCATAAACTAGCACAATCCGAGTTGGAGTCACGGAAAGTACTAGGGTCATGTCTAAAGGGGGAAATTGAAACCATCGGCAGTCTACCATATGGCCTGTCTAAGCGACAATTCGCAAAAATATAAATGCGCTACGTATACGCAGGTAAAGCATCATCATACACTCGGGCCAGTGGGACCAATATAATTGGCATTGATGTTTCACATGTATGCCGTCGCCAAGGATACGGGTGGACCGATGGGGTCGAAGTTGTCATTTGCGCATAGGCCTCTGTGATCTCCCAAATTTTTACCCATCTTCGAGTTCCAGACCGTGCTTATCACGCGTAAAATTGAGACCGCGGGAGCGCGGTGCTTGACAAGCCTTCTAAGGCTCGGGGTTGGCCTATGATTTAGCGGCGCTTGCGTTTTCGTGGGTACTTTGATAGGTAAATAAATATCTTCGGTCATTTTGCCATGTCAATCTGGACAGCTCCCTTCATTGCACGCCATTTCTGCCCATAAAATGCGACCTAGTTTGTCTGCTGGTCAGATAATTGGCATAAGCCTGGTTATCACTATTCGCTTCTCCCAGGCGTTGGTACCACGCACACAGATTGGGGATGTTTATGACTTCATTGTTGTGGGAGGTGGTCTAGCCGGACTTGTGCTTGGTGCCCGTCTTTCGGAGGACACCAATCATACTGTCCTTGTCCTTGAATCAGGCGGAAATGGAGACGACTATCGAGAACGTATAGGTGTGCAGCCATTCTGTTCGGTCACTCCACAGAGCATGCTAGACTAATACGGGCGAAGATACACCGGCATATGCGTACTTTGACTCCCTCTGGACTACGCCTCTGAATTGGGCATTCTGGACGGTCCCTCAACCAAATGCGGCAAATCGTGAGATTTATTGGCCTCGTGGCAAGGTCCTTGGAGGTTCGTATCTGCGACTCGGCCACCAGAAAGAGGTTGACACGCAAAAAATGAAGGCAGCTCCGCCATCAACGGGCTTTATATGACCCGTCCAGGTGAGAACGAGATAAATGCATGGAAAGGGATGCTCGGAGACATGGACGGCGCTGAAAATTGGTCGTGGGACTCATTCTACGCTGCTATGAAGAAAAGTGAAACATTCATTCCCCCAATTGATGCTGTGATTCAAGAGGCAGATATTACATGGAATGCATCAAATCATGGCACTACAGGGCCAATCTGTGCATCGTATCCTGGCTTGTATGCTGGATCCTTTTCTCTCAATTTCATGCAACTAAGATTTTCCCAGGACGTTTCCCCAAGTTGGCCAGTGGTCAAAGTCTTGTGAGAGTATTGGAGTTGATATTTCTGCCAACATGTACGACGGTCAGAACTGGGGTGCCGAAGTCTCAACCTCCGCTATCAATCGTCAAAACTGGACGCGTTCCTACAGTCGCACTGGTTATCTCGACCCGCTTCCGGACCGAGGAAATTACGACGTGTTAGCCAATGCTCATGTTACTCGCATTCTCTTCGACAGCTCCTCCGCTCCAGATAAATTAACAGCGAATGCTGTCGAGTACACACCTGATGATGGAACGACAACATTGACGGTCAAAGTAAACAAAGAAGTCATCGTCGCGGGTGGCTCTATAGGCAGCCCGGCTGTCCTGCTCCATAGCGGTGTTGGTCCCAAGGACGTCCTCTCTAGTGCAGGTGTTGACCTTGTCTCTGAACTCCCTGGTGTCGGCCAACATCTCCAGGATCATTTTGTAAGTGATTTTCGTCCCTATAAAAACGAACTTTTGTCTTACTATAATAGAGTGCCACCGTGAAATGGAATGCTGACGTGGAAACTGCGGGTTCTACTTTCTACGATGATGGTAGCCAGAGGGTTCGTGTTGCGCTGTCAGGATTCACCTTGATCATGGTCTAACTGCTACAGAATAATCCTCTCTTTCTCTCATATGTTGATTCTGCTGTCGCCTATGTGAACACGACCACTATATACGGCAGTCACATTCAAGAGCTCCAGACAAACATATTAGCTCAAATGGAGGAATATGCACCGAACACAACATACGATGCTGGTGTCGTCGCTGGTTACAAGGCAATTTATAATACGACGGCATCGAAGATATTTAGCAGCCCTACAGGTCAGATCGAGCTCCTGTTCATGAATAGTGATGGCAACGGCGACATCGGTATTACGGTCGCTCTCCAGCATCCATACAGCCACGGCCGTATCTACATCAACTCTTCGAACCCAATGGACTACCCTGTCATTGACCCGAATTATCTGGATAATCCAGCCGGTATGCTTTGTTTTGTCACGAGGACGGAGTCGAGGAGACTGACAAATTGGGCAGATTGTGAGATACTACGCGACGGTCTAAAACTCGCACGTCAATTAGGTGAAACCGAACCGTTGAGTAGCAGCTTCACAAGCGAGTTGTCCCCGGGTTCATCCGTCCAGACTGATGCAGAGTGGGGGGACTGGCTGCGTGGGGCCGGTGGCACCGAATTCCATCCATCGTCGTCATGCGCAATGCTCCCTCGTGAACAAGGTGGAGTCGTCGACGCAAACCTTCGCGTGTATGGCCTTGCAAACGTCCGAATTGCGGATGCCAGTGTTCCGCCCATTGCCTTGTCTACGCATCTGATGGCGTCAACGTACGGGTTGGCTGAGCAAGCCAGCACCATAATTCGAGATTTCTGGAATAGACCATCCGCGGCATGGTCTTCTTCCATTTCAACTCCGACGGCTAAGTCGCGTCACACAACAGGCACCGGAAACCAGGGTAGCGGAAAGAGCAACCAGAGCGACCAGAGCAACAATGGCAACAGGAACACTACTTCGTTGAGCCTTTGGATATCCCTTCTGGTTGCTGTCGCATGCTGCGGTCACCTTTAATTCACCCCTCTAGCCTGCTGTGGGAATTTGCTTTCTAGCCGGATCTACACGATCGTATACGAAGAAATGACAGCTCATATTTGAACAATTTGAATAAAACAACCTATTTACCTCAACTAAGCACTTCAGCACGCCTCTCAACCAAACCAAATAATATCTGTTCTGGAATTACTCAGCTTGGGATCAAGGGTTCCGCGGAAAAGAAATCCTGACAGCGGTAGGGAGGGCAAAGGACGGCAGATCTTTCGAAGCATCGGGTGATGATTCTCTACGGCAAGAATGTGAGTGGTTTTTCTAGCTGGGGGTTGGTAATCTGGTGCCTATATGATGAATGATTTGTGGATCGACTGTGGAGACAGGGTTTACCGTTTACTCCGTTTTATCTCAATAAGGCCTTTCTGTATCGACACATGCGCAGCCTTTTGGTTTCCTGTCAGGAAGCTATGCATAGTATGAAAGGTCATATGAGCTTTAAACTTCTGACCTAGACCTGAACAGTGGTCCTAGCTCCTGTGGAATCGTACTTTTGATCTCAAGTGCCGCTCAGATCGACCAGCTGGACATCTACTGGGTGTCTGGCCTTTCCCTATTAGCACACCGTTTACCCCTTTAAAGAGCCAATGATGCCATCTTTACACAATCCCATCGGGTGATTCGTTCATTAAGAATTTTCTCCCTTCATTCCTTCTTTTCGCCCGACGAGGAGTGACCTTAGCCGGCAGGATCGGCAGCTGCAAGGACGTCAAGAATGTAGAGCTCCGAATTGTCCGAGAAAAATGTCCGCCCATGCTCGTATAAGATAATGGGAACGTGGTACTTAGGTGGTACTTCGGTCGTGAATATTTACGCCGCAGTCACTTCCTACGAACAACATGCTGTCAGTCTTCGCAAATAAAGGACTACGGAAGTTGAATTTTGGTATAGCTTTGATTCTTTCTGCATCTGCGACAGCTGGATACAATGCTAGTCAGATCAACAGTTTGCTTGTGCTGCCCCAATGTGAGAGGTCTTTGTTGGAAACCTTTTATCGAGTACTAACAGAGACGCAGTTACCCTCTATTTAGATGGGCTTAGTTCCAATGCTACCGGCTTGATCATCGCCGCATTTTCCCTCGGTGCTTTCCTGACCTTCATCCCAGCCTCCTATGTTGCCGACAATTTTGGTCGACGAATCTGCGTCAGTATAGGTGCAGTCCTTGTCATAACTGCATCCATTATACAGGTTGCATTTCAACATCACTGGGTATTTTTCGGTGCTCGAGTAATGACTGGAGTGGGTGTCGGTCTTTCGCAAACAGCAGCACCACTATTGATTGCTGAAACAGCTCATCCTCATCAACGACGGACCTTAACCGGCCTATACAATGCCGTCTGGTTTTGCGGGTCAATCACGGCAGCTGGCATTGCATTCTCTACATTATCACTCACAAATAGCTGGTCATGGCGAATTCCATGCCTATTGGAAGTGTTTTTCCCGTTCCTGCAGCTAGTCGGCCTTTGGTTTATCCCGGAGAGTCCAAGGTGGCTAGTGTCAAAAAATAGGAAGGGGGAAGCATTGGAAATGCTTACACGGTATCATGCAAATGGGGATGTCGATGACAGGCTTGTCCAAGAGGAGTTTGACCAGATATGCAAGAGCATTGAGGTTGAAGCAGACCTAAAGTCGGCGGCTCGCTGGTCTGCGTTCCTGAAAACCAAGGGTGACAGACACCGCCTTGCAATATGCATCCTCTTGGGCTTTATGCAGGAATGGACTGGAAATGGTACTTCATATATCGATCCCCTTTGTGCCGCTTCTATTCTAACCGTCTTACTTATAGGTGTCATTTCATATTACCTGGCTCCGATTCTCTTATCTGTTGGGATAAGTGATGCTTCTCAGCAAGCTGCTGTCAATATCAGTCTTCAGGTTTGGAACTTGATATTTGCGGTGACCGGAGCGAGCAGCTCGGATCGATACGGCCGACGCCTTCTCTGGCTGAGTGCGACAACTTTGATGCTTGTATTTTTGTCAACGACCACGACGATGGCCGGCCTATTTGCAGAAATGAACTTGCTCGCGGCAGGCATCACGGCTGTACCGATGCTCTTCCTATTTTGTGCCGCTTACGACTTCGCATATATGCCCTTGTTCATTGCCTACCCCGCTGAAATATTGCCCTTCCAACTTCGAGCCAAGGGTCTGGCCATTGCACTAACCACGGATTCCATCGCGTGCTTCTTCAACCAATACGTTAATCCAGTGGCATTTGAGGCTCTTCAGTGGAAGTACTTTATTGCTTATATAGGTTGTCTTGTGGTTGCTCTATCCCTGGTCTACTTTTTCTTTCCTGAGACACAGGGAAAATCTCTGGAAGAGATTTCAAAGATCTTTGAGAAAGACGATATCAGCCACGGAGAACTCCCGGAGGATTCGAAAGAGTTGGAAGAGGGATCTTATGGCCTGAAAAGTGACTCAGATTAGGCCATTACATTGGTTGTGGACGAGGAGGATCTTTGTTTACTACGTACACATTTTGCATCGACGGTCTTGATAGTTAACTTTAGACATCCAACATTTAAATTCAACGAACAAAACTGTGCCCTGAAACGTCCAGTATGCCAAAGGGGTCAATAGAATATCGCAGAGCATTTGATATCAATCCCTGATAAAGAAATAGTCTTTAAGGAGCTGGGTCTCCTACCCAGCCCAGCAGATTCCATGCAATCTCAGAAGGCGCTCAATCCCGCGGACATAGTCGCTAGCGTCAATTTGGATGCTGTAACCCGTAATTGTGTCTAGGTTCACTGGGAAGTTCGAGATGATCTTCTGACAACCCAGCAGGTGAACAACGAGCGTGAAGGGTCACACAAGATGGAGAGTTGACGTTTCAGCGTGGACACCTTCCATACCGGCAGTCTGTCTCGCTCGGTCACCCGAGATATATGCCTCAATCGTGGTCGAGTACGGGAAGTTCGAGAAACTCACTAACAGAAGCGACTTCGCGGTATTCTATCAACAGCAGAGGAAGGTAAGATATTATGCCTAAGCAATCTAAGCTACTCGAAGATATCTACCCCTCTCTACTGCAAGTACCCTGTCTCTCGTCATCCGACACATGCTCACTGCTATCCCCAGCGGAGTCCGGAAAAGGCTGCACATGGAAATATCCGAGCTGGTACAAGATATCCTGCCACTCTGGTTTCCCGGTGCCCATGACGGAAAAGTACTTAGTATCTGAAGGAAACCATCTCTCTTTTCGCGTCGAGGACTTGTCACCTCCCTCCAGAGCCGCCCGACTGGCTCGTGTCGTCCGCATTCGTTTCTCACCACGCCCAGGTTTCTCCTGTGAAAGCACAGAGCTCAAACTGTCTCGATACTCCTTCAAGCGGCCGTCGAAGACCATGATACTGCGGACGTATGGTGCGAGGTCCTCGGTGATAGGCGACAGGCCGTTCTCGAATGACAGGGCCGGTCGGGAGCTGGGCTGGGGCATTGTGTAGTTTGCTCGCATGATTGCTTCGAAGATTCGTTGGAACTCCGGAACTGAAGATGGGGGCACTTGCTGACGACGGAACGGCTCCGTCAACTTGCCCATCAGGCGCAGCGCATGTGTTGGTTCAAAGGCTCCCTGGTGATGGGGCCGAAAGACCTGGCCGAGCAATGCGCCGAATGAAGTGCTGATGGCCTCGGTCATCGATGTGTATTCAGGCAGTAAGTCAGCGTGCAACAGCGGCCAGCTGTCGACAAAATTAGAGCGGTGGCCCTCGGGAAGCGGAAGAGTAGAAGTATCAAGAACGTCCTGAAGAAATGTTAGTCGAATTTCTTGTATGCAATGGAAGTAAACTTGCCTTGGTCATGTCCAAAGAGCACCGAGAGGACAGGATGTCAAGCGAGCTGCGCATTTCAAGGTAGTCCGCATTGAGCGTGAGCATATCAAGTTGTGAGGATTTTGAAGCAGTACGCCACTGATGAGCAAGCGTAAGCTCAACATCATGTGCACCGGCCACTGTTTCGGCATCCGGCACGTTGAGTCCCCACCAGTGATAGATATTCCGCAGAGCTTCGGTCTCCTTGTCCAGTGAAGAGTGGCTGAGAAACAAATCTCGATTGTACCAGCCCATGTACGGTTCGTAGGTGTTCAGACTGATGACTCGGGATTGATCACCACTCTGATCGGCATCTGCCCTCCGGGGCGACTTGGGCAGAAACCAGTCCAACCCACCCTTCTCGCTGCCAACACCCATCTGACACCAGAAATTCAGCTCCATTAGTGACCGACGAAGGTCTCTGCCGGTACCGTCATGCAGCTTTTCCACTGCCTGTCTTTGCAGCATGTGGCCCTCGTTCGCTGCAATAAGAAGGAGGTAGTCAACGACGAGTTCTGGGGGGAGTGTACGCAGCCGCAAGATGGCATGCAACGACAGTTCCTTGATAGGGATCAGGCTTTCGTCGTTGCATGTGATAACAATTGGCCGGCGAGACTGGCTGATGAGGGCGTGGACTCCGGTCCAAAATTGTTTATCCTCTTCAAATAGCAGATCGGCTTCTTCAAGCAAGATCAACGACTGCTTCTGCTCCCGATGGCGTTTAACCTCGGCGTCGGACTTCGGGCTTGCTTGAGCAGGGCTATCCGCAGATTTTGTCTTCTTGCCTGTTGGGTCCTTGAAGAAGCGGATCAACTTGTTTTGCTTGCCCTCCTCATCGCACGCGGGACCCTTGACGGAAGATTCTTCGTTGTCATTCAGCAAATAAACGAGGTGGTTCTGCGTCATATCTCCGACGCGCTCCAGCATATCTCTGGCACTTCGGCGAGTTCCGGGGTTGAGCTCAAAGACTTCGAAGTCCAGCTCTTTAGCGACTGCGTACACTGCAGCAGTTTTGCCACAACCAGAAGGGCCACTAAGAAGGATTGCATTGGTGAGATGGCCCTTCTCGCTTCCATGTTGCAGACTGAAAGCCAGATCACCCGCTCGAACGACAGTCTTTGACACTGTTACGTCACCCGCCAATTCATCATCAGAACCGGAGAGATTGTCCATCTCCGATGCCTCGTCGCCGCTTGAAACAATGAAACCATCGAGCTTTTCCGTCTGCTTGCGCCGCTTCTTCCGTTTCTTATCAACGTTTGCTCGTTTTGTGCCGTCTTTTGTAGGTTTTCCCGTGTCGACAGCCGTGATTTTCAGCAGCCGAAGCCAGTCGCGAAGCACCTGGACCTCACGGCCAGCGTGAAGGACTTCAGTCGCTGTTTGCGGTGCATATTTGTGGGCCCAGAGCTGTGATTCGTATTGTGCCCGGTCAAAGGCGCTCCGAGACGAGAGGAGCGCCGATCGAAGTTTGGAAATAGCTGGATTGGCAGACCAATCGGGGTAAGGAAAAGAGGTAAGAGGATCCGAGGAAAGCCATGACATCTGTTTATCCATTGCTGTTTGGAGAACGAGCCCGCTCGCGACTTGTCGGTTGGGTAATCGCAGCAGAGCCGGGTCTTTTTTGGCGTTGCTTTTGAGAGCTCGCTCGGCTTGTTTCCTTGCCTGCTTGGTACTGACAAGAAGGGAGTTTTCTTCGTCAGGGATGCGAACAGCTGCCACTTTCGACTTCTTCTGATCTTGGCTGGAAGGAAGAGGCGGGACGTCATTGTTGCTTGTGAGCGCATCGTCATCTCTGACATGTACAAAGTCCCTTGGTGGCCACAGTGGATCTACAAGCTCGGGAAATTTGGAAACACGTCGCCCGAATGTTGAGGACGAGCCAATCGAGAAGCCCGGCACTCGTTTCTTCTCCACGGTAGGAGTTGATGTCGGCTCTGAGGGTTCCTGGTGGGTGGAATCACGGGTGTTTGGAGTACTGTCGCCGGAGCTCGAGATTTGAGATTTCTGAGAGGGCTTTTTGACGAAGAACGGGTGTGTCGGCTTGAGAGGTCTGCTTTCAACAGCTGATGGGCGAACAGGAGCAGGCTCGGCTGCTGGGCGTTGAATTTTTCGACCAGCTAGTATGTCATCGATCAATTGCCCCATATCCTTGTTCCTGTTGTATTTCATAACCGAGATTTTGCTTTCCACATGTCGGGATCTCCCCCGTTTCCCTCCTTTCTTCTTGGAGGCTGGAGGAGAATTGCGCGCAGGGGAGCTCAGCAGCTTCCCATTGGAATTGATTTTCAGCGTCTTTCGTCGGGGGCCAGTGGCCTGAGCGGCCTCCTCCTGCGATAATCCATTTTCTGGAGAAGAATTGGCTGCTTGGGGTGTGCCGGTCTCTTGGGGGTGGGACTCCGAGGACAAAGGCTGGGTCTGGGAGGGCGCATTGTGCCCTAGCCACGATGATAAAGCCGACTGAGTGATATTCTCGGGTTCGGCTGCATGTTTCGTTTCGACCTTTCTTCTCTTCCGTCGACCCTCGTTCAAATCTTCATTCGGGGCGATCACCGGCGAAGCATCCTCCTGAGTCATATCTGAGATTGGGGCAGTAGTAGCTGCACCCTCATGCTGAGCAGCATGTTGAGCGTCAATTGACGGAGTGTTGCGGGGAAATGCATTGACATCTGCTGCAGGTGGAGGGTTCACGGCTTCGTGTGGTGATACTTCGACGGGCCTCGTTGATCCTAATTCTAGAAACAGTCAGCTTCAACTTGAGATATCTGCATGCTGTGATCATCACCTTTTTGAAAGAAGGGGTGAATGGCGCGCTGCTCGCCGGGACCCATGGCCATCTGTAGGGTAGAGGTGACGGTATCCATACGATGAACAAAGGATTGCTCATCAAGGATAGCCGGGGGTCAGGGCCAGGTCAGAAAGAAACATCTGAGCGAGCGTAAAGGCAACGCTCACAGGGCGAGGAGTAAGAGTAAGACAGGGCTCTCCGAACACCACTCTTGATCTCATTGCAAACACGGTCCAACTTCAACGCGCGAAAGGCGCGTCGCCTTAAAGTGGATTACGTCAGATGGGCACTAATCCTGTCCTGGACTAGCGTTATCGCGGGCGGCCCGACATAAACCCGAATTTTTTTCTATCCGCGCGGATGAAGATTTGCGACTTCACCGATTGATCACAGACAGAGGAAACGAGATTCCCGCCATGGATCTGCAGGCACCGTCAGTACTGGCACAATTGCCTCGTCCACTTCATGCTGCCACGGGCAAAACCCGTTTCGGCGATGTCTACAGTCTGGCCGATGCAAAGAAACGCAAGCGTTATGAAGTCGCCGTTGCGGTCGATGGGGAGGCTGTCAACATCTACAATGTGCGCATGCCCGGGCTACAGTTATTAACTGCATGCTAATTGAAATCTGTGTTTAGGTTCAAACCCCTAAGCTTGTCACCTCGTACGCAGTGCCGCCACAGGCTACCTTCTCTTGTCGGCCGTGCTCCGTCCGCCGGAAGCTCTTGAACCAGTCGGCGGTGAAAAGACAGACGTATACTGCTGTTAGCAAGCCGGAGCATCAGATCAAATGCTTTGTGGAGGAGACTGGTAGCAGTGGTTCGATTGCGCCGGCAATCTCTTCTTCGGCTGCCACGGTGACGGATTCGAAGAGCCCCACCATCTTTGTGGGAATCGTACCCTCTGCTGCAGACGAGGAGAAAGCAGATCCCTTTGACATTCTGGCTGTACACAAAGATGGCCGAGTACGCCGACTATCGTCCGATCTCAAGACCCAACGATGGAGCATCCATCACAGTGAGATAGCAAAATCTTGCACGACTCATGAAGTCCACACATGCTTCGTGATTGAATTTGATGATGCGAAGAAGGTGTTGTTCAAAAGACGACAGGACTTGGCAACGCTAGCGCTGGGTGATCTCACCTCTTCTGGGACCGACGGCCCATCCATCTTGCTCGTGGTCTCTCACCCTAGCGGGGCGGAGCAAATCTCGCTGAAGGATGTCCGCGTGCAAATGTTCTCTGTCCCAGCAGTCGCTAAATCTGACACCTTGGGGTTGGATGAAAGCCAACAGCTGCGTTATTTGCAGACTGTCAGCATCCCCGATCTCAATGGGTTGCAGACAGCCAACAGCAACAACCTGCAATGGAGCTTCCATTCTGGCTCCGCGGGGTTGAACCTGTCGTTCGAGCATGGATTTGTCAATATTGATCTATCTCAATATTCCCCGTCTGTGTCGTCGCAATTCATCCTTGACGACGAGCACTTTTCCTCGGTTATGCGCATTTCTCCCCAGTCTGTGATCGCCGCCGGCCAGTCTATTGTGGCTGTATATGACACACAGTACCAGTCGGTCCAACGCAGCATTGCGGCAGGTGATGTCTTGTCGGGTACTGGGACGACGGGGCAGGGACCCTTGACATTTATCAACTTCTTTGCCAAACTTGGAATTGCCGTTGCTACCAAGGGTAATACAATGATTGCCTTTGATCTGAACTCCTTCCAAAACACGTCTGGCTCTTCGCTGAAGCGGTCGAGGGATGGCCTTCTCATTGACGCAATCGGAAGAGGCATTGGTTCTTCCGCCGCCCAGTGGGATCCAGCTTCCAAGAAGCACAGGTCCGATAATCTGGCATCTCTTCGGCTTACATCTCCAGAGCAAGTCGAGAAATGGAATCAATTTACGAAAGCGGTGGCCGATGCGACCGGCTCGAAGGATACAAAGAAGTTTGACAAGGCGGTCCTCGCATATTTCGGCTCTGCCTTGCCGGCATCGGGCACTTATGTCAACCCAGAAGCCACGCTTTTCCTTCTGTCGAAGATATTCAATGTGGAGGATGTACCAGCCACAGCTGGTATGGAATCTTTCTCAGCATCTCGGCTCCGCATCGCAATCTGGCCTCCGACCACCTGCGACTGGCTGATCCGCCTGGGCCATCTCTCTATGGACAATGCCGGGGTTGCTCTGCGCCGAGCTATCAAGCCTCGCATTCTCCAGCCACTGCCGAAGGGATCTTTCATCCAGGCATTGCTTGATTCCGACGCGTCCTTGAAACAAATTAACCAGGTGCTCGATGGCCCCGTGCTGCTCACGTCCGACGACCTGGCATATTCCCTCAAGGTCTTCCTCAACAAAGCCCAGTCCCACTCGGCCACACTGGAAGACACAGCGCGCGCCCTCACAAACGGCGACCTGTCCACCCCGACGCAAGAGCTCTCCCGACAGCTGGGCGACGATCCCGCAACCCTGAAAAATATCTTCAAGGGCTTGAACACGGCCATCCAAAAGATCCACACGCAGCCATTGTCCACGGTGGTGCAGGCTCTGCGCACCACACTGTCCCGCATGGAACTCATGGCCCTGGTTCACCACCTGCGTCTCTCCCTCGCGACAGGCGGCTACACCTCCCGATTCACCGAGAACCCACCAACCCCCATAACACACGACCAGATCACGCCCGCTCTCTCCCTGAACACAATCATCGACCTGATCACCGCCTCCGTCGACGCCATCGGTCCCTCGGGCTGGATCTCCGCCCTCCCCACCAGCAGCACAGACGACATGATGTCCGACGAAGAAGCCGGCGCCACCGCCAGTCAGGAAATGGAGCTAATCGCCGACATGAAGTCCGAAGTCTCCGCCGCTCTGGCTGGTGTCGAGGAAGCCACTTACTTGAAAGGCATCCTGCGCGAGTACCTCCGGTTCGCCAACACGGTAGTCGGCACGAGCACAGCCCAGAACTCCAAGGCCCTGACTAACACCGATGCTGCCGAGAACGCCACCCCGACACCATCGCAACTCGTCCGCTACGAGCACATCAACGGCGCTGAGGTGATGGTATTCACTGGACCCGGCGACGGCGAAGACGGGCTGGACGGTGAAGCTGGCGGCAAGATGCTCCCGCTGTCGCTGAAGGCTGCCTCGACGGAGGTCGAGCGCACCAAGGTGAAGAAGTCTACTGGTGAAGTGAAGGCTCGGTCTAGTCGTGAGATCGGATATCTGCGCCGCAAGGCGGTGGGCAAGTACTCATTTGAGCGGTTGCTTGTCTAAGATGTCGAGTTGGGGTTGGGGAGTTGGTTTCTTTCATTCTTTGTATATCAATCATATCTGGCATTCCCCGGAAAGGAAGCATAGGCGTTTTCTTCTTTCTACCACAGACATACAGCTGCAGATCTATTATTCTAGGCAGAAATCGGAATCTAAAAAGAAGTGTTTACAAAGAATAAGACCTCAAATAAAGAATCATATTCACATGAAGTAAAAAGAACTAATTTGCATAATTAAACATACGGCACGAGCGACGTCAAGAAAAAGACGAGAATCGGAGAAGTCTCAACCCGTTGACAGGAAAAACGTCAAAACAAGCCACTGGCATATGGCACACAAACTTTAAAAAAAAAGATAATCATCACAGAGTCAGCAGGAAGTCGTCGGCAACGATCATCGTCCATAGATAGTGGTGGTTCGACACTCCCAGGTAGTGAGGGGGCTCCGTATGATAGAGAGACAGCAACTGACACAAAGATATATCAAACATATTCCCATGACAACATATAAATGGCAACACTGTTCTGTATGTGAGGTTGGAGGAGGAAGAATATATGAGGATGTAAGAGTGTGAGGTGATGTGTAGGTAGGAGAAATAGCAAAAACGTTCTATGGCATATTTCGACCAGAGGGGTATCGAAAAGATCGAATCGAAGAGAAAACAAACAGTGTTTTGTCAAAGGGAAAAGAAAGAAGCGCACTGGACTTCCAACGGCATCATAAACACGGGGAATAATGTTTCGTTATTGGTTAGTGGCGATCATCACAGAGTGCTCGGCGCGCTCTTTCATTCGCATGGCTTGGGTTTCAAGGGAGCGGGCCATTAGTTTCGTCACTAAGAGAAAATGTTAGGACACGATTGTAGGAAGAGATGGAGGGGAGATGCCTACCTGGCCAGACAGCAGCTCGATCCAGGATGCTTGCTGTCGCGATCAATATTTTACAACCGTATCCTCCCTCCACGACGCTGGGTAGACGCTGCATGACACTCAGCGCAGACATGGAGTTGCTATTCTGCACTTGGCGCTGCATCTTCGTCTCGATGCTGTTCAAGATGTCCTTGATCTTATCGACGAGCTTGCAATCTTCATCTTCCAACAGCATCACGCCAGGAACCTGAGTGAGATCGGCATCATCGCGACCCAGGATGCCAAGGTAGGGACCGATCCGTTCTTGGACGGTGGTGATCCACTCAGCCAGAACCTGTGCGCAGTCAAAAGCACACATCGCGCACTGGATGGGAAGCTCCCGGGACGAAAACTCGGCGAAGGTGTTACCGAGTCGGTCGGACATGGAGATCGAGTCTGCGGCGTAGAAGGCCGCCTTGCGCAGGTGCTTTTCACGCTTGGACTGGCCCGTCTTGTAGACACTGGACAAGGACTCCATGGGCTGTTCTTGCGTCGGGGTCTTGGAGATTTCGAGACCCGCGACGCCCAGGTCTGCAATCGAGTCTCGTCGTGCATCGAGAGTACCAGTGAGGGAAGGATCCACCGTGGTATTGCCATCTGTGTCTGCCTGCTGGAAGACCTCTGTGCCACGTGCAAGCTCGTCTGCCATGCCATTCCAGTCCCGCTGCCAGAATGCTTCCTTGCAGCGGCCGAGATTGACAAACAGTCGCACGTAGGCAAGATCGAGGAGAGGAATGCTATCCGCAGATAATGGGCCGGCTCCGAATGGGTTCGGGCGCTCCAGGCTGTGGACTGGATTGCTTGCCCACGCCGCTTGCCAAGCGCGCAGCGCGGGCTCGATGTGCGATTGCATGGCATCGGTCTCCTGCGCCGTCCACTGCCGTCCCATGTGCCGTTGGCGTGTTTCCCAGATGTAATTGTGCAGCGAGTAGATCAGAACGAGACACCCAAAGGTACTGGGCCGATTCTCGCTGGTTGAAAGATCGTCAGGGGTACCTGCGTTGAAGAATAGGTTCGAAGATTGCGTTTGTTGCTCTCGTTGGCTGGCGGTCAAGAGGGAAGTCAACGCCGCCGAGAAAGACAGGCCCTTCTTCGCAGCAGCCTGTCCGCCCATCTTTTTCCACGCCTGAGGCGACTCGGCTGCCCAGAGGTCTTCTTCGCAAGGGAGATCAAGCCGGATTTCGGAGTTGGTAAGGGCTGGTGCGTGATTGTACGCAGAAACCAGGAAGCTGGAAAGAACGAAAATCGCGTAGAGAGTACGTTTCCGCTCTTCAACAACTTTCCAATTCAACCAGTCCCTTCTCTCCTTTGGTTGGCTGAATGATGGTGACATCCAATTATCCGAATTGTTCTCCCCCGAAGACTGTTGTTTCTCCCCGTTGAACCCAGCATTCAGGTGATCTTGTGGTAGACTCTTGGGGTCCAGGTGGTGGGTCAACTCGGCTGCGCGAGCCAGGCTCACCAGCGCGGCACAATGCGTGCTGGCGATATCAGCCGATGTCTTGTCGCCGCAGGTATGGCCATAGATGACGTTCAACAGCATTGCCTGCACCAGCCACAGTGGGGTGTTGTGGACGGAATTGTCGCGAGTAGAGTTAGAACGGCTGCTGAGAGCAGCAGACATGTCGGCCTTGCGGCGCTCCTCGAGGTATAACTGTATCATCTTCTTGGCGGCCTCGAACAGGTCCTTGGACGCGGCAGTTTCGTACTCGTACAGCGCGCCAATGGCCGCCATAGACAGGATCAAACAGCCACCGCCTCCGGCAACGCCGGTGGAGCTGAGATTCAAGTGTCCGCTTGGCGTGCGGAGGTTGCTGGTGTACTCGGGGGCTTGGAAGTTGAGGGTCGGGATATGGAGGAAAGGCACGTGGGGGTGGAAGTAGATGATGTAGGCCGAGATATATCGTTGCAGGTCCGAGGTGCTGGGTAGTTGACCGGTACCGTTGAAGCCAGCGGAGCGGGCGAAGAGCTCACGACTGTTCAGAAGTCCACTTGCGGGCTGAGAATACTTGCGATGATTGAAGCCAGTGGGTTGCGACATGCTCGCTAATAGAGCCTGTCGTGTGGAGTCTGTAAATGTATCCGTTGATGCGGGGGAATGTTGACTTCGTAGGGCACTATTCGGGAAAGCCACGTTGAGAGGATTAGGTTCACCGCTTGTTGCCATTGAGGATGAAAACATACTCTGCGAATGTCCTCCCACGATGGGCTGGCCGACCGATGTCATGGAAGGGGGTGTGGCATATGTCTCACCAAAGGGATTATTCTGGGCCATCAAGGACTTGGGCGACACCGTCTCCGGGGGGATTCCCAATTCATTCAGGGCCGTCGGGGAAAAGTCAATGGAAAACTGATTGGCCGCTGCGGAGGCATGGCCGGGAAACGGGTTATGCCAACCATTGGAGATGGGGATACGGTTCGAGCCCTCGAGCATGGCCTCGCTGACTCCGCTCTGGCTCCCCGTGCTCATCGCCGACGGGGACGACTCGTCAATGACTGAGTCGTTCCCGTTGCCCAGGGCCATGGCCGCATCGAGCCCGTTCATCCAGTCATAGTGCATCTCCTCGTCCATCATGTGGTCCGTAGCGGGATGCATGCCGTGAGCATGGTGACCAAAGGGAGAAGTGGGAGAGTCATTGCCAAATCCCTGTGGAGAGCCTGCGAAGTGCAGCTGCGCCGGGTTGATGGTACTGCCATGACCCATGAGCATACCATCCATTGCCATGTCGAAGCTGCCATAGACCGGTGCCGTCCGCAGGCCGCCAGACATGTCAATGGGGAGGCCAGACGTCTCGAGCTTGGTCAGGCCATTCATAGGTGGGTGTCCAGAGCTGTAGCCATTGTAATCTACACTGGAGCTAATGGAGGCAGACCCAATACTGGGGTGATACCCATGACCCGGTTGCCGCTGCGGGTTGCTGGGATGACCCATCCCCATAGCGGCCGCATCAACATGGCTGATGGTGTTGGCCCGGGGTCGCATCGACGAGGACGTGTTGACAATGGAATTCTTGCGAACCCGGTTGGCATTGGATGCGGCACCAGTGCTCTCGCGACGCGCATTTCTCGGGCGCGACGAGGGCGTCGTGGTCATGTGCAGCTTCTGCTGGTGACGGAGGAGCAGGTCCCGACGGGCGAAGCATCGTGCGCAATCAGGGCACTCGAAGGGCTTCTCCTTGGTGTGCGAGCGCTCGTGGCGCTTGAGATGCTCGAGCCGCGCGAAGGAGCGGCCACACGTGGTACACACATGGGGGCGTGGCTTGTCTGTCTTGGGAGGAGGGATGTTCCCATTGACGCCGTTGGATTCAGCCTGTTTCTTGTTGTCCTTGGTAGACGCTGCGAAGGCGGTGTTAAGAATATGTGGTGGGACGAGGCGTGTCGGGCCATACTCACCAGGCATGTTTGCGGGGATTTCCTTGATACTAGCGAGGTCTCCAACTTTGTGAGTATGATTCAATTCCTGACCGACCATATCGTCTAGGAGCATCCTAATTGTTTATTTCACTCGGCCCAGGCGTTTCGAGACGGGCTGGCCAAGGCGATCGTTCAAATGATGGACAAATGCAAAGGAACGGCGTCGTGTTGGGGCGGTGTGTACAGTTACACAGTCAAATGGCGCATCAACGACTGCGGCGTGATAAAAATGACATCCAGTCAGCATGGTTCTTGTCTGATCGAGACCGGCATCGTTGGCCCGACCCAGGGTAGCGGGCCAGGCTATCAGGAGAGGAGGGGGGGATCGGTGGCAATGAACGGGTACCCACCCAAATTGGAGAAGCAGTTTTGACAGGAAGAGAGGACCTGAGGCCTTTGTATTGCGATGGATTTGGGGGGGATAAAGGAGCAGTGATTGGAGATTTGGAGATTTGAGGGGAGGGAGGGGAATCAACACGAGGGTGCCTGGCTAGTGTCAGGGACATCCATCCATCCATCAATCACGATGGTCCGGGAGCCAGCAGGCGAACAACCAATACTTACTGGGCAGGGGAAGCTAGAAGTGTTTTCCCAGATATAACTCGTTCACCACACCCGAATGGTCCGACGTGCAAGCATTCGAGCGCTGGATAAGCCGGAGATAGCCGAGGGAGAGACAGCGATAGCGGAGTCAATTGTAGATAAGACGATACGACCAGGACCAGATACCAGGGTGATGAGAACGGGGGGGAGACGAGAGAAAAGAAGGAGGATGGGGTGGGAGAAGGAAGAAAAGAAAGAGGAAGTTGAGGTTCCGAGCAGTTTGCCTCTTGCTAACTCCAGAGAGCTGGATGGCATGGTCGCTCCCTAACTCGCTCACTAACCCTCGACTGTAACCAACAACGGGGAGGCGTGGATGTAGGGCGTGTCGGCAGTGGCGGTTAGCCCAGGCCGGGTACTTAGGGGATACCTACGCCCGGACCAGCCAGTCAGCGCTGGGCTGGTCACTGCCAGGTATATCAACCGCCACGCTCCACGCTCGGGGCGTGACGGTATCGATACGGCGCCGCGTGGTGGAGCCAGCAGACGGGCTGGGGCATGGACGGGCCAATGGCGATCAGTGGATGGGCCAGGGTCTTACTGGATGCGGCGTAGCTGAATCTTATGGACACGCACGGGCAGCCCACCAGTTCCTGGGGCTGGTTCTGGCGGTGGGTGATTGGCTGTGGGGAGAGACCGGTGACTGGACTCCGGGGAGATATCAATCCAGCAGAGAGGGAGAGGAAAAAAAAAACTACAGAATACGGTCAGGCTAGTGATTCTAGTTTCTGTGACCGAGACCCTCGGAGTCCTCCCGAAGTCCTAGGGCTCACCACTCGCAGTCGCTGGTCCGGCGTGAAACACTCTGACGATAATACGAGCACCACACACCTCGTGACAGATGGTTTCAGTCAAGATCGTCGTGGGTCAGCCTCGCGGCTTGTTCGCTTCTGGGGGATCCGATACGCAGTGGTCCATGGATAGTGGTTGCCGGATGCTGTGACCAGGTACATACTGTATTGTGGCGGATGGATCCGCAGGACTGATTTCCCCTATGCGCCATTAATTTTGTGGGGGAGAAGTCTGGGGGATTTCCTGGACTCCGGAACTGACTACCTCTGTAACTACGACTGGTCAGTCCATCCACATGGCACCGGGGTTGGTTGATTCCTGGTTGGGTGGTGGCGACATTCGAGAAATAGAACAGCACACCGCACCTTATCCGTGGTCCTCGACGGTGGCCAACCCCAGACTGTCTGGTGGTCTTCCAGAACTCGTCCAGACAGAGTGGGCCATGCGCACGTTGGCGCCCGCCGTTTGAGTTTGGTAGTAAGGGTGGGCATCGGATATAACTCGAGTAATTGGCGAGGAGCCGACCCGTCGTGCTTTTCGATGCGGCTGGATCGGAGGTTACGGCGACGATCCACGACTCCCACGGCCGCACAGACGTCTCGTTTGCAGACTCTAGCGCCTGCAGGTGACCCCGAGCAGCGACAAATGAAACAGTGGCAGAGTCAGCCAGAGTAGAAAGTCCGCCCGGCTGCCTTCTTCCGCCTGACCCCCAAGCAAGCCACTGGACAGAAATTCTGCCGATGTAGGCCCGGGGGTGAGGAATAGAAGCCTGCATTATGATTCTTATGCAGAAGTAAAGACGTGAATGACACTTAATTTCCCGCCCCGCGTCCCAACGGGAGTTAACCGTCTGTGCCACCTGCTATCAAATGGGAGAAAATTACGGGAGAACAATAATTCTCCGAGTCGCACAGGGCAAAACGATCACCGGGGAACTAGTGCAGTACACTGGCGCAGGAGCTACGGAGAAAAACGACCCGGAGCTACGGGAGAAGGCACGACGAATTGGTACGAATTGGTGCACGATTGGCTCCGATCTCCTAGAGCTGCCAGATAGGAATGCGACGTCTTCTTGCGGCTCCAGGATTCCTTATGACGCAAAGGTCCACCGCGACGAAGCATTGTCTCAATTCAATCCAGCACGGATCAGGCCGATCCGCCGACACACCGGTGCGGCATCCTTCAGGCAGAACCCTAGACGAGCGACGTGCACGCCCGGCATGATTCTGCCGCGCAGAGGATCACAGTCTGATTGCATGACAGGATCCTGCGCGCCACACGGTCGATCGGTCGGTGTCCGGCCTCGCCTCGAGGCCGGAACAGACGTCCGCCGGGGTTATGGGACGGATACATTCAGCACAAGTTTAAGATTTCCAATTCCAATTCCAAACCATGTCCACGAAGGTTAAATCGCAGGGATGGATGACTGGATGGACACGCTCCCGAGTATGTGATGTCGGGTCGAAGCGCCAGACGGTCTCGCCTGGCCCACGGCAAGGGCGTGGGGGCGGGAATAATAATGCGTTGCACTAAGCTTACAGAGTTATTGGCATCGACACGACAGGGGAGTGGATAGGGAGCAAGCCACAATAACAATGCTACAGTCCAGCGGAACTAACCGCAACGAGGGTAGACCCGGAGCTTGGGCCTTCGCACATAGCTCCGATGGTAACTAATCATGGATGGGCCCCAGTCCCCCGTCCCAGTCCCTGTGCTGGCGATCCAGAAGGTCAGCGTCGGAGCAGCCAGGATGGGCGGATGGCCAATTACGAGCAGATCTACAAAAGCCACAGAGGCAGTATGTGGTGGCGAGTTGTGCTTGTTCTCCCTCGTGCTAGGAGGCCGTGGGCGCTAAGATCAGACTTGAAGAATTTATTATTAGCACGCGCTGTTGCTCCCGTTTCAAGGCCTTATCTTTTGATTTCTCTTGCCCTTGTTCTCACAGTGTAAGATAAGATAGGTAGGTAGTGTGTAAAATACAATCCACAATCATCATGGCGACATTCCTCGGCCGAGCACGTATCTATCATCCACGCACCGGCAGAGATTCGCCGGAGGAAAGCCGAATCCATCGACCGTTTAGCCTGTTATCCGAATTGGCCACTACGCTGGAGCTGTGGTCCCGGGTACAGCGCAGTAGCGCAGCCCGATCTGATGTGATGATGCGCCCGCCGCTGGGTCGTGCATTAGCTGTATTATTTGATTACACCGATGTGAGAGAGAGCCGTTGACGTATGTAGGAAAGTGGTTGCGCTGCCTGCCTCTCTGGTACCTTGCGTGGATAATGCAAACAATCGGTGCGAGCAAGATCCATGGCAGATAACCAGCGGATGTACCTGATCCAAGTATAGATCGATCTAGCTGGTAAAGTGGCAACCCCAAACGCTCGACGAAACATCTTCCCAGCCTGTACAGTGGCCGTCACCCAGCACTTAGCTCTCGTGCCACCTGCGAGTCAAGCGCCACCGGAAAGAGCACATTGCATATGCTTTATTGATGTCGGGAAAATAATCGGCCTTGATGCGAATCCATCCGATGCAGGTCATACTGGCTGGGTGGCACCATGGAGAGCGCCACGAACGGAAAAGTATGTTTTGTTCAGCAAATGAAAGCACAGCTATCCATTCGCCACAGACTGCTAATTAGCTCGAAGGTGAAGAAAGAAAGAACCACAATCCCACATCCACGACAATCCTTCCGAGGATCTTCAACGAGTGAGGGTGGGCAGCCATGCACACACGATCTGCCACCGGTGGGCGCTGGATCCTTGAACCGACTGGCCCACACCAGCCGCTGTCTACATTTCTGGGCTTTTGCTGCAGCATCCCTGTAGGCACATGATGTAGTTGCATGCCTGTACAGTACTGGCACATAAATGCCCACGGCACTAGGCTGCTCTGGGCAGCTGGATTGCCCCTCCCCCACCCACCATCACTGGCGCTGGCGACCTCGGCGATGAGCTAGCGGGCGGAATAAATGCCTGATGTCATTCCGCACACCGTAGACGTCGGTCGGATTGACCGTGGATGGATGGGTGAATAGAGCATAGATTTGTGTACTGGTGTTCTTCTGGGTTGGACCTGGGAGGTGTAGGAGGGTAGGAGGTCGCTGCTGACGGTGGTAGAAGAATGTAGTGTATTATTATCAGTCAATAATGCCTTCATTATTATCTTCTTCGCTTGACCCGCTGTTATAAGATCTAAGATCTTGAATGGCGTGCTATTGAGAAAGTGCGGTCCTCGGTTCAGGGTGACCTCTTAAGGTCTCACTCACAATGCCATTCTCATGCAACAAACAGAGTACAGTGGAGGCGTGAATACGATCTTTTATTTTTCTAAGTACGCGAGGTCTTTCCGCCCCGGAGGTAATGACAAGATCTTTTGGCCGTAGACGTAGCATCTCGCACGGCAGGCGACATATGGTATTGACAAGCAAGAGCTCAAGAATGGTATATTGAAAGGGCATGGCACATAAATTCCTCTCGGTGCTGGTTTTAAACACTGATTGTCTTGAAGACACTGTATCACAGAACTGATTAGCATTCGCCCGCAACCTCGCACGGGGGAAAACATACCTGAATCCATTGCCGCCGGTCGCCATCAGCGTACCCGGCATCTGGGCCTGCCAGTGCACCTCCTTGACGGACTCCATATAATGCACGAACAGCAGCTGTGACGGAATATCGGCCATGGCCACTTGTCGGCTCTCCTCATCATCCAGCTCCACGGCCAAATCCCACAGCGTGACCGTGTTATCCGCAGAGCCCACGGCGACGACACTGTCGTCCGACGGGTGCCATTCAATGCTGGTGACGGGCTCCTTGTGGAAGTCAAACGAGGCAACCGCCTGCGAGGTAATCTGGCCCGCGGAGTTGGGCTTCCAGTGTCTCAAATCCCAGACGGCCCATTGACCGTCATCCGCGCCCGTCGCCAGTAGGTGGAAGGTCTGGTTGGACCAGCTCATCACGTTGACATCCGTCTTGGATACCTGCACGTCGACGGCAGGTTTGCGCGACTTGGACCGCACATCCCACACCTTCACGCTGCCGTCGCTGCTTGCAGATGCAAAAACGTTCCGCTCGTTCGGAGACCACTGCAGTTCCTCGACGGAGGAGGTGTGGGCCGTGAATGGCCGGGTGTCGGTCACCCAGCCGCCGCCCTCGGTGCGAGTGGTGACATAGATCAATCCGTCATTGTCGCCGGTCAATAGCTTGCCCAGGGGCTGCAGCGGAGACCAGTCCAGGGCGTATCCTTCGGATTTGTGCATCCGGAGCGTAGAAAGAGGTTTCGAGGCGGACGGAGGGAGGACGGTACCGGGGACATCAAAGCTGGCGAGGTGAGAAGTAACATCGTGGATCAAGACCTGCGAGTTCTCGAGCATGGTAGCGGTCAGGGTCTGGGGCGGTTTGGAGTAGTCTCCGGACTGCGAGGGTGTCTGGTGCGAGCGAATGCGATTGGTCGTCGACCCCAGCGGGATGGACTTGTGCTCGAGAATCGGCTCGCCCATGTCGTCGTCCGAGTCCGACTCGCTGTCGGAGTCTTCGCCCTCCTTCTCCATCCTGCTCAGCCCGCTCATCTTCAGCACCATCAGCTCGTTGTCCTTTGCCCGGCCGCCCTCTGCTTGTGTGCCGGTGACCGCGTACACCGTCGCGGGGTATGTCTTGCGGTTATCGCCGAGGCTATCGCGGACAATGTCGAAGGACAGACATGGCCAGGGCGTGCTCAGAGTGTGTAGCATATCGTAGGTCGAGGGATCGGGGGAGAGTGTCTCGCCAGGGCCCAGTTTTGTCCGGCCGGGAATAAAGGTCTGCTTATCGACGTCCATGGCCTCTGCAGGGTCGCGTCAGTGTGAGTTTTTACCAGCAATTGAATGGGCAGACAAACCCTTCTCTTCCTCCTCGCGCTCGGCATCTGGCCGACCGTCGACACCGGCCTCCAAGATCTCGTCCTCACTCTCGAATTCATCCTCGAACTCGTCCTCGAACTCCCCCACCTCATCGGGGGGAGCGTCTGCAATTGGGCGCCCGCCCGCCTTGAGGGCCGAGGAGTGCTCGTCGGCAGCATCCGCCGCTCTCTTAGACATCGTGGTGGTCAATCTCTCCGGAGCAACAAAGGAAATGTGTAGAGTAGTGAAGTGAATCGTGGAGGCCCGATAAGAACTTTTTTTCGCGGGTTTGTGAGGGAGTGCACGCTAAGCCTATCGGGGCCTAGTGCCAGTCGTGCCCACCCTTGGATCGGATCAAGCTGAACTGTTGTTTGCTCCTTTCGTTGGTCCGAGAGTATTGTATCGACCTTCGTCTTGTATCTCTCCGTCTCCTTCTCTCCGTCGACCACCTTTCATCCTCTCCCCTCCTTGTCAATTTCGAGGTTTCACTCTGAAACTTCGTCATCCTCGGCACCTGACCTCCGCGCGACTCGGCCACTTGCTCCCAGTCTCGACGGACAATTCGAACAGTCCTCCGTTGCATGTGTTGTTGCTGAATCTCTCTCTCTGAGTGGTGACGGTTGAGACTGGTATGTCATCTCATCCCCCCTTCCACTCTCATCATGGTTAGTCTTGATACTGACGGGACGGGCTTGCGACAGCGAGGCACCACCATCCCCAACACACCCTACTTCGACGATCTTCAATATGGATGCGCCGCAACAGCCTGATTGTGAGACTCCTGCGGTTGCGGAGCCCTCGCAACATCTTCCCGAGGCTCGAAATCCGCCTCCGCACATGCAGCCATCCCAGCAACTCTCATCCGAATCGCCGATGGAGCAGCCTGCGCCGGTCAATCTCAACGCCGGAGTGACCTCGGGGGGACCAATGGTCGAAAATGTGAGCGCCAACAATGGCTACAACAGCGACCACAAGGCACACTACCACTCCCAATCCACCGATTTCCACCACTCCGCTCCCGAGTACCCAGCACAGGAAACCGACCCATCGACACGCATGGCGTCCTCTCCCTCTCTTACTGCACAGCCTCAACTCCATCCTACATCTCGTCCCGGCTCTGGATTATCCAGCGGTCCGGAACGGCTCGGCGTTTCTCAGCCTCCGTCAGCGGACCCCAGCCAGCGACAGGCGTCGCAGGCGTCGAGGAATAGCGTGGTGATCAAGGTTGGCATGGTCGGAGATGCGCAGATCGGCAAGACCAGTCTGATGGTCAAATATGTGGAAGGCAGCTGGGACGAGGACTACATCCAGACTCTCGGTGCGTGATTTGAGCATGAAGATGTCATGGAATGTCTAACCGCTATGCAGGTGTCAATTTTATGGAAAAGACCATCTCCATCCGCAACACGGAAATTACCTTTTCGATCTGGGATCTTGGTGGCCAGCGCGAATTCGTCAACATGCTGCCCCTCGTGTGCAACGACGCCGTCGCGATTCTGTTCATGTTTGACCTGACGCGCAAGAGCACGCTCAACTCGATCAAGGAGTGGTATCGCCAGGGCCGGGGGTTCAACAAGACCGCGATTCCGTTCTTGATCGGCACCAAGTACGACCACTTTGTCAACTTCCCCCGGGAGGACCAAGAGGAGATTTCCATTCAGGTAAATGAGACTGGGTACTACACTGATTCCGTGCGCTGACCGTTCCAGGCCAAACGATTTGCCAAAGCCATGAAAGCCAGTCTGATCTTCAGCAGCACCAGCCACAGCATCAATGTCCAGAAGGTGTGTCTGACCCTAATCTTCCGCTGCTTTTGGTGGCTCACCCATCCCAGATCTTCAAAATCGTTCTTGCCAAGGCCTTTGACCTCAAGTGTACTATCCCCGAGATCGAGAATGTGGGCGAGCCCCTGCTGCTCTACAAGTCCGTGTAGGACGGCTCTTCTGACGATTATGTACATTGGGACGACGTGATGTTCTTTTCCTTTCTCGGTTTCTGTCCTCTACCGCATCTCCCCGGGCCAGTTGGAATCCGGCCCTTCTTCTCTTTTATTTGCCCTGTGTACCCTATTTTCGCTTTCCGTCCATCCATCAGTGGACGTATGTATCCTTTCTCTTCTGTCGTCCCAGGTGTTCTGGAGTTCCACCGAGAGAACAATGAATCAATCAATCAAGTGAAATCCAACCATGTAGTTTGCTTTGGCTGTGCCTGACGGGGATCCGTGGTTCAGCCCTGCCGGTGGGGACCGAAATCCTACTCTCTTGATCCTCTTCTGCTTATCCATCCTTCCCTGGATCTGGTTTGCAGTCATTCTTTCTTCATGTATTTTCAATAATAATCCTTGTGTTCGCGTATTCTCAGTGGCGACGACGCGAACCGACCACCACCCACTTTGGCCCCTTCGCGCGGCTGTGTTTCGCCCCGCGCCTCGCCAAGCCCCAGCTTTGCTGATGCGGCGAACACTGTCACCGTCTCTCTCTTTCTTCCATCTGTCTCCTCCTCGACACTCATCTCAGTGTCGGTGACTAAGTCGGTCAGTATGGCAACGGAAGAGCCCCAGCTAGGCTCCATCCAGGACCGAATCGCCGCCCTGAAACTGGCACAGCAGGCCCATCCTGCCTCCGGCTCTGAACCACCGATCTTCCGACCTGCCGCCACCGAGCGAAGCAGATCGGCCAACAACCCGCCCGCATACAATGTGACCGGCTCGGTTTTAGATCAGGCATCTGTCGGGAATCAGCCTGCTGACGCAAAGGCGCCATGGCCACTCCTGCCGCCGCCCTCGATGACTGCGTCCGCCCAATCGCCGACGCCGGACCTGAAGCCTAAGAAACCTCCGCCGCCCTTGCCGACACGCAAATCCGGAAATGAACCTCCTCCAACCCCTTCTCGTCCGGCTTCTCGCCCCGCACTGCCCATGCGCCGTCCTACGGACCAACCCCGGAGACCGTCTTTCGAGTCGATAACGTCTGATACATCCTTATCAACAGCATCGACAATCGGGCGCGGGACATCGACAACTTCTGTTAACTCGGCTGCTGGTGGAGGTCGAGTCAAGGCTCCGGCATGGGGGGAGTCTTCGTTGCCGCCGCTGCCTCCCAAGCGGGAAAGGACAGAGGACTCCAATGGCTTTATCATGCCCCCGCCGGCGAAGCCCAAGAGCAAGTCTAGTATAAGCAGTATGAGCAGCAGTTTAAGCTCAAAATTTGGCTTGCCTTCCAGCAAACAAGCGGAAGCCAGAGAGTCTTCTCCTGTTCGTCCCCGGCTTCCCTCTCGCCCGTCTCGAGATCCCCCGCAGAGCGAAGAAACACCAGCGCCTCGACTGCCGAGACGTCCTTCGCCTGCAGAGGAAACGCAAACAGCAAACGGAGTAATGGATGACCCAAGGCCTAGCTTACCGGCCCGGAGGCTTCCTCCTCCACCGTCTCAAGCCAGTATCAAGGATATTCGTCAGTCTGGGTTCAACAATCCCAGGCTGCCACCGAGACCGAACAGCACGCCTTCAAATGGAGAGCCACCACCCATCCCTCACTCTACTCGCCCAGATCTTTCCAAGATTCAGGGAACAAAACCACGGTCTTTTGGTTCAATTCCATCATCCACAGCAAGCCTACCAGTTGCTGCCGCGTCCTCGGAGACGGAATGTCTACTATGCCGGGATTTCACAGGCCCAGATGAACATGCCGCTCAATACCCGCGCCAATCTCTTCCGACGCAGGATCTGGCGTGGCTAGCAAATGAACTGACTGCGCCATTCCCGTCATTGACCGACAAGGCCAGAGCGATATTTACCTGGCTACACCACAACATCGCGTACGATGTGTATTCCCTTTTCAACAACTGTGTGAAACGCCAGACACCCGCTGAAACTCTGGCCAAGGGGCTGGCGGTTTGCGAAGGCTACGCAGGGCTGTTCGCTACACTAGCCACCAATGCAGGGCTAGAAGCCATAGTCATCACCGGACACGGAAAAGGATTCGGCCACAAAGCCCCTGCACCCGGTTCTCCACTTCCGCCGTTCGATGGCAACCACGCCTGGAACGCCGTCAAGATCGACGGCGGGAAATGGAAGCTGCTGGACTCATGCTGGGGCGCCGGCGCCGTCTCAGGCAAGGACAAGCCATACACGAAACGATTCGAGCCATCTATGTTCTATATGACAAACGACGAATTCGGACAGCGACACTTCCCCTCTAACAAAGACCATTTCTTCCGCGATGACGGTCGTCCCAGCATTAGCTGGGAGGAATACATTGCCTTCAACCACGAAAAGCCAGACGGCGTCCAGCCCCTCCTCATCTACGGCACGGCCGCGGAAGAAACCATCGGCCGTCGCACCTTCCGTCCTGCAGGCCGCGAGATCTCCATATCCAAGACCCAAAGCCCCATCCGCTTCCAATTCGGCCTCCTCTGTCCACACTGGACCCTCGCACACCACACCCGCATCATACCAAACCTATACATGCTGATGATCCACGGCGTGGACGGACGGAAGGACGAAAGCCTTCCGTTCACGCACGTCCCGGGGTCGGGCCCCGGAGGCGGCGGCGAGTACTGGTACGTCGATGTTCCGGATGTGCGGATGCTCGGCGCGCCAGGCCAGAAGCTGCAGCTGGCTTTCTTGACTAAGCTTGGGAATAATGATAATGTCCGTGGTGTCTCGGCCGAGGAGTACTTGTCCTCTATTGGGAGGACTTCTATGGGGTGGTCGTTTATTGCTGAGTGGGATCTTGTTGGGTAGGGGGCGCGGTTTGCTTTTTCTTGCATTGCATTATTATGGTCGGACATGGCATTCGCATGAGTATAGAAGTAGCAGATTGGATAAGAAGAACCTTCTTGCTCGCATAATATTTTTGCATGAGCAGATTCAATTTACTGCCCGTATATTACAGCACAACACTAGGCACGGTAAATCGCGCAAATGGTTGGGAGTAGACTGAGTTGCACCCAAAGTCTACCAATGAGTCCCCGTCGCTCGAATCCGTGAACCAAGACACAGGGGCGCTTGGAAAGCAACCACGACACTAAGGACAGATGGCACAGCATACGAAAGGACATGTAACTATATGAATTACCAATGCCGAATTTGGATTTTGATCACCAGCCCCACCGATGTACGCCTTATCCCAAAATATACAAAGTAATTAAACTAGGTCACATAGTAAGGAAGAGTCGGATTTTTCGTCAGGCTGCCCGATTCACTGGCAGGTGAGAAGGGAAATTGACCAGACGAAGTCTGGGTCGCAATCTCCACGTCGTCGTGGCCCTCCCTTGCTGGTCGTGGCTGGTCGCTCAGTCGGTGAACGGGGGTAAGTGGCCGCTTCTCTCCTTTCAAGAGGCTGAGCCAGGCTCGATACATTGAGGATCGGAAAAAGATGGCAATGGCCAACAGGCCACTCAGCTAAGCACCGACGGTCAGCAACTGAACGACTAGGGATAAAGATCAAGACTTACTATCAGCATGTACAGAACTGCCCATAGTTCTGCTTCCTGGGGTCCCAAGGACGTGGCGAGTGAAAGGCATGGGGTCTTATCACCGTTTGACGATTGTAGACATTTGAACCATGCGCGCCTATCTGATGCTGGATAATCGCCGAATTGGCGCAGCTGCATAAAGACAGCAGCTAGGAAACAGACGTAGATTAGGATCAGGACCGTAATCAGGATGGCTCGCCATTGCATCTGCACGATCTTCCTAACTCTGGACGCGGTTCGCTGTGCACCGAGGACACGCTCTTCGTCAGCAGACGGGGTATACCCCGACCAGCGGAGCTTCTGATAGTTGAACCACGGTCTGAGAATGTGGACGACACAATACGCTATAGTGAGAAGTTGAAGGAGCAGAGATACAATGGAGACGCTTAGCAGAGGACCCCAGAAAGTTGCTTCGTCGCGATGAGGGATCAGATAGCAGATTCTGCCGAAAGTGTACTGTACACCACTAATTGTGAGGACAATGGCGACGAGAGCAGCAGATCCCAGGAAAGTGGTGCCGAGCGAGATGTATTTGAATACCGAGCCAGGCTTGATCTCCCAGCAGACCGAAAGATGTAGTGCGACTGATCTGAAGAAGCCTAGTAATTGTTAGCACTGCCTACCATGGTGGTGAAGCGCCATCATGATGAAGCGGAGGGTCTCTCACAGCTAATAATCACTAGCCATGCCCCGAAGAACAGTGTGACTCCCATTGCAGCACACCTTGCGTCGTTTCCCATGTCATTCGGAGTGATTTCGTTATAACATTCTTGAGGCTGGCCCTTGGACGGAATGATGAATGCGATCTGAGGACCGAATTAGTCTCGTCGGAATCTCCAAAGAGCAGAGAAATGAAGTGTATACTGTGATGAAGATAAATCCAATGACCGGACTGACGGTCAGATAATGGCGGTCGGTCACGTTCGCAGGGAAGATCGCATAGGTGGCTAGTAGCCAGACCAACAGGATGAGAACAGGTATGCTGGGCCATAGTGCAACTCGGACATGATCAGTGAGCCCTAGGTGGTGTCAGCTCATGATGAGTACTTCTTCAGGGTTGCGCTGGCTCACAAATAACATTTTTCCACCTCCAATAGCTGATAGGACATGGGAGGCAACAAGAACTTTCTCCAAACTGTTCACACCATCGACTTGAAACGGCTATTGTTTATTAGCATACAGACGTAAGACAAGCCTATGTAGAAAATGCGGCTTGGGGGAGCACTCACCCCCTCCAGTATTTGGAAAGAGCGATTCTTCAATAAACGGATGTGGGCAAGACGAAGCCATTTGAACGGTTTCCGGCGAGCAGTTGGTCGCTCATAATTAGATTTTCTGGCTTGTTGAGTGTCCAGGGCCGCGATTCAGAAGGCGAGAAATGGAATGTCGTGCAGGTCGCGTGCGACGTGCTGCGTGAAGAAGAACTAGCCAAGATCACGATCTGAGCGTCGGGTTAGCCAGTGGTTCATGACATGCCAACGGAGGTCCTATCGGTAGATGATAGAGAACGATCTGACCTTGTTAGGATTAACAGCCTCTATCCTTCGACGGAGTGCCTGCAACATCCACGAAGTGGCAGGAGGGCTTAGGGAGGGCGAGAAACCGGTTGTAAATAATAATATTTAGGCTCCCAGGCACTCACTATTTCTCCACCTGCACTTGGACTTGACCCGTAACGGGCGAATCGACCCCGCAAAAAATCTCCCCCTCAAACCTATTGTTCTTGGTGGAGCTCGGTTCGCAGGCCGCGGAAGGACGGATTACGAAGGACCCGCTCACTAGCTTGTAAAGTAGTCACATTAGTGGTCAGCCTGACAGAGACTGGGTCCGAAGATTCAGGACGGCAGTTAGCTCGCCCCTCCCCCGGTCGTTGCCCATCGATCGAAGTCTTTCTGAGGGTTTGAATATGTTTTCCGATAGAGGTACTGAGCAAAGAAAGCATACGAAGTGAACGCGCGAGACTTTGTGAATTGGATTTCTCGAAAATTACTTGATTTGCGCGTATCTGGCCGGCACCTGCACCTAGCATGTGCCCCTGACAGGGATATAGCGTGTTCCAGCTCGGAGCGCACGAGGGTCAGTCCCTCAAGCGCCACCGGCACGAACCCGTTCGTCTTCAACCCTGTTCCCGCGGACCGGCTTGTGCGTAGGGATGTTCAATAATGATGACTTCAAATATCAACTTTCTCCACTACCAGTCCCCTGACGCGAGCCTTGTAGGTGATTTATTAATGATCCTGGCGATCCGATTGATTCACTAGCCGAAGCCCTAGCCTTCCGATTGGCGCGCGCACGTGTAAACAGGCCCTGTTCTAGACACCTAGACCCGTTTTTCCGACTTTCTCCATAAGCCTCATTGAAAAATCTGCCTGTCGATCTTTCCACAGCCATTGCCCCGTTACGGAGTATCGTTGGCCGTTTCATCCGAACTTTGCTAACCCGAAGTTCAACCAAGACTGCCCATAGCAACGAAAGGTATTGTGGTTGTGCCCGACGGCTTGAAGGTAACCTCGGTTTTTCGGTTTTTCGATCTTCATCAGTCGCAGGAGTGTGAGAAGTCGCTCGTGATCTTGAGATCTTTCTCCCTACAGCCGACTGGCTCTCGTATGTTTAGGTTTGCTAGCTTTTATAATCCCTGAACCCTTCGTCCCTGTCTCCTGTCCTGGGCATGTATTCGAGGAATACGCTAGTCTCTGGTTAGCGGAGGCGTCCGCCGAGGCGCCCTAACTGTAAGCCTCGCCCGTTGCTCTTCTCCCCACTCAGCCAGCCGCATGGAAGAATGCCGTCCTCTTCGCATGTCCATCAATAGTGTTGTCCATCTTAATGCGGAGGTCCCCGCCATGGGGGATGTGGGGCATTGTATCCACCCATAAAGGTTAGTCCACATTTGCCGTCGTGAAGCAGATTGACTAACAAAATGGGATTGTTTCGGGATCATTGATGATCGCGGTTGTTGAGCATATACAATATCGTGTAGACGGGAACTTCCGGTGGGGGAATTGACCAGAACACAAGGAAGTTCCAGGAGTTATAAGTCATTAACTTGTAGATCAGATATGTAATAGGAAGGTAAAAGAGACAAATTTGAGGATTGACCAACTTCGGTTAGATACCGAAACTCAGTAGTGCAGGTACAGGCTGTTCTTTCCTCCAACAAGCTTCCTAGGGCTGCGCACTCGAGATAATGGATGGCTGAAATCTACAAATGCAACCTTCGAACTAGGGGTAAAATGCCGCGTCGATGAAGTCTCTAGTAGGACAGCGAGTAAGGTGTTACGGTCTCCCTCTACATCGTTAGGAAGATCTGCCTTGTTCTGGCTAAAATGAAGTTAGCGATATGAAGAGCACTAAGGGAATTTGTAAACGATACCCAGGTCCTTGAGGGTTTCCGGAGTCAGGACTTAGAGCCATAGAGCGTTGGGAACTCTCGTCGTCCGACGCAGTAGGTCTGAACTGCTCGAGCACCACCGAGCATATACCCTTGCGTTTCTGCGTGCACCACCGTTTTGTTGAGCTCAAGGGCCCATGCTGAGGGCTGGTGAGGCCCTGTAGGAAATGATGGTTAAGACCATACGGAGTAGAAAGTCCATACGGCTCACATAAGGCTGAGAGGGTGCCGCAGACTGATGTTGGAAATGACTCTAGGTGGCTGCTGAATGAGGCTCTGATGGCCTGCTGGTTGGTACTGAGTACGGCCGATATCTTCTGGTTCTTCTTTGGCCTAGAAGCAGATGACACGGCGGGGGTGCTTTCTTTCGATCCGCTAGTTATCGCCTGCCTCCTTATTAAGCAAGGCTTGTACGAAGGTAGGAAGAGGACCAAGTTTTCGGAAGGGGCAAGCTTGTGCTTCAGTAGCCAATGCGCAGTTCATGCACGCCCCGCAGAAGTTTGGCCACTGCCGCCGGTGACCGTTGCTCACGCAGGGCTTGTGTCTGAGCCCGGGTTAGGTAAACACGGCCATTATCTCCACGATGGCAATAACTAAGCGCCCCCTGACTAGAGAAAGCTTGTGAGGAAGATGCCAAATGGCGCAAAGGGAACAGGAGCCCGGGAACGACGCGCGAGCGACGTCAGCTTTCATCATCTACTTGCTGTACCTACAGTGTTGAGTTCCAGACTAGGCAGATAAGGCGTCAAATTTGATTTCCCGAGAACTTCCGTTTGCTAGGAAGCCATACGGTCTCTGCCAGCTTGTTGGTCGATCACGTAGAAAGGCGTCGGTGTTGGAGCGCCAGCCGGCTGAGATCACCGTCTTCACCAGACATCAAACGATCGATATTGTAAAGATGCATGATCTCAGATATCCGACCGAAGAAGTTGAAAAGTTGAATGGTTAGGAAGAAGACAGTGAGAAGGAAAGATGGAAAGATGGAAAGGGCGATTGGAAGAAAACAAATATTAGTCTTACAAGCCATCCTACTTCAATGATACCTTGATTCCCTTGGTACTGTGTACATCTCGCTTCTCATCTTTGGGTAAGAGGTTGCTATTTTGACCTCTAGTTGATCATACTCCCGCCCTTGACTGCTTCTGTTGCTGGAACCTCAATAGCCCTTTCAAAAGTCTCATCCAAAACCAGCACAGGCTCGTAGCCATCAATAGCCTTAACATGTCTCCCATACTCTTCCATTCCCCTTTCACTCGGTCCGGAATAGGAAAACCATTGCTCTGTTTCTCCAATTGATCCTCTCGCCGGATCTATCCCACCCGCATACTCATAATAAGTATTATTCCAAAAATATGTACTGCTCCCGTTCTGTCTAGTGGCTAGAACCTCGGGCACGGAGAAACTAGATGGCAGTGTCAAGTAAGGTAGGATTGGAATGGACGACGAAAGTAGCGATCGATCGATAAATGCGATGAGAGTCGAATTTGTAGTTAAGGCATCTGTTGGAATAACATTTGCTTGATAGAAACTGACTGGGTAAGAAAAAGAGGATGTGATTGGCGCATGATATGGCGACGAAGGGGAGAAGACAGAGGTTCCTTCGGTCCGCTGGTATAGCGTTTCATTGTAGCCGGATGCGGTGAAGTTCTGGGTATTTGTGTAGTAAAGGGATTGTGTCCAACTGAGGGTGCGATCTCCAGATGATGTAGTGATTATTGCGCTGTGACATAGGGTGCGGCGCGCTCGCAGGTCAATCCAGAGAGAAGTGTTGGCGCTTGCGTTAGCTGTGATCAGTGGGGTAAATTCGAAGGTTGGATCAGAAGGAATAGAGTGAACCAGCTGAATATTTTAGTCGACAGGGCCCCAAATCATCTAAAAAAGGTTTACTCACCGTTCCGGTAGTTTGGTTTCCCTTCTCATCAACCCACAAAAATACGGCGCCACTAACCAACCAGTTACTACCCACTGTCCCTAACATGGTCTCCGAATCATATCCCACAACCTTCAACTGGAACTCATGTCGATTTCCATCACAAAGGACACCCAACCACGGACTAACATCAATCTCATAACTAGGCAGGTCGAACGTGTCAATTCCCACAATCGGTACCCACAGTCCAGGACTGATACCCCCGGTAAACACAACCGGAAACGGCCAGCTCACACCTGCGAGCTCGCCATCGATTAAAAGTTGGACTTCTCGGAATGGCGAGTAACCGTATATGGCGGTATTATTGAACGTATTTGCATATTCAGTCGGCACATTCGTGTACCAGAACTCCTCGGCACCGTTTCCGGATGCGAGGATACTAACCACAGCTCTCTCGGCATTTCGAGGGAAGGAAAGGAAGACCGTCCCATTCCCTTCAGGAAGCGATATGACTGAAGAAGTATTCTGACTAGACGATTGAGTGGAGATAGGCAGGATTACGTCCGCGGGTATCAAGGTTTTGTAATCGTCGTAGTAGAGGGCTGTGATCGTCACATTGTAAGGCGCCGTGAAAACAGAGTCGACGATGTTGTCCATCGACATGATGACCTTTTGCTCCGATCGGAAGAGCGTGTCAAAAATAGTCATATCTTTCTGGAAATTCCAGAATATTCCCGTTCGGGTAGGCATTGCTGTTGTCATACGCCATATCTCGATGTCTCCGAAGAAAAGTACGCCAAGCCGGTCGTAATTGATGCCTTGGGAAACAACGGAGACATTCAAAATCGTTGTTGTGAACGTGCAGTCTTTGGGAGGGGTGTAATAACCTAATCGAAGTCAATTCCGATGGGTGCAGCCTGAGATTGGACTTCAATACCAACAAAAGGGCTTCCATAACTTGAAAATTCGTGCTGAACAATGACTTGCTGACAAGAGGCTCCATGATAGCTCTTCCTCGACGGTGCTTGAACCTTAAAAACTTCTTGCAGTCCGTCCAACGCATCCTTGGGCGTTTGCCAGCTGTCTATTCCGCCCACTTCAAATAAGGCGGAAACTCCATTGAAGAAGCTCAAATAAATGAGGAGAATTGAAAGGAACATGGTGACCAATTCGACCCAGGAGGTTGTGTCTTATCTTGATGTCTTGGAAACGCTATTTATAGTAAACAGCCCGGACTACAGCCCGCCCGCTAGTGAGGTTGTCAAGACAGCGTCGTACTTTTACCAGGTGTGCATGATTGCGACGTTGTAGTTTCCTTATCAGGCGCCCGCATCTGCTTCATTAAGATGGCATGGTCAAGTGGAGAATAGTGGAGACAGCGAGGATGTCATATAGGAAGTTAAGAAAGCAATAATATGAGCGATACTATTCTAGACACCCTAAAGAGGTTGGTTGGTTTTGGATGATGGGGGCGGCTATACCAGAACGCATTGTTTCTCGGAGTTCCTCAACGCTTATCATAATGAGAGGGCTGCTAACCCCTCAATCAATGAGCGTGACCATATCGTGCTTGTCGAAGACGTCTTGTGGGAAATTCACGCTTGCAATTTCAACCCTATTAGATATCTCGTTTGCAACTCCGAAGAGCCCCATCAGAAGTTAGCGCTAGTCACATCGGAAATTAGGCTCTCATTCCCTCCAATCCGAATCAGGCTTTTATGGAGCTAGTTTAATTGAATAGGAAATGAGCACGGACCTCCATAATTCAAAGGCCGAGTTTTCATTTCCCAACACTAGTCTGAGAGTGAGTCGAATTAGCTTAAACCCAACATAGCCTAGGTATCTATTATTTTAACAGGACGAAGCTACGATAAGCGATGTGGAACCTCTCAGTGCCAACACTCGGCCAAAAAAAAAAAAAAAAAAAAAAAAAAAGAAGAGCATCAGCAGGTTGTCTAGTCTCACGATACCCTACGCTAGTTGTTTATAGATCTAGGCAATAGAGACTCCCATGATAACTTTGGGTGCGACTTAGTATGATTCTAAGACTAATCGCTAGCCCCTAAACCTCAGGTTGCCAGCGAAGTATTAATATATAGGCTCTCTACCCCGCTCATGCACGCGTCCGTACGTGCGATCAGTCCGTAATTGTTAGACTTCCGCATGACCTAGGCTGGGTTGGGTTCGGGGTCAAGAGTCCTCACCAGAACGAGGTATAGGTTATAATGTCTGACCTAGTTCCAGCCCGACACAGCAACTTTTATGATCCTATTTCATGCATCCAGCGCTTTTTTTTCAGCACATAGCTCCAACACTCTCATTTGAACAATCGACCGCAACGACAGGCTCAAAAGTAAATGACAGAAGCCAAAGGTATATTTAGTGCTATCTTTCAATCATACTTTTTACTCTGTGAGCCTACTCGTTCGCCTGAGACTCACTGAAGCGGCGACTCAAATAGGGGACCCCCTGGAATAATATATATATGCACTTAACATACAGCCTCTCATCAGCCCAAAGCGAAAGTCAACCCTGCCGTACCCCCAGCTTTGGAATTCGCCATTCTCCTCCGTCTGTTATCATAGTTCATGTAGTCCTCTAACTTCTGTTCGTACCGGGCATAGTCTCGCTCGTACTTCTTCTGGTCTTTGTATTTTTCTCGACGAGGTGGATGCGGCTTTATGCCATCGAAGAAGCCAGAGCCGAAACACATTTTGATTCGTGTTTGTTTGTAGAAGGGTTGGTGATGGTGGGTGTAATCTTTGCTCGGTATTGGCTGAAGTAGATGAAGGAAAATGATATTTGTGTATCTTCAATTGTACAGGGGTGATTGATTTATATGTAATTGACTAACACAGCCTCCTTTGCCCGAGTCTTGGCCTCGTCATAGGGGGCCAAAAAAGTGGCTGTGATACTTTGGGGGTCCCGCTCAAAGATCGCCCAGAGACCGCTCAGGGCCAGCTCTAAATGCTCAGAGAGCGGCTCACCCCGTGATCTCAGAGCCGATCCCTACTCGAGGCGGCAAGTTTACCGTCTATTTTTAGAAGTTCGCGGTCCAGCAAAAATCGAGATATGAACCATGATAAATGAAGTATCCTGTGGTATTCCATGCATTTGCACCGGCTTATAATAAATATTTTCACATCCTTGTAGCATCTCGACCACATATGTGATATATGTCATTTTACCCACTGGTATCAGAGGGCCTAAATCATTCAAATATCATATAAACCCTGTAAAAGAACCACCGCCCCCCCCCCCCCCCCCCAACCCCCCAAAATCATGCTGCTCGGATACTCTGCAATAAACACCTGTGGTTGGTCATCCAAAAGCGAGAACCCAGGACTCAGCAATTGTTCCAGAGCATTGAAGTCACTCCTGGCGCTGCTACCATGCGGCAACAACTCATCACCGAGCATGTCAGTACTAGAACCATTGGGCGTGTACGCCGCAAAGCCAGTGGTCATTGCGTCTCTAGCAGTGATGCCTTCTTGCCCTTGACCTATTTGACTGTAGTCGGGATCGGAAGAGAGATCACCAGTTCGCCTAGCCGTTGAAGTATTGCCGTTGATATTACTGAGAATGCGCTGTGCACGGTCGAAAAGGCGATACATGACTCCTGCGCTCCAATAGGTGTCACGCAAATTATCCAGGACGAGCATGCACAGCTGGATCTTGTTCTGACCGAGCCTGCCCTTCTAACTATTTGAAGGATGGATTTAATCTCAATGATATCTGGATCTGCACAAGATTTCAAACTGGTGGTCGATTATCTTCCTTGCTATCTACCCCAATTCACCCGGTTCTACAACATCATGGCCGGTGTGTCTCTCGGGGCTCACACGGCCTGGCGAATTGCCTCACTGGCTTCTCCGGGGCAGTTCCACGCCTATGCAATGGTGGTCGGCTGTCCAAACTTGACCGATCTACTGCTAAGTCGGGTAGGGCTTGATCCGGAAGCAGACAAGCAAAATATCGACAACCTCTATCAGCGTATGACTTTGGAGCAACAACGGCGCTGGCCACGCTCTCTAGCAGAGATTGTTCATCGAGACGATCTCAAAGTTGCAGACGAGTTCCCTACAGACGTGCCTTTGCTTTTGTGTAATGGACTGCACGACAGGTTGGTCCCTGCAAAGTATACAGCAGCATGGGTGGAGGAAAGGCGGGAAAAGGGTGACCAGCATGTAACATTCTTTGTGCAGGAGAATACAGGCCACAGCTGCACTAAGGAGATGGTTGCGATGCTAGTTGCGTGGCTTCGAGATAGTCTCCCTATACACTCTCCTCGGCCATTCCTATAGCCCTGTTCCTTTTTCGAAGATATTATTTAGACTTTCGAATTCAAATGTATGTAATTACTTTTTCAGTCTCTTGGAGTAAAGTTTAGAGAGCTTGTGGATAGATGTGGTAACTGTCTAGTAGACCTTCAATGTTTGATTATTGGAACTTGTAAGGCTTAATGACCAAAAAGGCCAACTGGTCGTAATGGGCGAAAGTTAAGATCCGCCTAATGTTGACCCGGACAGAAGAAAATGCCTTAAACGGCATCGGGGATGGCATAATGCGAGTGTCTAATTTGGTTGAATCATAACAGCAGGAAATAACAACAGTCATACAAGGCAATCATCGACCTGCGGACATAACCGGCCCCGATTAGGGGAACCCGGACTATGCTGTCCCCTTGGTAGGGATTAGGAGATTTCATCTATTAGACTTTTGAGACACTTCCGCTGACATCATAAGCGCATGAACCAGCGAGACTAAGAGTTCCAACGGCGCTGGATAGCGCGAACTACGGTCTGTGCCCATGATGTGAGTGGCATTAGTTTCCATGAATCGTCAATAGGGGTATTGAAAGTCAAATGGGGCCACGCCGAGCCGAGAGCCGCTTCCCGATCCTCCTCACGTCATCGAGAGAGACAATTACTAGTTCTTTGCAAGTGCACTCGGAAATGAGTCGAGATAGTCTTGTCAGGTCTGGGTGCATGTCCCCCGGTGAACGCATTTGAATGTCGGTTCCCCGGCTCTCCGCATGGCTGCGCGACTGTGTGGGAGAGAAGACGAGCAGAGACATGGAGATGGTGGGGTGGGACCACATGTGAGCGCTGAACGTAGTGGTCCAACGAAATTTTTCGATAGAGTCCCCACAGGCGCGAGTCCACCTGAAACAACGCAATAAGCGTCGCTGTGTGGGACAGGACGGCCGGAGGAGGCCGTACCACGCAACCCGCGCGGTCTGGAAGCCGACCTCGCGCTGTTCCGAGCCCACTCTCGGCGGCCCCTGGCCATTGAGCTCCCGTCCAGGCATCCCGTTCGAGGCATTTGCCCGTGCTCGGGGCCCCGGACTAGTACTGCCTCGTCGGCCGTGGTGGGATTATTATTTCCTCTGTGGGTTCCCCGGTTAAATGATTAATTACTGCTGCTGTGTATCGACGTGTCCTTGTACTCTCTCCGTGGTGGCATTGTCGGTGGGACCGAGTAGTGAGGTGCTTGTCTCGCTGGCAAATCTCATTGGCACACTGAGAAACACCGTAAACTTGTTATCCGGGCTCCTATTCCACCGTAAACACACAATAATTCACATCGTCAGCCTTTTCATCACAGAGTTTCGGGATGTACCTTTAGGCGCAAGCCCCTGACGATGCCGAGCGCCACTGCCGCAACAGGCCGATCCGAGGGAGCGCCCAGCAGCGAGAAACCGGGAGGCCGAACTGTCTTCGGTGGTATGCTGTACCGCGCTACACTTGGTTAGGACTAGCCTGGGGATTCGGGTGGCCGATTCCCCCGGATCAATATGGAAATTAACCAATGAAACGCACATGGTGGATTCTATAGCCCAATCACCGAGATAGGGGCCGCAAACGGGGTCTTGGCAGGCCCCCAGGTTGTACTGGCACGTTTTTCCATTGTAATTAATCATCGCTGCCTTCTCCATGGGGACAACCCTGGTGTTGACCTGGCACAGTGGGGTCGGTACCTGTCTCATGACAGAATTTTTTCGCTTTTCTATAGGGGAGCAATTTACTGGAAGAAGAGGGCCATTGTATTTAAGTAACCTCCTCCACCCCCGTCCTTCGGAGGTTTTTTTTTGTCTAACCCTCTTTTATTTTCTCACCCTCATAGTGCCTTGAGCCTATTCACCCACCATGGTTGTCGTGGGGAACATCTATGTGATCGCGGCGGTCGCCGTCATCGGCGGCAGTCTGTTTGGCTTCGACATCTCGTCCATGTCGGCCATTCTTAACACTCCAGCCTACAAGTGTTACTTCAACCACGGCCCCGATGGCCCGCCCTTCAACGATGCGAAGCATTGTACTGGCCTTAGCTCCCTGGCTCAGGGTGGTGTTACTGCTGCCATGCCTGGTGGTTCGTGGCTGGGTGCTCTCATTTCTGGTTTCGTTTCCGACCGGCTTGGCCGCAAGTATGCGATCATGACCGGATGTATTGTTTGGTAAGAAAAGCAGCCCTCAAGTAAGAGATCTAAACTAACAAGTACCGTGATAGGATTATTGGCTCTGTTATCATCTGCGCGTCCCAGAACATGGGCATGCTGATTGCCGGCCGTATCATCAACGGTATCAGTGTCGGCATCGAGTCTGCGCAAGTCCCGGTCTACATCTCTGAGATTGCGCCGCCCTCCAAGCGTGGCCGCCTCGTCGGCTCCCAGCAGTGGGCTATCACCTGGGGCATTCTGATCATGTACTAGTATGTTGTTCCTGCGTTTTTCATGCCCCTACTACCTGCTAACCACTTATGGTCGGATAGTATCTCCTTCGGCTGCACCTACATCGGTGGCAAGGATTCCTGGAACTACAGCACATCCGTTTTCCGCATTCCCTGGGGTGTACAGATGCTTCCTGCCGTTCTTCTCTTCCTTGGCATGACTGTTCTTCCCGAGTCCCCGCGTTGGTTGGCCCGCAAGGACCGCTGGGAGGAGTGCCAGTCGGTTCTCGGTCTGGTCCACGGCAAGGGTGATATCAACAGCCCCTTCGTAATCGCCGAGATGCAGGAGATCCGCGACATGTGCGAGTTCGAGAGCCAGAACAAGGATGTCACCTACCTGGAGCTGTTCCAGCCCAAGATGCTGAACCGCACTTTCATCGGTCTTTTCTGCCAGATCTGGTCGCAGCTGACCGGTATGAACGTCATGATGTACTACATCACCTACGTCTTCAGCATGGCCGGCTACACTGGCAATGCCACTCTGCTTGCCTCCTCTATCCAGTACATCATCAACGTTGTTATGACTGTCCCCGCCCTGATCTGGGTTGACCGCTGGGGTCGTCGCCCGACACTGTTGATCGGTGCTACTTTGATGATGACCTGGATGTTTGCCAACGCCGGTCTCATGGCCAATTACGGTGTAGTTGTCCCTGGTGGTATCGACAACACCCCCGAGGAGTCCATGCGCCTCCACGGTGCCCCAGCCAAGGCCCTGATTGCCTGCACGTACCTGTTCGTGGCTTCCTATGCCCCGACGTGGGGTCCAGTCTCCTGGGTGTACCCTCCGGAGCTGTACCCTCTGCGCGTCCGCGGCAAGGCCGTCGCACTGGCCACCTCGGCCAACTGGGCGTTCAACATGGCGCTGGGTCTGTTCGTGCCCCCGGCCTTCACCAACATCCGCTGGCAGACGTACATCATCTTCGGTTGTTTCCTGGCTGCCATGTTGATTCACGTCTTCTTCATGTTCCCCGAGACTGCCGGAAAGACCCTGGAGGAGACTGAGCATATCTTCGAGGATCCCACAGGTATTCCGTACATCGGTACCCCGGCCTGGAAGACCTTCCACGATACCAAGCGCACCATTGCTGCTGAGCAAGGTGACGTTGAGGTCCTGGGCGAGAAGCTGAGAGCGAGTGAGAAGCGTGCGCTCTCCACCACGCACTCGGAGAATGTCACATCCGACAGTGCGTAAATGGGAGATATGAGTGTACGAATAAAATTGGGGTGGCAGGTGTTACAATTATGGATATATTGTCTTCATGATAAATATATTAATATGTTTTTTGACTACAATATCCTTTTCCTTAATTTGGGGTTTCTTCTTTAATACATACACTAGAACGCCAAGGGACGGTAAATCAGGAGCCAAGAATGGCGTGTTTTGGCTATATAACTAGTCACCATGAATGTAATATTGTTGACGCTAAACCTGCCGTCTGCGGTAGCAAATTTCACCACCGATTAATTGATAGCTACTTCTGCGTATCATGAGTGATTTCAATAAGACTAGTAAATTACTGCCCAACTCATTCATTCGCTTGTGATGAATGCAAACAGGGCAAAGAGTTTCCGTACATTGTTTATTCAAATTTTCAACTTTACTTGTCAGCTTGTATACTTGAAGAGCATGTCAGCTGCGTGAATTTATTAGATAAAGCGCTCTGAAGTTTCTGGTTTATCTGGCGATTATGCGATATGGACTAGGCCTGGATGGCGAATTAGGTTTGAGTTGGAATCCATTTGGCCGTTGCAATTCTCGTTCTTTTCCCCCAGCCCCACTGAGGAATGATAAGTAGTGAAAATACCCCCATCAGGGCGCCAAAAACGCCAAATGGAATGGCGGGTCCGGCGCTTGACACCCATTCACCTGCAAAGAATGTCCAGGAAAAGCTGATGATGGCTCTCATGCAGGTGACTGCAACAAAGCAATCTGCAGCAATAGGACCGTAAGAGTCGATGATCTGGTGATGGAAGAAACCCGCCATATCAATAAACAGCTACGGGTTTCCCAAAGTAGGAGGTACTCACATAATTGAACCCAATTGATGGTGCTTGAACCAGGCCAAAACACAGCATTCCTAGGCCAAACTGCATCCCAACCCACATGTGTGGTGGGCCCGTGTTCTGTGCACAGAATCCGAAAATCCATAAACCCGTGGTTGCCAGCAGCAGGCCTGGAATTGCAATGGGCAACCGGGCTTCCGGCTCCACAAACTGGCCATCGCGCAATGTCTTTTTGGTGGTCACAATGCGGTCTGCGCTCAGGTTGGTTGCAACAAAGCCCAAGATAGCGCCAAAGATGCCGCCCACCATAATCAACCCGGCGTTATTTCCCCATAGATATGGAGGCTGAGCAACCAGAGTTGGTCCCACGGTTGTGATGGTCACTACACCCCCCACGAGGCCGGCATACCAGAGCATGACAAGCCAAACACCAGGTAACCGGAGGGTTTTCCACGGTGCGAGGAACTTTTGCACAGATACTCCATGATAAGTATATAATCGCATATAATGAGTAAACGTGGATGGGAGTTGGTGAGGTGATTCAATAGACTCGGGTGACACATTTTCGATGAGTTGAGAACTCTTGTCTTTGCGTTCTTTTTCGTTCTCCGGAGTCTCATCAGGGGCGTGGGCATGGGAAGTGACTAGGCGCTCTCTTTTGTAGAGGCTCTCCGGTACAAGGAAGAAGCATGCAACCAGCAGGATAGCAGACAGGATCACATTAACCCAATGGATCCATGCAAGGCCCTGGTTACCTGCGATGTACCCCCCAGTGATTCCCCCAATGATCGGTCCGAGGGCGATACTGACAGTGTAACATCCCTAAAAGAAGAAAGCTTTAGAAAATACAAATTAAGATTCGTCCCATTTTACTCATACCATTGCTCTGCCCTGCTGATGGGTGAAGAATATTTCTCCTATCACATTCGGGGCAACTGATAAATTTTAATCAGCTCGCCATCCAACAGAGACCGAAATAGAAAATAAAGGACCGAATCGATCTGACTTACTGGTATCTGCGGGTGCCACAGCAACGCCCATAAAAATGCGAGCTGCCAAGAGGCTTGCAAATGTTTTGGCAAGCCCAGCCCACATCGAGCACAGGACGAGTAGGAGGATATTTCCAAGAATGATGGGTCTTCTACCAAATATATTGGCCAGCGGCACCCACCATATGTTGGCTGCTCCCATCATTAGGACATTGACCTAGATTTTCTTCAGCGATGTCCAGAAAGAGGTGTAACGGGGAAGTTCAGTTACCCACCGCGATCAAGTGGGTCAGCGACCCGATTGACACAGGAGGATTAAAAGCCAACGGAGTCGCGTATAACGGGAAAGCACTTGCAATGGACGCTGAGGTGAAGTTTCCAATCCCGGCATAAAGTGACATGCATATTAGTACAGAAAGCTTACGCCAGGTTGTCCAGTTGAGTGGATCCAGTGGATCAGAAGAAGGCTGGGGAACGAGCCGTAACTCTTGCATCTGGCCATGCTCCGCCCCCTGCTCTACGTGGGCTAATGAGTTTCATCAGATTTGCGACAAAATGCAAGCGTAGCGTTTTCACCGCAAGCATAGCTATTTTATGGTACTCACCCGATAAAATGGCAGTGCCGGGAGGAGTGGCATCTCGGACCTCATCCGGAGACATAGCAAATGCCTGTTTGTAGCCAACCATGGTGAAGCTCTTACTCAATCAATACAAACACTTAGACAGAACAGGGCACAAGAGGGATTCAGGCCAAAATCACGAGCGGATTGCCCTGGTAGTTTATATCTGTACTTTCATTTTTGTCTGACTCTCTGTTCTCCTGTGCGTTTGATACAGCCCTTCGTGGCTGTCGGGAGTGCTCACGAATCTCGGCTCCACTATTTGCATTGGCCACATCCTCTTCCTCTTTGATTAGGTCTCGCCGTCGCTTCTGGGACATCAACAAATCTACAGTGAAGTGGCGGTGGGGGTGGGGGTGGATCTGCGGGGGTGGAGCTCCGCCCCAGGGAGCTTCATGCGGGGACAAAGTTCTGAAGGACCTAGAGACCCTGCGTTTTCGGGCCAATTGCCCCTACTGGAAATTAGTAACTTATATGAGGGAGGCATGATATTTGAAGCTGGCACTATTCCATGATTAATTTCGGGCCCATATAGCCCGAACGGCCTGGGAGAACACAGTCTAGACGTCCGAGTTGTGACTCTGATGTCAGGTAGTGGCGCTACGGCCCAAAGTTTGAGACTTGCTTGAACGGATCTTGAATCAGCGCACATTCATGAATCAAAATTTATCCGTATGATGGAAAGTTTGAGTTCTAATTCATTCTAGTAGCAGAACATTGTGAGGAATTCCATTCGAAGCTGGCCATATATTCATTTGGAGCGCGACGAACCGGAATATCTAAAGGCTACAACATTACGCAGATGTTAAACTTTGTGGATAATAGTGCCTGTCAAAACGTTCATTTTCTAGAATGGCTATATCTTGCAGGTACATATGAGGAAGCAGAAATGGTTCCTGACATGATGATGAAAGAAGTTCCAGGTTTTGTTAAATGAGAAAGCCAATTCGATATTCTTTGCACAACCCTAGAAGGATCCTAGGGCTTTGGTACGAATGAGCATTATCAACTTAGTTCAGCAAGGCACTGCCTGGGCAGAAGAGCCAGTGTATCCCAGTTGAATGAATGTCTCATAACTCCAGTAGTCAGCCTGCGTACCCTGGCCATCCACTGTCGCGTTCCCTGAGAACTTTGCAGTCCAGTATGAGCTGCCTCTAGTGTATTTCCTCCATGCTGCCAGGCCGGTCTGCAGGTTTTTCTCGCGAGTGGAATAGGTATTGTCAAGCTCCGCTTGAATGGCCCATTCTCCAACAAAGACAGGAAATTTCCCATCCCCTGCTGAGTTAACGGCATCCTCGCAGATGTACTGCGTCATATTAGAGGAGCTCACAGGGCGGCCCTCAAAATAGTAGTTGTGAACGTCAAACACCAGGTTCGTTCCAGCTGTAAAGTTGGACGACCAGTAATCCTCCCCTTTGAAGCTGCCCTGGAACATGATCGGGATTTTGGCATTGACGGCCTGGACTTTGGCAATGACTTGGTGAATGTAGCTGGCCAAATATTGAGCACCACTGTCAGTGAGACAGGCAGGAGTCCCGAACAACGCCATGTTTTTAACATCGACAGGCTCGTTTATCGGCTCAATTGTGAAGGATTGAGGAGACTGTGAGTTTTGAATAAAGTCGATAACGGCATCAACGGCTTGCAAGGAGTACTTGAGAGCCGTGGCATTGTTGAACCAGCCGTAGTGTCCTTGCGCTTCTCCAAAGGGCATCCCATTGACACCACCCGGAAGAGAGTGAATATCGATGATGATATGCATGCCATATTTATTGATGGCATAAGAAGCGATTGTGTTGAGGAAGGATTTTTGACCTCCGGAGTAGAGTCGCGAACCTGGTACCTTGACCCAAGCGGCGTACGTAGTCGGAATACGAAGAGTGTTGATACCCGCAGTGGCCAGAGTATCAATGTCCGCGGTGGTAATCCAAGTGGCATATCGGCGCTCTAGGACTGGTCCACATTGCGATCCCAGGTTGGCGCAGAGGCCCCATTCATCCGCTGCTCCCCCTGAATAATTGGCCCACCACGCTGTATCGATAGTGGACTCCTGTTCAAGCCAGCCACCAAGATTGACACCGGTGCCATTGAACGTCTTCCAGTTGAGGTACTGTGTCGAGGCAGTAGCGCGACTCGCAGCATAATTTATCAGAGAAATGAGGAACAGAATTGACTTCATTGTCATGAATTTTGTCGGTCACGTCGTAGTGGGATGGCGGATTGAAAGAGAACATATGCGAAAGAATTGATTTCAATTTACTCTGCCGTGATTTCGATAGACAGAACAAGACGTTCTTTTATATTGACTAGAATCTCGTCCAGGGGGTTTTCGTCTGTACAATGACATTGTTTCCCCGCATGCGAGTTTCGAACTCCCCAGATTACCCCTGATACAGGGTTAATGGGAAATAACGCATAATGACCCTGGAACATCAATTGTAGCGCTCAATAGACTCAATCGGGAACACACTTTGAAGCTTTCCCATAACGCTCGGGTATGTTCCCCACATTCCGTCCCGTCTCTCCGCTTCTCGTCTTCACATTTGTGTTTTCGCGAGACACCTAAAAACCTGGCAGGTTTCGGTTCGGACAAGCCACTGCCGAGCTTAACATGGTTTTAGTTAATATCTGCATGATTCGGAAGAGATATACCCGGGCATCCAAAGCAAAAGTTGGGGGAGATGGACAGGATTTGAGATGGTTGACGTAAGGCAGGGAACTAGGCGGCGAGATATGCACCTAATTTTGAAGCAACACTAGCTGCCTAATGCTTCAAACTTCCCGACAGTTTAGAGATTCTGTACAAAAGGAGAACGCATTCCGGTGAAGATAAACAAAAAGCTCGATGAGCAATTCAATAAACTGCTGATGAAAGAAAAAAAGTAATTCGAACTGTCAAAGATGTATTTAGAACTGATTAAGAGCTCATGCTAATGATTTACTCTGTCTTTCATATCCCACAGAGGCTTGGTAAGGACAATAAACTTGATTACATACATACATATACACACTCTTTTTGGGGAGAACTGACGACACAGATACTTATGATGTATTAAACGACGATTATGATTATACCGTAATCGATGCAGAAGTTGGCAGGGTAGTCAGCTAATATGAATATAAAACGCTCAACTACACATTAATGTTTCCGGATGTCGTAAGTAGGTATTAGAAATTTAGAAATTGCATGTTCAAGAAAGGAAAGCCTTCAACAAACTGTCCAAATATAACAGGGCCAGTGTTTCCAAGCCCAAGCCATACTTGGAGATATACCAGTATTCTTCTCATCAGTACCAAGAGAAGTGCCACAGTCACTTGATCCCAAAGTTCAATCTCTGCCAAAGCGATTTCTCCGCGCAGCACTTGTGGCTTGCTATGCCAAAAGAAAATCAGACCCTCTCAATAAATTCTCCTTGAACCCCCATCTTTTCAGTAACAGCCTCCGCAGCCTCAGGATCCTCCAATGCGTGTGGAATTTTCTGGTCTCCGAACATTTCGTCCATCTGCTCAAGAGTCTTTCCCTTTGTCTCGGGGTAGAAGAAAATGTAGCACAACACGGCAATGAAGTTGAAAACGAAGAAGACATAAAAGTATCGGAACCCGATGTTTGTGAGGGCACTGGGTGAGAATTGTGCGAAGATCAGGTTGATCGCCCAGTTGGTGAATGTTGTGATGGAGTTTCCTTGATTCCGAATATCCACGGGGAAGATCTCTGCCGGGTAGACCCAGGAAATAATCCCAAGTGGCGTGTAGAAGAGTGAGAACACAAAGTTCATTGCAACCATGGCCCGAAGCTGATTTGTGTTTGTTGCGTCGTAGTGTTGAGACAGTGCTGCGTTGACAACCAGAGCCAATCCCAGACCTACTGCAGACACAATTAAGGGCTTCACACGTCCAACCCGGTCTAGGATTCCAAGGCCGATTGTGCAGTAAACAATGGACAAGGCGCCACTTATACCGATAATCATCAGCGAGGTGTGATTATCGATGCCAAGCGACTCATAGATCTGAGGTCCGTAGTAGTTGATCACATTGATACCAGAGAGGGGCCCAAAGGCCTGAACTCCACACCCAAGGAGTAAACGACGCCTCCAGGTTGGCCGAGTGATGATGGAGAACCATGATATCGACTGATTAGCACGATCTGCAGCAATAACGTCGCGGATTTCTCGGTATTCCAGTTCAATACATCGGTCCTTTTGTGACGTTCCATCGCCGTGGAGCCGATGCAGCACAACCAGGGCCTCTTCGTGTCGATCTTTCTCCATAAGCCAGCGTGGCGACTCATCCAAAAACCAGATACCCGAGACGAGAATAATACCGGGAAAGCACTGAAAGGCCAGAGGAAAGCGCCCTATAGAGAAGCAGTCAGGCTAGAACAAGGGCCAGCAGCCAAATTGCTAGACGTAACACAGACCGGACCACTTACATTGAAAAGAACTTTCCACAAAGGCACATCCGTAGCCGAGCCACTGGGCAACCAGGAACCCCCAGCTAAGCATCCACTGAAGTAGACCCGAAAAAATACCGCGATACTTGGCTTCCGATATTTCGCCAGCATACATGGGGATAAGCGAGGTGAGAATTCCCACAGCAGCACCAGCAATAAATCGGCCTATGATGAGCATGGGCATGTTGACAGCACCGCCTTGGAGTGCACAGCCAATACACGAGACAAGTGCTCCGAAAGCAATGGATCGCTTGCGGCCAAGAAAATCTCCGGTAAACATGTTGATAATGGTGCCAAGGATTGCACCACCCTGGAAAGCCGAAACAATTCCGCCTCTAACCGTGTCGCTAGGATTGGAAAAATATGCAATGAAATGTTCCTGAGAAATGGTCGACGTGATGATACCGCTATCATAGCCAAAAAGAAAGCCTAGCAAGAATTGAACTGTTATTATCTCCGGTAGTCATTTTGGTTAGTCTCACGAACCTCCAATGGCCAAGAATGCGGCCGAAAGCCAGGTAGTTAGCTTGCCCATGGTGGAGGTTGCCGCTAGCGGGTGTATGAGGGAGCAATTGAACTTGAAAATCGATGGTTGTACTGACGAGTGCCGTACTCGCAACTTGACAGATGGTAGAAGTGGAGACTGATCAGCAGGACCCTTTATATATACATTCGTCGTATTATCCTGCGAGGCTCATCGTGGCGAATGACTGCCTTTCCCCAAAGGCATGAATCCCAGCCGATGCAGGAATCGATTCGGGTCATGCTACCCCGAAGGCTTATGCTGGGGTATTTTCTTGGGCTGTGTTCTCCGAGACCCTGAAAGCCGGGGCAAGTGGCCCACAACCCGAGCAGCTGCCATCTCTCCAAAATTGGTACCTTGGGCAGTCTGTTCCAAATCGCACAGCCAATACGCGGATGAGCTCGGGGTAGTATACTCCGAACACATGGCATATTTTTCTGGTTCGGACATTTCGTACCATGGCGTCCCTTTATCCCCTCCGCTCGCTGTGCCGTGGCGAAGGTTGAGAAACCAACGTGCAGCAGCTTACAATCCTTTGTCGGGTACTACTCTCTGCACATACAGTAGCGACAACATACCCGCGCAGTCTGAACATCCCTGTCAACATTGCGAATGATGCAGTTTTGCCGTTGTGGTATCCATGGATTCCACGAGGTCCTTGGTATTGATACCGATGAGATACGCTTTTACTGGACTCTCGAGAGCCATGAAAAAGACGCCGTCCAGGTTGCCTACCGTGTCGTGTTGGCTACGGATCCCAACGCCCTGGGGTCAGCAGTTCTGCCGACCGCCAGGCTTGCCTGGGACTCGGGACGTGTTGAAAGTAGTGAACAGAGGAACATTGTGTGCAAGCCGGCAAATGGCTTCCAATCAACCTGCTGTTACTTCTGGCAGGTGAGGGTATGGGACATTCACAGCAATGAGCATCGCAGCCCGACTCAAAATTTCTTCACTACCTATCCTCGATCTCGACTATTACCTCCCTACAGCATGAATCAAACCTACATGCCGCATACCAGTCTCATATTTCGCACCTGGTTTGAAGATGAGGCGAATCGGTGGAAGGCTGTCTGGATTGGCGACGGGGGCGACAAACCAATCTATCTCAGGAAAAACTTCCAAATTCCACAGCGACCGTCCCGTGCGATCTTGTTGGCTTCAGGCCTGGGTCATTTCAACATGAGCGTCAACGGCCGACCTACATCCGAACATCGCCTTGATCCTGGATGGACCAACTACCACCGACGGGTTCAGTTTACATCGTACGACGTCACGGCTCACCTAAGAGCGGGAGATAACGCTCTGGGAGCCCATGTGGGAAATGGATTCTATGCAGGCGACAAGGGTGACGATCGCTTTTTCTGGCCAATGTACGAGGACAACACCTACGTCAGATACGGCAATGAGCTATGCTTCTTTTGTGAGCTGCATCTCTTCTATGACGATGGCAAACACGAAACCCTCATCTCCGACCCAACATGGCGCGTGCGGAAAAGCGCCACAACGCTCGCCAACATCTATGCTTCGGAGACGCACGATCGACGACTTTACCCCGTGAACTGGGATACACCCGAGTTTGATGATAGCTGCTGGGCGCCAGCCAAGCCTTTGACCGGCCCCAGAGGTCATCTCTTCTACCAGACTCAGCCGCCTGTCGTGCTACATGAGACATTTGAACCTGTGAAGACATACAGTCCCCGTCCCGGGGTAGTATGCTTTGATCTAGGGCAAAATGCATCTACCATGGTTCAAATTGTGGTCGAAGGCGCAGCGGGATCCGAAATCATTGTGAGATATATGGAGACGGTTAAGGACGACGGCACTGTCTTGATGCCGGATCCGCTCTTCAAGGAGTTCGAGACAGGGGTTTTCTCTAGAATCTTCCTTGCTGGCACCGGTAGCCCGGAGACATGGGAGCCAGACTTCAGTTTTACAAGTGCCCGGTACATCCAGGTGGAGGGCGTGTCCCTCAACGGAGGTGAAGGTCTCCCAGTCATCCATTCTGCCGTCGGCCAGCACATTTCCTCGGCTGCCAGGAGGCTTGGAAACATGAAAACAGATAAAGAGGATGTCAATGCGCTGCTGAATGCCCTCTACTGGACCTTCAATAGTAACTTGTTCAGCTATCATACTGACTGTCCACAAATTGAGAAGTTCGGCTGGTTGGAAGTGACTCACCTTCTTGCACCTGCCACACAATACGTGCGTGACATGGAGTCATTATACACCAAGATTCTTGATGACATCCTTGATTCTCAAGAGCCGAGTGGACTGGCGCCGACCATGGCACCGGAGATCCGGTACATGTGTGGCCCGCTTCACGATACGATATCCTGGGGATGCGCCCTCTGTCTTCTCCCTGACATTCTCCTGCGGTATTACGGCTCCACGCATGTCATTGCCAGAGTGTATCCCGCTGCAGTGCGGTATATGGAATATATGCGCACCAAAGAGCGCAAAGGCGGGTTGATTGAACATGGCCTCGGGGATTGGGGTCGAGATATCGCTTTTGGCAACCACCAAGCCAACATCGAGACAGCCATCTACTATCGGTGTCTTCAATGCGTCGCGATGATGGCTCGGGAGCTTGACCGATCCGACGAAGCGGAGAAATTCCAGCAATGGGCTGCGCGTGTCTACGAGGTCTATAACCGTCATCTCCTAGTGAAAGACGATCAGTCGCGTCCATATGCCTATTATACCTCGCTGGACAACTATCCGGAGCGTGATCGCACAGCCGTCGCTCAAGCCATGGCGCTCCAGCATGGATTAGTTCCTCCTGAGTACCGAGATGATGTGATGACCGCATTTGTGGATGATGCAGCCGACGGAAAGATCAGGGCGGGCGAGATCGGACTGCGCTTTCTCTTCAATACACTGGCCGACGCAAGGCGGCCTGATTTGGTGCTACAGATGGCCCGACAGGAGGAACATCCTTCATACATGCGATTTCTGCGACGTGGGGAGACCACGCTGCTAGAATTCTGGCAGGATGAATGTCGAAGTAAATGCCACGACATGCTAGGGACCATCTACGAATGGTTCTATGCCGCTGTGTTGGGCTTAAAACCAATCGAAAATGCCTACCGAACCTTCGAGATAATCCCCCCTTATGAGGCGGAGTTTGGTCATGTCGAGGGGAAAGTTGATTGTCCGTTTGGGCTGATTGAGATCAGCTTCCAGCGCGGGGACAAAGGAACAGTGACGTTGGAACTTGTCGTCCCATTCGGCACGTCCGCGATCGTGAGACTTCCTGCAAATGTGAAGCAGACCGAAATCTCCCGTGAAGGGAAGGTCGAAAAGATACTGGGAGCCGAGAACGTCAAGATCACTCACGGGTCTTACATTCTTGTCCTTCAGTCGTAGATGCTGGAGATGCACCGATGGCTACCTTGATTGCCGATGTTCTGTCAGTTGGATTAATATAGAACTATATGAGGCAAATGATCTCCAATTGAAAGCTAAGTCTAATGTTCAAAATATCGGAGTGGCTTTGCAATCTCCTGCCAGAGGTGGCAGGCAAGCCATCGGTAAGCTAAACAGACGGCGTAACCAAGGAAATACTAACTTGTAGATAGATAGACCAAAACGTCTTGTTACATTTCCCTCCCAGAGCTCGAGAAATTTGTGGAAGGGATAGAGGATAGCTCAATAAAAAGCCACATGTTTTGAATCCTCTCCACCTGCTCATTGATCATCACCTAGGGAATGACCATGGTGATTGACTGTCAACCCACTATTTCCCTACTTCCAAATAGCAAATTTGCGTCTTCCATGTTTCACGTAACCTTAGTTTAGGAAAAAGCTTCCAAAATGTCGTAATATCCCCCTTCGCTGAGCGGCGGGGTTTCACTACTCTTGTGGGAACTAAAATGAGTGGCTATATGATACCCATAGAAGTGATATCCGCTAATGACGCAAGAGACGAGTTAGGAAGCACATTCCTATGTATTCTCTTTCGAACAGGGGTGGAAGAATATGTGAGAGATATTCTGGCCAGTCAGGCATCGGTTTCAGTTGCCGAAGCGCCTGAATATATTCCCAGTGTTCCGGATACCAGCCAGCATATTCCCAGTCAAGGATAGCCGTGACCCGGTCTCTTTCGACAAGGATATTCCGCGGGGAGAAATCAGCATGAGTGAAAACAATCTCATGGTTATCCATAAGCGCAAATTTGGCATAATGTCGCAGTAGATCTGGTGCCGACTTGACAATATCCCCCAGAATAAACTCGTTGAGCTGTTGCTCGGAATCAAATGGGCCGCCTTCAATAGAGGCAATCTGTCCTATTATAGCCTTGCCACGATCAATGGCTCCGATGTCGTCACCTTTCAATTCGCGGAGTTGATTTATATAGGAATGAAGCTCGTCGGCAATAGAGAGCTTCTGGTTGGAGTCCAAAGTATCCCATGCTTCGTCGAGTCGCTTGCCAGGCATGTAGTCCATCACGAAAGACGCGACTTTACCATTTTCCCAATGGATACCATGGACTTTGGGCACAGGGATTGTTGTGTTTGCCGCAATGCAACGAAGCGTTGCTGCTTCGTGGGAGCGGAGATCGCCCGACTTCACGACGGGATTATTGCCGAGTCGCGTGATTGTGCGACCGCACAAAGAATGAATTGTCGTTCCTTCTTGATTCCTCGTTGTATTCATGTCTAAAGGTAGATTATTGCGTCTTCTGTTGCATGTTGAAAATCCTGAATTTGGAGCTGGACTGTGCAGGGTAAAGGGTAGAAGGGAAAAAAGGTGTCATCCCCAAATTAACTTTGGGTAGACCCGCGGGCGGGCTGGCTGCCCATGACCTACCCGTTAGTATATAAATTTCCCAAATAGGAATGTATAATTCGATGATTGATCCACTGAATTACTTGTTATTTTCATTGTCACAGCCACTACCGTGACACTTCATAGCTATTAGTATCACCACTCTAGGATTCGTTAGAAATTGAATTGAACTCGAGTTTTTTGTAGTGGTGGTTACTACTTGAGCGAGTTGAGTGAGATCACCTAGCTTCTCTCTCTTTCTTCTTCTGTATTGAGACCTTTTCTATCCATCGGTGTTCTATGGAATCCAGCGGGCTTTGGCCCGTATCAAAAGGGTTAATAATACGCCGTGACAGCCGCGGCCAGTCCCGTTCTGCTTCTGCCCTGGGCCTTAGCACAGCCTATTTTATCCCGTCCATTGGCAGATAACTAGCGCACTCCGAGCCAGTGGCTCCTATTGCGAGAACAAAGAATTGGACACTCGGCTCTGAGATTCCGTTTCAGGAACAGTAGGTGAGGCAATTTATCCCAGACACTCGACGGCGCCCAGTTGCTGCTGATTGTAGCGCTCGCCCCAGTGGCTTGGGCTGGCCGAACCTTCATCGAAATCCAGGATCAAAAGACTGGACCGGACTGCCTCGGTCGTATGTGGAAGGCGTGACGACCGTGACGAATGAAGCTCTCCCCCTGACCCAAACAGGCAACCCCCGCAGGTCGGAGAGCCGGCTGCAGGGATCGTCAGGGTGGGACGCGGGGTACGTGAATTTGCCTTCTTCAGCGGCAATTGAAGGCGCTGCTCGAGCCTATCCCAGACTCGGATCGGCGGCCCGTCCGCAACTGAATCTCTCCTGCTCACCATGAGACCCCACAAATAGGCTCTTCACCACGGTCGCCAAAATTCCCCTGGACTTCTCGGGCTTCCTTTGGCGCAATTGTTCCCCGCAGAAATGATGGCACGGTTGCACAATGCGTCGAAGTGCACAATCTTACCCGTTCCTTTTAGGGCCCGTGTTTACGATGCAGAGCCGGGAATAAATGTATAAATACCCCATGGCCGTCGCTCGACATAAGGAGAGCCGCAAGCTTCTCATTCCGTTCAATCGCAATCGACCATCATGCCTTCCACCAGGACGAGCATTATCGCGGCAGGGCTGGCCCTACTGCCTCTCATTCAGGCACAACAGCCGGCCACATCCGACCCTGGAAACCCTGCTCTCACCACCTGGAAGTGTTCCACGGCCGGAGGCTGCGTGGAACAAGACACCTCGATCGTCCTGGACTGGGGATACCGCTGGATCCATACCGTCGGCGGCTATGACTCCTGCACGACCTCCTCCGGGGTCAACACGACCCTGTGCCCCGACGAAGCCACCTGTGCCAAGAACTGTGTTATCGAAGCTGCCAACTATACCTCCGCCGGTGTGTCTGTTTCCGGAGACTCGGTGACCATGTATCAATACGTCGAGAGCAACGGCGTGTACGGCAATGCCTCTCCACGACTCTACCTCCTCGGAGCGGACGGGAACTACGAGATGATGCAGCTCCTGGGCGGCGAGCTGAGCTTCGACGTGGATATGTCTACTCTGCCTTGCGGTGAGAACGGCGCCCTCTACCTATCCGAGATGAGCGCCACCGGCGGAAGGAATGAATACAATACCGGTGGTGCCGAGTACGGCTCGGGATACTGCGATGCACAGTGCCCGGTCGAGACCTGGAGGAATGGCACGCTCAACCCCAGCGGCCAGAGCTACTGCTGCAATGAGATGGATATCCTCGAGGCCAATTCCATGGCCAACGCCTACACTCCTCATCCCTGCAGCGCCACGGACTGCGACAAGGGCGGCTGTGGCTTCAACCCATACGCACAGGGCGTGACCAACTACTGGGGACCGGGCGATACCGTCGACACCTCCAAGCCCTTCACCATCACTACCCAGTTCATCACGAACGACGGCACCAAGACCGGCACCCTGACTGAAATCCGTCGACAATACATCCAGAACGGTAAGATCATCCCGAACGCGAAGTCGTCGTCCGGCATCGACTCCATCACGCAATCGTGGTGCGAGTCTTCTGACGGCTCTGCGGCCACCTTCGGCGGCTTGACCACCATGGGCCAGGCGCTCGGTCGTGGAATGGTCCTGATCTTCAGCATTTGGAACGACGGAAGCCAGTACATGAACTGGCTCGACAGTGGAAGCAGCGGCCCGTGCAGCAGCACCGCAGGCAACCCTGCCACTATCCTGGCCCAAGATCCTACCACGCACGTCGTCTTTTCCAATATCCGCTGGGGAGATATCGACTCGACCTACACCAACCCCGGAGGCTCTGGCACGGGCACCACCACCAGCTCAAAGTCCACCACCACCACCACCACCACCTCCTCCAAGTCTACGACCACCAAGACTACGACTACCAAGTCTACGACCACGACCACGACTACCACCGCTGCCGGGGCAACTCAGACTCACTGGGGTCAATGCGGAGGACAGGGGTGGACTGGCCCGACTGCGTGCGCATCGGGAACCACATGCCAAAAGCAGAACCCTTATTACTCCCAGTGCCTGTAAATAACGTAGCTAGGTAGGGTTGAGCAGTGAACACTCGCGCTCCCAGTCTACCAGTCTTCTCCTGGTGGGCCAATTATCAAATGAAATTCCAAATTTGCTACTTTTCATGACGAGAAAAGGAAACCCTTACAGCCATGGTGCCTCTGTACAGTGTAGCCTCTGGACGTTCACGTCATCATCGTATTCTTGTTAGCGTAGTTAGTATGGTGCTATCAAAAGTGAATACTGCTCAGTATAGCAGATCAACGATGCATATCGGGAGTTAATTCATGGGCTCATCTCTTTGTATACACCCCTGTGCTCACAGCATGATAACCTTTCCTGCCTACCCTCGCTGTCAAATCACTTTTCCATTGCTCACCACGCACCAATCTTCCCACAGTCTTTTCAAATGTATATTCTGGATTCCACCCTAGTTCCTTCATTGCCTTGCTTGGATCATACACTCTGTCGATTCTTGCTAGATGCTTCCACCCCTTCTCCTTGAAAACAACATCAACCTCGGGAAATTCTTTCCTGAGCACCTCCGCGGGGCTCCGATCCAAAGCACTGAGAGTATCCATGTCGTTGTTGAAAGGTGGCGGGGCACTTATGATATATTTTCCCCATCGAATATCCTTGGCTCTTCTCATTGCGCAGACTGATGCGCTAACAATATCCTCAATGTCGCATCTGCGGTAGGCCAGCTCTAAAACTTTCAGGTTCTCATCGCTCATGGCTGCGCGACGGTCTTCATCATCGTCTTCCTCGGGGAAAAAGCGGCTAGTGCGGAGAACTAAAACGGGCATTCCACTTTGCTTCTGCATCAATGCGCACATATCCTCGGCCGCAACCTTCGTCACACCATATATATTCTTTGGGACGGGTGCAACAGATTCATCGATCCAAGCAGCCGGGTGTCCTGGCTTGGGGCTGAGCGCCATACCAAAAGTACTGGTTGTACTGAAGAATACAAAGCTCTCTATCTGCGCTCCGAACCTGGAAGATTCTTCTAGCAGGATCAGAGTGCCGACAACGTTGGTCGAGATGAATTGCTCCTTGGAGTGGCTGCAAACATGCGGTTTATGTAGCGTGGCGGTATGGAGGACATGTTTTATGGGGTTAGAGTCGAATACGGAGGCAACGAAGTTGCGATCGCTAACAGATCCCACAAGTGTCGTAGTCGAGGAGGGAAGAATGTCGATTCCCAGGGGTTTGAAGCCCATTGAAGGCAGGCTAAGCATCAGAGCGGTACCAAGATGACCGGCCGAGCCGGTGACAAGAACGTCGTACGATGAAGACATTTTGTGATGGAGGCTATTCTCGAGACTGTTTATTGCGAGTTTTGTCCATTTCACGAGAGTATTCTCCTATGTGAGTCACTCCAGACTAGGAGCTTTCTTATTAGGAGATGTCACGTGCCGATCGAGCCCTAGGATACGGATTTTACGTAATGCCATTTCCTCGAACTATGAAACACCTACTCCGAGTAAAAACAATTACTTTATGACATATTCTGTGACTGATTGATCGGCCTAGTTTCTGTTACGAGCCGAGAACTTTCCTTCGGTGCCATATGGGTAGAGATTCTTGCAGTTCTCAGATAGCATTTCCAGATAGGTGTCAGGGTATGGAGAGGGCCAGGGGGCATTTGTATTGTAATCCTAACAGACACAAACTAATCACCTAATCACTCCGTCAGCAGCAAGGCCCCCCTTTTGTAGAGGTCATTTTTTTGCTCTTTCTTGGACAGACCCTTTCTCGTACGCGTTGTCAAATGCATGTTCACGGCCGTCATACCCGTGCATCTGAACATGTTTGGCCGTCGCATTACTGATCTTATTTCCGAGTGTCTCTCCTTCAAGACAGAGGCGATCACAAGCCGCAGTAACGAGGGAAATCCAGTCTGAGAACTTTTCAGCCGGTATAGCGGCTGGTGAAGCAAGGACACTCTTCACGTCTTCGAGGTTTGCATGATAGCATCGCACGAACGCATCGAGCAGCTCACCGGGAGCACCATCCCTTGATTCATCGGGGGCAATCTTGTTTGCAGCACTTTGAACCATGTCTGTTGGAGGATAGACGGCGAGGACATTTTTGAATGTCGCTTGTGGGAAGATCACCGAGCTGAGAACTAGAGTCAAGATTCCTCCTGCACTGAAGCCAGAAATGGATAATGGGATTATCTTGAATTCATCACGTAGAAAAATAGTCATCCCTTCGACGTATATGCCGGGATTTCCAGCGCGGTGATCACAAAGGGCGTCCAGCCTCAAAGGAATGATGGTGGTAGTCGGTCGGCAGAAATTGGAGCGGATCCGTCACTACCGAGCAGTCGTGATAGAGGGCTCACTACACTTCGTGACGCTGGCCATGTGCTGTTATGAGTCTGTACCTGCATGGACAATGATCCTACGCTGCCATGGATCGAGGTTTCGTGCCATTTTGTAACGACATAGGATATTTGTTAAAGCTTGGTTAGGACGCTAAGGGCACATTATAGTTGGCGTGGATATTTTTGGAGCTGTAAAAAGTTAACGTTACATATCCATAAAGCTTACTCAGATTTTTTTTTGTTTAACTAGTATTATATCATTCGGATAAAGGAATACTAAATTGTAAACAGATCGAGCAAAATGCCTTGGTCCATTTCCTCCCAGGGCTCGAGAAGCTTGTGAAAGACATAGAAAATAGCTTAAAGAAACCCACATTTCTGAGCATCTCCACCTGCTCATCGATCATCGCCTCGGGAATGACCAGTGTGGTTAATTCTCATCCTACTATTCAAGAGTGTAGTTGGATTCATCGTGGGCTTGTATACTCCCCAATCATCCAATAAGATCATAGTTGTCACGGCTTGGCATGAGCACGGGGAGACTTTCTCACTTAAAACGGGCTTCCATAGAGCTCCGCGTGCGTCAAGACATACGAGATCAAATAGTTTCCTGAGGTTCCTTCCTTAAGGTAGTTGAGAAACAGATCCATAGATCATGACGACCACCAATGTTGTTGCGGGACAATGGCAGTTTAGTCGTGTGACCACGGCTAGCCCTTGCCAAACGGTCACTAGTCTAATAGCAACTTACCTTCTTCAGTTCCAGGGGGTTTATCTTGCCATAAGCTTCATTCGAATCAACAACATGTGTTACGTCATGGTTGTATTCATAGTGGAGATGTAGACTATTGGCACGGCTTGGCGTGAACACGGGGGCATGACATTCAGATGTACCATACTGTTCTTCAAGAATAGCATAAAAGAAAAAGGGGATACCGCAAGAATCCAATTCACGATAGTATAGCATCAGAGCCACGGGGTAGGTCTAATCCTAGGGCTGGCTGCCAAGGCTGGCCGAACCAGCGATCGATCCGGGCGCGCGGTGGACTCTTCCGGGATTCATCCGGAAACCCCCTGGATTTTTTTTCCCTCTTCTCTTCCTCCCGTCTCGTGACACCCTGACTGCCCTGCACATCTCACCCTCTTTTCCAACACATTGTCCGCCATGGGCCGTCCTCGGGGCAGGTCCAACAACCTTGGCGTGGACATTCGCGGCGACACCAGCGCGCCCGCGATGTCCACGATGAACGACGTGAGCCCCGTCGAGCCCACCAGCCCTGATCTGAGCAAGGTATTATTCCCCTCGGCAATGCTTCGCGACAGCGGTTACTCACACGACAATGCCTCGCAGCAACTACAGGCCCAGTCGGAGAAATTAACTGCCAAGTCCCCCTCTCAACGCCGCCGCCGTCGGTCCCTCCTCCACCGGTTCGCCGACAAATGCCTGAAGTACACCTGGCTGCTGCCGCTGCTCATCCTGGGCGTCCTGCTGTCCTTGTACGCGATCAACCCGACCCCGTCGAATCCAATGCACAGCGCCATCTTCATCTCATACCCGCAGCCACCAAAGACCCCCGGCGGCCCGGTCATGTACGGCAAGGGCAAGAAAGACATTACATTCGTGGCTTTCTACACGATAGTCCTGTCGTTTACGCGTGAATTCCTGATGCAGCAGGTCATCCGGCCGTGGGCGCGGTATTGTGGTATTAAGACCCGGGGCAAAACCGCGCGGTTCATGGAGCAGGTGTACACTGCGATGTATTTCAGCATCTTTGGGCCCTTTGGTCTGTACGTGATGCACCAGTCTGACATTTGGTTTTTCAACACCACGGCGATGTTTGAGGGGTTCCCGCATCGCGAGCACGTGGCCGTCTTCAAGACGTACTATCTCCTGCAGGCGAGCTATTGGGCGCAACAGGCGATCGTCTTGTTGTTGCAGCTGGAGAAGCCGCGCAAGGATTTCAAAGAGCTCGTCGGACACCATATCATCACCCTGGCACTGATCGCCCTCAGCTATCGGTTCCACTTCACGTACATGGGTCTTGCGGTCTATATCACCATGGACATCTCGGACTTTTTCTTGGCGGTATGCTTTTCTTTCGAGGGGGAAATCGAAGCCCATAATAACTAACGGCCTGGACAGACCTCGAAAACGCTCAACTACCTCGATTCCATCATCACGGTGCCCTACTACGTCATGTTCGTCGGTATTTGGACCTACCTCCGCCATTACCTGAACCTGAAGATCCTGTGGGCTGTCCTGACGGAATTCCGGACGGTCGGACCCTTTGAGCTGAACTGGGAGACGCAGCAGTACAAGTGCTGGATCAGCCAATACATCACTTTTGCACTCCTCGCCAGTCTACAAGCCGTCAACCTCTTCTGGATGTTTCTGATTCTACGAATTTTGGCCAACTACGTCTTCAACAGCGTCGTGCAGGACGAACGCAGTGACGCTGAAGAAGAGGACGAGGAAACCGAGGAGAATGGTCATGCCACGGCTACTCTCGCCACTGGCAAGGAGAACCATACGCCTCAGGTGCTGGTCAATGGCGAGCCTGTGCCCGAGAAGCGGAACCTGCGCTCCCGCAGCAGCAAGCAGGATTCGTGAGGACCGCTGCAACTCAATCTTCTAACATTGTATTCTTTGTTTCTCTTCGGAGTCTACCACCCCCCCCCCCTCTTCTCTCGTACTGCCCATTTTAATATTTCGAGTGAAGGCAATGCGCTTCGCTCTTGTCCATAATTACGCATTGGAGTGACTGATCGGGTGGTTAATAGGGCATGATGGTATGTGGTATATTTGGCGGGAGGGAGTGTTTCGTGCTTTCATTCTTGCACATTCTCACTCTTGAGTGTTTACATTACGCATTTTATATGCTTAGGGACTGGACGGCTGCGACTCATGTGGATATAGCCATGACCTTGACGAGGGCTGAATGTGAACAAGAGGTGTTAGGGTTATGTCAAAGAAAGGAGACCTGTCTGTCTACACAACAAAGTCAAGTGATTAAACAATTCCAAGTTGATACAGATGATGATACAATTCTTCTACCTCTGCGTCGAAACCGTCCCCTTCAGCTTGGCTGACTCCGTTTCGCCCTCTCTCTTCTTGCTCTTGTCGGGGCTGTTGACGTATGGGTTCGACGTATCTGCGTTCGAGAGGCCCTCTTGCTTGCCGGACATGGTTCCCGATCCACCGGTCGACCCCCTGGCATGGGGCTATCATTGCATCGCACAGCCGTTAGCTTTCTGGTATGTATACTCGCTGGAACACGGCCAAAATACGAGAAGATGAACCTTGGAAGGTGACATACCTCATCCACCTCCGAAGGAGGAATATTCTGCAATTCAGGCTTCGTCCGCTTCGTCTCCTGACCCTGCGATTTTACCTCCGCTGTCTTCTCTGCTGCAACTTGAGTGGCTTTGCTTTCTTCCCTGGGTTGGCCCTCCACCGGCTCGGGTGGCGATTCCTTTACGGTCTCCGCTGCCGCGGGGGCGTGAGGGCCCTGATGAGATGCCCTCTCCGGACCCACGAAGAGTAGATACATGAGCGCTGAGCCGCCGATGGCGACTGATCCGATCGTCCTGATCAGAGGTCAGAATGTCGTGATCAAGCTAGAAGAAGATCACGGGACGAACCACGGCGAATAGCCGGTCTTGGATGCATTCTGTTTGTATTCATTCCCATTGGAATAGAGCCGACGGCCCAGCTGCTGGGTAGGTCGACTGGCGAGGGAACTTGTTCGAAGGGACTGGGCTGTTTCCGTAGCCCGGAGTATAGAGAGACGAGCAAAACGCATTTCCGGTCAATTGACAAAACCAATGGTTGAAATCGAGGAGATAGGGGTGAGAGGAGGAGATTAGAATCAGATCCAAGAATGTAGAGTTAATTCCGTTCAAATACTTACTTCCTGGTCCGCCGTAGACCCGTTCCCTCAAGTCATGATCTATGACATTTCCGAACCTGGTCTGTGCGCAATGATCTAATGCTGGTGTCACACCCAAGCCAAGTGGAATTATTCTAGATTTCCAGTTGGACTATCTGGTTCAGATGTCGACCTTGGTCTTCTAATGATCCAATGGAAGTATCCAGCAATTCTACTGCTGATGGGCATCCTTGTGGTGTCTGCCTCAGGCACCAATCCCCCACCTCCACAGCTATCGAGCTAGTTGCTATCTGAACTCACCTACTGCCCTTCTCACCATCGACCTCTTCTAGTCCTGCAACCCTCGCTCCCTACCTCGGTCTCCTCGCCATGGCAGATCGCCAGGCTTTCCAGCAAAACATCGCTGGCCTGCTGGCCAAGCTCGACGACCCAGATGCCGACTTGCGCTACATGTCTCTGAACGACCTCTACACAATCCTAAGCGCCCCCGGCTCAGGCTATTTCCAAGACCAGCGCTCTTCGACGCGGCTGGTGGAAGGCTTGCTCAAGGCCCTGGATGACCAGCATGGGGATGTACAAAACCAGGCCCTCAAATGGTGAGTCCCCAATCACTGACGGTCGTCCTGGTTCTCACCACAATTGCCGCCACAGCCTTGGCCCCCTGGCTATCCGACTGCCATTCGAGACCCTCACACCCCTCCTCGAGAAGTTGACCGACTTGACCGCCTCCCAAACGATTGACACCTCGGTCCCCAACACCGCTCTGCGCGTCATTGTGGACACGCTGCCTCGCCCTCAAGCCGGCCAGCCCGCGCAGCAAAACACAATTGCAGCATACTCTGCCGTCTCCAAGGTCCTGATCCCGCGACTGGTCGGCCCGACACCCTCACCCTCCTCCCGACGAGGCTCGATCGTGAGGGGCATGCTGGAGAAGGATCCCTCGAAAGGCTTCAGCAGCGACGCCATCGACGTGCTCATCAAGGTGGTTACGTGTTTCGGTCCACTTCTGCAAGAATCAGAGCTGGCGAGCCTCTCAGAGCCGGTCATGGCGATCATTCACAACGACACGGCGGGCACCGTGGTCACCAAGCGCGCGCTGACGGCCATTTCGGCGCTGGTGCTTCACTTCTCGGATGCCCAACTCGATGCCTTTGTGGCCAGCTTGACCGAAACCCTGTCCTCGCCCAACATCTCTACGGTTCACCGGCGACACTTGATTGCGGCCGTGGGCGCCATCGCCAGCAGTGCCCCGGCCAAGTTCGGTCCGCATCTCAACACCCTCGCGCCCTTTGTCTTCTCTGCTGTTGGGGAAGAGGGTGTCTCGAAAGTAGGTTGAGGCTATTCACTCCGTCTGCAAGGAACACTGCGCCCAGGTCTGCGCCTTATCAATGATACCCACGATTTCTATGGAGGAAAGGCAATTGAATGGCTCCTTCCGTTTAGTGGTAGCTAGACTCAATGGAAAGAAAGACCCCGTTGCCTCCCACCTTCCTGATTACGTTCTTGCCATGCCCATCCCAATCGACCATCTTCTTCCCCTTGGCATCTCTCACCCCGACTTCCATCAGTCCACTTACCATACAGACATAAATACATCCTTCTACATACCTGTCGATATGCATCTCAAACATCTCGTGACGCTGAGCATCGCTCTGGGGTTGTACGTGCGGGCCAGTGCCGACGAAGCCAACCCTATTTACACAGCGTCGGTCCAGCAGCCTGTCTCTTCTCTGCCGTCGTCGCACCTGGAGACTCGTGGTCCGCCTGACTATCGCTGCGGACCTGACCATGGTCGCTGCTCTCAAGGCACCTGCTGCTCCCGCTCCGGTGAGTATCACGCCGGTGCTCAACTTTGAAATCTTGCTGACTCAATCCACAGGGTTCTGTGGGACGAGCAAGGACCATTGCCGCTCCCCGGACTGCCAGCTAGACTTCGGCCACTGTGACACTCACAAGATGCCCAAAGGCCCGCCCACGGACCAGATCCCTCGTCCTCGCGTCGGCCAGGTACCGTATGGCCCGATGGGAATCCGCTCGTGCACGGTTCCCGGAACCATTGCGTTCACTTTTGACGACGGCCCATCCCACTACACTGGGGACCTGCTTGATCTGCTTGATCGGTACGGCGCCAAGGCTACTTTCTTCATCACGGGAAACAATAACGGCAAAGGCCAGATCGATGACAAGAAGTTGCCCTGGATGGCTTTGATTGAGCGCATGCAGAAGACTGGCCATCAGATTGCCAGCCACACGTGGTCCCATGAGGATCTCAGCAAGGTAACCGCCGTGCAGCGCCGTGACCAGATCTTGAAGAATGAAGCCGCGCTTCGAAATATCCTCGGCCACTTCCCCACGTACATGCGTCCTCCTTACTCCAGCTGCAATCCCGCCTCGGGCTGTGGAGACGAGCTCGGTAGATTGGGTTATCACATCATTCTGTACGACATTGATACAGACGATTACAAGAACGATCATCCTGGCCGAATTCAATTGTCCAAGGACATCTTTGACCGGGCTCTAGGCTCTGCTTCCCCGTTCGACAAGTCCTGGCTGGTCATCGCGCACGACGCGCACGAGCAAACGGTCCACAACCTGACAGAGCATATGCTGAAAACCGCCTCGGAGCTAGGCTATCGCCCGGTTACGGTGGGCGAGTGCTTACGTGATTCGCCAGAGCACTGGTATCGGCGTGATGATCGTGGCCCTGCGAAGAAGAAGGGTTCCAGCAGCTGGAAAGTTTGTGACAACAACTCGGAACGGTGTGTGCAGAATTGCGAGAATAGCACTGGCTATTGCCCCGCGGAGGTCTCTTCCAAAGGAGATGCCAGGGAGTCACGTCTTCCGAACAAGAGCTCCAAGTCAGACGCGGATGCGGATCTGCGAACGATTGGCTCGGCGACAGTGACCTCGCTGCTTCTGGCTTTGATCGTGGCCATGTTGATGTAATCAGGTGACTTGAACGATGGATTCTCGGGTCTATCCTTATACAGGGGGTTGGCTTGTCTTTGGTTGATTGTATTCTAGCCCACAGACCACTAGTTAAATAGCTTTATCAAGTGCTTTCATTGGAAAAGACACCCACAATGTAGATCATCGGCCATGCTATTCCATATATGGTATCGATACCAGACGTGGACAGAAGAGCACTTCCCCCCAAATAAACAAACAGTAAACGCGAAAAGGCACAGTGGGTATAATAATAACATCGCAAAAAGCAGCTAGGAAAAAATATCCTACTTCCGAACAATCCTCAGCAACGGCGCAATCCGCGCCCGGCGGCTCAGGCCCACCCTGAAAGGGACTTTACTCGTCGATGCAATGGGACTGTGCTGCTTGGGCCCCTTGCTGGAATCCTTCATCGACACTGTCACGTTGGTAGGATCTTGGGGCGTCTCCGTGTTCGTGGGCTGTGGTTTCTTGGGGGTTTGAGGTGCTTCTTTCTCCTCCATTGGTGGGAGAGACCCGTGTTGGTGTTGAGGTGAGGGGGTTGCGTCAGGGTGTTTCGAGCTCTCCAGAGTGGCTTCTTCGGACACGGGCTGTGAGGTAGTAGTAGCCTCGATCACGGTGCCGGCATTGTCAGGTGATGGTTGCTCTGTGTCGGATTCAGCATTTCCGACGTTGGTCTGCTGCACGGACTCGCTTGTAATATCTTCGGAAGTCTTCTTGCGCTTTCGACCTCGTTTCTTCGGAACCGGCTTTTCCTGGGCTTCTGTGGTAGACTTTTCTCCGCTGGCTGAGGTATTTTGGGCGAAAGGCTCCTGGTGGACATCTTCCACATGCGTCGGTCCTGATTCAACCCATATCACGTCTTCTTCTACATCGGGATTGTAGGTCTTCTTCACCACCTCCGAAGATGTCTTCCCTCTCTTTACCTTCTTTTTCTTCGGTTCTTTGGTGGGCTTCGAAGATTTCTGAACGGCACCCTTGTCCGATGCCTTCTCAGATTTCGAGACACTGTCCAAGGACTGCACAATCTTGCTTCCAGATACAGCCACTGTACCATTGTCAACAGAAGCCTGAGCCGCAAACTCATGGTCTCGCGAGTTCGCCAGCTCGTCATCCTCGTCATCCTCAGGCAAGGCCTGTTTTTTTGAACGACTACGCGTCTTCTTCGAAACGGGAACCTCGACCCTTACAGTTGGAAGTGAAAGTTCATCATGCTGAGACTGCTGCGGCGAGACCAGACCAGCTCCGAAAGTGTCACTCTTTGTTCTACTGATGCGCGAAGACACATTCGATGACAGTGGTTCTGTGTCATGGGGAGAGTATGACATCGTCTGCAAAGACTTCGAGCGATGCGAGCTCTTCTGCGAAGGACGCGACTGCGCGCTGGCGTTTACCGCGGAGTTCAGATCTTCACTCAATTGATGGGTCGGGTCTTTTGCGGGCGAGCCAATGTAGTTTGAGGTCACGGGGGACATGTAGTCATAAGTGGTCCCGCTGGTGGGTTGTAGATTCTGCGTATCGCTGTACGTGATGTCGTTAAGAGGTCGAGTATGGACGAAACTGCCACTTTCCTCTTCGCCCAGCCGGTCGGACTGGTCAATCAGCACAGTAGGTAGTGACTCGGTCTGCGTGAGTCCCATAGAGTGCAGCGTGGCGGTGGAAGGTAGATGTTGGCCCGCGCTGGAAGTGTCGTCGTCAAGGAGTCTTTGTTGAGCGAGCCCGATTTCCGTCATCATGGCACCTGGATAATTCGAGTGTGAGAATCCAGTCAAATTAAATAACGCAAGACTTGAGATTAGAAGATTGCTCCGTTCTCACTGACCAATTGATTCTCCACCCCCACCTTCACTGGTCGACGGAATCCATCTCTCTTCGCGACGCTGCTGCGATGCGGACTGCCGCACCGTTTCCTGGGACTGCAGGAAATTATCAAAGTTCACGCCCAGATCAGGGCCGGTGATGACAGTTCGCGTGGACTGATCCGTATCGCTTGGAGTGTGATGCTGCGGGACGGAGGGTTGGTCGAACTGGTGCTGGTGCGAGAACTGGGACGGTTGCGCTCCCTGGGGCAGATCAATGGCGGCCGGGGTGTCGTCCTCCACGATACTCTCGTCCTCGTCGTCCGAGTCCTGGATGACGCGATCCCAGGCCATTGGGGCAGGCGAGTGCGATGATTGGCACAGCTACTGCGAGAGACTGTTCAAACGGGGCTTATCGCTGGAGCATTCACGCGACCCAGATGACACGAATCCACGTGATGATAAGACTACCAGGTAACTAACTGAACAAAAGACTACACCAAACCCACGATGAGGATGTACTTCTCACATTAAATTGACAGGCAAGAATATTCTAGGAAGAGGGCAGTCGAGCACACACAACTCCAATAGGGCCAATTTAAAAGCAGACTTGATCCAACCACTGCTGCAAGTAATAGCGAATCAACAAGGCTGGCTATACAGAGAAAAGGCACGCATCTCTGGGTATCTCAAGTAGCAGACACGAGTGCATTAGAAGAAGGGGACGAAAAACGACATCAAAGAACACCGCCGGGGAGATTAATTTGCGCTCGACCGCCGTCGAACCCAGCGCTGTTGGGTGCTGAGCCCGATATAGCGCCGACTGGGTAGCTGGAGTTATCAGGATGTATTTTGCGCAGCATGAACATCGGTTTTCGTCCCTCCTTTGCCAGCTGTTTGAAGACAATCAGAGGCTTTTCTTCCATTGTCAGACATCGTTCCTGGTCGCCGTACACAATGTATAGCGCGTAGTTCTTGGGGTCGGAATGGATGTTGTATTTTTTCAGCGCCGCGGGAAGAACTTTGTAGCAGGGATCCTCGAAGGAGACCCGGAACGATTTGAAGATTTCCACACTGGGTTGCGGTTCCCCGCCAGCCCGCGACTCGACTCGCGAGGCTGAGGAGGGTGTGTCAGTCCGTGACGTAGGCGGATGGCTTGTGGTCAGTCGATCTGCGCGACTATGCAATGTGGCGGTCTCATCATGGTCATGTCCTGTGCGACCAATGTTGCTCTCCCTGGACTGAGAATAGGATCGCGGATTGAGGGTCTGTTGTTGGGCATAGAGTGCGCCTGGAGAGGTTGGAGATGGCGCCCCTGGTGAGTGCTGTAGGCCCCCGTTGAGGGAAGCAGTCAGGTGATTAGAAGCAGCCATGGCAGCTGCCGAGGGGTCGAGACTTGATCCGGGCCGTTCATGGGTAGAGGGGATGTGTGTTGGTGAACTGCTTTTGGGAGTGACACCTCCAGTGTAGGTGCGTTTTGAGATACCCCTGGAGAGTTTGGACTGATCGGGGAGCGTGAGTTGTGAGGGGGAGGTGAGAGTCTGGGTATCGTAGAACGTTTCTGAAGATTGCCCAAAGGAAGAAGGAGGAGGCAGTGGATGTGACCGATCTTTGGCGATTTTGAAAACAGGCAATAATTCTTGCCGTAATCGCCGGTAGTCCTCCGAAACCCGACGCAGCTCTATCTCGACGGCCGCGAGCTTCTCGTCCCGAAGTCGAATGGACTGGATCAAACGTGCAATGTCGTCTTGTGACGCGCTTTCATTCATACTTTGCTCCGTTGCTGTGTGGACAGATTAGCGCCAGAGCAAAAGCCCACGCGATTCGGTGGGGACATACACAGTGGAATGTAATGGTCCGCTTCAAGTGGGACACCCTGTTTAACCTTCATTTCATATACAGTCTTGAGAATCGTCAATCGGTGTCCGACGCTGTTAATGCCCATTTCCTTCAGTTCTTCGTGTCTCAGTGCGACAAGCGCTTCGCCGACGATTCCATTTTCTGGTTGGTCGATGGTAGTCAGCTATCATGTCCATGGTCCCGTCTACCCTTTCAACCCAGCAAACTCACCTCTGAATATACCGTGGTACTGAAGCAGACCGAGAGAGGTCAAGTATTCCAGGCACTCGTCGACCGTCCATTCTGTAATCACCGTCCGGGGAGAGCGGTCATCGGAGTAACCGAACTTGGTCGGAGTGTGTTCCGAAGAGGGAATGTCAGAGTCTGTTGGCGAGGTCTCCGAGTCTGTAGGGAGGTGCGGAGAGGTAATCACGCTGCGTTCGTATTCATCGTCCGCGTCGGAGTCTGCGTGGTAGGATGTGTGGAGCATGGCGACTGGTGATTTTCAGGCGGCTGATATTAACGGGTGACTATGAGAACGTAGAGGCGCCAGCCGCCAAAGCGCAGTGATCACGATGAGTTATGACCAGCGAAACTAGTTGACAAGCACGATGCGAGGAATGATCCGATTCATGAAAGCGTAACCTGGCAGGACAGCACGGGCAGGGGTTCGCGCGCGGCGACCACATGGACCGAGGGGTTCAGACTGCAGCAGACGAGGAAGCCGAACTCGGTGATCAACTGATAGGCTGTGAACCACGTCGTGGGAAGCGACAGGCGTGGGGTGGATGGAAGCGCTGACCCGCGTACCGCCAGGAACGAGAGAGCGGGGAAGCTGAATGGCCGGGGGTTGAAAAGGTGGTCTTTTCAGGGGCCGAAGGGGCGGACGGGAAAGGGCAGGGAGAGTCGAACTGGGGAAGATACCCTCGACAACACGGCACTATGCAGGCAGGAGATGATGGACAACGAACAAGAGCAGCGTCAGATCAGAGACAGACAAAAAAGGACTAAGACACGGGGTGGTGAATGGACTGGCACGTGACCAGGTCTGGACTTCCCCAATATGGACTCGAGGATTGAGTCTTGATTGGTTTTTTTTTCTTTTTTATTTTTTATTGTAGGGAGTAAATGTTTCTCATCTAATGCTGGTATTCTATTACAATCACCTCAACTATCAACAGGTATGTACTGAGGGTATACTGTTAGTCCCCCGAGCGCCATCACCATGCGGCCAGAACGTGGAAGACCCGTTTCAGAGCAGACCCACCCACAGATTAACTAGAAAGTGGCAGCTTTAGACTTATTATTACGTAGCTGATAGATGAGAACCTGCTATTTACGGACGTCAAGAACGGGAATGCTGTAATTGATTGTTGCAAGCATCATACATAATCTATAGAATATATCGAAACTGCGGATCCTATATCAAAATTTGACAGTAAAAACAGTCAGCGGCCATTGCGAAATAGAAACCCATCTCTGTCAAGATTCGAGCTTACAGGTTTGTCTATCAGATCATCCTCGTTTCGCTGGTCATAACTCGTCATGGTTACTGCACTTTTGTGGAACTGAATATACTTCGGAGGTCATCAAGAATATGATTGATGTTCATGAGGAGACCGGTGCCAAGGGCGAAGAAATAGAGGCAGTTATTTGGAGATAGGATCTTTGAACTCTTATGGATATACAAGACACTTACATTATATATGATAGCACTGTCACTGGGATCATACTTGGGCCCCATCCTCGTTCCCATCTTGAACAGATCTAGTCGTTGGACCCAATTTTAAGGAATCCATGCTCCCTGGCGCAACTACCAACTCAGGTTCCAGCCAGCCGAATTCGTCAGGCTATGCGTAAGATTTGCCGTTCTTCGAGTATAGAGCATTACCTAGCGATACTGCTGAGAACGAAATCTAAAGAGATTCCTTTTGACTGCTCCAAATCACTAATGACTGGACATTTCTGAGCCTCTGCTTACTCCGGCGATGGATCCATTTATCTGCTCGACAGCCCAATCGACCATCTCTGCAGCCTGGCCGGGACGACCACCAATTAGAGTGTTTGAAAATGATACATTTATCTTTCTGGATGGTCATATATGTTAATACGCTGGTATATTTCGACCTTCGCAGTATCTGTCCATGCAATCTGAGATTAATCACCATTCGTGCCCCTCACATGGCGACGCCGAGTTCTACCCGGTGGGGCATTTGAAGAGCTTCAGAAACCGTGGGGTCGGAGTGTCACAGACTCGCTTTCATGCCGACTTTTGGGCATGATATTCCTCTGGTTATTAAGACAAAGGGAAAACTGAAAGAAGAACATTGTAAAAAGAATTTTTTTTAACCACTGCCCACGATGCCGCGGTAGGCGATGCAGTAAATTATATTTCCCACTGAGTCTGAATCGCTCGGAGGAAAGAGGTGGAACAAATATCGTAAGTGGGCCTTTCTGTGTAATGCCGAGGGTTACTGGAGGTCCAAATGGATGAACTGATACCAAGGAATTAATGGTTATGTGTATATAAGTAGCAGCCGTAAGGGTTTCTGACCGGAATAACGGGACACTGCATAGCATCACTAAACACAGTCCTTCATGAATATAGTTTGTGCATTGCTAATTCGATTGGTTTGCAATCTATTTAATCGGTTTTCAAGGAAGGAGCCCGACCTTCATAGTCAACTGGTACCAAAGGGGTTTTACTTTCGGCATCTCGGCTTCATACAATACCGGCAAGGTTAAGTGGAGCAGCTCTTCGCCCCCGCAGATTTGGTTTCATTCCGAGGGTGACAGCTATGTAGCCGTGAGCCTATATTCCGACGAGAACGGACCCATCGATAATAAATCTATTGAACTTCGAGGACATCGTTCATATATTAGCGGACGACCTACGATTCCCATCTACTCCGATATTGTCCTCATTCAGCCAATATGGGCAGCACCGAACACGGCTTTAGCCAAATGAACAACGATTTGGATTATGATGTCCTTATTATCGGGGCGGGTCTTTCTGGCATTTACTCGCTCTATCGTATGCGGCAGCTAGGACTACGGACTAAAGTCCTCGAAGCTGGCGGTGGTGTCGGTGGCACATGGTATTGGAATCGCTACCCCGGAGCCCGGTTCGACTCTGAAAGCTACTCGTACAACTTCTCATTTTCACAAGAAGTTCTGGACGAATGGAACTGGTCGGAGCACTTCGCCTCGCAGCCTGAGACGCTGAAGTACTGCGAGTTTGTGTGTGACAAATTCGACCTAACGCGCGATATGCAATTTGATACCCGCGTGAAGGCAGCGCATTTTCAAGACTCCACACGGTCATGGATGTTGACAGACAGCAAAGGACGGCAGTATACATCTCGGTTTCTGGTAACGTGCATTGGAATCTTGAATAACCACGCGCTGCCCAATATCCCTGGAGTTTCGAATTTTAAAGGACAATCATTCCATACAGCACGTTGGCCGCACGAACCGATGAGCTTTGAGAAAAAGCGTGTCGCTATTATCGGCACCGGTGCGACTGGTATCCAAGCCACTCAAGAAATTGTCAAAACAGTTGGCCACTTGACCGTTTTTCAACGAACTCCAAACTGGAGTTTGCCGCTACGAAACACTCCCATCAGACCGGAAGAGATGGTCGAGATTCGGAGGCAGTATCCAGAGATTTTCAAAAAATGTTCAGAGTCCTACTCCTGTTTCGTTCACGTTTCGGACAAACGCAGAACTCTAGATGTGAGCCCAGAGGAGCGTGAGGCCTTCTGGGAGTCATTATACGAGCAACGCGGGTTTGCCAAGTGGCTGGGCAATTTTGGAGACATCAACACAAGCAGAGAGTCAAACGCCCTGTTCAGCGAGTTTGTCGCCAACAAGATCCGACAGCGTGTAAAGAACCCCGTTACAGCCGAGACCTTGATTCCCAAATGTCACGGATTTGGCACCAAGCGCGTTCCTCTAGAGTCGGGCTACTTTGAGGCATACAACAAGCCCAATGTGCGTCTTGTGGACGTCAAATCCAATCCAATTGAAACTATCACTGAAACCGGAATCCGCACTCGAGACGAATCATTTGAGTTTGATATGATCATTTACGCCACAGGTTTCGATGCCGTTACAGGCTCATTCACAGCCATTGACTTCCGTGGAGTTGACGGGGTGCCTTTAAAGGAACGTTGGGCAGAGGGTCCACGAACCTTCTTGGGCTTATTTGTGCCGAGCTTTCCCAACATGATGATGGTTATGGGCCCACATCAAATGTTCGGCAACATTCCTCGCAGCATTGAGTATGCCGTGGACTGGGTCGCGCGGTTCATCAAGTTTTGTCGAGATCATGGCATTACATATGCCGAGGCTACTCAACAGGGCATGCGTGACTGGACAGAGCATGTGCACAAATGCGCGGAGGGACTGCTGGCAAATGAGGTTGACTCGTGGATGACCGGCGTCAACAAAAATCTGGCGCATAAACAGAAGAGAATCATTGCCCGCTATCAAGGCCCAGCACCAGGCTATCGTAAACGGGCAGAGGATGTGGCAACACGGAATTATGAGGATTTGGTGTTGGCATAACTCGAAGGTTTTCTAGACACCGAAGCTTATGGTTCTTTTATGGACTACTGATTGATAGTCTGCAATACATCTTCCGCTCGCTGAAGTCCTCGCAACAGCCTCGGTGTTCGACAGGGAATATTTATTCAAGCTATTTCTGCCTTCCTTTCCAGTTGACGAATAAGAGGCCCCAAATGGCTAGGGGAAAACATGACCAAGCATAATCGTTGAATACCATAAATATATTCCCAAATAGGCTACATGAACAGTCAGTACTAAGTTTCAACTTTTATTTTCCTAACATCTCCCCTAGTAAACGTATATATCGGTTCTACGTAAATTTGGCCGACTGGTTAAGATGCTTCATGCATGCGTTCCCCAACTTGAATGGCGCGGTAGCGCAGGTCAGAGGACGTCTTCAGTATATGTTTCGTGGGATTGTAGACGGCTTGCTCATTGGCGTCGGGGGCGCTCGCCAGCCACGACCTGTCCCAGAAATACTAGGGATGTAGCAAGTAGAAAGCTATGTAGTGCTCTAGTTGATATTACAAAAAGAAGTTGGTCTCGGATAGGGTATCACAAGGCTCAAACAAGTCCTGAAACTGCAGCATCGTATCAACAAAAGCATCATCATCAAAGAACAATCCCTCCATCTGCGGCACAAGTAGGCGACTTGCAACCTCACTAGTTTGCGAAGTTGCAAATGGAAAGTACGCCGTCCAATCAATCCCGTCTGTCATCTCCATGTACATGGTTCGGTCCCCTATACCCAGTTCTTGGCCCGTGGGCGGACGCTGGGAATCAAATTCTGGCGCAGCAGCATTATGCCTCAAGCGTCCGAACCCAGAGTAGAAAACCGCTGCAGTCGGCCACATCTTTCGCAGCTGATCCACGGCCAGTGTTAAAATGTCTAGATCTTCATTGGCACTCTTTGCTAGACTTTCAATTCGTAGGGCCTGCAAAAGTGAGATGAAGGCTGTCCCACAGTACCAGCCCGAAATGGCCATTAAAAACCTGGTACCACCACGAGAGAGGATGTCCCGCATTATTCGCGCCATACATGTCGCTGCAAGTATTGCGGGTGGATATGCTTGTGGGAGAAGATGTGAGGTCAAGGACCGTTTGAGGTGAATGATAATGATAGCAGCCAAATATGGAAGATGCAACTGGTGCACGTCTCGATTAAATGATGTTGTACAACATGACTCAATAGGTAGCTGAAGATGTGGCGGCAGTGATTGCACCCATCGAATGAGCTCACGGGCGAGATGTGTTGGGAATATGCACGATTCTGAGTCGGAAGTCCTTGACATGTATTTGGCAATCCTGCCTATGATAGCACACAACCGCACCCAATAAATAAAGACCTCCGCTTTGGTTTTATCATGGGTGCTGGAAAAATCGTCCAACGTTGGCTCCGAAAGGGTGCAATCCTCCGAATCGATGACACATGGTTTGTTTTGGCAGAGCGCGGTCAGCCGCTCACGAGCGAATGCTGTCCACCAGACTCGGCGACGGAGACTAAGATCGACCTGCTGTCGCAGGGGATGATCTAGAGCTGGTTCGCGGTGAACGCCGAGTTGCTGGCAATGCCGGATAACAACGCACGTCCACCACCATGAAGAATGCCGGTGCAGGATCGTCGGTGGTCGAGGGCTCCACCAGTAGAAGAGGGATATCGCTTTTAGAGAAGTCATTACGTCCAGTTCTTCATCATTGTAGAATCGTGCACGCGCCCGGTCGTAGTATACGGCCGGACCCTCATGCGGGACCATTGGCGGCTGGACGTGGCTACCAACGACGGCCAAGGCATTTGCTAGTAACGGTGAGCGTGCCAGCTCTTGGTGTATTTCATCTCGTTCGAGAACTGGGCACCATGGATAACAGTATTCTAGGTAGGTTTCGGCAAATGCTTGCTGTAAACTAGAGTCTGGTAAAGTTGGTGCTTTTGGTTGTCGTTCCGCAATGAGACGTTCCTGATCCCTGGCATTTGTCTGCAGTTCAGGCAGAAAGACATGTCCAACTGGATAGCTGTCGTTGTGCTCTGAATGATCCTCTGTGCGCTGTGTTGATGGCGAATCGTTGGCCACAGCTGGTCTTCGTTGGGCCTCTGCCATTTCGTGATATGTCGCATGATTGGACCACCGGGTTCTGTGGAAGCCTCCCCTCTCCAGATTTCCGTCGTGTGCTGATGACGATGACCGTTCAAGCATATCTTGAGACAAGTCAACCTCGTTATTGTCTTTTTCCAAGCCGGAAAGGTCGCCGACAATATTCGAAAATCCAACCTGGTCACAGGGCAACGCGATCTGGGTTCGGGTCTCGCTGGCAGCGGAGTTGTGATGCGAGGAGAAAGCCTGATTACTAGAATTGCTATCAGGCGGCGTTAAGGGCGTGTTTTGAGTGCGTGAGCGAGAGGGTCGACCACGGCGTGAGGGCCTCGTGCTGCATTCCATGTTCAGCGTAACTGGATCGGATAGGATGGGTGGAAGGCGTCCTACCGGCACTCCTTGCCCGTTGCCTCACATTTGCTGCACTTGCCGTGTCCTTGACACCCTCGGGCTTGAAGGTCGCATCTTATCTAGAGCCATGATTTAAATTCCGATCATTTCACTCACGTGAACAACCAACCTTTTTGCTATGACATGCGACACAGGCAAGCTCGGCGCGCCTCCTCTTCGGCTGATGGCCAGTGAACTGCAGCCACCCTGAAGCAGACATTATCGAGGGATTGCTTAGTGAATGTATGATCAAGTACAAGATGCATATGCTCGCAAAATTGACATGATCCCATGCGGGGATATTGTCCTTCCCCACATACCCACTTGACTCCGGTTATGCATACCGGCTGTATGAAGCCGGTATTGCCGTCTGAGTATGAACTCGCTACGATGCCAAGCGCGTTGGCCGGAATAGCTGGAGAAATCCAACATAGAGTGACAGCCTACGCCGTCTAATTTATCAACGTTTGTGTCCGGAAAATAAAGACAGCTCCGGTGACAACCTGCAACCCTATTCTGACTATCCGTACATTGTTATTCTCAGTCAGTCATCAATATGACAACCTCAGTTTTAAATCCGGCTGATGGCGAAGTGCCTAGTGTGCCTGGTTTCAACGACTCAAACGACATAGATGACGCCAGGAAAATGGGTCAAAAAAAACCCAGGTTCAACCGCTACCTGCCAAAATGGCAACGAGCTTCTTAACGTTATTGGCCAGCGAGTTATGTTTCCGCTATACTTACTCAGAGTTAGCTCCGACCAACTAGTCTCATAAATCTTAACAAGTACTACCGCAGCATTCAGAACAAAAGCTTAGTTGGGGGTTGAAAAGTTAAAAAATAGTTAACCTTGTGCTCCGTGATAAAGAGTCATCAGCTGCCTCTCCGTGATAGTGGCTGGCAGCAGGTATTTAGGCATGATGTGTAGCAATCCTCCTGTGGAGTAGTGTGTCCCTTATTTTGCATGGCAACCCTCTTATCACGGTGTTCAGGCTCACCGTCTCTGAATCAATGTAAATACGGGCTCAGCAACGACACGGGGCAGCGAAAAGCCATTTTTCATAATAACCCAGCCCAAAACCCCCACAGCTGGGATGCAGATCGTGGCAAATCTGATCAGCGCCCTAGTGAGCATGGGCTTCACGACTCCCTGAGCGAGGGCCTGGAATCTAGCTGGCTCGTTGCGATCGGGGTATTCCTGGTCGGGGATAGGTACGTCCAGGAAAGGGCAAATCTGCTCCCAGCCAAGCCCCTCTTCGAGCCAGATATGACACAGACGGTCAGCTGGAATAACCCTTTTAGCCATCGAAATACTACTATTGTTAGTAAACTGAATTAGGTTTGAAGAGGGAAACATACTATTCTGTATAGTTCCTCTGCAAAGCTGCTTCATTCCCAGGCCCACCGGGGTACGTGCTGTCGGCTAATACATCGTATACAAGCACTGTTTGGTTCAAAAACACTTTCAACGCATGGTCGAAGTATTTCAGAATATTGAGAGGGAAAGTCTTGGCTTGCTTGATAATAGGACCGGCGGTATTGTTGATAGAAGCGACCCATTTCTCGGGCTCTCGTTCCGTGAGGAGGAACTTCACATCAGGATCGTTTGCGTAGGCCTCAATGACCGAAGGGCCTAGCATGGCTGGGATTTCCACTAAAGTCTAATTCAGGTTAGCTGGCCAGGATACAGATGAGTATACGGGGCTGTTAAACGAGCAACTGACGTCGTAATCTGCGAACCACTTGTCAAAGTCATTCCGAGAATATCGTGTAATACCAGAGAGTCTGTTATGCTGGGCTAAGACAGCTTCATGCAGGACTTCGATATGGGACACGCCGTTTACAATAACACATTCAAACATGTGATATGGCTTAAACCCCAATATTTGCAATGCTCGGTAGAGTCCTAGAGTGCCAGTTCTACAACATCATTAGCTCTTCTGAAATACCCACATGCCATAGCACTAGTCTCACCGACTCGGGCTCGCGACAATCAGTTTGATTGGCCTTTTGATGGGGCTCTCAGGTAGGTTGTCGATCTTTCTAGACATGGTGCAATGACGAAAAAGACCAGCGATCTGGTATCACGCCTTGAATAGCGAATGATTTAGGAAGCGCATGGGAACATATGAGTTGAAGAAGGGAGTTCTCTTGCCAATGTCATCAAGAGTGGGGGCCAGGCAGCCTGACAAAGACGAGCTCAGCCTCACCTAATCGTTCTGCGGGTGTTAAAAGATCTGTGCGATGGTCAGATCAAGGACCGAATAGCGCTAGAACCAAATTTGGTCTAAGGTAGCCATTTAATTTTGATTTAATTGGAAATCCTTGTTCAATGATAGATTTTGACAAACTCTATACACGAGAATACATACAGCATACTTAGCCGTTTACACTAGCACTCTTGGTCATTCCAATGCCCACGGCTGCCGTTGTTCCAGCATCGACGGGGAGAATGACTCCAGTCATCCACCGGGCATGAGGCCCAGCGAGAAACGCGACTGCCCCTGCGCAATCCCATCCATTTCCCTCGGTTCCAAGCAAGCTTCGCTTCCGCCGGGCTTCTCGTGCCTCCTCGCTCATGCCCTTTCCATACATCATAGGCGTGTAGAGCATCTGCCTTTCAGTCAGTTATCAACTCATGCTTGTCAACGAAGTAGCAAACTAAAACATACCCCTGGGCAAACGCAGTTGACTCGAATACCATCCGACGCATGATGGGCTGCCATTGCTCGTGTCATGTTTACCACAGCGCCCTTGGCCGTCGGATATAGTAGATGCGGCGTCCCACCTTTGAGGCCGGCGACGCTGCCCATATTGACGATACTCCCCTTAACCTCTCCATCATTTTTCATCATTTCTGGGATGGCATACTTGCTCATCTGCACCATGCTTGCGACGTTGATCTCCATGCTCTTCGCCCATTCGACCATATCAACCTCCACCACTGTTCCTGCCGCGCCCCCAATACCGACATTGTTGACCAAAATGTCAAGACGTCCGAATTGCTCCACAGCATGTTTTACCACGGCCTCGCAGTCTTTCAATGATGTCACATCCGCGAGGAATGGAACGGCTCGTCCTCGGCCGGGTTTTGAGGCGATCATCTCAGTAGTTTTGGTTGCCCATTCTATATTGAGATCGACGCATACCACATCACAGCCATCACTGGCAAGCAAAATAGAAATAGCACGCCCATTACCAATTCCATCTCCTAGACAGCCTGCCCCTGTCACAATGGCAACCTTGCCTTTCAAAGACCGCGAGGGGGGGTCGGATGAAATAGCAGAATCCATTGTCGCGTTTTGGAGGTAAGTGGAAGAAAAGTACAGAATGGGAGTGTTTTCTCGCACAGAGGACGCAGAATAGTCAATATAAGACGCCGGAATTCTGTCTCGGTAAACAATGTCCGGGCAGATCCACATCTACCCGGGGTTCCCAGTGAGTGAAATTTATGCGGGGTCGGCGATTGCGGCGAGTTGGCTGAGCCGAGGCCAACTTGAACGTGGGGTTAAACGGGTTGCTCGTCTTGGGAATGCAGTACGATCTTCATCCGCGTTGCCTTGATACTTTTCTATCATTATTTTCGCTCACCCGTCATGGCCGACTTCTCAGAATACGCAGGGCCAAGCGCCGACTGGGTCGCGCTTGAGCCGACACTCCCTGCACTCCCGCAGAACCTATGGGCCCTAGAGATGAAAGAGTTAATTAATAAAAACCGCGAGGAGCTGGCCGCCAAGGGGATGGAAAGTACAGTGTCGCCATGCATGGAATTGACAAGAAGCAAGGCAAGCACTGACCCTTTTAGGCCTCAAGTCTCAAGTCCAAATGCAAGACTTCACCGTTCACACTCGTGACGGCGCAACCCTCGAAGCACGCACCTATCGTCCGGCTGGCATCCCAGCTACCCAGCCTCTGCCAGTATACATCCATTTGCATGGTGGAGGGTTCCTGTTTGGCACATTGTCCTCTGAAGACGCAATTTGTTCGCGGATTGTAGTCTCTCGCGCAAGCAAGAACAACCCTGTGGTCGTCTTCAATGTCAACTACCGTCACACCCCAGAACACCGCTATCCAACCGCTTGGAATGACACGGAAGACGCCTTTGTCTGGGTGCACGAGCACATCGCCGAGATTGGTGGGATCGCCGACCAGGTTGTCGTCGGGGGTATCTCGGCTGGAGCATGGATGACTGCCTCGCTGGCACTGGCTCAGGTGAACGGTCAAGATGAACGCCTTGCAGCCTGTCCCAAGATCCGAGGGCAGGTTCTCATGATCCCATGCCTTGCACATACGGATTACTACTATGCCCCGCGCCAGACATTCCTGTGTAGCCCCGAGCTGTCGAGCTTGGTGCAATGTGCCGAAGCGCCTATCCTCCCAATGACTCGCATTCGACTTTTTGGAGGATTACTAGGCATTTATGATCTCAAGGAATCTGCTGATGACCGCAGAATGAATCCTGGGAACGCGACGGCGGAGGAGGTGAAAGGTTTACCTCCGACGACTTTTGGAATTGCTGGAAATGATCCTTTGAGAGATGAAGGATTTTTCTACGGGATGTTACTGAGTGATAACGGGTAAGTAACCATGTATTCATACCGCTTGTGGCTATGTTGCTGACGTTTTCCGGAAGAGTCCCTACGAACGTCAATGTCTTCCGCGGTGTACCCCATGGCTTCCGACGTTATGGAGACAAGCTGTCTGCGAGTAAACACTGGGACGATGTTATGAGTGAGGGTATTACCTGGTCTCTTTCCAATCCTGTGGCTAGTGCCTTTGAAATCAAGCCGGATTGTTAGTGCACTCTGTTCAAACACTCTTCGTTGCATTTTGAGATATGTTACGTATTTGTAAGTAGATTAAATACCGACAGAGTAGTCATCCGTACTGTTCACAGGCAAGAGAATCAGGAGTAGGTTACTTTAGTTTGAGACGGTATGCCAATGAAAAAGGTGTGATATGAGGCTGGCATTTTTGAGCTCTTCATGCTCTTGTACGAGAAGCACACTTAACGTGCGTTGAAGAGCTTGTGCAAGAGATTACCCGGGCATTTTAACACAGGGGTCTGGTGTACAACTTGAGCACACTCCCGAGATACACTGTGCGATCAGAAGCCATGCCAAAGCAGGTATAGATCACAGATTGTGCAAGAAGAAGAGGTGTGGAAATAAAATGATGGGTAGTTAAAGAAGCAATGTTCTTTCCTAATCGCGACAATTATGAAGCACCGTAAGCTGACTCCAGACATGCAAACTCCCCGGATCTATATTCCAGGAACCGCATCATTAAGTTGTTTTGGGAATACAACGAAGACTTGAGACAGATAGTTAATCTAGCCACAATACCACCCTATCAGCCCTGCTCTTAGCATGTCAGATCTTGATGTTTCACTTTGTCAGGCATATGTGCAGACCAGTTCGGAAGGAGATCATGTCGAAAACCTACATTAACCAATTAAGTACGTCCTCTGTGTTTGTATCTTGCATGGACTACAGCGTGTTACCAGGGGTTACATCGGGCCCATTGTTATGTTGTCTGATCTTACTGGGCGAGAAGACAATGAGTGCAAGTGACAAGCAGATCCGGCCGCGATATTATCAACTCGACGTTCGGAGACACGTGTGACTGGCCTGCTACTCCTAAGACATCGGAGTTTGCTAATTGTATTGCTGACACACTCCGAGCTGAAGGCAAGTAAGCTCCTCTGTTGAAGGGAGTTCACGATAATTCAAAAGTATAAATGAGTGTACTTCGCCTCGACACTCGTATCCACTCAACAAAATTCCAAGTCTTTGCTCAAGCAATCAAAATCTAAAACCAACTGGTAAATACTTATTCCTCCTCTATCCATAGCCACTGAGTTAACACATGAGCTAGTGCAACCTACTTGGTCGAAATGCGGCTGTACTTTCTCGCGCTCCTTAGCCTGGGCGCTGCTACTGTTGCGGCTCCCGTGGCGAGCGAGTCCAGTATGTGCCTCCCCTATCTAATATTATACGGCATTATCTGATCAAGTTTACATAACAGGCTCTGATGTTTCTGCTGGAGGTGGCGGTAGAGGATGGGGCGGTGGACTCGGCGGTGGTGAAGGCTCTGGAATTGGAGCCGGTGAAGGCAGCGGCGAAGGCTATGGGGGCGGAGAAGGTGCCGGTGCTGGAGATGGTGAAGGTGGCGGCATCGGCGGTGGTGGTGGTGAGGGTGGTGGCTTCGGTGCTGGGGGTGGCTTTGGTGCCGGGTTTGGCGCTGGTGGTGGAATTGGTGTAGGCGGGGGATCAGGAGGTGGTGGTGGTTTGGGAGGTGGTGAGGGTGGTGGCTACGAGTAAGAAGCGTAATTTGGACAAGGGCATATGAAACCGGTCTGCCGCATGTATATCCGATACATCAGTCAGGATTTCAAGCGATTTAATTAGATCATGCCTACACCTTTACGTCCTACTTATAACAGCCTTAGCTGACTTCTATAATCCAATGACAACGCTCAACTCTTGGTAGCACCCTCTGCAGTTCTCCCTTTGCTCCATCCTGGAACCCATTGATCTTCGATAATCTGGAGCTGGACATCCTGAGTGCGCTTAAGGTATCCATCTTCAGTGTGGTCATCTAAACCAAAGTCCATGAATCCCTCACTAGCGACAGATTTCGGTGTGATCATCAAAGAGTGGCCTGTAAGAGAAATGGATATTAGTCCGGAAGAAGTGAAACAAGTTGATGAGAAACAGGACGCACCATTGATACTCCTATCCGTTGCCAATCTCATCATGCACAGGGCCACATCTTCCTGTGGTGCGAACTCGACTCCCTTGGCAATTAGCTCTGCTTCGTAGTTAGCTGAGCGAATTGCGCTCTTGATATAGCTGAGGTATCTGTTAGTCCAATTGACATCGCAATGTCTAGAGTGATATAAATTGCCTTACCATGGCGCGACATAGTTGATTCGAATACCCTGCTCATGAGAATTGCGACGAGCAGTTCTCATAAGGCCTCTTAATCCATATTTACTGCTCGTGTACTGCCAATTTGCCTGAGGAGAAAATGTATTAGACTTGCCATGTTGATGATTTCATTACGGCTTACCGGCGAGTCGATCCACGCCACCATACTTCCAGTTATTATGAAACATCGATCCCGGTCTTCTGTGTCTGGTTGTTTGCGGAAGTAGTGTATTGCCAGTTTCCAGGTATACATTGTCCCAATTAAGTTGACATTGACAATGTTGAGCTCGGGTTTGACGGGCGGTGCATTAGGATCTGCTCTTACAGGTCAGTACTGTGCAAGCACTTCCGGTCAGATAGATTGAGCCAATTCTCACCATCTAAAGGCCACAGATCATCCCCAGAAGCACGACTGATACCTGCGTTCGCAATGACAATGTCACAGCTCTTGTGCGGAGAGTTTGCAATGGCCGCTTCAAACATCTCGACTTGGTCATCCCATGAAGTGATATTACATTTGACAAACTGGGCATTGCTGCACCAGGATTTCCTGGTCAGTCAATGCAAGCGACTCGGATAATTATAGTCGGGGCAACGAACGGGTTAAGTTCCTGTGCTACTAACGTTCCTCGAGTCTCATCAAAATCGGCAATAGTCACAAATGCTCTGCATATCAGATTAAATTCGTTAATTGTCTCTGCAAGAGATAGAAGGAGGAGTTGAACCTAGACAGACCCTTCTGCCGCAAAGGCGCGCGCGGTCGCCTCACCCATGCCATTGGCACCTATTACTGCAGTCAATATCTCGGTTTATAGGTTTTTAAAATCAATCTCAATGTACCTCCGGTGATTATGACGCTCTTGCCTTTCAGGGCCGCTCTGTTTGGCGGGACTCTGCAATCCACTGGACCGGTATACTCGTAGCGCGGGAGTTGAGGCATGTCGATATTGAACTGCGTGGATATTCTTCCTGGTCTTATAGTGATAGGTAAGGACAAGATAGTTTATGCTTCAGAGGTTTTTTTATGTTCTGTTGTCCTAGTGTATGGTTATTAAGTTGTCATTTTACTGCTCTGTCGCTTCTTCCCCGCGTTTCGGCACAATGTCCGGTTACCCCAATGCGTAAACCGACGGGAAAATGTTCCGGTTTCTTATCCGGCAAAGTCAACCAGAGCGTAAGAAAGGAAATGATGTATTTAAATGCTTCGAGACATCACACCGCTTTGTATTGGAGTTGGTCATGTTACCATAAGTGTCTGCTACTATGCAGCTAATGGGTGACCATGCCGATGCGACGCCAATAGCCCGGCTCTGAGGATAGCGTGACAACCATAAACTCAAGAAAAGAAGATTCAATTGCAGGGTATTTCCAAGGGCAAGCCATGCCCTTGCGCGAAATGAAATTGTCTATCAAAGTGATGCAAGAACGCCCCATCGATCTTCCAGTTCCGAGGGTCGTAGATGGGCACATGCAAAGGGTTCAATCCCACAGCCAAATTCGCTGAATCCCCAAAAAAACCAGTCAATACTCCAGATGCAAAGAATAACCGCCATGCAAGATTCATGTCGTTCTGCTGGGTTACTTCTTATCCCCATTTGTAGTGCTTTCACCCTCTAAATCAACCATGTCCCGTAGTATATCTTTGAGGCCGCGCACGCCTTCTCCCACCACAGCTTCTGGGATTCGAACATCGACCCCTTCAAAGTATTTTTCTGAATCAAATCGGGTATTGAGTGCGGTACCGTTGGTCGGGTTCCCCTTGGACCCATTTTGTTTTGCGTCACCATTCTGGTTGTGGGAAGATGGCGCCGGGCCCAGCGCTGGATGTGACCTGCCCTCAGCAGAGGCGACAACTGCATCCATTACATCGTCAAAAGTCTCACAGCGGCCAGCGCGGAGGAGTTCGGTGGCAAGGGTAGTGACTTTGTCGGTCCAGCCTAGGCGGTGAAGAGATCCGAGAAGTGTTTCTTGGAGATCTTCCAGTGCGGATGTAGCAGCGAGCTTTGTGAGAAGGTCGGATTCGAGAGCGTCGGGGGTGGAGGAAGCGCCGCCGGCGGATGTGGAGGAGGGCATGGTGAGCGCAAGAAGGAGAGAACAGGGTCCGGGAAAGGAAGGGCGGAGGCGACGAGGTCAGCTAGAAGGACCCATTGCAGTATTCACTGAAGTCGTAGAAAGGCCGACAGTCAACGTCGTTCATGAATTATGGTGACGCTCGCTCTGGCGCTCGATAAATGTAAGTGGCCAATCGGCGTCCCACCGCCCAGCGGCCACGGGCGGTGAAAGCAGGCGAGACGGAGAGGGAGGAGGATAGTATGGAATCCGATATTTACCAACACCAAAGAAGATGCTCTTTAAAGCTATCATTGCACAAGAGAAAAAGCACATAATGCCTGCTGTTAGGACTCATTATGTCTGTAAGACAAGAGAAGTGTTATATTGTAAAGTAGTGATTGAGTGGGTTATAGTCGGGTAATCATATGACTACACGTGACTGATAACCGACACAAGCTTAAAAAAACACTTTCGCTGACTTTCTAAATGGAGAAAACAGTCGAAGTATATCCCTCATCTTAAGGTAATTTGTACGACTGTCCTGAAAACTCGGCATTGGTTTCTTTAAAGCCGAATCGAATTGCATTTGTCATCACAAGGCTGACGAGTGGACTCCACCCATCTAGTTTGCATCACCATCTCTCAAGTTGATTTCTCTAAATTTTGCAAATTATAAATCAGACTGATTATCAATCGCCGGTGAGTAATGGTAAATAAAAGTGATTATCAATCACTGGTCAGTGGCAGCAACAGCAGTATAAACAACAGGTTGGTAGTCATTTCACCTGAGAACATCAATCAAGCATCAACAACTTCATTGCTTTCAAAATGGACACTCCTATCCGCCGAGTCATAACGGGAAACGACCCTAGAGGCCAGGGATACTTTGCATCCGACGAGATCCTTACCCCCTACGACCCAAATACCGCTCCTGGATTCTCAATTCCTGGCCCAAACGCAGCGTTCGGGGTCGTCCAGATCCATCGTTCGCGAGGCTTCCCCGTTGACAACCAACGCCAACTTCCCGACCCACACAAGACTCTTGTTCCTCTGGCCGACAGCAAGGGCCCATCCTGTCGCATCCTGTACCTGCCCCCTGCGGAGTCGGGATGGTTCCACCGCACCTTGAGCTTGGATTACGCTGTCGTCCTGTCTGGAACTGTTGGGTTCATCACAGATGGAGGCGAGGAAAAATCCTTAAATCAACACGATGTCATTGTCTGTCGAGGCGTCAACCACGAGTGGGTCAACCGGGGTCATGATGTGGCGCAGGTCTTTGCGGTGGTTGTGCCTAGCAAGGCCATTGTCACTGAAGACGGTGTTCGTCTGGAGAAAACACCGGCAGGCGATATCTATGACCCCAAAGAAGAAGAGGATTGATTTAAGTCTGTCTCTATTCATTACCTACGAGCAGTCCAGACTACATAAAATCAAAGCTTCTGTCCGAAATGCCGAATTGGTTCCGTCAATGAGACTGTGCAGTGGCATTCAGCGGGAAAGTCAAGCCCACAGTAAGTGCGGTATTGCAAACTTGTTTCTCAACAAGAGCATCTTGTTTGTATTTTATTTGTGAAATAATAATAATTCAAAATATAAATAATACCATTAATTTTGAAGCAAATTCTATTACGCTTTAACAGTGGCACAATAGAATACGCCGCGATTTTGTTCATAATACATTTGAATGCAAACCCCAACTCGCCATGAACTATTCTCAAGGATACCACGACGCCGGTAGGTGAGTTGCTTTGGGCTTCCAATTTGACAATTGACACTTTCTGACTTGGCACCAAGCCCGTATCTTGAAACACCTTGTGGCCATGGGAGCAATCGAGGAGGCCGGCGCTGATGAGTATTGCCCAAATGGGTTCGCAAGAGTCCTGACTGTCGAGCGATACAGCGATGCTTTGCCGCTCATGTAAGACGTCAATTCGCGACACTTTCCGAGCGTGAAGTCGTTAACATCTACTACTAGGACTCGTCGTTTCACCAAGGGCATCCTCGCACTTCCGGAATTCCTAAAGAAGAACAATTATCGCAATCCTACCAGTGCGACCGACACTGCCTTTCAGCTGGGCCACAGTCTAGAACTGAATTTCTTTGGATAATTGCAGCAGGAGCCGGACACGGCCAAGGAGTTCAGCAACCACATGTCGGTTTATGCCCAGGGCCGAATGCGATGGATGAATCCCGGATTTTACCCTGTCCAGGAGCAGCTGGTCGACGGAGCTCCAATCGGCGACCAAGACGTGCTGCTGGTCGATATGGGCGGCAGCATCGGCCATGACCTGTCGGAGTTTCGCCGCAGGTGGCCCAACGTACCCGGTCGACTCGTTCTGCAGGACCTACCCGAGGTCGTGTGTTCGGCCAAGGACCTGGATCCGTCCATCGAAGTAACGGCGTATGACTTCTTCACTGAGCTGCCCATCAAAGGTATTGAAATGACAAGTCCTGGTTGAGAAATCGTGCAACTGATGTTCCTTTTTTGCCCAGGTGCGCGTGCGTACTACATGCATTCCGTTCTCCACGACTGGCCGGATGACGTCTGCCACAAAATCCTGGCCAATATCACCGCAGCTATGAAACCAGGACACAGCAAGTTGCTGATCAATAAGAATGTCATTCCCGACTCGGGGCCGTATTGGGAGGCGACGAGCCTAGACTCGATCATGATGATGGTTGGGTCTTGTGAGCGCAGTGAGCGCCAGTGGCGAGCGCTGCTGGAGTCTGCGGGACTGCGGATTGTGAAGATCTGGACGGCGCAGAAGGGCGTTGAGTCTCTGATCGAGTGCGAACTGGCGTAGACGACGAGATAGTAGATTAGACAACCAGCCATGTGACCGTCTTCCCCTGTCAGCACGTAAGACGTATCAAGTACAGAAAAGCCCCACACCGCCTGTGCCCTGAACGTATCTTTTAAAGCTGCGGGGTTGCTGCGCCTGTTGGAAAGGCCTCATGATGCGGGGGGTGGGGCGGGGGTGGGGGGTTGCCTATATTAGATTGACAGACAGGCATATAACAGCAGGCCTTTTTCAAAGACGAGAAGCGGCTTGATTTTCGCGGCTTGTCGCCATACGACATACACATCCATGGCGATAGAAATGCTGCTGAGTCCGGAAGGACTTGTTTTTCTCTCCACCCTAGCCATTGTCCTTTGGGGGCTCAAGACCTTCACCGGTAGTGGTACAAAGGGTAAACAGCCGCCAGGACCTTCAGGTTAGTCTACTTTTCAAGTCCGTTGATGAATCACGGTATTTTCAGCAGACCTCCTGATCGATCTTATTCACTAGGCATACCATTCTTTGGAAATCTTTTTCAGGTCCCACCTTATCATTCATGGCTCAAGTTTAAGGAATGGTCCGATGAATTCGGACCGATCGTCCGCTTCAGCATGGCCGGAAGCGAGAACGTCATTCTCTCGACGGAGGCTGACGCCAATAATCTCTTGCGAGAACGAGGCACCAAATATTCCTCTCGGGCATATCTGCCATTTGCGACTGGCTTGCTCTCAGACAATCTCCGCCCGTTGCTGCTACCATACAACGGTAATTCCAGCCATGTTCTTCACCGGCCAAGCTTTTCAACATGTTGACAAATATTTAGATCGGTGGAGACGAGGTCGTAAATTGATGCACCAGTTGACTAACACAAAAACAGCCGAATCTTACCAGCCAATTCAAGATATAGAATCGAAGAGACTACTGGCACACTTGCTAAAACAGCCAGCGCGGTACGGCCATTGGTTCGATTTATATGCCTCCGGTGTGGTCTTCCGGGTTGGGTTTGGTCAGTGGATCGAAACTGGCGAAGAGTCTGTGGTGAAAAGAATCGTGCAGGTCAACCATAATCTCGAACGTGCTGCATCACCAGGGAGCTACTTGGTGGATACCTTTCCTATATTGGGATATATTCCTAGTATACTCGCACCCTTCAAAAGAGAAGGGAAACGGCTCCACGACGAAGAATTGAGTCTATTTCGTGAACTGCAATCCGACGTACGGACACAAATCGCCCAAGGAAATGCAACCAATTCGTTCACACGCACCTTTTTGGAACACCAAGAAGCCTTGCGTCTCTCTGACGACGAAGGTGCCTATGTGGTTGGGACCATGTTTGAAGCCGGGAGCGGTACAACCTCTGCAGCAATGCAGTCCTTCTGTCTTGCTATGTGCCATTTCCCAGATTGGCAACAGAAAATGAAAGAGGAACTCGACCAGGTCGTTGGCGACCGAATGCCTGAATTCACAGACATATCTAATCTGCCCACCGTTCGCGCTGTTATCAAAGAAGTCCTTCGCTGGCGACCCGTCACTTCAGGAGGAGTGCCGCATCAGTTGATCCAGGATGATGAGTATAACGGATATCACTTTTCGAAAGGCACTGTGTTCCACGCCAATCAATGGGCTATCCATCGCGAGCCCGAATTATATCCAGACCCAGAAAGCTTCAGGCCGGAGCGGTGGTTAAGCCCTGATTTCCCAACAACTTTTCAAGAGCCACTGACCAAGTTCCCTAACCTGCAAAATTTCTCTGCGTTCGGCTTCGGACGACGTATATGCCCGGGACAGAACATCGCCGAGAGCTCGTTGAACATTCTCACTGCTCGGATCGCCTGGGCTCTAAAGCTTAGCAAGAAGAAAGATTCCCTCGGTAACGATCTACCATTGCCGCTCTACGACTACACTCGCGGCTTCAATTCTCAACCCAACCACTTCGAGTTTGATATTGCACCCCACAGTCCTCAAAGAGCCGAGCAGATTCTTGCAGCTCTGAAAGAAGCCGAGGCAAGCAAGAGTCGATAATGAATGAGTGATTAGTTGCCGATTTCTTCCAAAGTAGGAATGAGCTATCATGTTGATGCTATTAAGGTTTAAATCCAGAGTAAATGTAAATGATGAGTATCTACCATAAACCCCATCGCAAGTTCGAAATGCTACTCCTATATACCATGGCCTCAAAGGCTGTCCCCAATCCACTTACGAAAGACGAGCACAAAGAACACCGACCTAAAACACTCACGCCGGGAAGTAACTAAGGTATTGGCAAAGAAGGAAAAACACACGTAAGAGATCCCGCTGATGACACTGGACAGAACGCAAAATGATGCCCACTTCCTCGGATAAACCAGCTACAGAGGCAAAAACTCCATAGATGAGTAAAGAAACTCCACATTCCCGCTGACAAGAACCCTCCAAATCCAAAATCCAATGAGCGACAAGAACAAACGCCGTGATAAATGCTTGAGAGTCGTAGCATAGTAGTCATTATACATCGCCATTGCCATCACCATCTGAGTCCGCCGTCGTCATTGGTTGTTTCATGGGTTGTTTCTCTTTACTACCTCGCGAAGGCAGAGCGTCGATGGCTCGCTGGACTTCGAACTTCGCAGCTCGATCGAGGTCATCGCGCGAATCGGGTTCGAGAGATTCGATCTCTCCGACTCGTTCGTATAGCATGCGGGATATACTCCGGTTGATATCGGTGTATTGATCCTTCGATACCAATTTCCTCTTGTAGTGAGGTTTCAAGGCAGTGCCGACCATCTTCTGAATGTCGGATTTGACGGATAGAGACGGACCGGGTCGATGGGGTGATGTATCGGGGGATCGGGAATGTGCTAGGTGGATCGCTCGCTGGGGCACACGGGAGCGAGGAACCCGAGTGGTTGCTGGAGTGTTGTCGGTTGCGGATTGAGGGGACGTGGGACTCCCGGAGAAGGATACTTCGGGAGAGAAAGGAGGGGATGCAGATTCCAACGGAGACGAAAGTCGGATGGGAGAAATAGGTCGGCCTCGGAAAGGCGGTGGTGTTGTAGATGCCAGGTGGGGAGAAGAGTGGCTGGAGGAAGGGGGCGAGATGGATGGAGAAGAAGGACCGGGTGTGGCATGGTCGGTAGGTACGGTGGATGAGGGAGCCGATGGTCCATGAGAGTTTGTTCGGCTTGAAGTCGACGCATCCTGCACTTCCTTTAGAAGCGATGACAAGAAACTCGGTTCACCCGGGTGGTCCTCTGCGTTGACCCGCGCGTTTGAGCTGGCAGCTCGAGAAGATTCGCCATTTTGCTGAGCCATGGCCGCGAGCTCCTGGGGGCGTCTCGTGCGAGGACGCTTCAGTTTCCGCTGCGGTTCGGTGGGCTCGGGTGATGGAGAAAGCGTCGGTTCCTTTCGTTTCCTGCTGGAGGCATTTGGATTGTTTTCGATCTCTCGAGCCCGCTCAAATGCGTTCCAAGCGCGCATCTCCTCCACGGATTCAGGTTCCGGAGTTGGCTCTCTGGGCACACGCGGACGCGATGGGCGTGGGGGAGCCTCAATATCAAAAAGCGAAGCAGTGTCCCGGAACCGGTTGTTACCGCCTTGACGCTCCGCAACCTCGAAGCGACGTTGCCAAGCACGAAATTCTCGCTGGTTGGCCTCTTCCCGACGCTGTTGCTGCAATAGACGTTCGGCCGAGCGATCGTCGTCGAACGGGAAGTCCAGGTCCAGGTTCAGATGATCCCAGACAGATTGCCACACGCGTGCCCAATGCACGGAATTCAGCTGGGTCCGGTTCTGTGACTGCCGGCGCTGGGCCCGTGTCCGACGACTACGTCGTTCGTTCGCGCGAGAGGGTCGGGCGGACACCTCGGGGGCTGGACCGAGCGCTCGCTGGGACTCGCACAGCTGGCAGTACCAGTTCCCAGCTGGAATCTGGTCTAGACCCAAGCAATAGACATGAGAGGGGGCATCGCAGCCATCACAGAGCAAGAGGACATCCTCATTATCAGCCTCACCGCAGATGGTGCACGGTTGGAAGAACTCGGCGAGGTCATCTTCGACATACTCAATCACCATCGAAGGATCGACCTCGGCCACCTGGACTCGGTCTTCAACGGCATACGATGACACGACGGGACCTAGTAGAGAATCATCGATCATTAGCAGCGGACTCCGACGGGCTAAACAAGGGAGTTGCCTTACCTCCCGGCCGATCACTCAGCTCGACCATGTTGAAGCTGCGTCGACATATCGGGCAGCTGTTCGCGCGTTCGACCCAAGGCTTCAGGCAATCATTGTGTAGGATATGTCCACAGGGAAGCAGCTGAGCGATCTGACCCTCATCGCCATCGAGCCCGGCCTTCGCATTGCCGATATCAAGTCTTGGCACGACGGGCTCGATGACGAGAGGATCAGGGCTTTCGCCAAGGTCTCCTAGACAAACAATACAAGTATCGGACATGGAAAGAGGAGTAGTGGGGTGGGAACAAGCTGCTCGGGGGAGGCATGAAGACAGCTCGGAGGGAGGATGGGAGGATGGGAAAGTAGGGCGTACAGAGAGGTAAGTAGGAGACTAAGTTGGGTGAGTGGGGAGGAACAGCCCTTTGAGTGGTGGAGCCAGGCAACGTGACCGCAGGCGAATCAGGTGCCGGGTCAGCCATTCGGGATAACGCCAGTTTGGTAAGACTAGGACCGCTGATCAGAGTTGCCTGTAGTTACATGTAGGAATGACTCAAAATAGTTAGAGAAACGGAGGGTGTTAGTCCTCGAGTGCAAGCAGGAACATGGGATACTAGGTGGACGCAAAGTGCACCATCGAGATGCCTGAAAACGACCGGCGCACGGGGCTACGGGTGCTGATCGGATCACCAGCACGACAGGCGGGCAGTGTGACGGTCGCTGTCTCTTGGCATCGGTTTACGCAAAGATCCGACACAGACGGAACGGAACGGAGGAATAAATAGATTCCGAGGAATTTCTCATATTTTTTGGTATTCAGACGTAACCGTAGAAGAAAAAGGAAACCATGTCATCCCATTTTTTAAACCTCAGCGATCTCGCGGAGACGGCGGATGGTCGAGCGGGTGGCGGCAGCGGCGGGCGTGCTGGAATCAGTGGTCAGTTAGTATTGTTCTGTTCTGGCTCGTGTGGTGGTGGTGGTGGTGAAGGTGATGACGGGTCCACAGAAAAAAAATCCGACACCCGACATCCCATCGTTTGAGCACTTACGCGACAGTGTAGGCGCCACCGGCAACGGTCTTGTTGCATCCCTTGCACTCCCAGATTCCAACGGCCTTGCGCTTGACGGTGTTCTTTCCGCAGAAGGTGCAGACGTAGCGGGCGTGCTGGGTGATTTCCATCTTCTTCACCTGCTTACGCAGGGAAGCACCGTATCTGTCAGGATGGTCAATATCGGGTTCGTCGTGTCTTGTGCGGAGCCGTGTTTTCTTCGTTCATCGAGAGCCACAGTCGGTCGGGGGAAGGGAAGTTCGAGGATGCTGCATACCTGGTACCATATTTACCGGTGATACCGACCTCTGCAAATTGTTAGAAAAGGGTTCTTTGGTGACGTGAGGGTAGGAATGGCATGGGGGAGACATACTCTTGGTGCGCTTGGTCATCTTGGCTGAGTGCGACGGATGAGGGTTGCAGATGGATACAGAGCGGGAGTGATCGAGCGGCTTTGAAGGGTTGTGGGTGCTCGCTTAGGATGTGTGCGGTCACCTGATGTCATCTGACTTAATTCATGCCACAATTTCAAGGTGTCATTTTAAGGTGTCAACTTGGCCTACGTAATCTCGGCCAGATTCATATCACCGACCACGTGACTCAAACAAATATGTACATGTTCTCTACGTCCTTTGAAGCGGCCAAATCTCCAACACAAAAGCCGTGCGACACGAAGCTGCCAGACATAGTTCAAGCTGCAGTCCACCCAGAAGTTTCCTACAAATAGTGTCGTGGCCACTCCCACGGCACTTTGACTCTTCAGTCACAAAGTATCTTCTTGCCGAGGAGCTAGCTTGCTTGGCCCGTGATCCATCCCGAGCTTCCTGCCAACTTTATCCCACCTCCCCAACACACGCCACCATGGGTTCTAATCGGCAATACGACATTGTCTTGCTCGGTCCAACCGGCTACACCGGTCAGCTCTGCGGTGAGCACATTGTGCAAAACCTGCCCACCGATTTAAAGTGGGCGATTGCCGGCCGCAATGCGCAGAAGCTCGAGTCCATCGCCCAGGAGCTCAAGACGCTCAACCCGGACCGCATCCAGCCAAGTAGGAGCCTTGATTCCCCTTTTTGTAGGAATATCGCACTGATTTGGGGCTGTGTAGACACTCTGGTGGTCCAGCTGACCTCCCGCGAGCTCAACGAGCTGGCGCAGAAGACCAGGCTCATCATTAACTGCGTGGGGCCCTACCACCTGTACTCGACTCCGGTTGTGGAAGCCTGCGCTGCCAATGGCACCCATTACGTTGATGCGTACGTTGCCCGAGCGTGATTTGTGTCTCATTGGGATCTGGACTGACATGGACCAGAACCGGGGAGACGCCGTGGGTCAAGCTGATTGTCGACAAATATCATGAAAAGGCCAAAGCGAATGGCGCTATTGTCGGTGTACCTCGAGTTCGGAAGCTTTTTCAAAACATTAATGCCATATAGATCATTCCCTCTCTCGGTGTGGAAAGCGCCCCGGCTGATATCCTGGCATGGGCTCTGGTCAAGCAAGTCCGCGAGGACCTCTCGTGCCAGACTAGGGAAATCAACAGCTGCATCAAGGAATTGAAGTATGCTATACCCCGCTCTAAAAAGCATTCACTTGATAACTGATCTGCTCCCATAGGAGCTCCGGCGCTAGCGGCGGCACTCTCAACACCATCCTCAGCATCTTCGACTGGCTCCCAGCGTCCGAGCTTATGAAATCCATGACACCCTTCTCCCTCGCCGCATCCACGCCACCCAAGGATATCCCCCGGGAGTCGATCATGCAGAAACTCCTGGGCGTGCGCTCGATCCGCGACCTGGGCACGCTGACAACGTCCCCTTCTGGAATCGCAGACATCACGATAGTGCACCGCAGCAGCACGCTGATGCCCGAGTTCTACGGCAATCGATTCGTCTTCCACCAATTCCTACATGTGCGCAACGCATTCATTGGGGTCGCTGTCCACATCGGCTTTATGCTAGGATTGGCGCTCCTCGCACTCCCGCCCGTGCGCTGGCTGGTCCGGAAATTCGTCTATGCTCCTGGTACTGGGCCGCGGAAGGAGGATTCGATGAACGACCGGCTCGAGTACCATGCTGTCGCTACGGCGGACCAGAATACTCCTGCCCCGCAGCGCGTGTTCGGCAAGCTGACTTTCCCTGGCAGCATGTACCATATCACGGGTGTGCTGATGGCTGAAGCTTCGATGGTGATTCTCAAAGAGGAGGAGAAGGTGAAGAAGGTTTCACGGGGCGGTATCGTTACCTCCGCTACTCTGGGCCAGGACTTTGTCGACCGCCTGGAAAATTCGGGCTGTCGAATTGAAACCAAGGTTTTCCAGTACTAGTTAAGTGCGCTTACTGGACATGTGACAACTTTAATTGTTTATTGCAATGATATTCTAGTGCTCTGTGATGATCTTGCGAATCCCAAGGCTGATTCGTCAAAATTTAATATTCTTCTGTCTTCATACACGCATTCTGAGCTAAAGCTTTCCCGAGCGAGTATCAACAAAAACCACTTCCTTCAACCACGAAGCAAGAATAGCATTCACCTCCTCGGGCTTCTCCCATAGTGCCCAGTGCGAAGTATTCACCTGCTTCAGCGTCAAGTTGGGAATATGCTTCGCCATTGATTTACCCAGATGAGGCGGCAGGGCCTGGTCTCTCAGGGCCTGGATGAACAGTAGCGGAGCAGTGATTTGGCGGTCGAGGATAGCGAGTTCCTCTTCGTAGTTGACCTTTCGCGTGCGGTACCAGTTCACTGTTGCGGAGTCAGTGTTCATTGCTGTAGAGGGACTTGTGGACATGACATACACGGTCCATGGACGCCGTGCCTAGCGAATTCCGTCGCATAGTACTCCAGTTCCTTCGGCGATGTCAGTCATACAATAAGCCAATACCCGATAAAAGGAAAGAACCCTACATACATCCTCACTTAACAACCACGAGGGCCTCAACCTGGCCACCCGATCAAGAAGCACGCCCTTCTCAGCATCGAACCCAAATTCACCCTTCTCCGTACGTCCACCATAAAGCGCAATCAAAAATTGGCGAATCTCATCCTTCGACCGAACAACCTTCTCCAATTCCCCACTGGCGAACTGGAGCTGATACGCAAAATGCGGCGCCGCGGTGCGCACGAGGTCTTCCAGGGCGACGTTCTGCGCTTGGGGCCGGGCGTAGGGCACGCACACGGTGAAAACGTGGGTCACAAGTTCAGGATGCCAAAGGGCGACGCGGTAGACCAGCGCAGCGCCCCAGTCGTGTCCGCCTAGGATGACCTTCGGTGCGTCCAGGTGGGCAGCTAGGGCTTTGATGTCCTCTGCGCAGCGCTTGTGGGAGTATTGGGTGGGATCTTCGGGGGCGTCTGTCCGTCCGTAGCCGAGACAGTCTGGTGCGACGACCCTCAGGCCTAGGTTGACTAGCATTGGGATCTGGTAGCGCCATCCCATTGATAGGTCGGGGAAGCCGTGGATCTGGGGGTTGTTTCCGGTGGTTAGGGCATTGTGGTGTTGTTGGAAGAGGGTGGGTGAGAATCGGTCTTGCTCACTAGGAAGACAGTTGCTCGGTACTGGCCTGATGGTGGCTGACTGAAGAGATAGGCTGGAGTATTCTGTTAGCGATGCACTGATGCACTAACTTCCAGGCAAGTACTGACAGTACTGATTCCCGTTCAACGTCGCAGAGCGATACTCGACGCGCGAGTCGCCCAATACATTGATCTTATCGACGGCCATGTTGATTATCAGAGTACTCGAGAGTGGTTGTGTTGTAGTCCTTCCAAGCTCGAACGTCATGCAATATTCCCCGCCCCGCAGTCAACTCACTCGAGATGCCTCGGTCCGTTTCCGCTCTTGCACAATCCCGCACTACTTTTGCATGACTGACATCCGTCATGCACAGGACAATATTATTGTCTTCAGATCTTAAACAATTGTTCCGATAGTGCTGGGAACCCCTTGCGTCGGGTCATGGTCCTGCCTTGCTTTGTTGTCAATCCTTTCACATATGCCCTGGGGCGGCCGCATCAATATTTCTCCAGTTGCTGGGCCAGAGAAGACTATCAAAATTGAATGATGGGGAAACAGTGCATAGAGTATTTGCCTATTTTCCCACGACTTGATTTACTCCTGCAACATGTCCTTTTTGGTGGGTGTTGGGGCAAATGCCACAATCTGATCTGTTCGAAAATATATCTTGGATTAGTTAACACTTCAGCAAGCTTCAGAAATCTGACAAGCCGTTTGACCCCGCTTCGAGCTGTTCGATATATCTCATCGTGTTGTAGCGAATGATCAATCACCCTGATCCGGATTCGTTCCCCATAGATTTACTACTGCGCATCAAGATCCCGGATTCCGACATCGAATGAGAGTCTCGGAATGCGACAGGGATCCCGCGGGACTTTCCCATCAGAGTCAGCAGGGCTATCCACTTCACCTCCATCAAAACCCCCACACAGAGTAGATCATGGCCGGTAAGCTTTTCTGCGTCATTGTGTGCCATTGCTGGGCTCACATCTAGCGAAGATCTAGGAAATCAAGCAAATGATGAACCTCTCCGGTTCGGAGTGGTCCTGTTCCCCGGCTTCCAGGCCCTAGATGTGTTCGGTCCCTTGGACTGCATCAATGTCCTCTCACGGACCGACAGCCACAGGGTCTCCCTATCTATGCTTTCTTCGACATTGGAGCCAGTAACGACAAAGCCGCCCGGATTCCCCGCTGCGATCGGCCAATCCATCGTTCCAACTCATACCTTTGCTACCGCACCGCCACTGGATGTGCTGCTCGTCCCGGGTGGTCGGGGTGCACGCGGCTCTAGTCCCGTAGTTCAAGAAATAATCGCATTCGTTAAGGCCACATACCCGCAGCTCAAATACTTGATTACCGTCTGCACTGGTTCCGGGCTTGCGGCGCGGGCCGGCGTGTTGGATGGGAAACGCGCCACAACCAATAAAATGGCGTGGCAGGAGATCACGGCCTTGAGGCCCGAGGTGGTTTGGGTCCCTCGCGCCAGATGGGTTACTGATGGGAATATCTGGACGTCTTCTGGAGTCAGTGCGGGGATTGATGTCACGCTGGCTTGGATTGAGGAGGTGTTTGGCAAGCAGACGGCAAAGAAGATTGCCGATGGGATAGAGTATACTCGACACGAAGATCCGAGTCTAGATCCCTTTGCCGAGTTGATGGGTCTGTGATTGGGAATAGTATAGCAAGGAAGCTGCACTGTTATGGAGATCTACAAATATATAGAAACGAACATCCAGCCTCTTCCCTGTGAGACATCTAGCAACGAGTAGTCTGGACAACGGATACGTTCTGCAGATCATAGGATCTGTGTTACTTGGAAAGCGAGGGATGAAGCGCGACATCGGTAGTTAGAATGATTTAATATTCCCTGGCACGATCAGATCGTTGATCAAAGACGCGGTTCGTGTTGGAATTAACTGACGCAAGGACGTGTCGCACAGCGAATTAATTGTTCGACTTTCGCGTCAATGTACTACAGATGAGAAGAAATCAAACTATCATTCGTCTAAAACACATTGCAAGGTTTTCGAACATCAAGTTGTATCACTCGCCATGTCATTGCGTTAACTGACTTTTGCGTGGTGGGGTGAAGATGATCTGTCTGAATTTCGATAGAGAGTCTGAGAATCCCAACCCATATCATATGAGGCTAGTGGGACTAACGGCTATCCCTTCCGTGCCTTGGCACGCCTCCCACCTGCATCTCGGGTGATCTATAGAAAATCCATGTCACTTTTGCAGCATGTCAACACAACCTAGGAAATGACTTGTCTATAATTATTGGATGTCTTATCCCCTTCGGCAAAGAATCTCTCCTATATTAATAGTGGCCAGTATTCCAAATTCTCGTTTCTTTCAAACCCTTTTTTTTACGTTTTGACTTTGTATATTCCAAATCGCTTGCCTTGCCCGGCTGCCTGTCAAGATGATACCCGCAAACCAAACGTCCCACCATGCCACATGGGTCCCTGGTGACTTCGAACACCCTAACGAGCATATCCGCCGCCCTATTCAGGTCTCGCTCGTTTTCGCCTTTACCTTATCCACTCTCGCCGTTGTACTCCGCCTTATTGCGAGAAGGCTTACTAGCAGCAAATTATTCTTGGATGATTGGTTGATTCTGGTTGCTCTGGTAAGAAATTCATTTCATGAGTGTTTTGTTGACTAAACTAATTGGGTCATGACAGCTTTTCAAATATGGATGCTCGATCGGAACTGCAATCCGTAAGTGATTTGACACTGGCACCGTTTTTCTGAAACTAATGCACGAAACAGTCCTTTGGAATGGATTGGGGTCTCACATCACCATGGTTCCCAAGGAAAACCTCGAGACATTTTTCAAGGTATGCTTGCCCGTCTTGCATGAAGCGCACAGTCCTAACTCAGCCAGATCGGATGGGCCAATCCATTCCCGTACACCGCCACTGTGGTATTCGTCAAGCTATCGATCCTGGCGCTGTACAAGCGCTTGTTCGCAACCAAGAAGATGCTGACTGCGATATACGTGGTGGGAACTATTGTTCTTATGTGGGCCGTGGCCGTCTTCGTGACTACTGGTCTAATGTGCATCCCCGTAAACAAGTTCTGGGATCCCACTGTCGAGGGTGCATGCATCGACGCCGCCAAGTTCTACTACGGCATCCAGATTCCGAACATCCTCACGGATGGCATTCTTCTGTGCATGCCTCTGCACGTTGTCTGGAAATTGCCCATCGCCAAATCCCAGAAGCTGCTCCTTTCGGGTGTCTTTCTCGTCGGTGGCCTGTACGCGCCCCCGTCGCTTTCTAGTCAGGAAATGAGCTAATGATCTACAACAGGACCTTGGTCTTCGACATCGTTCGCTTGTACGCCATGATTGCACTGACAAAGGCGGGCCCGGATATCACTTGTGAGTAACGTTAACCTTAATTTCTCCATCCACATTGCTCACCAACCTCTGTACAGACAACCAAGCCCCCGTCGCCATGTGGACCTGCACCGAAGCCGCCGTCGGCATCATCGCAGCCTGTCTCCCGAACCTGCGACCCCTGTTCAAATTCGGCGGAAGAGGTTTCTGGTCCCAGCTTCGGTCCTCAGCCCACCGATCCGGTTGGACTGGTGGAAAGTCGAGCGGCAACTCCAACTCCTCCAACTCCAACTCAACCGGCAACACGACAAGTACCTCCGACACGGCTGTCAGTCTTTCTACTCCCACAAAGGAGATTGACTCCCGTGTCTCGGTGCAGACTGTGGATACCAACCAGTACAATGATTATATGAAGGGCGTCAAGGCTTCGGCCTAATGGATTTGCCGAGAAAAGCATTTTGGCCGGCGATAGCACCTCCTGTGGTGAGAGGGAGTTGTGCTCGATACCCTTCTCGCTGGCCTGGACTCTTTTTAAATTGTGGGTAGGCTATAGAATACGGCGGTGGTAATATTTGACGATTCATGTATTTCTAATTACATCAAAAACTGCTCATTGCAAGTCTGTTATATTCCATGTTGTAGTCCTGATACCAAACTACTTTCAAGGATTTGACCCGCGCTGAAAAGGTTGTAATATCCACAGTAAGCTCTAAAGGCCTTTTGTATAACTTAAAGAAACGGGGTATCTAGAATGCTAAAAATAGGGCTATATAGCACATATCACATACACTACTATGGTCCCAGCCCATCTAGGTGTTGACCGAGGTCTCCGTCTGCGACTGCTCACTCATAATCTCCTTGAGGCGATCTCCAAGCTTCTCCTCCCTTTGTAATAGCTCTCTGTACTCGTCTCCCTTTCTCCCTTCTACCTTCTAGGGGGCCTCGCCCGCTGTCGCTGCTTGGGATGCTAACGCTCTCTTGCGCACAGCAATCAACCCCAGTTCTTGGACTGCAATGTCCGCTTCTTCTGCAAGCTCATTATACTTAGACGACGGGTCTGCGACGGGAATTGCGTCCGGAAGTGTCGACACGGCGGAGGAAGACTGGTCTCCGTTCCCGCTATTATCAAGAGGGTTAGGGGATCGCTCTGCGCGAGCTGAAAGTTCCTGGCTCAGGCTTGCCAACCCTGCGCTCGCCTCGTAGATTTCAGAAGAGTGGAGTTCTGTCCCTCCTCTATGTCGGTTGGATTGGTTGCTCGCTTCGAAGATCTCGGAAGATCCGAGTTCGGTTGCTCCTCTGTCGCGGTTGACTAGATCGCTCGGCCAAGTCGCCTCGCTGCTGGCATCTGGCACGGATACTGCTGGGATATCCAGTCTCGGCGGCCCATTGCTCGACGGATTCGTTTGTATTTGTTCCATGGCAGTGTCTCTCGTGTCATTGCCGTTGGCACGTTTTCGTCGACGCCAAATGAGCCACGCGGCTAGTGCAAGCAGAAGTAAACCTGCTCCCAGTCCAACGCCCACACCGACGCCAATTTTTGCGCCGTTGGACAGCCCGGAAGACGCGCCTCCGTTCCCAGGAATGGCTTTCGGAGATGCAGATGCAAAGGCGGTGCTCGCTGGTGTCACGGTGGCAATGTTGAGGCCTGCAATAGTCGGGAGTGCAGCATTGGCGCCTATGGTCCAGTATTGTTGTGACGTAGGGCAGGCAGGTGTGCTAAACGTTGACGGGGCGTTGGTATTGGTGGTCACAGAAGCCCACTGGCTTTTGAGATAGCTGTAGTCGGACAATGGCGATGGGGTCAATGGCAAAGAGCCAGTCTGCGAAGGATAGGATACCAGCCCGTAGCTATTGGAGCTAAAACAACAATGTTAATTATGGGAATTGATCCTCGATGGTATTTGGCACTTACTCTTGGCCCCATTCGTAAATGATTGCTCCGCTCCACTCGTCTTCCATCTCAGGCCCGAATATGACGGGCTGGTCGGTAAATTTCCGTGGCGAGGGTAGGTTGCACCCGTCCTGGGAGAGGAACAAAGGGATTCCCAGGCCTTTAAACATTCCTTCTAATTCCTGATAACCACTCGACGAATAGGTAGCATCACCACACCATTCAAACAAATCCATGCCCCAGAAGTCGATGGCCTCACTGCTGTTTCCTCCGCAGACCATGTACTCCGCAAGCTGTAAACAGACCTCTAGGATATCCGTCCCAGAGTAGCCAACTGGGATAGCGCGGTACTCCCTGGCAGCTATATACGCTTTGAGGTCTCGCACTGCAGCCTTCACGGAGGGTGCCACGCCGATGTCGCCGGCTATTGAGGAAAGTTAGCACGGTGTTATTTGCGTGGCGTGAATTGAGGATACATACATTGTTTGATGATCTGATCGCCGAATGAGAAACCCAGAAGGTTTTCATACCCCGCAAAACTGTCAACAACAGCCGCAAAGCGTTTGTAGTTGTTCATATTCCAAGTTTGATTTGACTACCGGGCGTCGGGTCAGACGAACTGGAATCCGCAAAGGTCATCTCGGGACTGCTCACCATGCCCTGAAGGCCGTTCAGAGTCACCAACACGTAGATTCCATTATCATCGAAGCTCTTCATACACTCAGAGTGGCTCTTCGTTGGGTCGACATATAGGACACTAATGGTGTTCGCGCCGAGGTCTTTTATCGCCGATGCGTCAATCGCACATTGTTTCGGGTCGGCCAACGGGTCTATTGCGGAATTCGCGGCAGTCTGATGCTGGGAGCCCGCATAGACAACTCCTGCCAGATGCGTTGGTATTTGTAGGATAAAGGATTCAAGGGTTGGCGAGAACAGTACCTTTGGTTTGCCATCGACTCCCCGATTTCAAGAACGCATTGCCGGAGATTGTGATTGCCGGCAGACCCATTGTCGAAGGAAGCAGCAGCAACACCAATAACAGAGAACTCAAAGGGTGCTGCAGCTTTGGATGTACTGTCATTGCTGTTGGGCCGAAAAGAGTGAGAAGAGGAAGGCATCAGGGACAGCAGCTCGCGTAAATTACCCCAGACACAAAGAGCCTCACCTTGATCGCGGCGCTGCATAAAATCGGGATCGTCTTTAGTGTTGCTAATTTCAGCCCCTCAGATAAAATTAGCACGCTCATGGAGGCTAGCACGCCCGCTTGGATCCTGCGGCAGACTATGCCCAGTCAGGCAATCTTGGCCCGACACTGACATTGCGCATGATGAAACAAACCGCTCGTTGAGTTAGTTATCGTGGACTAGTACATCGTCAGTAGAAGACAAAGCTGTCATAAATCCGTCTGTAGCAGATCAAAAATGGACTTGCATATAAGATCAAACCCTACAACGACAAAACGAATACGAGACCCTGGCCCACCATTCCCGATCAGGGGCATGGCGAATCAGCCTTACAGGATCAGCATTACAAGATCCTACTGCCCAGGCTGCCGTTCATCTGTCTCTCCTACAACTACCGCATCTCAAGCAGCAACAACATGAGAATCCCCGAAAATGTAATGGAGAAAAAGCCTGCGTCGGATGTCGAGACGGCAGCACAGCAGGAATCCGGCGACAACGCCATGCCCGGCTCCAATATCCTGGATCCGCTGCTGTTCCTGTTAGCTGGCCGACGCGGGGTGCGCTCCGACTCTCATTTCGCCGCGACAAATATCCCAGACGATCAAGCGATCATTTTTGTCGGCCCATCCGGCGTCGAGGCGATTAACCACACGCCACTATGGAAGCGGCTTCTCTGTGGAGTCGGGTGCATGGATAGCAGGTGAGAATCGATACTTTCCGTTTCATATATCTCAAATATATCAAAGGGAAAAAAAGACATAGGCAGGCTAGCTAACAGGGGAAATGATCTCTCAGATGGGGGATAGTCTGCATTGTTTTTACCTTGACAAACTCCCTCCTCGCACACTTCGACTCGCCGCCAGAATCCACAAATGAGACAGAATGGAAGGAGATCCGTTTCTTCTCGCGCCACGTGAAAATCGCCACCGTGGTCGCCCTCTGTCTAGCCTCTTTCTTCATCTGGGCGAGGAGATATGCCAAACGCCAGGCCGCCGCTGCCACACCTCCCCAGTTCGATCCAGCCTCCTACCAGTCTCGCTTGGCTCATGCCATGACCCAGCGGGGCATCCATTACCGGGAGATTGCACCCGTGACGCTCATCGATATGGAGCGACACCGCAAGAGTGAGAAACGTCTTGTTGAGAGATTCCAGATCGAGGGACTGGTCGATCCCATGGAGAGTTCGTGGGTTTATGATATTGTGGTGCGCTTTTACAGTAAGGGGAATGTGTTTTTGCAGTTTGCTTCAGCGGATAACACGCCAGGGAAGAAGCCTGGGTTGATTTTGACCCCGAATGTGGAAAGTTTGTAGATGGATTTGTTGGGTAGCTCATGAATTATGAATGGACGCTAGTTTCACTATCACGAGAGGCATGTTCTGAAATCGGGATATCTTTATCTGCATTCCTAACATCATTGAATCAAATCCGAATGATCCTGTTATCAGTGGGATCTGTCCACTTTTAGATCAAGCGTGTAGCTCACGCCCTAATACCCTCGATCTGCCTGGAGAGCATAGAGCAAGAGAAGAACGCTAATAAATCACCGTGTCTTCGTTGTCTTCAACAACTTCACCTCCATCATCATCAGCGCCGCGATGTACATCAATATGATCGTGCACAGTAGCGCTCCCGTTCATAGGCGTATCATCTGGTTTAGCTGAACCAGAGCCCTGGTCCTGGGCACCGTCTCCACCTACTGTTTTCGGTGCCTCAGAAGAAAGGCTCGGGGCCTCGTTTGACTGTGCTTCGGATTCTAAGACCGATTTTTCGTGAGATGGTCCATTTTGTTGCTCATTCCCCGAACTATGTGATGGGCCCTCGACCTTTAAGACTTCTTCCTTTGAATTGCGCCTCGACGTGTCAGATCGAGTAGTCTCAGGAGGGAACCGGGCGTCAAACTCGGCGACCTCTCGAGCAACAGTCGCTTCGGCGTCCTCGATTTGCTCCCGTATCACTGCTTCATCACGACGCCGTAGCTGCCACGGTTTGTAGTACTATGCAACATTGTTAGCAAGCGACGATTCCATGTTCAACAGAGAGTCACCCACGAGGACGGGCTTAGTACGGGTCTTCAAAGAATGCGCCATGGCCAGCATATTCGCATGTCTCGTCCGCATCGCCTCGCGTTCATACAGCGGGTGCTCCTTCTTCCGGATAGCATCCCTTTGTTCCCTCTTCTGCTTTTTAAGTTCACCATACTCTTCCGCCTGCGACTTCAGCTTCTCCTGCTGCTTTTTCTCAATATCAGCACGACGCCTCTGCGCCGCCGAAGTGGAACTCTGCGAGAGCGTGCCCAGCAATCCGCCGAATAAGCGCTGACCGCGTTTCCGTTCCTCATCGCGTCCGGCACCTTGTCGAGAGGGCTTTCTTTCTGGTGGTGGCCGGTCTGGAGCAAGCTCTTGGGAGGATAGTCGTCGACGCTCTGAGTACGAGGTGTTATCGCCCGCTTCTGTGCTGAGTCGGCGACGCTTGGAGTCGTGTTCGGTTATGGAGGACTTGCGGCGTTTCGTGGTTGGTTCTGGGGCACTTTGGAGGGTGGTTTGCTCGGGCACTGCGACCGCTGAGGCGAGGGTTCTAGAATGAGCAGATTAGCTTAGCCCTGAGTGTGAAGGTGAATCCAGCAGTATGCGATGCAGAGAATGGAGTAGCCGTACTCAGACATGTTGGTATGTGGGGGACGAAATGCCCCGATTGGAAGGGAAGACGTTAGCCAACAGATTGATAATCACTTTTCTGCCAGCCCAGGTCTTCCAGTAGGATGGACACTGATCGAATGGCAAGTCGAGTTCGTCCGGCAAACAACCCAAGGTACCACGGCTCACGTGCACGGACCACGGTCTGCTTTCTTTCTCTTCCTTTCTTCTTTCCGTTTCGCTCTCTCTCTCTCTGCCTTACAAATCCCCAGTCGCTCGCTCATCTCAACACTTAAACACCTCGGAATCCTCCTTCTTCAGCTCCCACACCTCACATCACTGTCCCTCTTTTGAGCCAGCACCATGTCTCGCCACCACCCCGATCTGGTCATGTGCCGCAAGCAACCTGGCATCTCCATCGGCCGCCTGTGCGACAAGTGCGACGGCAAATGCCCCGTGTGCGATTCCTACGTGCGTCCCACGACCCTCGTGCGCATCTGCGACGAGTGTTCCTTCGGCAACTACCAGAACAAGTGCGTGGTGTGCGGTGGCGAGGGTATCAGCGACGCGTTCTACTGCTTTGAATGCACGCGCCTGGAAAAGGATCGAGATGGGTGTCCGAAGATTATCAATCTGGGAAGTTCGAGGACGGATCTATTCTATCAAAAGAAGAGTTTTCGAAATCATTGATGCGCCCCGGCCTGGCCAGCCTCTTGTGGTTCGATGAGGCGAGGTGCTTGGCTGAAGCCGGTGGGATTTTACAATGTTCAGCCTAGCGACAAGGATGGCTTTTTCTTTGAAATTCGCTTGCGATCATCATGCTTGGTGGAGCTATATATGAGAGCCATTATCTGAATGTGTTTCCTGCTGTCTCTACAAGGGGAACGTCGCGATTACCGACCCGGACGACGGGGTCTGGCGAATCCTCGTGCAGGACCCTGGTCTTGTGGCGGGTGAACTTCTTCTTGCAACCGATCTCCGGAGACCTCCTCGGGCGAAGAAGCCTCGATCTGTTTTACCGGTTGTCAGCATTATAATCTCCAAGACAAGCCTGGCATACCATACCTTCTTTGAGATCTTGAGCCCCTGCTCCTCGGCGATGGCGAGTGCATATCGCCGTGAACTGGCATGCAGCATGCGCTCCTTGATGGACGACCCCGTGGGGCAGGTGTACACGAAAACAACCTCATCGGAGCCGGGATAGTGGTAGAAGGAGTACCGGGGCGAAGACGCGGAGATATGAGTGGCGACGGCGCCCGCGCCCACACCGGACTGGGAGTCGGCCAGCTTGATAGTCTCCGTGGGTACGTCGATAGTCTGCACAGAATCAAATGTGAACCTGTTAGCCTGTCTTTTTCCTCACGTAGAGTGTAGTTTCCAGGTGTCCTCACCAGCTGCACGAGTCCACCATCCTGCAACTCCTTCAGCGCAGTCTTCGCCTCGTCATCAACGGGCATAGAAACCCTCATACCAGACCCCGAGCCGGGCCCAAAGCTACCTCTGGCAAAAGTGCCCCCGATCCCAATATCCCGTTGGGGTGTACCACTCCTCGCCTCAGCCTCTGCCCTGCGCACAGCTTCAAGCTCCCTCTCCTTCTCACCCATAAGCTCCTCCCGACTGGCCCCGCCGGCACTCTCACCATCCCTGTCCTTCCACGCATCCTGGCCAACAACCTCATCTTCCTCCGTAGCAAACACCGTTGAGGCGAACTTCTCCGTCCCCAGCTCACGGACCAGCGTGGCACGGGTCGAAGCGAAGAGCGTCTTGGAGCGTACGGGCGCGTTGGACGGGATGTACGTCAGGGCAACCAGCGAGGAGGAGGATGGGGTGGGCCGGCGGAGGAGGAGGTAGATTGGGGTTTGCGGCTTGAGGATCGAGGAAAGTTGTGGCAGAGAGGAGAAGAAGCCATCGGGGGAGGAGGATGCGAGTGGAATCGGGTCCAGGGGGGTCAGGCTCTCCGAGCTGATGGTGACGGGGAGGCAGAAGGAGGAGGGGTCCGAGGTGAAGCGGGTGAAGGCATCGTGGAGCTCCGGAGAGACTGTGGGAGGTCGTTAGTACAGTTCAATGGGCAGGGAGTGTGGTATTACCTGAGATTCCGGACTGCATGATGTGATGGTGGTAGTTGTAACAATGTTGGTGGAGGAGAACGAGGAAGGCGCCCACTAGTGTTATGAACTTGAACAGCCCCATGTACTCCACGGCTCGATTGCCACAAAGAATGGCCTCAAGCTTGCAACCATCCGCCTGGAAACGCACCGATTGAACTAGAACCAGACGACCGAGATATCAAAGCAATTGCGCGTTCGATGAGATTAGTAGATGCATATGGTACGATTGAAAGCATCCTTGCTAATAATAGAAAAGGCAAGATCCCTTTATGGGCTACCACAAATTGAAGACAAATGCGTGATCTCTGCTCAATATACAGATGACTATGTACAATGCTTCCAAAATTCCAAGTTAATCTTGGTATACCCTTATTCCTCGAACTTCCCGCCCACAAAGGCCCAGTTCGACTGCTCCAGCTTCCCCTTGAGGTACTCATACACCGTGAAAGTGACAGCCTGACCGGGCGCAACACGCATCACACGCGGCGTGATACCCTTATAGAAGGCGCGTGTGCCCTCGGTCTTGAACATGTCCTTGGCAATGACCATGATTCTCGTGATGGCGCTCTGACCGGGTTCGCCGCGAGTTTTCTGTAACCGGGTCTTGATGGTGTCGATGGGAGCATTGGAGAAGGGACCGACAGCACCAGAGATCAGACCTATGACCGTGGTCTGGTAGGCGGGCAGCTGGGCGTCGGCGTACTGCGGCTGCCACCGCTGGAGAGAAGCCTTCAGCTCCGTGTAAGCGGTGAAGTTGGCGGCCTGGTTGGTTCCCTGCCGCAGGGCTGTCAGGGAGACACCTCGGTAGAGCGTGCTGAAACCTTCTTCCCGGATGACGGTGAAGAGCGCGTGCGGCGCGCTGCGGTACTTGGGTGTGTCGAGCGGGTCGGCGAGACTGTGGTGTTGCGCTTGCAGACGGATCTTGACCACTTCCATTGGGTTGACCACCGCCACGGCTTCGGTCACACCAGCTGCCAGACCGGCTGTTAAAGTGGTTAGTATGTGAATCAAACCATCATGGGAACGTCACCTACCCAGGAAGGTGGCTTTGCTTGTGACGTGCCCGGTTTGCTTGTCTGCCAGCAGGCCCTTATATGACTCGTACGATGTGAACCGGATGGCCATCTTAGGGATGATACCGCCCAGCACGGCACCCAGACCCTTGTACAGACCGAGGGCTGTCTCTTTCTTCACAATCTCCACGCCGGTAGTCACGAACCCACGGGGTTTAGCCTAGAACGATCCGAACTCATCAGCGACAGCAATTGGACTCGCGAATCAACTATAACTCACACCGGGAGCGCGAGCTCTCCGCGACAGCTGCATGCGGACCTTGATCGTGTCTGGAGAAGGTCAACTTCATGAAATCTGCGTTGTAGAACGACTGCACATACCAAGCGGGTGACAAACAAGTGCCTCCATCATACCAGCTCCGCCACCAGCTTATCCGCAAAAGTCAGCACTTGCACGACTCCTCGCGGGACGGAATGCACTCTACCGATCAAGTTGACCGCGGGCGATGGCTTTTTCTTGCCATTGGTTTGTACATTTTTGGCGGACATGATTGCAAGTTCAGCTTGGCGATTGATGTATCTACAGCTTGTAGGGGACTCTCTCTTGTTCTTTCAATTTTAAATCGAAAACTCCGAATTGCCACGAGGAGAGATCGACTCGAAATGCGGACAGGCGCGGAAGTATACAATCCCGGGAAAGAGTGGAGAGAATAGCGGTAGAAACGTCGCGGGCGCAAAGAGAGAATGATTCTCCAAAAAAATAATAACGGAGCGACTCTTGTTTTAAGAAAATAAGAACCAATCCCGAGGATATGAATCACGTCGGTTGGAGTGGCGGCTGTTCCAAACCTTGTGGGGAAGCGGAGGAGCTGGACGAGCGGAAGTTCAAGTATAGGGATTCCGTACTGTGCAGCAGTCAAGGACCAGCAAAGAGAAAAAAGAAAGAGAAAAAGAAGAATACAAGAGAGCGATCACGAAAATAATAGGAACTCGACCCGAGGGCGCGACTCGGCGATCTTTAATACAGCAATGATTCATTCCGAGCTGTTCATCAAGCTGGAATCAATCCCGAGGCATCGGGAACAAGGGCGGCTGCCTCTCTGGGGCTTCCGCCCGTCAAGCTCCCAGGAAATGACCATGATTTTCTTCCCAGATCTATCCATGGCGCAGACTGATTCACATGCGCTGTTTTTGTCAGTGTCGTCATCGGGGTGATCATGATCATCCTGTGACTTGCGAACTAACTGTAGATACAACCCTGCTGAGCACATTGCTGCATTCCTCACCACCATGACATTCTCCCCTTGAACTTGTCTTGAGGGAGCCCCATTATTTTCCTCCGGCTATTTCCAGTCGGTCAGGTCGCTCCATCAGACCCCATGACCCAGCAGTACGGCCCAGAACTGCGGGTTCCCGCTGCCCACCGCGATGCGCCCGGGTCAATCCGGGCTTCCACTCAGCCGAGGTTCAGCGCTGCACTGTAGTAGGGCCGACAACTCGCGACCTGCCTAGGTCGTTCCAGATCTGACTCAGAGGAGTTAAGTTCATGCCTTTATTCAATATCTTTTTCTTCTAGGTACTGCATTCTAGTCGTTGGGATAATGACTTGGGGTGTGTCAGTGTAGATATATAGTACGGTCGCCGTCTACACCCGAATCATGGCGGTTATATGTTTTACCCAGCGTTACTTGAGATGGAGCACTACAAACATATACTAGAAGGAACACGATGACTGCCTCTACAGCCCCAAACGACTATTTCGAAAACGGGGAAGCGGTAAAGAAAGTAACACCGCCTAGTAGTTGCATCATGTTGCATGTGCTCGAGCACTTCACATGCCGTGCGATCTTAAACTCCGCTGATTGATAACCCGCAAACATCGGGTAGCCGTGTCTCGGCATGGACTGTGGGCCGACTGTCATTGCTGTTTACTGCTAATCCGATGCGTGAAATGTCTGTACTGAATATCCTCACAATTCTTAATCAACGCTCGAGTGGTAGTTACTACCAGCATGATCGATCTAAACATCCTTGCACCGCTCTTCTCTCCGCGACCGACGATCGGGGTTGATCCGATGCCCGCAAATCTCTGTTCTTCGCTACTCACTCAGTCAAGACTTGCCTGTCTTTCCATAACCCCGACAGTCAAGACTGTCATCTCCATGTCTATACTTTAACCCTAAATGAAGAAGTAAACAATGCGCGGCGAACCCACGGTGCCCATCGACCACGAACCAGAGCAGCACCGTCACCCACCCAAAGCCTGGCAAAAATGGACCAAAAGAATCCTCCTACTGCTCCTGAAGCAATGGCTCCTAATCGGCATGGGCGTCGCCTGTGTGCTGGCCTACTTCTTCCCCAACGTCGCGAAACACGGCGGGATCATCCGCGCCGAGTACAGCATCATGTACGGCGTTATCGCAATCATCTTTCTAATCTCGGGACTGAGCATCCCGCGCCAGAAGCTCTTTGCGCAGTTCATGAACTGGCGCCTGCATGTTCTTGTCCAGACCGTTTCGTTCCTATTTATACCTGCGCTGGTGCTTGCGGTCGTGCATGCCATATTGGCTGGTGATCCGTACGGACGTATTGATCGCGCCGTGCTGGCTGGGTACATATTGACGGCATGTATTCCGACGACGATTGCGTCGAATGTTGTTATGACGAGAGCGGCGGGCGGGGACGACGCGGCTGCGACGGTCGAAGTGCTGCTTGCCAATATACTGGGTCCGTTCATTACCGCCGCGTGGACGGTTGCTCTGCTGCCCAAGGGTCCGGAGTTCGATGTCTGGCGCTATGGGGGTGGGAATCTAGGGACGATGTACAAAAGCGTGTTCAAGCAGCTGGGGCTCAGTGTGTTGTTACCGCTGGTGGTTGGGCAGCTGGTGCGGTGGACCTGGCCGGATCGGACGGCGTGGGTGATCCAGAAGACGAAGCTGCCGAAATTCGCGACGGTTTGCATGCTGCTGTTGGTTTGGTGAGTGGATAGCTCACACTGCCAAAGGATATGCGGCTGACTGAGAATCATTAGGTCCACCTTCTCCTCGTGCTTCGCAACAGGCGCACTCCAAACCCTATCCACGCAAAGTGTTGTCTTTGTCGTCCTTTTCAACATAGCGCTGTATATCGCCTTGACGATAGTGTGTTTCTTCAGCGCCCGGCCGCCCCGATGGCTTTATTCTCGCGGCTGGTCGAACCCCGTGTTTAAGCCGATGCCCCCGGAAGAAACTATCGCAGTATGCTTTTGCGGTCCGGCGAAGAGCACTGCATTGGGCATCCCGCTGCTGTATGCCATGTGGGCACCTCTGGACCTCTTTACCAAGTCCAGAACATCAGTGCCCGTGTTGCTGTATACCACAGAGCAGATCTGCGTTGCGCATTTCTTTGTGCAGCTATTCCGGCGCTGGCATGCTAGATTGGCGGAAAAGGAAGATCTAGAGAGCCACTTGCAACCGGAGGATGCAGATGTCGGTATGATGCAGGTTTCTCAGGGTTCTAGAGATGAGCATACGAACGTTTGATACCCATTTGATAATCTATCAAGATTTTTATTCAGAGAAGATAAAGTATATGCCCACTTATAGTAAAACAACAATATCACAATCGAAGAAGATATTCAACATCACCGGTCACACCAGTTGGCGAACAAAGGAAAGAATGTACATAACTGCACGATGGGGCCTTATATATAGCTCACCTTGACACCCATGCCAACTGTGCCCTTTACCTTCTGCCATGCATTGTCGGTAACCCTCCGGACGCGCTCACGCACGTCCTGACGGCTCATGGCCATGAGGATACCGAGCAAAAACAAAAGGGTACGCACCAGCGACATTGGGTTCCCGGATAAGCTTTGGATGATATGTTTGACCAAATTCCGTAGAGCCGTAGCGACCGCACGAGTCTGGCGTCGAGGCTCAGGCTTGTCCTGCTTCTTGACGTTCTTGGAGCTCGACGCCGAAAGTGCAGTCCGCGATGGCTTGCCGCTCGGCGATTTGTCCGCCGATTTGCCTCCCTTGCTCTTTGAGGACCGCCCCTTTTCAATCCCGTAGTCGCCCTCACTCGTATTGCGCTTATGTCCGTTCGGTTGAGGCCGGGGGGATGATGCTGCGGCGTCCTCTGCTCTCCGACGCTCATCCTCACGCTGTCGCTCGAATTCGGCATCTTTGGCTCGCTGGAGCTCCGCAGCACGCAGCTCGCCCCGTTCCTTCTCCTCCTTTAGCCCTTCCAGGGTCTGGAGGAAAAGTTCCTTGCGTTCTTCGTCGAGGACTTCGCTCAGGTTGATGAATTCCTGCGCATACTCCCACTCCTCATTCCGCGGGAGAACATGCAGAGTGAAGAGCTCAATGATGCGTACTCGCGCAGCCAGATCTTTCGGGGTATCTGTTCCGCTCGTCTGGCTGATGTGGCGCTGCTGCGCATTGGCGGATGCATTGAGACGGTCGGTAAGGTCGAGGTTCGGTTGCCCGTAAGAGGAGAGGTATGTCTCGAGACGCTGCTGGTTGAGTGATTGAGAGGAAGAGTGGTTGAGGATCAATGTTGCACTGTCTACGTTAGCAAGGGTCGAGATGCTGGGGAACAAGGAGCGCTCACAGGTTATAGACTACCTCGGCATCCACGGAGCCCTCGCGGCCCCTGTACCCGATTTGGACCACTGTTTCCCAGATGCCTCCCTCCCGCACTTGGGTGGCGATCGCTTTCCACTCCTTCTGGCCGAATTGCTTCTTTCCTTCCTCGGCGCCGAGGTCGACGATTGCGCTCAGCAGCGTGATGTACAGATTCCACACCTTGATCCTCCACGTGCTAGGGGCGGTGGCGATCGGCGCAACAGCTGTAGAAGGATGATCGCCATTTGGTTGTTGGTCATCTGCGACTGTAATGATAGGTTGGAGAGTGGACAGGGCTTCAGGGAGGCGGCGTGTGAGATAGAGCTGGGACGCTTTCTTGTAGGTCTTGGAGCAGAGCTTCGTGGGGGAAGTCGAGGTAGAGGTGGAGGAGGGTGAAGAGAGCTGGGAATGGGACATTCCGTCAGCCATTGCGAGTGAGTGTAGTGAACTATTGGAGTATCATGGATGTTGAGGGTGAGAAAGAAAGAGAAAGAGAGGGAGTGAGTGATGGAGCAGTGAGGTCGGGGTCTGCCGTTTTCCCTCGGCCCAACTGAGTCCGGGGTTGGGAGGTCACGGGATCTGGGCCGAGCAGAGGACGACGAATTAGGAAGGAACGACTGAACGGTTGGGTGTACGCAGACCGATCGGTTTGTTTGTTATGTTCATTCCTTTTTTCTCTTTCCTCTTTGATGGCCACATACAAACATTCTTCAAACGAGAACAGTCTTCACTTCTGACGGTTTGATCGATCTATGTGCAGCATGCCAAGCCTGATCTAGATCCGCCTGGGTATCTATTTCGTTGCATCTTCACTTCACTTGGGACGGATAGGTCAATATCAACAAATACACGATTTGAATTCACAGCTGACTAGCTAACAAAATGGATGTCGTTGACGCAACCTTCAATCACCACCTACCGTGGATTCTCTACGAGTTGGCCTCGTGCTGTTTTGTGTCTCTGGATCTGGAGATGTCAGGAATCGCGATGAGCCCAGACAAACCAGGTGGCGAGGTCCAGACACTTCAGGAGCGCTACGTCGAGGTCAAAGCAGCAGCGGAGAAGTACCAGGTCCTGCAAGTTGGTCTGACCATTTGCCGCGAAGATTTGGTGACAGGTGTGTGCAAATACAAGGAGCACGGATGCATAAGGGGAGCTGACGTGTTCCAGGGAAATACATCCTCATGCCATACAACTTCAACCTGAGCCCGAATACTTGCCGTGAAACTGAAATCAGTCGAGACTGGACGTTCCAGAGCCGGGGTACGCCCGACAGTTCTGGGACAGGGGAGTTGTTTTGACCGTGGCTGACGCTCTTCGAACAGCGGTAGTGTTTCTGCTGGCAAATGGCTTCAGTATAGACATTCAGTGCAAATATGGTGTGCCCTATCTATCCCGAGAAGAGGAAAAAGAAGCCATTGCCAAGGCAACAGAGAGATTGACCCGTCAGGCGACGAAGAGGTCCCTGAGTATCAAAGAATCGGATCGTGAGTCCCTGGAATTCGTCCAGGCAGTGCGACAAGTTGTGGACAGCTGGCTTGCCGAAAGCGATGTACGTATTCTGCGCAGCGAAGCCATTGCAGGCCGTTACTGATCTGCTCTTACCAGAACCACAACGCGTGGGTCAATATTCCACCACCGACTGGCAAGCTTTCTGGAATGCCGAAGACCTTGAGCAAAATGCACAAAATGCTTGTGCACAATCTTATCGAGAGTGAATACCCAACCCTCGCTGCTCGAAGCCACTCTTCTTTCATGACCATTGAACCCTTACATCCCGAGCGTGATAAGAAAGCCCAAGAGGCACGACTTGAAGGAAAGAAAGCCCGAATTCAGCAATGTGTTGGATTCCGATGGATTGTAGAGGCCCTAGTCGGTGGGGATCTGAAGGACATTGAAGATTGGGCTTTCAATCGGACCATGGACAACAAGGCAGTGCGCCCTCTATACACCCCAGACTCCCCCAAAGAGCTCTCGATGCGCGTAAAGCAGCGACTCAGGGAACACCGGCCCATCCTGGTTGGCCACAACATCTTTACCGATCTGGTTTACTTTTGCAAATGCTTCTTCGGCCCGCTACCAGATACCGTGGGCGAGTTCCAGGTCATGGTGCACGATCTCTTCCCCGTCATCGTCGATACCAAGTACTTGGCGACTCATGACTGCGGTTCCGTGAATCCTCCTTCGTCACTGGTAGAGCTTAACCAGGACTTGTCCCACATACGGAACCCGTTGATAGGTACAGGGTCCTTCATCTGTTCATGCTCGCGATTCACTAACTTCGCTCACAGCCATGGACCCTCTGCATGTCAAATACAGCAGCCAGGAGCTCAACCACGAAGCCGGGTTTGACAGCATGCTTACTGCCACAGCCTTCCTCAAGCTCTCAGCGATGCTCTCTCGTGGTTCCTACGATCGCAACAAAATTAAGCAACACGAACAGAATGGGGGCATGAGGTGTCCACAGCAAGGCCGTTCCCCCGTCAAAAGGAAGCCTGGAGATTTCTTCGCTGCCGAAAATGTCAAATCTTTGGACATGATCGCTAACGGCTGGCTTCACACACGCGGTAGTACTCTGGAGGAAACTGGATCAGCGGAGGTAGCGCACAAGGTCCGCAATGGCGAGCTGATTCCCCGACTGGGTAGTGAATTCTGGAATGTTTACAGCAACCGTCTGCGGGCTTTTGGAACGAAGGAACGGATGGTGCAGCTTGGGGTCCAGGAGGAAGAGGAGGAAATGTTGATGGAATTTGACTAGGGAAGGTCATTTATGTGACAATTGGGAAAGATGGTTGAATATCTCCGACGAAATCAAAAGAGAAATCATGTCCGCAGCATCTATCTAACAGTACACCTTGGGGATTTTCACGAAGGTACCGCTAGCGAATCAGCCGCAGGAATCCACTCTAAGCACCGCTAAATGGTCAACTGGACGTGGTGTATCGTAACACAGTGATGATAAGGATGGGTGCTGTAGAGAAGAAAGAAGAAAAATTGCCGCGGGAAACAATTTTAAGCCCTGGTCACTGGACTGCTAACCTAATCAGGACACCACGTGATCTCAGGGAACTTTTCTCGATCGGAGAGACACCGGGACCCAACCACCATCACTGCCATCCAGCATTGTCGGAGATGGCCACAAAATCCAATGGGGCACGGCGCATGGTGTCGCTATTGCGTATGTGATTGTTCCAATGACCGCATCACCATCCACTGACTCCCAGCGCAGGCCCGTCAATAGTCGACACCAGCGTGTGCAGAAGCTGTCAACAGACCCTCGGCCGACGCCAATATGCCGCCACGACCGAGACACCCGCCACAGAGACGGCCTCAATTGCCAAAGACCCATCGGCATCAACAACCTTCCCCGTCGTGAAGCCCGTCTACACCATCAACGCCGGCATCGCTCTCTCCCGACCGCCCCAGGTGACCCGCGAGCTCGAGCCATTCGAGCAAGCCTACTATTTCTACCAGAAGCGGCTGAACGAGCGACTGGCGCTACCGTTCACAAAGTACTTCTACTTCAAGCGCGGCACGCCGGCCGACGAGGACTGGAAGCGGAAGATCTTGGACCGCCGAACCGCAGCGCGGGATATCGGCAAATACAACGCGTACGCGAGCGATGCGTGGAACGACGAATTGCTCGTTAATGCGCCTGATTCCGATCCCGCGCACCAGGTTGAGATGCTCGTGCAGGACGCCGAGTCTACGGCCAATGCCACCTCGCAGGATACCAGCAAGAAGGAGGAGATCCCCCGTCCGTTTCCGCGGGTGACGGAGGCGGATAAGAAGGGTGATGAGAAGAGCTTGGATCGTCTGCTTCCGAGAACGTTATATCTTCTGGTTCAAACGAAGGGGGGTTACTGGACGCTTCCCAATGCGCCGGTGGAGGCGGGCGAGAGTCTGCGTCTGGTGAGTCCTGCAGCTCCTTTTCTGGTGACGGAGACTGTATTAATCATTTCTGGTTTCTAGGCTGCCGAGCGTACCCTTGCCCAATCAGCGGGCGTGAATATGAACACCTGGATGGTCGGCTATCATCCCGTCGGACACAATGTGCTAGAGTTCAAGCGACCAGCGATCAACCAAGCGGCCGGGACCGAGTTGCGTGGTGAGAAGACTTTCTTCTTGAAAGCGCGCATCATGGCCGGACAGGCCGATCTGTCGGGCAACACGCTGGGACTCAAGGACTTCAAGTGGCTCAGCAAGGAGGAGATCGCCAAGTACGTGCATCCGGGGTACTACCGCGACATCAAGAATATGCTGGCCGATCGGTAAAAGGCGAGCGGCGGTTTGTGGGATAAGGGACTTCGACATTGTCCAGTACGAGGTCCTACTGGCTGACGCACTGCATATAATCTTCCCCCGTGTCTGCCATGTATAACTAGATTCTTTCCTTGTGCCAATCAAATTTCCTTTTATTAAACTCCAAAACACCGCGCCATATGTAAATACACACCCAAAATTACTTTAGAGTAAATTTCTGACCCTGGACAACGGGTTGGTCTTTGGATGACTTGCCGGTCAGACTCTTGCCGCACATGGCGCAGGCTAAATAGCGATATTAGTTATACTCATCAGAGAACCAAAAGGACAAACATACCGTTCTTCTGATATGCACACCGCTGACAGTATTTCTTCCCCTGGTCCGTCTTCGTCTTGCACAATTCACAAGCAGACGAGTAAGCCGCATAGGGATTCTTCGCCTTGGAGCTAAGGAGCTTGCTCTATACATATTTATCAGTTAATACCCTTAAAAAAGCCCCTCTACCACCTATCGTATAGATAGTTAGCTGGTGAGTACTCATACCTTGCCAACACCAGTCGACCCTATTGTCGCCTTATTCCCCTTCGCCGCGCCACCGACAGTGCTGGCCGGAGAACCATAGTACATTTCATTTTTGCGTTTGACGCCTGGCGTGGCTAGCTCGGTGGATTTAAGCTTCTTCTGGCATTTGGAGCAGACCATTGTGGGGGATGGTGTTGGTACTGGGGGATGTTGATGAAGGAGAGTTTGATGGTGGATGATATGATGTTCCTGGGTCCGCCACTGCCAAGACCTTGTATTCCCCCACATTATTATTGGGCAAGTAGTATGAACAGGATGTAGAAAGTGAGGTCGTTAGAAGGCCAGTATTTGTGTGATCTGAATTTTATTAATTACTCTGGGTATGGGTATAAACATCATGGTCATCGACAGAGGCTCAGAAAGATCAATAAGACAGGAAAATGCAACACAATCGGGCGCGCTGAATCAATCACTTAGGCCCATGCTGATGCGGATAATGTCCCGTAGAAGGATAGAATGGCTGCTGGTAAGGCTGCTGCTGATAGGGATACGAACCCTGCTGTGCCTGCCAAGCACTGTCCTGAGGGACGAGGGATGCCCATTTCACACAGCACAGAAAAATGCCAACGTAGGTACCCACGTAGAAAACGAATTCGAGGACAGACTCCAGCAGACCCAGGTAGTCTGGGGGCATGTACTTTTCATAAAACAGGTCGAATCGGATACAAAGAACGGCCCACATCAGATTGAGCGCAAAGTAGAAGAAAGCGCCGATGATGAGAGAGATGGCGGCAATCTATGTATAGACTGTCAGTATCCATGTCTACTGCCCAAGGTAAGAGAAACAACTCACCCTTGACCTGAAGCGATCCCTACCCCCTTTGACAGTCACAACAACAGACCAGACCACAACCTCCAACGAAGCCACGAAGAGGAGAATTGCGTTGGCAGCATACAACTTTTCGGCAGCAAGTTCGACGTTCAGTAGAGGAACCTCTGTGACAAGATAGACTGTATTGACGACACCGATAGCAAAGCACGCCATGCCCATTGCGAACAGAACCCCCAAAAATATCCAGTGGATGATATTCACAGCCGCATATGGCCGGCCCACATCGGTGAGGCCGTCGAGGAAACGATGGATCAGGCTGTAGAACACGTAGAAGATAAGACACTGCGAGATGTGGGTGAAGAAATCCTGCAGCATGTAGGTGATTTGATAGTATTCTTTCACGACGTCTTGGCCAACGGCTACACCGATATAGATGCTGCCCAGGAGGTCCGCCCTAGAAGTAAGTGGTGTTAGTGTCCGGTGTGGCCGAAAGATGTTCATATACCTACAAAATCCCACAAATCAGAGCAGACCTGATCCCGCCCATCGGCAATGGACGCCTCTTGGATAGAAAGCTTGGAGGCTGGCGGATCGTGCAGCTCCAGGCAAGGAAGCCCAACAGGGCGGCCCCGGTCAAGGCAGTCATGGCAAGTTCTGCGGTGTACATGTGCAGGATTCTGGGGATATAGTTGAGGTTTTCCCCGGGTTCGGTCTCCCGATTCCAGGCCCATGAGCTGCTATAGTAATCATCGTAGCCGCTATAATACCGAGGCGACAACATGTTTGCGGGTGGTGGTTCGCGCCGCGAGACGGTGCGGGATCACTAACTGGTGGCCGGATCACGTATAGGAGGAATTACACGCGTCGAGAGAAGGGGAGAATAGTTTTATTTTCTTGAGGGAAGGCATCTGCTTGTTTTTATGTTACCTGTTCTATTTTGCCGGGTGACGCGAAACCCACTTGGCCGGAGGCTGAAAGACCCTGGATACGAAGAGGCAGCGGTTGTGACTACATCTGATTGGCGAGCTCGCGCAAGGCTGGATGAATCACGGTCGGCCAAAACGACTAAGCCTCTGCCGAGATTCACAAGGCGTATGACTATTGATTGTTGTGCTGGCGCAGCAAAGTCATTAAGCCTGGCCTGCCCCCCTTTATGCATGGGCTGAGCCCCTTTCTTTCAGGATGGCGGGCTCAGAAGTTTTCGAGAGATCTTCGCTGGCGGGATTTATGCGTGTGTATTCAGGCATCTATTATTACTTCCCGAACTGCGGAACTGCCCAGAGATTGTGGGGATGCGATCGTATTTAAATCTTGCCAGCGTCTCGGCATGTCCGTGTTGACAACACACTTAGTTGCCTCTTCAGCCCAGCGCTGACTGTGGCTGAGTTGGGACCGACCACAGCTGTAGCGCCACCAAATGAGAGCTGATGCATCTCCACCATCTGCCGGGCACGTAAACTGCCAAATTCCAGTCCAGGGGATATCCTTGAACTGGTTGACGGTGACAGGGGTCAACCACATGCTCCAGCAAGGATCGGAGTATGTATGCTTGCCGTGTCCTGCCTTCTCCCGATCGCAGAATACAACAAGTGATCCCTCCGAGCTGCATAGGGTTTGCCTCCTCCCCGTGGCAAACTCCGTCCACTCATGCTGAGCGACGGGTGAGCGGCAGGATCGAATCCACAAATTCGATTGCCTTTCCTGTTCAGCTGCTATCCTTCACAACGTGATTGACTCCCCCAGAACGCGTGGGACCCGCTTCTTGCGAACTGATCCGCATCAACATCTCAAATGGAGTCGAGTCCCAGCTTCGGCCTGCCCGCGAGTCCCTTCGCTTCGCGGACAGGATTGGCTGGCCCCTGAATGATTCTTCTCTTTGTCTGGTTCGCCGAGAGGCGGCACACGGTGATCGATCTACATAAATACTAGATGAGTGCAAGTCACTTGAGAATTATAATTTCTTCGGTGTTTGAGTCTCAGCGGCAGATCTATTGTTTTTCTTTTTCTAATTCGGTTCACCACCCCGAATCTGGTATTGTCCGCATTCGGCCACCACATTGACCACCAGTGGGCGCCGGCGCCTCGCAACTACTGCATTGCATCTCACCCTTTTCCAGAAAAGCAATATTCCCATGCGTTCTCCTAGCACCCCCTTAAACAAGCGTCTGTATTTTGGCTAGGCCCGAGCTGTGGCCGCCGTGTCTCTTGATTATCCGGCCTGGTTCCAGTCCAGCGAGACAGCGACATCTTCAATTCCTGCCGTTGTTGCAGGTCTTGATAGGAGACTCGACTCGTTGTGCGTGTTCAAATCTTTTTTGGTTCCGTCGTATCAGTCGGGAATCCAATCTGCGACTCAATATGCCACCCGATGGCTCAACCTTCGCCACTCTCAATCTGCCCCCGGAATTCTCCCTGCCACAATGCATGGAGTTCTTCACTCTAACGGCGGGTCCAAACACGGATCTCTGGCGCAAGCCACCAAACGGCGATACATCTACCGCGCCCATCGTCTTCACATCCCTCCGGCATCCATTCGTCGTGGCCGAAGTCACCGTCAGCGCCGACTGGGAAATGGAATGGGACCAAGGCGGACTGGTGATCTTCGCCGGCGCAGCACCGCAGCCCTTTTCCTCTAATTCAGTCCCTTCGCCAACATGCCGATCATCACCGCCCCAACCATGCAAATGGGTCAAAGCCGGCATGGAGTTTTCCGGAGGCACAGTCAACGCATCTTCAGTCAGTGCTACCGCCGACGGCGCAGACTGGTGTTTGTCGCCACTAGCCCTGCCAGCCGGTGGGATGGGCATTCATTCACTGCGCATCAAGCTCGAGCGGATCGGCCATGCGCTCTGGATCTGGTATCAGGCTCCCTCGGCATCACCATATGCGCTCTCGCCCGGAGCAGTGGGGAGCACGTGGAAGAAACTGCGGGAAGTGACATGGTTCTTCTACGGTGTCGAGGACAAATTCGTACATGTTGGCGTCTATGCCAGTCGGCCGACGAATATCTCTCGTGGAGGGACGATGTGGGATGCGATGCACGGGTTATCGCTAGATGGGTCTTCGGCTGCGATGGCGAGTGGATTGGTTGTGGAGTTTGAGGACCTGGAGATTTTCTAGGTCCTTTCAAATCTTTTAAAGAGCATGGTGACCCTGTGCTCTTCTCTTATGTCTTGGTGATACCTATTTCCTATTAGCGAGCAAGCAAAATTAATTGTGTTGTGCGACGAGTCGCTGAACGTCGTCTTCGGTAATACCTGGTACGACTTGAAGAATGAAAGCTTCCGGAAGAATCGATAGGTGAGGGTGGAGCTGAAAATTAGGCATTATATCTGGAGATGACAGTTCTTGGCGTACATACGGCATGTAGTTAGGTTGAAGGATTTAATCCCGGACCTCTGAGCACCTTTCGCAACTTTAAACTATCATTCTTTGATTTAGGAACAGTCTCTTTGCTCATGTAGTGATAGTCTCGTTGGGGTGAGATATTTGCTTTTAAGCTTTGGCCCAGCTGAGCTGGAAGAACATCGCAGTTGCTCCTGGATTGCTTTAGTATCTACGAAGGTACGCTATATATCTCCGATGCGTGGGTAGGTAAAGTGATAGCAGGGAACTGCTATTGACTATAGTCTGACCCCTGAGTAAGATGCATAGATTTTCATTCACCAAGTCAATATTATTTTGTAGTTGACAGCTCTTTACTCAGGGACTCGTATTTGTCTCTATCATGATATTCCTTATACTGCGCATAACTTTAAAGCCCGATGATATCATGCTGAGTCAGCCGGACCCGTGCGGGTCGTGAATCCGAAGATCTCTGCAACAGCTGGCAGCAGCTCGATAGGGGCTCTGGCAGATGTATTAACGTGATAAATAGACTATAATGGGTTCAATTGATGTACTGACCATAAAATCAAAGACCAATGGCTAGGGGTTGGGGTGTGGACGGGTAGATTCCATTTTATGCATGGTGACGGAGAAAAACCCTGCAGCAAAGCTCAAAACATAGGAAAAGCTGTTTCCGACAGCTGTCTATCATTGAAATCTATTGATCTATTGTTGGAGCAAATGCAGCGTCACCCCGTTTGTTTTTTGATATAATATTCCCCAGGAAAGGCACGGTCCCACACACAGAGTTTTTTTTGGGTTGGCTCTTGGAAAAAAGCAGAGATGGGTAAGAGAGGAAAAAGGCCCCCAAAATATCGAGACTCTATATGTACAAAAGAGAAAAGGTTGTTGTAGATGACGCTGAAAGTAGTACATGGTAATACATCACGACCAAATACCTTCCCCGGGCCGAATCATATCCTGAACACAGTTGGTTGATGAGTCGCTTAGACGTACTTGCACATCATGGCAACCATCAGGTCGAACAGACCCATGGCCTCGACGAAGGCGAAGCCCAGAATGGCGTAAGAGAAGAGCTGGCCACGGAGGGCAGGGTTGCGGGAAACGCTCATGAGCAGAGCGGCGAAGACGAGACCGATACCGATACCGGCACCACCGAGACCGATGGCGGCGGAACCCATGCCCAGGTTCTTGGAGACCTCGACCATGGCGGAGGCGACCTCAGAAGAGTACTGGCGGCGAGCGGCGTGCTGGGCGAAGACCTGGCGGGCGTTGGCCTGGAGGAGAGTGGGCGAGGACACACGCTTGGGGGTCTGGAAAGCAGCGACAGGGGCCTTCTTCTGGGAGGTGAAGGTGCGCTTGGTGGCAGCGTTCAGCTGGAAGCGGCCGGCGGGACGGGCGACCTTGGCGCTCTGGGCCATGGTGGTGGCCAGGCGAGAGGCGAAGACACGAGAGGTGGCCATTTTGATATGTGGTGTGGTAGGAATTGGGGGAGAGGAGAGAGTGTGTGTGGGAGGATATATGGAAAGAAGGAACTTTTCAGGGAGAAAAAAGCTGGAGAGAGAGAATTACCCATAAATACTCTACGGGTCAAATTTTCGCCCGTCCGATACCCAGACCGTGCTAGTGTGCGCGTGCAAGAGCCCTAATCGGACCAAACCACGCAGTATTTCACAGGCATTCTTGCTCTGTCTGCGTTTTTCATTCTTACGCCTGTATTATTGTTGCAGGCCTCGGGTTCATTCGGGTTTGGACTGGCCTTGGGTCCACCGTGGCTCTACTTTGGTGTTTGGGCAGGTTGGCCATGGATGGGATACTAGAAGCTATTGACACCCTCCCTGCATTTGTCTAGAATTGAAAAAGATATAAACCGACTGCTGGGGGCATCTGTACTTGTGTCATGGAGGGAATCGGCGACAACATGGTGATTCTGTCATTTTGGTTCGTATTTACTCCCTTCCCTGCAGTGGATCGTCCAATCGAGTGGATTGGGATCCACCGATCCAGAGCTATGCAACCAATCATGGCTCCTCCGGCACGCCTAAATCCAGGTTATGTTTCTGGATTTATTCCCGGCGTCACCCAAAACCGGGCCGACTCGGATTCCAGGTCCACCAACTGCTGGGCAACCGGTCCACCCGAAAGCCACTTGGTCGGTTGATACAGGTCGATAGCGCTCTCCCTTCCCTCGGGAAGGCACTTCACCGAGTGGTCCTATTGGGAATACGTAATTATGGACCCATGGGAGTCCGCTTGACCGCGTCCACTCTTCTGTTGCTGTTCCGAGAGAGGTAGAAAGCTCTACATGCAGACCATGCAGAGATACCTGTCGCTACCTGCAGAACAATCCTCTGGTACTTATAAAGGGTACTTCTAAAGGGCGCCCTTGCAAGGCGTGGCAGCTCGAAAGAGCGAAGCAGGAAAAAAATTTTCATCACGGACACCGCCCTGCTCTCGCTTCCGGCCGGCCTCCACTCGAATGGATTCCGACCCGCTAGAACCCGAAAAACCAACTCGAAAGACTTGCCCCGTCCACCGGGTCGCTCCACGAAAGGGGGCGGGTGCCGAATTATGGTCTAGCGGGCTTCGCAAAGCACAGTACATTTCACCTATACACCTGTCGAGGGCCCGGAGTGACTTTTATACCTTGGACTTGACGACAGAAGGAGACGGCAAGTACCGAAGGGGAAAAAAAATTAAAAATTAAAAAGGCGGCTCTGCACGCCGCGCGCATTCTTCCGAGAGGAAAATCAAACTTAGCCGGCTGATCCCAACCCTGAACTGGTTGGCGTGACCCACACAAGCTCACTCGGCTTAGGGGCCGTTACCGTAAACCCTTGCGTGAAGGTGTACATATACCGGGTGCACTCAGAGCTGGTCAATTGACTTTCTACAGACTCAATGGCTGTTCTATGAGTAAGAAGGGGTTGTCTCAAGTGGTGTGCAACTTGGTGAAGGCTTTCGCAGGGTAAAATTGTCGTGGAGCCAGGGGTTAAAGAGGGTCTCGGGTGTTTTAGGGTATTGTATTACCGTACCATACGACCCATTTGACCCGGTCATCGAGGCATCATCGACTTCGTTGAGGTCATGCGCCGGAATTGGTTGGCTGTTATGCCAGCTGGCATAATTGAGGTAGTATAAGGAGATACTAGCCCCATGCATATCTAAACTATGGAGAACTATCACTACAGAAACAATAGTGCCCCTGCTCTATATATGCAAACCACTGTACACGGACTCAGTATGACCGTCACTTGTCCATGTCAATCAGGAGCACGGAGTACGTAGTCTACCTTAAGGAATCCACTCAATGGGGCGTATTCTATTGCTACGTGGGCAAGGAGGCGGAATAATGTGCATGACGAGGCCCTAATTCGGGTTTAATTCGGGCTGCAGATCAGAGTGATAAGAGGCAAGGCAGCCAATAAATATGGAAGGTAAGCTACACAAGACAAAGGAGGTGCCTCGTAACGGCCGAGGGATCTTCAAAATAAAAATCATGTGGCCGTGAACAAATTACAGTCAAAGGAAAAACCACGTGCAATGGAGTTTAAGAATGGTAAGGACTTAGCATTCTTCTCTATCAACAGGGGTCTGCCAAGATCAGATTCTTCTTACTTCCTTGCTTCACAACCAGAAGTTCCTACAGTTTGAGTCAGAAAGCTATGAGAAAATATGCCTGAGCGGCATGATTATACTGCTGGCCCAACAGAGCGCTATATATAAGCGTTCCTTCATGTCCAGGAAAAATATAACGAACTTTCAAGTCCTATCTGGCCTATACACAATGTTTTAAGAAATTTTGAGATCTAGTGGTTGAAATTTTGATATATATACTTGGAGGTCAGTCACTCGCCAATGTTAGTTAATAGCACAGGGAGTTTCGAGTTTAGTTAAATTACGCCACGAATTTCTAGGCATTTAACCTCTCTTCTGTTACTCCAATGGAAAAGCTTTAATTCAATCAGTAACACAGACTTAATCTAGTTTTGGTGTTGCAGCTGCCGCTACACTTAAATAGAAGGCTCTCTGCGGTCTGATCGGCCATTTCGTGACACTATTCCTATTTGAGCTAGGCTGATCTCATTATGCGACCTTCTCTTCTGGTTCACATCGTTGATACGGTTCTGACTTATGGTGCCTACTGGAGCCACAGACGTTATAACCCGCGAATGACATAGAAGCGTCTTCCTATCGAAATACCAGAGGCGATTCTCCTATACGTTGATACTACTACTCTTCTCATATCTGCGAGAGTCAGCCGTCACTGGGGTGTAGTAGTCAAGAACTCTGTTTACCTACAAGAACTGTTGTTCTCGCGAGCTGTTCCATGGACCCTATTAGACAGGGATAAATGTTACGCACAAAATCTTCGCCGCTGCTTTGGTCTTGACGATCTAACCCAATGACCCAATTTCGGATAGAATTTAAGGATGAGAAATACAAAATTTAGTTACATCCAGAGGCGAGCTGGGGCCTGATTGTCAAAATGGTAACCATGGTATCGTTGCTATCTTTTGCAGTACCTCGCTGACCTAGTCGCGCTACGTCAGAATTATGACTCTGTACACGAGTGATTGGAAATATTAAAGATGTTATCGCAGCGTCTCTACTCATGGCTTTGCCCATAACTGCCAGACTGGGTTTGCTTTTACATACTTGATGCAGAGATAAAGTGCCTGGCTACTCTTGCGATATAAGTTTGAATCATGACTGTGGCGGCTATACCACTCGACAAAAGGCAACTCATTATTTACATCCCAAGCTGCATGTAATTGGCTATCTGGTATTTGCGGGCATTTCCGCTAGATATATTGCTGGACATCAACGTCTAGCTTCTATTCGCGGTTACACTGCGTGAAATCCAACATAGTGTTCATGCTGTATTCCTGTATCTCAAGTTTAAAAAAAAACTGGCAGACTTATTAGGCAGCATTGGACGCAATAGGCATGGTACATGTGTACTTGGCCTTGATCCGAGGCTTTACCTAGGCATCCATGTGGTGAAACCTTATACTCTTATATGCTCGAGTCATATTGATCTCACCATTTATCCCATATATATTACGTTTTCTGCAACTATCTCCACCGATGCATTTAATGAAATCAATGAGTTGACAGTGCAGATATGGCACCTACAACCCGCTCCTCCAGACGTTCCACGCTACGAAGTTATACAAGATGGTACAGTATCGCCCCGAGCAGACGTTCTGCATCATCTTCAGCTATTCGAAAGCTAGCAACAAAGAAAAATAAATCACCCGTCAAAGAAGAAACCACACTCTACTCCCCCTGCCTAATAAACACCCTGTTTCCCTTCGAAATACTGGAAGCCGTCTTCCTACAACTCAATAGGAAAACCCTTCTCGTTTCCGCTCAGAGAGTCTGCCGAGATTGGTTTGCCCTTATCAAAAGCTCTGTCGCTCTCCAGGAGATGCTCCTTTTCCGCCCTGTAACTGCACCAAGGATCGAAGAGTGGAAGAATGACAAGATATTCCTCAGGATTTTTGGCTGCATGCTTCGGAGTCAGTTCGTGCCCTATCCAAAACATCGAAAGTATAAGAAGCAAGGGAATTGGTTAGGTCCGGAGGCGAGCTGGCGTTATATGGTGAGTATTATCTAATTACACACTTACTATGGCCTGTCTTCACAGTCGAGGCACAAGAGTGTTCTTGCTTCGTCCGGCTAATGCCGGTGAAATCAGAACTACGCGCCTTATATGCCCGCTATATGGAAGCACTATTCCAAAGGACTTTATCCACGAGCAGCGGGCCAGCCTGTGCACCCCGGCCGGGCACAACTTGAGTCGTCCTTTGCTCAAGCAGTTGCCAGATCTGCGCTAAGCCACATTGTCCACATGCACGCCTAGCTGGCGTTACTATCATGCTTGGTGAATAGATGCAAATCTACGCTACTATTATGAAGCTTGCTATCATGTTTCGTAAAGAGATGATGATGAGATGAAAAGCCGCTCTAGTTCACTGTTATGAAGCTTGCTATATACGAGAATATCAATACGAATATGTTGCTCCCTCGTCCTATCCGGCGCATAATGCAACCTAACAACTTCCGTGACCATCTCTCCATACCCCAAATAAATGACACCTTGTCTACCACAGATGCCAAGCTACATAGCTCGTACAATCCGGAGAGCGGGTCCTCCGGGCCCGACTCGGATATCCCGACTCCCCGTCTTCCTCGACACCCATCTAGCAAAAACCAGAAAATCGAATTGGCTACGGTCAAATGCAGGGCCAGACAGGAGGCGACTTCAAACTCGGCGCGCAGTTCTGTTTCCAGTACGGCGTCCGGATCAAGAACAAAAGGACCAGAAAATCACACTGCCCATCCACAACAACGACATGAACACGGAGTCCTTCCCATCTGGCACATCCGCTACGGCCGGGCTGTTTCTCGAAATTGACCTAACTATCAAGACTGCCACTCTACAGCGCCGACTGTGGGATTATGCAGAGATCGTGTACTCCCCATTAGGGTAGCTACCAGAACATGTCGAACAGTCCTTCCTCAAAATCGATGAGTATGACGAGTCGGGCGCGGGTGTGATCCGCGAACAATTCGGGTACGATCAGCCTATGATACCCTACCGCGCGCATTTCCGGCATGACTGGAGCGGACGCCCGACCTGAGGCACCGAGCCTTTATGCCTGTTGGGCCGACAACAACAACCGGGAGGTTCGGGCGATTGCCAGCTGGAACTGGGCGACCGATGTTTGGGCGTGGGAAGTCAACTTAGGCAGCGAAACCGACCTAACGCATGCAGTTACTGCTGCGCACCGTGGGGTTGAGACGCAGATCCGGGTGGCGCAGAGCGGGACGCATGCTGTGGGGTTGAGTTTTCGTCAGTCACAGGCGGTTGAGGCCATGAGGTGTTAGTTAATAGTTGACGAGTATACTCGGTTCTAGGTAACTGTTCTACTGTAGTTAATTCGATGGTGGATGTATCCTTGGCGCACGGATGACAGTGGGCAGCCATTGGGCACGGCAGCTTAGGGCGGGACTAGCTTCACTAGCATGGGAGTTAGCGCATCCTAGACTTTTTCTTCAGAGATTGGTCAGGGGGTTTATTATCGATATATGTGAGGGAGTAAGTGTGTGAGTAATTAAATCTGGCAGTCGTCACTATCGGCCAGGTAGGCAGTCATAGCGATCACTAGTTCAGGGCCTCTCATGATCGTTATCCATGGAGTAGAGAGTATGTAGTACGAACGTTAAGTAGCTCACCGCATGTTGGCGATCAGCAGGTTAGCACGAGTTGGTCACTGTGCCAACTCGCTGCCCCACCTGTACTTAGCTCTATTGCTCTCAGTTCTGTGTCTCTCGCTCTCTCTCTCTCTTTTCCTTCCCATCCATCCCGGTCTGCTTTGCTGGTCAAGTTGCCAATCTTCTTTAATCTACCCCTCCTCACGACTGTAACGACTTGACGAACCCAACGATCATGGCCACTGCTACAATCCATAATGGTACTTCTCTCTCCTCCATCCATTTCTCTGCCAATCAATACTAACCAAGACCTCCAGTTCCTACTGACGAGACTCTGCCCCGAGACCCAGTCTCGGTCGAGCAGCTGCACTCCAACCCCGTGCTGGTAGAGGAGAAACCCATCTTCAACGGCGATGTCGCTGCTACGGAGTCCATCCTGAATGAGAAGACCGCCGAGGCAGAGCCTGAACCAGAAACTGCGGCTACGGAAACACAGGAGCAGACCCAAGAGGCTGCTGCAGAACCGGCCCAGGATGAACAACCTGCGGACGCTACTCTACAAGAGCCCGAGTCAGAACAACATGCAACGGAGCCAAGTTCCGAACAAGAACCCTCCACCGTTCCAGCGGACACAGAGCAGACGTCGGAAGAACCGACTGCTGAAGACCCCGCTACGACAGACGATGCCCCGGAAACTGCTGCTGCGGTTCCCGATGCTTCGAATGAAGTGGATCAAACCGACCTTGGAGTAGCAGGTGACGAGACCATCCGCGCAGACGAAACTGTTCCAGAGGCTGAAACCGAGAAAACTGCCGAGGAGCCTGTTACTGAGGCTACCCCAGAGGAGACGACAGAGGAGCCTGTCGCTGAGAGTCAAGCTGCCGAACCCGTCGCTGAGGAATCTGAGGCTCCAGAGGAGACTCCAGCGGTTGAAGAAGCTTCTACCGAACCAGCTGCTGAGGCTACTGAACAACCTGTCGCAGAACCCACCACCGATGAGCCACAGCCTGAGGAAACAACTGAGTCTGCCAATGAGCCGGTGGAGGAATCTGCCCAAGAGCCAGCTGCTGAGGCTACTACGGAAGCCAATCCAGAGCCTGTGGAAGAGAACACTACATCCGAGCCAACTGCAGAGGCACCGAATGCTGATGCAGCCCCAGCTGAAGAGTTTAAGCCAGAGGAGCCCGCTCCCGAGGCTGCTGCGGAACCAGCCACCGAAGAAACCCCAGAACCAGTCGCTGAATCTTCTACTGAACAGCCCGCCGCTGATGAAGGTCTCTCCAAGCCTGCGGAGGAGCCTTCGATGAACGAGACAGTTGAAGAGCCAGCCACCGGTGTTCCGGATGAGATGGCCGAAGAGAAGACTACTGACGAGGCTATTGAGCCCTCTACCGAGGAATCTACCTCTGGCGTTTCTAATAAAGTTGGTGAAGAGACGACTGCCACGGAGGAGCAAGACAAACAACCAGCTGAAGAGCCGGCCTCTGTTGTTTCTCCTGACGCTACCGAGGAGCACGCTGTTGCTGGGTCTGCCGCGGAAGCGGTTGAGGAGATGGCTATTGAGGAGGATACGACCGCTGAGACTGTTCCTGCCGAGGCAGTGCAGGAGCCTGGCACTGAGGCTCCGGTAGAACAACCTGCTGCCGAGTCTGCCGTGGAAGAGTCCGCTGGTGTTGAAGAGCCTGCTGCCATGGAAGAACCCGCTGCCGTGGAAGAACCTGCTGCTGCCGAAGAGTCTGCTCCTGCTGCTGAGCCTGCTGTGGAAGAACCTGCCGTAGAAGAGCCCTCTGCTGTCGGAGAGCCTGCCGTCGACGAACCGGCGCCTGAAGTTTCTGCGAAGGATACGACCACTGAGGAGCCCGTTGAAGCGAGCGAAGACGCCCCGGCCAGGGAAGAGCCCTCCTCTGAGCAGCCTGCTACGGCTGAAGCAGCCACTGAGGATACGACTACTTCCGCTGTTGAGGAGCCAGCCGCCGAGACACAAGCTGAACCCGTCGAGGAATCCACCAAGGAGATCCCTGCCGAAGAGCCTGCTGCCAAATCTTCTACCCAGGATGAAGCCCCAACCGAAACTGCCACCGACGAGCCCCTAAAGGAGGATGTCACGGAACCGACTGAAGACAAGCCAGTGGAAGCTGAACCCACTGCTGCAGAGTCGACTGCTGAAGAAATCGCTCCACCAGTTGAGGAGACATCTGTCGAACAAACGACCACCGAGGAGCCGGCTCCTGCGACTGAATCAGCCTCTGAGGCACCAGCTGTTGATGACACTCTTGTTGAACAAGCCTCAGAAGTTGCGCCAGCGACTGAGCAGACCGAAGAGGCCAACACTGCTTCAGAGGAGCCTGTTGAGGAAGCACAGCCCGAGCCTGTGGCTGAGTCGACTGCTGTGGAGGAGACCGCTGGTGAGGAGTCTTCTCAGCAGGAACCCCCCGAGACTCCTGCCGTTGACGAACCTGTGCCTGAGGATCCTGCTGCAGAAGTTGACCAATCTGCTTCTGAGCAACCGGCTGAAGATCCTATTTCGGAGGAACCTGCGGCTCCAGAGCCTGTGTCTGAGGTTTCCCCTCCAGTCGAGCAGCCTACTACCGATGGAGCCGCTGAGCCAGCTGATGCTGATAACACTCCCACCGAGGCTCCTGCTGTGACCGAGTCCGTCGCCGACACTCCTGTGCAGGATGTGGCACCGGCAGTTGAAGAACCTGTTCAGGAAGACTCTGCGGAGGAGAAGGCTGCTGCTCCCACTGCCGAGGGTGCAGAGCCTGAGCAGGCAGATGAAACAATGCAGCCCGAGGCACCTTCTGAGCCAGCCGTGACTGAGCCTGAACCTGAGAACAAAGAAGTTCCTCAAGACGCGGAAGTGGGCACTACAGATGAACCTGCTCAACCCGAGGCGCAACCCCAACAGACTTCTGCAACTGAACCCACGGAGGAGCCTTCTCAGCAGGAAGAGCACGATGATGTTGCGAAAGATCATGCCCTGACTCCGGAGATCCTCGGCGCTGGTGTTGCAGCTGCAGCCGGTGTTGCTGCCGTTGGGGTGGTATCTGCATCGCAGGAACCCGAGACAGTGGCACCTGCGGAAGAAGAACAGGCCTCCCAGACAGTAGAGGTGGCTAGTGAGCCCGCTATCAATGGCAAGGACGCCGAGACCAAAGCTCCAGCCACGGAGGCGCAGCCTGAAGACGGTAAGCCGGCGCCGTTCCTCTTGAACCGTTCCTCTGTTCTGTCTTTGGATGCTGATCCGGTTCTTGCAGCCCTCGCCGGTGACCGCGAAGCCCTCCTCCGAAAGCTCAACATCCCCTCCACGGACCAGCTCGCCACCGCAGCCAGCGCCAGTGACGAACAACCATCGACTAGCAAGAAGGCCCATGTGGAGGACGCCAGCCCAGAAGTAGTCGAAGAACCTGAAGCTTCCACCAGCAAGTCCGCGGCCGCGGCTGGTAAGACGGATGAAGATGCTCGTCCCCCGAGCCAGAACCGGTCAGTGACTGCTGTTTCTCTGAATAATGCACCTGACAGCTGGCTCAAGGCGATCTGGCGCAACGTCTTTGTCAACTTCTTTGGTGCTATTTTTGCGCCCTTCCGCCGTCGCGGAAAGGGCAGCAAGAAATAAAGAGATCCCTTTCCTTGAGCCTTGGTCTTTCTTCCCTGGTGCTGGGCTCTGGGAGACGCGAGATCCATCTACATTGTTGTTTTCCGCTTCTCAGGAACAGTACTAACATGATTTGATTCGATCAGGCCCTTGCTCTGGATCGCCTTGGTTGTGGCTATACTTGCGTTGCTGTGGCGCATTTATATCTGATTTACCACAATTCCTCTCCGGACACATACAACCAGTGTGCCCTCCCGGATGCAAAAGCGCAAAAAAAAAAAAAAAAAAAAAAAAAGTTCAGAATGTTCTACCCACGCACGATTCCCCTGTATTTGATATCTGCGTCCTTTTTTTCTGTTTTTACGATTTCCCTTTTGCGTCAGATCTGCTTTTTTGTTGTTTTGGTTTTGTTTTTTCCATGTTTTCTTATGGTTTGATGATTTTCTTATGTCTGTCGTCTCTCGATCACGTTGCTGGTGCGTTCAAGGTCAACCTCGTTTTTGAGATTGGGTTGGTTCTTGATATTCCTCTCCAGGATGTGTGTTATGATTTTTATGACGATGACCTAATGAATGACTTTATTTATTCTATCTTCCCTTACATTGTAGCTAGTATTGGATATTCTCTAGAGATACGGTGTGCTTTGATCAGGCGTGTCTTCTGGGTTTCGATCCTTGTAGACAGCTTTCTTCCCTTGGTATATAAGTATCTCGTAGGCAGCAGCTCAACTCGTGGCTCATAGCAAGGCCATGATCTGGCAGAAATTTGAAGCAAATATCAGATGGCCGTCAGTATTCCGTCAGTATCCTTCATTGTTTGAGGTAACATGTTGCAAAACATGCACTACCCGTAATTAAGCCCTGAAGACAATACCGTCAATAGGAAAAGTACGGTGCATTCAGTAGTTAGAATTGGGTCTTGTTCAAAATTAACGTAGACATAACGTTGAAATAACGCAAAAAAGTTCTGTATTATGAAAATAATGTGTTATGGCCGATTTATCAAAAATCAGGCTACACATAAACAAAGCTCACCTTCTGCCTCTAGAACTTCAGCACCTTCTTCCCTTCCTGTCTCACCATCCTCCTACCTTTTTCTTCTTCACCATCTCTGCATACCCTCTCACCTTGTCCCGTTTCTCACCACTACCCACTCTCTGCATCCCACAACCATTCTACTCTTACATCCCCTCCGTGAACTTGCTGAACTTGCACCTGATATCTCTTCCGTATTCACCTGCACGATGGAAAACAAGAAGCCCACTCAAGCGTTGGCCTCTGACAACCCTTCTTTCTACATTAACAATCCCTACTTCCCTGCTATCCAGAGTCCATCATCTCCTGGACTGGGGTTCTCCTCCATATCCTCTTCTGGTATCCATCCTCCACGCATTCAACCTGGCAATGCTTTCGCCCAGATGAAGGCCAAGGAGCTCGAATATTTGGCTGCTGGGAAGGATCCTGGTAAGTTTGCAAATTGGTTTTCCCTCTTCCTCTTTGCAGGAGAGACCACATACATATCAAAAGACAACGACTGATCCAGGATAACAGCTCCATCAGACTTGCCCATTCCAAAACGCCCGAGTCTTGCTCGCGCAGATTCGAGTCTAGACTATGATAAGGAGCTGGCTCTGCCCTTGCCCAAGCCGAGCTTTTTCGGGCCTGAGCCTATCTCCCCAACTTTGCGCCATATGGAGGAGGCCAGTCCGTCGCCCAACAGGCCGCATTTGCTGAAGAAGCGCGCTGTTACAGACCCATCTCGCATTCACGAAGCCGCTAGCCCTGACAAGTCCGGTCACGGTGCCGGCGAGGGCAAGAAAAGGTCCAAGCTGGACCTTATCAAGTCGAAGCTCAGTTTCAAGGACCTGCGCAAGGAGTGTGCCAAAGACTCGCCGCTGCCTGCTCGCGTTTCTGTCGTGTCATCGACTGCCAGCCCTAACCTCATGGCTAGACGCTCAGTGACTTCCATAGGGATTACAACTCCTGCAGCCAATATCCGCATCCCCAGATCCCTGCCGCAGCGTCAATTTGAGGCGAGCCAGTCTGTCATCAGAATGAGCAGCTCGTCAAACCCTTCGTCTCCCTTTGCTGTTGCACGCAGCAGGATTCCTCTGCCGCCTTCGGGAACATTCTCATATGCGCAGGGCACTATGGCCCCCGCCAGGACCTCGAGTCTTTACAAAGATACCACTGCAATTTCGGGGCTGGCTCCTCTGGAGTCCGCCGGCAAGGATGGGGATATATCTCCCGTGGCATCGACACCCATCCCAGCTCCAAAGCTGCGTCCAGACATTGTCGTCACACGCCCTAGCTTCGACCGACTGTCCTCGCGGCCGAAAGTGCGCACCCCTCGCACCCCAGATATTCCCTGGCTGCCTGACTATCCGGAAACCGATGACTCGCCCCCCAATATTGGTGACCTTGCCGAAGGACGCGGCAAAGTCAAGTATCTTCCCGCGAGCTGGTTGGAGAGGTCGGACAAGAGACCCCAAAGGCCTAAGAGGTCCCTGACACCAACACCGGGACCAGAGGATTTGGTCCAACTCCCAGTTCCAAGTGCATACAGCACCAAGGATGAGCCGCCAGTGACCACGCTCCCAGACTACCTGCCTTCATTCCAGGAGAGGCTTCAAAAGGCCAACATGCCGTTGGACAAGCCCATTCCGGCTGAGATCCAGAACCGCAGCACGGTCATGCAGGTTGAAGAGATTGTGGAAATTGTCCGCACGATCCAGAAGCAGACTGACGTTGGCATCAACACAATTAGCCAAAAGCTCGAGGATCTATCTTCCTGGATTGGAGAACAACTCCAGAATCAGATCGACAGCATCGCTGATCTCGCACGGGCTAAATCCGACCTCTTTGCCAAGCAGTGTGAGATCTCGCGCGAGATGATGAAGTTCCAGCTAGACATGCGTCTGGAGATTGGGGTGATGGAGCGGCGGTTCAGCGTTTTCGAGATGAAGATGCTCGACGAGCTGCAGGCCGAGATTCGGGCTCTGGCGCGGTCCTACGAGGAACTCAACACTAAGACCGAGACTCTCATTACGAAGCACTCCTCTAATGACAATCAGCGGCTCATCGAGTACCACCAGCAGAAGGACGCGGAGATCGAGAATGAGATTGCTCGGATGAAGGCAAAGCGGGAGGAGATGGCAGCTGAAACGACCCCCAAGGCACTCGTTCAGCGTGGCAGTGAATCCAGCTCTGAGAGCACGGAGCCCTTGATCAAACCCATTGCTATCAAGCCTGTTTCTGCTCCTAACTCGCCCGTCTTCAGCAAGCCTGGTGGCACTCGCCTCCCCTCGACAGAGACAAAAGCCAGCATTTCCCTACCACGCAACATGTCCATGTCCAAGAAGAGTCCTCGCACTATCGACGGCGCGCTGGAATCCAAGGACAAACTTTCTCCTAAGCCTGGTAACAGCGAGGAGGCAAAGAAATGGTTCGGACTCCGTCGTCGCCGCCAGGCGAGCGACACCTCAACCAGCAGCAACAAGTTCTCCTGGTCATCTCGCCGCTCGAGCACCAAAGAAGACGTGTCATCCCCGGAGGGTGACAATAACAAATCTAACGAGCTTCGCATATCTAACTCCTCCACGCCGCCTATCCCCCCGATTCCACGCTCCATCATCAACCGTGTCGTCGACGATATCAATCGCAGCAGCAATACCACCACGCCTAGCAACATCCACCCTGCCCTGCGCAGTCCCCAGGAGCAGTCTATCATGCGTGAACGACAGATCAAGGCTCAGCAGGAGCAGGAGCAGAAAGAAGACGGTATGATCTCTGATGTCACGGGCATTGGGCTTGCTGCGGCTGCTGCTGCTGCTGCTCCTCTTTCTTCCCAGCCAGAGACCACTTCTAGTCCTGCGGGTATCTCAGCCCGAACACAGTTTTCGCAAGAGGGTTCTTCATCAAGCCAGCCTGTGGTGCCGACCACTGCACAGAGTTTCTCAACGGCCGCAAGCTTCCACTCTGCTCTTCCTCCTTACACCGCACCCTCGAGCGAGGATGAACCTGACGTGCCGCTTCTTTCAGATCATCACTGGGAGGGCCAGGAATGGGATAAGAGGTCGGGGCATGGGTCTCGCTCGGCTGCTGGCGATGAGCTTCACTAATTTCTTTGGGGTCTGGCATTTGAGGTGTTGCTCTGGGGAAGTTTTTTTTTTTTTTTCTTCTTTGTTCTCACGCTTGTCTTTTCTTTGCAGATCGTGTTTCAGTTTCTGGTCTTTTGCTTTTGCTTTTCTTTGCTCATTGTCCAGCTAGTCTTTTTCTTTCTGGTGCGGGCGATTTCAGGTTCCCGGCTTGGGGTTAGATGTGGTAGATACACATACAAATCATCTGGGGCTATCATGGAGGAATGGCCCGGACAGGACAGCCTCTTGTTCTAGTTTTGACCACGCTGGAGGGAAGATTCTAGGGTTTCGAGTTACACTGCAGATGGCTGAGGGAGATGAGATTCGGGGAGTTGTTGATTGGTCTTTGAGCGTGGGGGTTGAGGTCATCGACGAAATGTAGAGTTGAACTAGCTTGCGATATCAATGTGATCATGTACGTGAAACGCTTTTGTCAATTTCCATTTCTTCTAGGAAAAGGGTATAGATATGGGAAAATGTCCCCATGAGGCAGGTATATGACAACAGCAAAATAAAAAGTATTTACTTAGAGGTAGCCAGGATCTTCTCAATCTCCAGCGCAGCATCGCGCACCTGCGGGCAGTAATGCTGGCGCAACAACTCACCTTCCCACACCGATCCAGCGAAGACATTCGTCGCGTCCACATCTGTGGCGAAGGCATTGAACACGCCGTCCCCCTTGCGCTCTTCCGTATGCCACAGCGACGAGATGCGGCGGGAATTGTGCTTCGCGACCTGGCTCATTAGGGCGAGGGTAGCGATGGCTGATTTCTCAGGCAGCTGGAGCGAGGTCGTCATAAGTCGTTTGGAGAAACTGGCTAGTCGGCTCGCGGGCGGGAGGCCGTGGGCGCGGGATATGAGAGTGGACTGCAGGCAGCGTAGGAGAAGAACCATGGGTGTCTGGAAGTTGACTTTGTTCTTTGAGCGAGGCTGTGTCTGGTCTTCCGAGGTATTCGGGTCCGGAAGCCGGAGAGCGGTGTTGGGGTTGAATTCGACTTCTGGGTTTGTGGAGAGGGCATACAGGGATCGGTAGAGGTGCTTGACGAAGAAGCTGAGGTCCAGGTGGAGGGTTGCCGCGGCTTTACTGGCGTCCTGACCTTCGAGTAAGGCAAAAGCAGTCACGGTGCAAAGGAGGATTGCGCGGCGAGCATCTCGCGCAGCGGTTTCGGAGACTTCGGTGCTGTCTTCTTCGGCTTCTTCGTCGACGTTTTCGCCCATTTCGGTGCGTTCTGCATGTCCGATAAGATCCTTCAGGGCCTCGAGGAGATCACCGAAAAAGTCTTGATTGATCAGACGCGCGTATTTGGCCAACCCCTCCAGTACCGGTCCCATCAGAGTTGGAATGCGTGCTTTCAGGATGCGGAAGTATACACCAAACACCAGTTTCAACGTCTCGGCCTGGTTCTTCTCCCTCTCTTCGTGGGAAACCAGTGCATCTGCCTGCTTCATGTCCTTCTCCACCACTTTGCGCTCCTTTTCAACCTTGCGCTCTCGCTTCGTCCGGAATTCCCGTTTCTGCTTCTGCTTCTTGCCGCCGATGGTTTCTTCCGTCTCGCGATCCACCCGGTCTAGCGAGCCTTTCATGGAAAATTCGCCGAGCAAACGCAGATGCAGGAAAGTGTCCAGAACGCTCTCGTGGATGTGGAAGTCTCGAGCTTTCAACATTTTGGCAAGGAGGCGGACCGCTTCGAGTGAGACAACGCCATCGTTATCCTTGTGGAAAACCTCCTCTAGAGTCTCACGACATTTGACAAAATCGGCATCCACTTGCCTTCTGGCGAGGCGGTTCACGATGATCTTGAGCAACTCATTGCGAAAATTGAAATGCGGCACAGCCAAGAGCATATTGCAAGCACAGTTGATGGCGATGCTCTTCAACCCAGCATCTATATCGGCATTCTCGCCCTTGGCTGGCTTGCTGAGCACCACCAGTTTTTGGACGTAGGCCTTATACCCCGACACCAGAGACTGCTCGTAGTTCCGCAATTTTCGCACATCCTTCGAGACCTTTGCCGTCATGTCCTCTTCGCCGAGTGGACGAATGCGATATCCCGGAATAACATCCTTGTAGACTGCTCCCTGGGCTGCTAGAGCCAGTTTTTTCACAGTGACCGGCGAGTCGTTCTTCTCCACCATCTCGGCCATGGTCTTGAACAGCGCGATATGCTCCTCCGGGTCCTCATTAATCAGAGTGGCCAGGCGTGCGAGTTCTTCCTTGGCCTGCACAATCTGCACCTTCAATGGAATCTTGGGTTTGACCTCCTCGACCTCATCCTCGTCTCCGGATGCATCCTCCATCTCGTCGTCATCCGTGCCGAGAAAGCTGTCGGTTTCTTCCGCGGGATCTTCCTGTTCGGCCACATTGTGCACAAAGCCCTCGGAGGTCTTGATCGGTAGTCGAGTGCGCTCGTTGTCTTTCTTGTTCGTCTTGCGCGGGCGGCGTTCGTAGTCCTGCTCGAGATCCCACTCGCTGGCGCGGGTTTGGAAATCGTCGTTGTGTTGTGATGACTTTTCCTCGTCACCAGGAGGACTGAGACGTCTCCTTTTAACAGCCGGACCGCGCGCCATGGTGTGTGAGAGAGAGTCTTAATGGGTGTTGCGAAGAAGAAAAGGCGGAAACTTTTTTTTTTCTATCGGCTGGCGTCGCCAAGAATTTTCTGCCAGGTCCGTCCCTGGAATTTTTAGTTAGGTCCGACAACTTCACCTTTTACTCTTCACCCCAAGATCTTCGCAATCCTCGTCTCGATACCGATATCCGTCTGTGCCGGACGCCCTGCGACATCATGCGCAGTCTCACGGAAGAAGAAACCAAGACGTGCGTGTTCCATCTTTCCTCCTGTGCTCGTGCTGACCGGACCGGTTTGCAGACTATTCTCCAAGCTCGCCGTTTACTGCGGTCGTAGTTTAAACAATCTGATCGCACCACCGTCCGACGATGGCGCTTCGGCTGAGCGACATGTCTTCCGTCTGCAAGGCAGCCGCGTGTTCTATCTCCCGCTGAAATTGGCAAACCTGGCCGTGTCGGTCCCGCGCGCCAATCTGCTCTCGGCGGGCACGATGATCGGCAAGTTCACAAAGGTAGGCGTGCCTCTCTCGATCCTGTTCTACTACCTCGAGCTAAGTCCTCGCCTTTAGACCGGCAAGTTTCGCGTCAATATTACCGCTCTAGATGTCATCGCACCACACGCACGAAACCGGGTCTGGGTCAAGAGCAACGGAGAAATGCCCTTCCTCTACGGTGGTAACCTGGTCAAGGCCCATATTGGGAGATTCTCGCAGGACATGGCAGAGCACGAGGGTGTCATAGTGTTGAGTGCGGATGACAAGCCACTGGTAAGTTTCATCTGTGGGTCGTTGTACTGGGGTATGCGGTCCATACTGACTCGTCCCGCCTTTCTAGGGCTTCGGGGTCACAGCGAGATCGACCGCTGAAACGCGCAAGTTGGAACCCACGGCTATTGTTGTCTGTAAGTACATCCTTGCCATTTGTCTTGCGGAGACGTGCTAATTGCGAGCGTTTTAGTCCGGCAAGCCGATGCTGGAGAATGGCTGCGTGATGTAGGTTTCCCCTATTTTCGAGTTCCTATAGTCCCCAAAGCTAATCGGTTCAATAGGAAGATACGCTGTTCACGACCTAGGGTGGAAAGAGCATATTGCAGGAGTTTTGGGAGTTGCCATTTGTATCTGGTCAAAAGTACTGTTATATCTATGTGTATACCATTATCTGCTATGCCATCAATTCAATCCATGAACTATTTCCCATTCTTTCTTGTAGTTGAGGTAACTATCCAACAACCTTGGGATAGACCATGACCTGAATGCCTCAGGCACCAGGATGAGTCAGCTCAACGTCTGCCTCAGCCATCGGCAGCAGCGACGATGAGGCTGTAATCCATCGCCGAGTCGGGGCCTTCCAAGCTAACAGAGTACGGGACACTCTTCGCTCGTCATCTCTTTTTTTCTTTTGTTCTCTCCGTCTCCCCCTGTTCCATCTCGCCTCTTCCTCCTGCTGCTCCGCCCGCCTCACATCCCACCGGCGAGCTCACTTTCCCCAACAACCCCCACCATGCCGCCTTACTCGACTGCCCAGAAAAATGCTATCGCCCAGTTTGTCGCGCTGACTCAAACCAAGGATTCGGTTGCTGCCCGGGTATGTTTGATTTCCTTTCTTTCTTTATTCTGCGGCTGTTTAACTGTCGATTTGTGATCACGTGTCTTGAAGTGTATGACTGACTTGTTGAATGTGTATACAGTTCCTCCGGGCTTCTGCGTGGAAGGTTGAGCAGGCTGTTGATATGTAAGTTCTGTTGCTTTCCCTTTCTTCTTTGCCTGTCGATATGACATTCTTTCCTGGTCAGTGTGCAATATCATACATGGCCCGGAGACCATGTAGTAGCCACCGCACAGAGAGCAGACAGGCCGAGAATGCCAGACAGAAACTAACCCCCATCACAGATACTATCAGGGCAACCATGGCGGCTCATCAGCCAACGCAGCCGCAATCAACAAGATCTTCGACAGTTACCGAGGTAAGACTCTTGCCTACCGGAAATATCCAAATTAACACTTCAGCGCAGATTCGCCGGAGGACAACCCAGATGGCATCGGCATCGAAGGGGCCATGAAGTACCTGGGCGACCTGCAAGTGCAGCTGGACGAGGTAGCCTGTCTCGCCGTGGCAGAACTGCTAAAGTGCCCATCCATGGGCGAGTTTACGCGCGAGGAATTCGTGAACGGCTGGCGAGAAGTGAGGTAAGGCCAGGCGCAGGCGCAATTCTGCGCTAGAAACAATGCACCCAAATCTAACTGGCATGCGAACAGCTGCGACACACTTCCCAAAATGGCCGACTACGTGCAAAAGCTACGGCTCCGCATCCCCACGGAGCCCGAGACGTTCCGGCGAGTCTACAGATTCACATTCCCGCTGTCGCGGATGCAAGGGCAGCGCAATTTGCAATTTGAGATCGCCATGGAGCAGTGGCGGCTGTTTTTCACTCCGGACCACGGCGGCGTGCAGTGGAGCACGTCGTCGACGCCGTGGCTGGACTGGTGGCTTGAGTTCCTCGAGAGTCGAGGAAAGAAACCCGTAAACAAAGATCTGTGGGAGCAGACGGAGGTTTTTATGCGGAAGACGCGTGAGGATGAGGCCTTTGGGTGGTGGAGTCCCGATGGGGCGTGGCCGGGGGCATTGGATGATTTTGTGAGCTGGGTTGCGGCGAAGAGGGGCAAGGAAGGGTCAGAGATGGAGCTGGAGTGATTTTTAATTGTCCATAAGCAGAGCCGAATGATGATGATGAGACGTGAGGTAGACCTATGCATTATTAACCCCTTACGAAAAGATACGGACACAGTACAAGAACAGCTGCATCATTGACCAGGTTACATTTCCAGTCTCTATCTAGCAACTACTCTATAGGCAGAAAGAGAGAGAGAAAGACGAATAGCACAGCCGGGAAGAAGAGACCAGCATTATGTTCAGCGGCAGGACAAGGGAAATACAAGGATAAAAGGCCATTCATCATAAATTTAGAAGAAACCAGTCAGGTATCTGCGGCATGTCTAAAATGCCCGGAATGTATACAGGGGAAGATGAAGATTCAAACACCGAGAGAAAAAAAGGTACAAAGGGAAAAAAGGTCCGGACGACATTTTGGCACGTCCGGTCTCGAGGTCGCGACTCGGGCCCTTCCACCTAAGGGTTGTAGTCGCGCTTCTCATAGTCGCCGCCGCGGCGGTCGTTGTAGCGCTTGCGCAGGGCTTCGAGGCGCTTCTTCTTGGTGTGGGTGTTGACGTAGGTGCCGATGAAGAAGCCGACGATGTTGAAGAACGGCACCCAGGTGTGCTCGGGGAGGAACTTCTGGGCGAAGGCCAGAGCAATGGGCGAGGTGACCCAGCTCACCTTCATGACGGGCAGGAAGCCGGCCTTGACGGTGGCGCGGACCTGGTGGATGGTGCGCGCGCCGGCGATGACGGCCATCGAGCACAGGTAGACGGAGTTCTGAATCGGGGAGATCTGTGGGGATGGCGGTCAGCATTTCCCTTTCGTGGAGAGGCGCGGGGAACACGTACAATCAGATTGCTGACGAGAATCTGCATAATCTTGGCCTTCAGACTCGTCCGGCCGGCAAAGATCTTCTGGAGAATGCCGATGAGGATGTGGCCCAGCGGCGCGGCGACGAACATGCCGTACAGCGACATCTTAGGCACGCGCGAGCTGAAGTAGTGGCCGTGCTTGCCGACATCGTGCGCGATCCACGAGGCCAGCAATTCCTGCAGACCGGAGAGCACACCGGAGGTGAGCATCTTGGTGCGCAGCGGGTTCTTCTGCAGCTGTTGGAGGTAGGCCTACATAGCGACGATCCATTCCTCGGGTCAGACATCAGTTTTGCGGGGAAGTGAAGCGTAAAGAACGTACCGCCAGATAGCCGGCCTGCGTCTTGCCTCCGGTCAAGCGCTCGCCGACGCGGTGCGCCAGGTCTTGGGGCTTTCCCCCGGCGACCGTGCGGAAGGACTCCTCTTGGAATTTGACGGACATGCTGGGCTCACGGAAGGGATCGGGTGGGAGAGACTGGAGTACTGAATGAGGAATTAATATTCCGGCGAACGAATTCAGAGGAAGAATGGGCGGAGAGGGTGAGGATCAGTAGAGGGACAGGGGGCGCGTGTGTTTGTTTATGGCAGCGAACGAGAGAGAGGGGGCTGGGCTGGACTGGACTGGAACAGCGAGAACAGCCGAGGTACATAGGCACTTACAGTAGTACGCCTCGAGAGATTATTATTGTACAAAGTTGTACAATAATAAAACAGCAGATTGGCACGGGGTATTTGTTCTCCGCAAAATGGAAACAGAAAATCCCTGGGGATTTAAAAGCAGTCGGTTGCCCGGCCGGCAGATGGGGCAGGGGAGGCCTGAGGCACCAGGTCGAAGAGCAGATCCCGGCGAGATCCATTGGCGGATGCTCGGGACCGCCCGATATGTATGGACGGTTGACTAATCTTTCCTGAACATGGTGGAATCTTAGAGCAAACGGTTTGATTTACGGAGAATACTAATTAGTCGTACTGGGTCAGTTATCCTAGAGTAGAAATAGAGACAGAGGGTGTTTTGTGTAGCGGTGGAATGCTTCGCTCGCAATATATCACTGGCAGAGGAGATATTTTTTCACCGACGGAAAACCCCCCAGAACAAAGAGCATGGATGATAAACAATGTCTGATTAGAATGATTTATTATTTGGAGCTCGTCTTTGTATCCTGCGTCTACAAGAAATTCTACAATGCACAGTGTGCCAAATCACGGGATCACACCGAACCCTACTTCTCACCTCCTGCTGGTCAATATCAAGAAGATCAAAACGGCCTACAAAGAACCTACCATAGAAACCCACCAGCAGCTCCTCTGCATGTAGAGACATAGTATCATGATGGCCAAATTCCCCCATGCACAACACCAGGTGGGGTCGCCAGACCGACGACACAAGCGTTGTCGTCGCCGACATAAGCGACTCACCACGATGCGTGCACGAGTAACACGCTGCCACCTTCGTTCTTCTGCCCTTCACCCACCATCATTTCAAGTCCCATCCATCTCCCGCCTTACCTGTTTTCATCCCCAATCGCACCCTCTCATCTGAATACACGTGCACAAACCCTATCTTCATTTCCCAACATGTCCGGGGACACGCTGGAGGAGTTTGAGCTGAAAGGGTTTCCACCTGAGGGTCTCCAACCTGGGGAGGAGACAAGCCCATGGACTGCGGGCTTAGAGGAACGAGCTCCATTCCCTGCCGAGAGACTGCCCTCAGTGGTCCGTACGGACATGGAGATTGCAAGCCCCAGCGTCGAGGTTGAGGAGGGTCACGAGAAAGATTCCAAGGAGAAGAGTTCCCAGGAAGGGTCCCAGGAAAGCCAGCCTGTTGAATCCAGTCTCGCTTTTATTGGCCACCAAATGCGTACGAAGGATGCCGAGGGGCGGTTTGTTGAGGAACAGTCTGACGAGGAGATGTTTGACAGTTCGTACATTGACGACGTTGAAGAGTATGTTGAGCACATTGCCTGTACCGGGGAAGGCGAGATGCCTGAAGCGTCGTACATTGAGTACGTCGAAAAGATTGTTCAGCACGTTGCCTGTACTGGAGAAGATGAGCAAGCCAAACCCGAAACACGAATCTCCGCTTCAGTCAGCGACACGAAGAGCGTGAGAAGCTCGAGCAGCGACAAAGAAATTGCCCGTCACGATTGCACAGACGAGGAGACGACAAGTCCATCACACCGCCACGGCTCTGGGCACAAGCACACCGACGGCGGAGACAACGGACCGTCAGAGCTGCGAGATCTCAGCGCCGTGCTGATCGACCATCCGATCGCGACCGAATATCGCGCCAGAAGTACAAGTCAGGGGCAGCGGACGCCGTCTGAGCGCTCGCCCACGTCTAGGTTCCACTCCAGCTTTGCAGGCCGCGAACCATGGGCACATAGCAGCCATGACTCAATTGCTCGACCAGCCATGCGGCGCGAGGACAGGCAGGGCGAGCTTCGAAGGGATTTTAGATATCCAGAGCGAGCAACGCCGCCGAGAAGACACACCGACACGATCGTGCAGCACATTGTCCCAAATCGTCCTCTTTCAGCCTCGACGGCTCAGCAGTGCCAGGACATCGTCAGGTCCATCCCAGACCCAGGGCCATCTCGTTACCCAGCCGGTATCTCGTCACAGCATCTTCCGCGCCAACGGCCGCTTCCACAGAACGTGCCATCTCGACGTGGACACCCGACCCATCCCAATGCTCCTCGTCGTCCTGCACCGATGGCTCCGGGTCGCTCTCGAGAACGCTATAGGGTTAGGCCATTTCCACCGAGAAGACTTGTTGTGATTCCAGAGCAAGGCCCAGGTCATCGCCCTGAACCCATGCCAATGCAGCAGCAGCGAAGACCCTCCACTCTTACTGAACAACAACAGAGGGAGTTGCGCCAAGGTACTGCGGCGCAACGCGCTGCCGCTGCCGGTGCCACTGATCGCCCTGAACCCGTCTCAATGCCCACAGTTCCTGTCAACCGTGCTCCACCGCGGCAGGGACCGAAACGGGTCAGCTTTGGACCAGAGGTGATGGATCTTCCGTCGACTATGGAGGATGAAGACAGGCAACTTTTCAGTCCTGCTCCGTGGGCAGAACCACTGCGAGATGGCTTCTCCGAACGACGACTGGGGGTGGCGAGCAATCACCCAATTGCCTCGTGCGAGCCTGGAAGCGGTGCCGGTCCTTCTGCACAGAAAAAGCCACTGAAAGGCATCCTCAAGACACCGTCGGGTAAAGTGAATATTTCCTCAACTGCACCGACCCCGACCCAGTCGGGAGACATCACGAGCCCTAATCCGCAGATAGAATCACCAAGACGCGGCATCTTTGAGCCACAGCCGGTGCACCATCCTCTAGTTGCTTCGAGTGATCCCAGAGGAAATGTGAGCGCGACTCCCCCGCGAGACAGCATCTTCAAGCCGGAGCCGAGACCCATTGCTCGCCCGCTGACTCTCCCGGACAACGCCGTTGTTCTTGCAGACTGGGCGCCACGGCGCCACCTGCCTCGACACAATGTCTTCGCAGTCAAGCCGGAGCCAGTGGCGCGTCCCCAGATTGTCATCAATCAGCCCAGGGATATTGTCCGTCCTACCCCGGCGCAAGGGGTCTCTCAAGAGAGCAGAGCAACATCACTTCCGACGATTCGTCCTCGTGAAGAAACGATCACAATCGCGGCCATTGTTGAGGTACCTTTTCCAGGCCATGATGAACTGGCCAACCCGACACCAGAGCTTGACGATGTCAACAGTGGAGAGATCATCACACTGAGCTTCAGAGATACCGAGCCACCCGTTCCAGAAGAGCCGTCGCGTAGTACAACGCTGCGACCTGAAGAATTCGCTCACGTAAAGAGTGTGTCGACTCCGCCCAGGCTCATCAGTACACCTTCTTCTCCGGATTCAGGTTCATCGGGCAGCACGACGCCACGGCAGAGTGATTACACCCGTGAAGATGCAGCCTCGACTACCTCGCGACCCATTGAGCTGTCCATACAACAGCCAACGCCAGCATTCGCGGGTGCTCGCTCTGCACGTGCATCGATTATCTCGCAATCCTCTACAATCATTGACCTTCCTCCTTCGGCACAAGGACCGCTGAGAGATCAACCGACATCCCGCCTGAGCACTGTGACCGTCCCGTTGATCCTAGTCAGTCCGCCCACACCCGTACCGGCCCAGGGAGGCCCGCAATACAGCTCTCATGAGCAGATTCCTCTTACTGACTTTCGTCCGGTGATTCATCCAGTCCGACCTGGTGACGCAGGAAATGTTCCAGTTGCTCCTCCGCAGGATCGACCGAAGCTGATCCTGAACACCACCAACCTGGACAACATCCAGGAAGATAACGAGGATTCGGAGGGATCCGAGTCGAGCAGCGACTCTGGGGGAGGCAAGGACGAAGACGACGAAAATCTTGCCAATAAGCCCGGAGAGGATGATGGCGCTGATGCCGAGGATTTCGAGAAAGCAAAAGATCTTGGAATAAAGCTCCGCGAGGGACTCAATGACTCGCCCGTGAATGAAGCCGAGCGGCGCTCGAAGAAACGTCGTCCCTTGAATACCAATTACATCGACGAAAGACTGTCCTCTATCATCACTGGGGAAAAGTCTCAGAGGGATTGGGTGCCCCCGTTTCCCCTCTGCTACAAGCCTCGCACGCCTCCACCGCGAGAGGATGAAGAAGAAGCTGGACCCCTGCCGCCGGCAGTGCTGAGAGATCTGCGGTACCGATATCGCGCAGGGGTCATGTGCCAACACGAGACGGTTCTGCGATTCTGGCCTACATCTCTGAGGCAAGTCTGCGACGAGTGCGGGGAGCAGACACGACACATGTGGGTGTGCACAGCCGATACTGAAGACTGGTCTGTGTATGACCGGACCGCGCGCCCGGAACGGAGCATCGAGCAGCTCGCCCCATGGCTGATCAAGGCCATTGAAGAAGGCCATTACACGGATGAGCAAGTCGAGAGGTTTATCGAAGAGCGGTACGAAGTCCAACTGGCTGCGCTGCGTGACCGAAACCGGGAGCACACTCCGCCCGACACGAGGTCGTCGGACGAGTCCGGAGATGACAGTGACGAGGCCACAGAATGGTGGGAAGAAACAATGACCATCGCGGAGATGGTAGAGACCAGGAACAAGCGCCGTTTCCAGCGACTCGCGCAGCGACGTGCGGCGATTGAAGCAGATGTCCAGAGAACGCTGCCTTGCATGGAGATGTGGTGTCAAAAGTGCCACCCGGGCGTCGAGGAGCGTGCGCTCGGGCATATCGATGAAATCGTGATGCAGCCGTACAGGGCTCCCCCCGACATCCCGGAGTATCTGAACCGACCCATCAGCACGGTGCGCGCGATCCTGGGTCCGCAATGGAGGGAGGCCGGTGTGCTGAATCGGTGGTGGCAGGACCTGGTCGCCTCGAGCCCCGTCGACCTCGAGCCGGTGCTGAACCTGGCTCATCTTCGCAATCTCAACATGGCCCAGTTCGCAACGCTGGCGCGGTGGATTCGCAATGGGATGCCGACGGAAGATCGGCTCCAGCGGGTCATCTGGTGGTTATGGGACGCCGGCTGCGCGGACGAATACTTCTTCCAGAGCCTCACCAACACGCGCCTCATTCTACCGCGCACCCTGGAGCTGGGCGACTGGGACACGGGGGACCGACAGCAGCAGCGGGTCCTATTCACGATTTATGAGGAGATGGAGGATGACGCTGGCCAGCTGATTGAGCGGCCGTACTCCGAGTACTGGATTGAAGATGACGAGGAGTTCTTGCTGTCTGGCTTCCACGAGTACATGGCGCAGCAGGTGGTCCATATGCGGGCCCACCGCAGCGGCCAGCACTACCGGCCCAGCATCATGGGCCGCGCTGGCCCACGCTCGCCTTCGCCTGCCTGGTCTCCCGTCGGCTCGCTGGCCCGTCCTGGCCTGGATGACATCGAAGGCCAAGTTCTCCGACATGGGACTGACCGCCATACCGACCATGACTCTAGCCAAGTCTAGATCAGTGAGCGTGAAGTGACGTGAAGGCGAGAGGAAGATGACGGTGGTGAGTGGGTGGAGGAGTGGTTTGCAGTGAACCGGTGTATGTGTAACCATGTAACAATGCATGTTCAGAAGAATGTCGAATTCTGTAAATGCAAAGTAGCCGCCGGTATGTACATAATCTGTTAAAGGTCGCGGAGAAATTCCCCATTCGCATATGATATTCTGCCCTATGCGGTAAGGCCAACCTAGAACTGTATGGACCTCGGCATCTTCCGACATGGCCCGAATATACATCTTTCTTTGTTTTGGACAATCCCTTGAAAACAGAGGAGCTGGTCTCTCTGATTATCATTATTTTCCTTTTTGTTCTCGACACCATGCCTGACCCCAAACATCCTCCGACCTCTTCTAACCATGCGGGGAATGTCTCCTTGCCCGCGGGGAAACCAGACCGAGCTCAATTGCTCGCGGCCCTGGCAGCAACCGACGTGACTATTCGCCGGGTAGACCAGTGAGTTGTATAGACAGATTCGCATTGTGCCGTATAACTAACCCTCCGCAGACTTCTCTCCACAGCCGACGGCCAAGAAAAGGTCCTAGCGACGATCAACTATGTCTCCTCCATCCTACATCACCTCTCCGCCTCCGCGCCGCGGATCGTGCAGCAGACCTGGCCAAGTCTCCTCGCGCGCCTCAGCGGGCGCCAATTATCCTTGCCCCAACCACCCAAGTCCGCCGCGTCCACGTCCAAATCCAAGTTCGCCGCGCTATCCTCCATCGCCTCGGAGACGCGTTACAACCTCCGCCTCTTCGGGCTCCTCCCGCTCTGGGTCTGGGGCTCCGATACTTTGAAATCACCACCCGCAGACCCCATCCTGCACGCCCTGGCACACCTCCAAGTCGTCTCCAACGTCATCTACCAGCTCCTCGAGAACGTGGCCTACCTCGCTGAGAAGGGGGTGGTCTCGCGCCGCTGGGTCGATAGACATGGCGGAGTCGATAAGTGGTATATATGGAGTACGCGCGGCTGGTTCGGGCATATTTTCTTTCAGTTCTTTGTGCTCTGGCGCGAGAGCGTCCTGCGCCGGAGACGGGTTGCTGCGCAGCGTGCCGCTGCTACGGCTACTGCCGGAAGCGAGAAGAGTACCAAGGCGGAGGACGGCGAGGCGCTGAGGCTTGAGATTCGGGCGTGGCGCAAGAGTCTCGTTAACAATGCCATCTGGGCACCTCTGTGTATCCACTGGTGTCTGGAGAAGGGGATCGGGATTCCAGAGCACTTGACCGGGCTGATCAGTTTCTTCGCTGGTGTCTGGGGGCTGCGGGACACCTGGGCGGCAACGGCCAAAGAATAGACGTGTTTTGTTTCTTCATCTATACCACTGTTTGTCTATTTGTTTGGCTTGCATATACACCCTGATATACCGACTTTCGAAATAGAATGTGATTATTGGTCTATCCTCCCGATACTTGGGCCTATATCGAAGATGCTCGAAATGACATCGTTAGTTCACTCTCACTTAATTACCATTTCATCTAGTCTCCTCCGGTATACATTCCTTGATAGCCTCAGGCACCAATATCGACTGCCTTCCATGCGCTTCGACGGCCAGTCAGGTGGCGGCAACCGGCTGACATAAACCCGCTTAGGTCATCGCAACTATCGTTACGGCCTGTACCTGGAAGCTCAACACTCCATCTCTTCCCCCATCACCTCATCCCCATCTGCCTCTCTTTTCCGTCAGGTTCTCCTTCCTGGTCTGCCGGTTCTTCCATCTTTTTCCATCGTCACCGTTTTCATCTCTTTCCCTTTCGTGTTCCCCATCGGGTGAGCTTGCCTCGGGACACTTGACCTCTCCCAGAGCTTGGTTTCCATCCACGTCACGACTTCAGATATTGCACCATGTCGGCGGAGCCGGATCACACTCACGATAAGAAGAGGGTCAACCTCCAGTATGTTCCTTCTGCCACCGTCCCCTTCGCACATGCTAACCTATGTCACCAGGGATGCCTCGGGCGCCGAGAAGAAGGAGGTAAGAGCGATTGCAGAACGGGTGGCAAGTATCTGGCACTGACAAGGATCTGTAGGAGCTTGACACCTCCACTGCTATTCTCAAGAAGAAGAAGAAGCCCAACTCATTGATGTAAGTGTGCTCCACGCACCCGCCACTCCGCCAGATGCTGACAGCTCACCTATCTAGTGTGACTGACGCCGTGAACGATGACAACTCGGTGATCGCTCTTTCAAACAACACCATGGAGACACTCCAGCTCTTCCGCGGTGACACAGTCTTGGTGAAGGGGAAGAAGCGCAAGGACACTGCCCTCATCGTCTTGGCGGATGACGATCTCGATGACGGGAGTGCCCGTATCAACCGTGTCGTCCGGCACAACCTCCGGGTGAAGCACGGCGATATCATCACCGTCCACCCCTGCCCCGATATCAAATATGTAGGTTATCATCCCAACTTTTTTGCTCATTGCTAATCACCCATTTCCCTGTGACAGGCCAAGCGCATTGCCGTCCTCCCCATCGCCGATACCATCGAGGGCCTTACCGGCTCTCTCTTCGATGTCTACCTTGCTCCTTACTTCCGCGAGGCGTACCGCCCAGTCCGACAGGGTGACTTGTTCACAGTACGAGGCGGTATGAGACAGGTGGAATTCAAGGTGGTGGAGGTGGACCCGCCAGAGTACGGCATCGTCGCTCAAGACACAATCATCCACTGCGAAGGCGACCCGATTCAGCGAGAGGACGAGGAGGGTAACCTCAACGAGGTTGGCTACGACGACATTGGTGGTTGCCGGAAGCAGATGGCTCAGATCCGTGAATTGGTCGAGCTGCCTCTCCGCCACCCCCAGCTCTTCAAGTCCATCGGTATCAAGCCCCCTCGTGGTATCCTCATGTACGGTCCTCCGGGTACCGGTAAGACTCTGATGGCTCGTGCCGTCGCCAACGAGACCGGTGCTTTCTTCTTCCTGATCAACGGTCCCGAGATCATGTCCAAGATGGCGGGTGAATCCGAGTCGAACCTCCGCAAGGCGTTCGAGGAGGCCGAGAAGAACTCCCCGGCTATCATCTTCATTGATGAGATTGACTCCATCGCCCCCAAGCGTGAGAAGACCAACGGTGAGGTCGAGCGTCGCGTCGTCTCTCAGCTCCTCACTCTCATGGATGGCATGAAGGCCCGCTCCAACGTTGTGGTCATGGCGGCCACTAACCGGCCCAACTCCATCGACCCTGCCCTTCGTCGCTTCGGCCGTTTCGACCGTGAAGTTGATATTGGCATTCCTGACCCCACCGGTCGTCTGGAGATTATGCAGATTCACACCAAGAACATGAAGCTTGGTGACGATGTTGATCTCGAGACCATCGCCGCCGAGACTCACGGTCACGTCGGATCCGATCTTGCCTCGTTGTGCTCAGAGGCTGCCATGCAACAGATCCGTGAGAAGATGGATATGATCGATCTTGATGAGGATACGATTGATGCGGAGGTGCTTGACTCTCTGGGTGTCACGATGGAGAACTTCCGCTACGCTCTGGGTGTCTCCAACCCCTCCGCCCTGCGCGAGGTTGCCGTCGTCGAGGTTCCCAACGTGCGCTGGGACGATATTGGTGGCCTCGAGGAGGTCAAGCGCGAGCTCATCGAGAGTGTCCAGTACCCTGTGGACCACCCCGAGATGTTCCAGAAGTTCGGTCTCTCACCCTCTCGCGGTGTGCTGTTCTACGGTCCTCCTGGTACTGGTAAGACCATGTTGGCCAAGGCCGTTGCCAACGAGTGTGCTGCCAACTTCATCTCCATCAAGGGTCCTGAGCTGCTGAGCATGTGGTTCGGTGAGTCGGAGAGCAACATTCGGGATATCTTCGACAAGGCGCGTGCCGCTGCTCCCTGCGTTGTCTTCCTTGATGAGCTGGATTCCATTGCCAAGTCTCGTGGTGGCTCGGTTGGTGATGCTGGCGGTGCTTCGGACCGTGTTGTTAACCAGCTTCTGACCGGTACGTATTCTTTCTCGGTTTTTTGATCTGATAGCCACTAACTTCTGTGCAGAGATGGACGGTATGACTTCCAAGAAGAACGTTTTCGTTATTGGTGCCACCAACCGTCCCGAGCAGCTGGACGCCGCCCTGGTTCGTCCCGGCCGTCTCGACACCCTGGTCTACGTTCCGCTGCCCGACCAGGAATCCCGTGAGGGTATTCTTAAGGCTCAACTCCGCAAGACCCCGGTTGCCGGTGATGTCGACCTGAGCTTCATTGCCAGCAAGACCCACGGCTTCTCCGGTGCCGATCTTGGCTTCGTGACGCAGCGTGCCGTCAAGCTGGCCATCAAGGAGGCCATCACCGCCGACATCGAGCGCGTCAAGGCGCGCGAGGCCGCCGGCGAGGACGTCAAGATGGAGGATGAGGAGGATGAAGCCGAAGACCCCGTACCCGAGCTCACCCGCGCCCACTTCGAAGAGGCCATGAAGACTGCTCGTCGCTCCGTCACCGACGTCGAGATCCGCCGCTACGAGGCCTTCGCGCAGAGCCTGAAGAACTCTGGCGGCAGCAGCTTCTTCCGCTTCCCCTCCTCGGGCGAGGTGCAGGAGAACGACACGTTCGGCGAAGCCGGCAATGATGACAGCCTCTACGATTAAATAGCTCTCCTCTCTTGGCGTGAAATGAATTTTCCTTGCGTTGCCTCTGTGCCTTTTCAGTCATGGTTGTGTTTCCCCGCGCGGAGGTTTTGACTGGTAGATCGTTCTTTTCATGGTTGGGAACTCAGCCTGGACTGATAGCTTTTTTTTTCTCTATCTCTTTTCTGGTTCTGTTTTCTTTGTCTCTGTCCACATACAACGTGCCATAATAGCCCCTACAGATGGAGGAATTTCTACGTTGGAGCATGAATTGTCCGTCTGTAAGATTTGGTAGATGTGATGCACTTTGGAGGCATGCATGTAGCAGAATAGCAGTGCAGCTAGCTTATCTACAAGTATACTACAACTGAACTTGGATACAATCGTGAACATTATTCATTAGTTGCAAAATAAATGCAAGTTCTATGTCTAAGTAATCCGCCCAATGCAAGGGAAACCAACGCTATGAAGTGATGAGACAAGAAAATTAGAACTTCGGCGAGAAGCGGCTCATAGCGCGGATCTTGGCTCCGTAGAAATAGAACAAGATCGGGATGGGGATCATCGCCAGGGTGATGAAGCCCAGCAGGCTAGAAGCCCAGTTGACGCCGAGATTGTGATACATCTGCGTAGCGAACAAGGGGAACGCGCCGCCGAGAGTAGACCGGACGAGCGTGTTGGCCGCGATGGCCGAGTTGGCGAACATCATGTACACGTCGATGATGTAGTTGAGGCCCTGCATGAAGATCACCAGGATGCCCAAGCCAATGGGCACGCCGGCGATCACCTGAGGTACCCAGGAGATGTTGGGGCTAGAGGTCCAGCCAAACCAGAACAAGCCCGCGGGCAGGAGAACTGAGGCGATCATCATTGGGATCAGGCGCTCCTCTGGGACGACTTTGCCGTGCTTCTTGAGCTTGCGCGCGAAACGGGTCTTGGTAGTGTAGATGATCAGGGCGCAGCCGAGGAAGACACCGATCATGATGCCGATGAAGGGGAGGGCGGCAACGCCCTGGTGTTTCCAGCCGCGCACCTCGCTGAAGGAGATCGGGTACGCTTCGAAGAAGAGGTAGAGGATGCCGTAGATCAGGGCCAGGTAGATGGTGATGGCCACGAGGATGGGCTCGAGGAAGAGCATCTGGAATGGTCGTAGCAGGTAGTTGTTGCAGATCTGGCGGAAGGTCGGGCTGTGCTCGTCCAGGAAGGAGTGCAGGGCCCAGTTGCGGGTCTCGCGGCGCAGGCGAGCGGCGCGCTGCTGCAGGAGGACGGGCGGGTAGGTCTCCGGGACGACGAAGAAAGTGATGATGCCGAAGGTTGCGGAGGCGATGAGAGTGATCCAGGCGGTCCAGCGCCAGCCCAGGTAGGAATCTGTGATGAAGCCGCCGACGATGGGGCCCAAAACGGGGCCGAGGAAAGTGGCCGCGCTGAACATGGCGATGGCAATGGCGCGGTCGACGGGATCCCAGATATCAGCCATGGCGCCGCCGACGACAGCCAGCGGCGAGCAGCCAAAGACGCCGATCAGGAAGCGGCAGATCATGATAGTTTCCAGATTCTGCGCGACGGCGACGGGGATCTGGAAGATGGCGAAGATGGCATAGCCCAAGAACAGCGGCAGGCGGCGGCCGTACAGCTCGCTCAGTGGCGCCCAGCAGAGGGGACCCAGTGCGAAGCCGAAGACCGTGAGACTTGTGCCCAGAGTCATGACTTCGGTCGACACGCCATACTCCTTGGAAGTGACGAGCGTGGCGGTCGAGAACACACTGCTTGCGAAGGTGATCCACATGGTCATGGAGGACATGGTCAAGGTGATGATCCATTTGCGAAGAGGCGTGAAGTTCTGCGGGTTCTCAGGGTCGTTGGGCCCATCCCATTCGACGAGATTGGGGTCTTTGGGTGCTGCTTTCTCGGGGATGGGACTGTTGCTGGCGGCGTTGCTCTCGACATCAACATCTTCCCTGGGCAGATCCTTGTCTGTCTGGACGCCAGAGTCATTGAGAGGATCGTAGTGCTCCATACTCAGACGAGGCGTGGGAGCCTCCGAGTCGAAGTGGTTGTTGTTGCTGTTGTCGTTGGAACTCATAGCTGGTGAGCTGTAGTCTGCACGAGACATCAACCACGTTTTCTTTATGGCTCCTGGTTTGGATGGATGCCCTGGCCCAACCGGCGCATCGCACCGACTTTAAAGCACTCATGGCTTCTATTTTTTTCTGCGGTGGATCTCTGATGAGAAACCATGCGCACGGAGGTACCAGGACTCGGTGTTTAACATGGGAGGTAATTGCCATAGACCGAAGAGCGATCCAATGAGAGCGAGCCATCCCAGGCAAAAACATGATCGGGGCGCGATGATGCCGTGTACCCGCCTGCCGGAGAGTGGATTACGCGAGCAGGAACGGACATAAAAAATGGCGTAGTCGCCACTCAGCGGGCTCAACGGAGGCCGATGGGCGCGAAGTGGATCACGCCCGGCAGATCGGCCACAGAGCAGCTACCGATGCTTATCTGATCATTACAATCTATGAGCTGATCCTCGGCACATCAATTCCACGCCCTATCGTTGGCAACGATGTAGACGATCAAAACAGACAACAGTCATTCGGTGGGAAAGCCCCAGTCCTGCTTAATCTTTTGAATCCACTCCTCCACCGCCATGACTTCCTGCCCGACCATCACATTCCCTTTTCCGATTGTTTTCCGTTTATCCTCGTCGTACGCGGGAACGTGGAGCATTTCGTGGCTCTTGCTGCACACCTGACGCTGCAAAGTTCCCCCTCGTAACTTCGTGAAACAATCCTCATCGAATTGCACGTCCGCACATACTCGGCAAATATACATATCGTCTGCGTAGGTCCACCTCGTTCCACATCTTCCATCGCATCCGTAAGTTAAAGGACCTTCCAACTCTTTGGTTGCCTTGTCAGTTGACTCCAGTCGATTGGTCTCTTTGCTAGCATCCGTATCCTCATCTTCTTGATTGGGTATGATGAGTGACCATGCGGCCAGAGCGTTATCGTCAGTCCAGCAAACATGAAGTGCGCTGCTAGGCCTTTGAACCCCTGCCAATCGTTGCTGGGATCGTCATCCGACAAAAGATCTAGATTGGTTTTGACAAAGGCCCTGATCACGTTCTTTGCTTTCTCCGTCTTCCCACAAAGCCCGTAGTACCGAGCCAGTAACTGCTGCGGGTATTTCTCCTTCGGCTGGTCCGTCAGATTTCCGTCCGATTTCAAAGTGGCAAGATGCTCTAGATCGTCGATGTATTTGGCTGCCGGTTCGGTGCCTGGTCCCGCCTGGAGAGCTTTTTCGAAATAGAGGTTGGAGAGATCCCGAGTGGCGTACAACTTGGCACGCCCTAGGTACCAGCTCATTTCGGTTTCGTCTAACTGGATGATCCGTACCCACATGGACAACGCCATCTCCTTTTCCTCGGCGCATGTGTAGTTGTTGTAGAAGAACTTGGCACAGTAGTGCATCAGCATGGCCATGATTTCTCTAGCGTACTTTTCTTCCTCTCGGTCTAGCTGGTCCGTGGCAAGTTGTATCTTTTTTTCTGCCGCGTCGATAGCAGTGCGATAGCTATCCTTTAGAGTCGTGATGCTGATGCCGTCCAGGCTTCTTCCGGCCGCCGCGATGGTACCATGATAATCGTCACTCCAGTAATACTCGTGGAAGATTCGCGTGCGCCGATCGAGACCGGTAACCTCGTCTTTCGACCTTTTCAAGCCTTCGAGGAATTCAACCAGCTGTGCATAGCTTCCTTTGTCATATAGAATTGAGGTCATATCAAAGGCTGACTCATAATCATCTGGATGTTTCTGCAAAATGGACTCATAAATGTCCCAGGCTTTCTCGAGATTGCCGGCTTCTTTGTTCCACCACGCCAAATCTCGACTGATTTTATGCAAAGAGTTCACAGCGGTAGGGTCCTTCGTCTTTCCACTTTCGATAGACGCTTTAACCGCTTCTAAAGTCTCCACTGCCAGCGCATATTTTCCGTGGAGATTGTAAACCAGCGCGAGACCCCATGTGGCGAGCCAGGTCTCTTCTTGAAGCGACGATGCCCGCTGGAATGTTTCGACTGCTTCATCCAACTTCCGAAACTCTCTCAACGTTCTGGCGACGTTATGTGTTTCCTCATAACCAAGACTGTCCAGTCCCAGGCTTTGTCGACCCCACTCGGCTACCTCATGGATCCGAGACGCCGTAATCTTCTTTCCTCTCTGTTCTTCGGTCTGATCTTCGGTCTCTTGCTTCACGTTGGGGTCTTTGCGATTTGCAATCTATCAAAAGAGTTTAATACCCAACCAAAACAAATACACGAGAGACAATCACCTGGACTTACCTTGTTCGAATATGCATCTACCCAATAAAACAACTCCGCGACATTCCAATCGCTCGTCTGCAGCCATTTATGCGCCATGAACTTGGCGATATGCTCCAGGAGATCTGCATCAGGCTTCGACTTCGAACTCAGGCTCTTAACCCATGCCATGTCCTTTTCCGGAAGCTTCTTAGTGACAGCGGAGTCCTGTAGCCACTTCAACACCAAATCAACGCATTCGTCCTCGTATAGCCAGTAACGCCGCATCCACAGGCCGTCCTAGGTCCACCAGAATTTGAAATTTTCGACGTCAGTAAACATTTTCACCAATTGTGGACCGACTATGGCCCATGGAAACATAGATCGCTCGGGCCGAAAGCCTACTATTATCAGACAGACCTATCTCAGCGAATGAGTGAGATACATACCATACTTGCTCCTTGGGCGGCAATCCCACCGAGAACCTTGATGAAGTTCAAAGTCTTGCTGATGACATCCTTTGCGACTTTGTATTTAATGTTTCGCTGCTCGCTGTCATCTTGCTTTTGCCGTATTTGTTCGAGCACTTGATCGATGCTGTACTTCGGTTTTGTAGTGAGATCCACCATGGTTGTTTTGGCGAAGGACCGACACACCGTGTCCCACGCCTCCTGGAGATTGTAGTCATCGCTTCCAGTTAAATCTGCCATTCAGTTCTAAAAGTCGTTGTGTACACTGAATGCGGAGCCAACGTCGTCTTCTAGTTTTCGTGTGGAGAGATCATCGTTCATTTCTTAGGATAAATAACTAGCGCTTACGGCTGAAAATAACGGAACAAGCTTTTGATCTAGCCCTTCATGCAGGAGTGGAGGACCGTGCGAATTTCATCCATATCATTGGCAGCCTCCGATGGGCTTGAGCGGCGCTCACATGTCAGCTGGTGGTGGCTATGTGTAGATGTCGAGTCCCCCGGGGTAATATCATTCAATAACCCTGTACGATACATTTTTATGTTCGACGTTGACTGCAGGTCTTGTTTACTTTTTACCGGGTCCACTCTGTCCCCTATGGACACACACATTTTGTTTCTCGGCCCGTACCCGGAACCAGCCTAATAATCAGCTGTAAATAATCCTCTCTAGGAATAGACCTTATTTCTAGAACGATTGCATTACGTAGAATACTACACTCCGTATGCTTCTCCGGAACTGAACCCGGTCGAAGCATTTTCACCGAACTCAAAAGTTTTGTTAAACATAACTGGAGCGTCTATGAAGAAGATCCTGATCAAGGGATTGATATCTTCCTCGAATAGCGCATTGATGCTCACGGTTTCATGCGGGAAGTATCAGCCAGGGAAAAAGCAACTGTATTTACTAACCGGAGTGCACAAAAACAGGGCGCACAAAAGTTGGCGAGCACCCTGGCGTTTGAATACCGTCACCTTGAAACAACGCCATTAACGTCAGGTTACATCCAGTTCCCAATACCCTAGCAGCGCCCCCAAATTACTAGACTAAGATCCAAGTGAGGCTGAGGCTGACCACCCCGCGCGACTGACACCAGGCTCCAGTGTTATTAAATATCACTACTACTGCTTTGCTATCTTGAACGAACGAACACCTATCGCGACGATGAAGGTAGCTGACTTCTTTCTGTATTTTGCGGCCGTTTCGTCCGCCGTCGTCGTTGCAGACGAGCAAGCCCCGTTAGGGCACGGCAAGAAAAATGACGACCGATTGAACGTCATCGATGAGAGGCTACGTCCGGTTGAAGAGGCTGCTCAAGCCGACGAAATGTATTCCTTCCGCATGTTTTCTCCCTCAGATACCTGGCTCGACTTTGTTCAGTATAACTTTTACGGCCGCGGAAATATGATGTTCTTTGATGAGGATTCCGTATTCAAGGATTTCGATGAAGAGGACGACCTCGATTATCCGGCAACAACAGGCAACCTACGACCGGGACACGTTAATAGCGGATCGTCTGACATGACAATTTATGAGCTTATCAGGACCAGTCAATTCACCACGAAGCTAGCAGCGCTCATCGACGAAGACGAAAACAAGGACATCGCCCGCATCCTCAGTGATAGCAAGGTTAATCACACTGTCTTTATTCCAACGGACAAAGCGTTCGACAAAATATCGAAGAATCACCAGCTATCTCCGGGGGCAATTCGCAACATCCTATACTATCATATCTCGCCCGGGAGCACCTTTCTAGCCCAGCGCTTATCCCAGAGCAGTTATACCGTGCCAACACTATACAAGGAACCTGGCCTCGGCGATGATCTACCCCAGCGGTTGTCGATCCGTTCAGATTACCATGAATCAACTACAGTCAACTTTTATGCTCGGCTTCTCGCGAACGATATTGTAAGTTCAATCTACAGAGTCCTATAAACTCAGATTAGTAACATCGTGATAGCGTGCATCCAATGGGATCATTCAGGTCGTTGACTCCATTCTCATGCCTCCGCCGTCAACACTTTCCATCTTCAACCTGCTCCCAACAAGATTCTCGACCCTCTCCCTTGGCCTTACCCGAACCAACTTGTCCTCGGTCATAGAGGCAACAGTAAGTGCTTGCAAGGGCGGCACGTTCTTCGCCCCGTCGAACACGGCGTTCGATGTTCTCGGCCCCCGCATTAGCTCTTTCCTCTTCTCTGCCCAGGGGGAGGAATACCTTCGCGCTCTGCTCGAGTACCACATTGTGCGCAATCAGACCCTTTATTCGGATGTCTGGTATGCCGAGAATGGTGATATCGAACCATTAATCAGCCCACTACCGCCGTCGTCGCTATCGCCGCCATCGCGGCCATCGGACGCTTTCCTGTTAGCTCTAATGACTAAGAACGCCAATCAACCCCAGATGTCTACATACATCGAACTTCCGACAATGCTCGGTAATCGCACTATTGCAGTCGATATCAAGCAGCGAGGCTCATTTTCCAAGTTTATGGTCAATGGCTACCAGCACATCGTGGTGGCCACAAACGGCGTCGCTAGAGATGGAAGCATAATTGTTCTCGAAAACTTGCTGATGCCCTCAAAGAAAAAGGAGGGTGCTCGCCATACGAGCAGTCGTCTAGGCTATTTCCGCGACGAAGATATGTGCGACACGCTTGAGGTGTTCAAGGCCCGATTTGCGGGCTTGGTCATGGATGACGGTAACGGTGACGATTTCGAGTCTGACCTATTCGCGTTCCTGGATAGTCCAAGCTCGTAGTACTCTGCTTCGCCTCTACTCGAGTTTCTATTGAATGCTATGTTTGACATGACTTGACCTATATGTATTTCGGTCTGTGAAGTCTCTATTAGTTGTCTCTACTATGTCCACTGAGTAACTGTTAATATCGGCAATTCAATAATTCTTTGATATCAGTGGGCTTCTGGCTAGTTAACCATAGACCACTTCCCTAAATATCCCGTATACAGCAATATTCGCAGTCAGTTTACCTCGTATACTCCAACAAATTGTTTCCCGAATCCTATCTTGAAACAGTCTTATGTAATAATGCTTAGTCTCTCAACAAACTCTGCTTAATCGTATTGTCTCCGTATCGACTAGTTCTCAGTCTCAACTCAAATGAGTCATTGTAAAATACTAAATTATAGATGAATCTTCAAAGGATCTCATACAAATTGGTCCTCTGCTCTGTGCAAAAAGCTCATTCATTCATTCCGTCATCCTAGGATCCATTATTATCTGTGGCCCAGGAACTCCCAAACAGTCCGACGCGCTGAAGGCTAGTTATGGCCTCTTACCTTGTAACTGGCTCATCGCGAGGCTTGGGTTTAGCACTTGTTGAGTGTCTAGAGTCTCTACCTGAAGCTGAGGTGCGAACAATCTTTGCCACAGCCCGTCAGGGCAACTCCCCCGGTTGAAGGAGCTTATGGCCACCGCGGCAGGCCGGGTGGAATTTATCCAACTGGACGTGACCGACGAGAAAAGCATCAAAGACGCCGCAGCAACAGTAGAGGACAAGTTGAAGGGAGGTGGGCTCGACGTTTTGATCAATAACGCAGGCATGAAAGACTGGACCCCAGCGGGACTAGAAGGGATGTGAGTGTTGAACATTTAAATCCTTAACCTTGATAGTGCTTATGAATAAGGGAAAATTTGACTGAGCTGTTCAATACGAATGTTGCTGCTACTCACCTAGTCACGCGAGCTTTCCTTCCCCTTCTTCGTCGTAGCGATAAAAAAGTGGTGATTAATCTGTAAGTTCCTTTATTTGCTATTTTCAAAACATTGACCCTAATAGACACTCCGTAGCTCATCAACATTGGCTTCAATCACCAAGGCAGAAGATTATCGCCTAGTACCTTCTCCTGCCTATAAAATAACGAAGGCCGCATTAAATATGTTGACAGTGCAGTATGCCCAACAGTACCGGAACGACGGCTTCACGTTCATGGCTGTCAACCCTGGTGTAAGTGTATAACATCAAAAGCTCTCTTCATTTACTATTATCTGTCTGATCTCACTACGGCATTAGTGGCTGCGAACCGATATGGGTGGTTCCGACGCAGATCTCCCAGTGGAGACCGGTGCTGGCAGGGTGATTGACATCGCACAGAATGCTTGTCCAGAGCAAAATGGAAAGTTTTATAATATCTATCTTCCAGACTGGGAAGATATAGAGGGGTTCTATCAATACGACGGCAAGGAGATCTGTTGGTGATAGCAGCAGTTGTTTTACAGTCGCGACTGTTATTGCCATCCATCTCAGACAACCGTAGAGATGCTCTTTCAACCCTAATCACATTTGATCGCACAACAGAATTCACTGAAAGCCCTCTGACATGGAACGCACCTGATATAGGGTATATTAATACCGATGCCTCTTGGAGCATAGGCAGTGTCTTATCTATCGGGGACCACGGAGGGTCGTTGCGAATACTCCGCCGCGCCTTTTTTCTCTGCTTTTGTCTTCCGTTCTGGACTAAGGGGCTTTCAATTCTTCCTATGTTTCTTCGATAATTAGTTCGCCTACACAGACAACCGCCTTTAGCCTCTCTAAAGCTCCCATCGATCTCCATTGCATTAAATCCCGCCGTCTCAACGATTCGCCCCTCCCCTGCAGACCAATATGAACCCACCTCGATCTCAAACCCCTCTCCGATCTCCTCCAATCGCCTCCAGTCTCTCCTCCCTCGGTGCATATACTCCAGAATTTCCTGAGAGAAATCATGCGGTGTTGAGGTGGTGTAACCATGGGAACAGTCAGTCTAATTCTATTTTGGGTCTATCGGGTTCTAGGCCTTCCTTCCCCAAAATACAAATACATCTACGCCCATATCTGCATGCCGCGGGTCTGGGAATTTGCGGTTTAGCGCCATTAAATCTTAAGCATGGCTGTAGTACATGTTGGTTAGAATGTGCTTTAAAACAAAGTAAGTAGGCCGGATGCAGTTGCCGATGCCGAAACGTTTGGATGCCATGAACTACGGCCCCACTTCCCCGACCCTTTGGTCAAGCAGACTGGTTGCTCCCGGAACAAGACATAAAAAGAACTACGTCAGCTACAGTTGAATATTGCGGATAGCCCGGATAGACTGATTCATTCCGTTGGGATTAGATCGTTTGGGCGCTTTCAAAATCAGATAGTGAAGGTATAAAGTCATATCTGTCGGCCTGTATCTGATATATCGCGCTCATAGAAATATCTTTACACGTATTATCATTACATCCTGCCAAGCTGAACAATGACTGCCAATAAGCCTAAGATATTGTTTGTCCTTTCTTCGCATGAAAATGGCTGGTATCTGGTTGGTGCTACTATCTAAGTATTGGACTCTTCGATTGACCATCCCTTCATAGCCCGAGTTCGCTCATCCTTATCAGGTGCTTGCACCTCACGTCGATATGACCATCGCCTCACCTCTGGGCACCTCGACGGTCGACCCTATCTCCGTGGAGCGGTTCAAAGATGATGCGTACTGCCAAGAATTCTACCGCACAAAAGAAGATCTCTGGAAGAGTACTGAAAAGCTCGCTTCTTTTATTGGCCGTGCGAAGGACTTTGATGTCATTTTTGTTGTGGGGGGCTTCGGACGTAGGTCTTCCTTGCCGTTGCAGTCCTTACATTTCAAATTCTTAGGAAGAACCAAGTATCTAACCGAGTTATATCACCATAGCAATGTACGACCTCGCCACTGATAAAACAACGATTGCGCTGGTTCGGGAGTTTCATGATGCCGACCGCGTCATCGTCGCTCTTTGTCATGGTGTGGCCGCACTCGTCCACGTAGAGCTGGCCGACGGAACGCCTCTCCTAGGCGGGAAACGTGTGACTGGATTCAGTGATGAAGAAGAGGATCAAGCCTATGCCAACAAAATTGCCCCTCCCAATATGCCGTTCCATCTTGAGCAAGCCTTGAATAAGGCTAGTGGAGGTAACTACGAGAAAGCAGATCAGGCCTGGGGGTCTCATGTGATATCAAGTCCCAAACTCCTCCTCGGACAGAATCCGGCTAGTGCTCACGACCTGGGGGTCGCGCTATTGGAAGTCCTTACCAAAAAGAAGTGAAAAAAGACAGTTACATATGGGGGCTTTGTGAAACCGCTCAAAATTGTGAAATGACTTGTCATATATTGCGAATCTTGTACCAGAGAAGGGAATCTCACAGAGAAGCCGTTCCGATACTCGACCGCGGGAACGCGCGTATTCAGCGTTTTTGATGATTTGAGTGATTCTTTTTGCTCGTCACGAAATATTAAATTGAACCAGATCCGATCTGCAACTGAGAATATGATTTAAAACTTTTGGACACGCTAATTTCCCACCTTGAAAATTTGATACTCGACCGCGGAGCCATCATCATCGATAACATACCGACCTTGTCCCACGAACAAACTAGTTTCGACCCATTTACAAGCAGGGTCGTCCGTCTCAATGACAGGTGATGCGAACCAGTCATGGTCACCATACTGCGTGGATTTGGCATCCGAAGCCCACCCCATCACTTTACCGCCTGCTTCGTCCACTCTGAGAACTCCGGGATAATGGACATAGATGTTGTGCTTTCCATCGCTGGTACGTGCTTGCGTGCGCACATTAAGATGGCATACGTTTGTAGAGGGATCCATCTGGGGAACAAATATTCAATCACCGCTGATCACCGCTGAGGAGTAAGAGAAAGGTGGGCTATACCAAAATCCAATCCCCACCGCCTGGTATAATTGTTGCTTTTATACCTGAGCCTTCTATGAATCCGTGTGTGATGGGAAGGATGACGCGCGATGGTCCGTCCTTAATCTTAGGGATTGTGAAGCTATTCTCTCTGGAGAGGTAAGCGCGCATCGTGAAAACATAGTTCAGTTGAGGTGCCATAGTGGAATAATCGACGAGGAGATACCCTGTTCCAGAATCAGGATTTTCAGAGGAGAAAAAAAGCGAAACTGCTGAAAAGCGAATCCTACACCTAGGCAGTATTCCTGAGTGGCGCCTACGTCATCTATGACTGGCTATTGCCAAAAATTCCATCTTTAGGACCATAGCTACCGTGGGAATACCGAAAAGTCTTATTCAGAAAAGTATTTACTGGAAATAACTACAACTTGAGGTGTCCTCTGTCTTTGTTCATCACATGGTTTAGTGGAACCCCCGCGATTCCAGTCATTCTGAATCAGAGTAAAATCACTGCATATATTAATCTGCCCTCCTTGCGGAAAAGCTAAGAATACTGCATATTAACCAAAATATTAGATATCCCACTTCTGATAACGACACTTCCACATACAAAGCCAAGATCACAGGGAAACCTCCTTGCCTTGGTAGTCGAGAAATCTTTCCTTGCGGTCGATATGATACTCTCCAATGACCCGGACACTAAAGCAGTTAGAAAATGAAAATATCTTACGAAGAGATAGTATACTCACACTCCCTGTGCACTTTCCTCGACAGTGATATTGCCGAAAGGGTTCATGTCAGTCTTAGGCAGCCCTGGATGACAGAGAAGCATAGGAACGCCTTTCGGTCGGAGTTCCATGTCGAATTCCAAAAGAAGCCTCTCCTCGGCGGTCTACATTGTTCATCATTAATATCTAAGATCCGCCGGTTAACATAATGGGACGACCGACCTTCGAGATATCATAGGTCGCTGTAGGATTCGCTCCTGGTGTTCCGAATGCCTGGCTATGCATGTCGAAATTCCGTTGCGCTGTATTAACGGACCCAAAACTACTGCCAATGAATGCGAAGACCTTGTTCTTGTAGGCAGATTGCATGACAAAAGGAAAGAATGCGACAGTCGCAATGTGTGCGCCGTACACATTCACCTCCATGTTCTGCTTGAAATCTCCGATATCAGCCTTCGTGATGGGCGCAAATCCTTTAAGGACTCCGGCGTTATAGATCACTTGGTCAAGGGATGAGGTCGAATTGCTGATAGTTTCCTTCAGCTTGGCGATAGAGGCAGGATCGGTAGTATCTGCTTCCACAATGATCACGCGCTTGTCATTCTGGTCCGAGAGGGACCGCAGTTCAGACGCGCCCGAGTCTGAGCGAACAGTTGCATATATGGTTGCGGCAGGATATTTTACCAGCTGCCGTACTTTAAGGTCAGATCAAAATGTGATTTGGTAAACCAGGTTGCTGCCATACAGAATGTTTAACCAGACCTAGGCCAATACCCCGACTGGCTCCGAAGATGAGGATATTCGATGGTTGCATTGTTAGAGGAGGTGTTACGACCGTGTAGAGAGCTGAAAGGCGCGAGTAGAAGAGTTATAGGACAGAAGATAGGACTGCTTTGGTTACTTTATACTTCTGTTATCTGCATGTTGGATTCACTCGGTTTGGGTTGGATGCTAGAATTTCTAAGCCGTCGGTGAACCCGGTGTTGATTACAAACATGCACGAGAGTGCCATATCTGACAAATAATTATCTACAGAAAATCCCGTAAGAAAGAACCGGAAAGAATTCAAAAAGTCTACGAAATAAGAACGATAGTTGGCCGAGGCGCGCTGCAAGGTAGGTTTAGTAATCTAATCTTCGGACCTAGTGGGAGATGACGATAAAAACTCTCGGGGGCATCAGTTGACTCAACAATTCCGTCTGAACAACATAACTAACTAATTCACCTTTAGGCTTTAAGCTTTGCACTTTTCATTGGCCTATAACTATTCCTTTCTGTTTGGCCGGAATGTTGAAGTTAGCCCGGCTCATTACCGAATTCTTTCGACCCTCGAAGGACGCTTCTTGCGTTCTTTTCGTAGATGTGATCTACCTTGCAGTGCCTCGAGCAAGTTCTTCGTGGTCGGCAATCCTCGACACGGCTGTGGAGCGCTCAGCAGCTCTAGCATCTCCTTGATCTTACTTGGCTTGCTAATGGAGATACAAAATCCATGGCGCGTTTTGCATCAGTTCCAGGCTCCTCTTCTATGAGAACATCTGGCTCCACTACGAGTATTCTTATTCCATCTACCAAGGCTGAGAGGGGAGAAAGTCGATAGGATTCTTTGAAATAGCGCAAGTACAAATTGTAGAGTATTTCACCAAAAGTGATGCAAACAAGAATATGTAGATCAACCCGTGCAGTTTGATCGATGACTGAGACACGCGACCCCGTGACGCGTCCGTGCTCTGTATCTGGCCCACTCATCTCCTACTTCCTCCCGCTTGTCGCTCTGCCACTTCTCAGGCCATCATGCCGACGCGCTCTCGCCAGCCTGCTGAGGTCGCCGAGCCCGATGAGGGGCTTCGCAGTCTCTCCTTCAACCAGCCGCTGTCATGGCGCGTGGGCCGCGCCGCCATCCCCATCGCTGACCTGCTTGAACGCCTGCAGACCCTCGCCCAGGAATTGCGCAAACTCGAACAGGAGGAAGTCGACAAGGATTCGTTGCGGAAAGTTTCCCAGGAGCTGGCCAGTGGACACCTACTCGCTCACAAGGACAAGGGTGTGCGGGCGTGGGCCACGCATTGCATTGTCGATGTCTTGCGACTATGCGCCCCCGACGCGCCGTTTACGGCAAACCAGCTCAAGGTGCGCTTCGAATGACGGTACCTCCCAATGGCAGATGTGCTGACTCGCAAAACAGGATATCTTTACGTGTATCGTCACTTCGATCATCCCCGCCCTGGCCGATCCATCCAATACCTACAACGCGCAACACAATTATGTTCTTAACTCCCTCGCCGAGGTGAAGAGTGTAGTTCTCATGACCGACCTCGATCACCCGGATTCTCTGATTGTCCCGCTGTTCACAGGCTGCTTCGATATCGTCTCGGGATCATCAAAGGCCTCGACCGGCGAGGAGGTGGCCAAAGGGGTCGAGTTCGATATGACTCGATTGTTGGTGACTGTGATTGACGAAACCCCAGTCCTTGCTCCAGAGGTGGTAGACATCATAGTGGCACAGTTCTTGCGCGTGGATCCTCGGGTGCTGGACAGCTCCAACAGGAAAGGAAAACGACCAGATGCCCCGCTTGACACCAAACAAGACACGCTTTTGCTGAAGGACTACCCGCCGGCATACAACATGGCCAAGGCTATCTGCCAAGCCTGCCCAGAACGAATGACGAGCCATATTAGCCAATATTTCAACAACGTGATCATCGATGCCTCCGTGTCAGCTGGTAAGTCAAACGGTGCAAAGCACGGCGCTAAGAAACCGAATCTGGACGATTCCGACGAAGAAGGTGAAGACATTAAAGAATTGAGCAAGGCTCACCGTCTGATCCGCGAGCTGTGGCGGGCATGCCCAGAAGTGCTGCAGAATGTGATCCCTCAAGTGGAAGCCGAGCTGTCTGTAGAATCAGTGGCCCTGCGCTTGTTGGCTACGCAGACTATCGGAGACCTCGCTGCAGGAATCGGTGTTGCGGGACCTCCTCCGCCGCCGCCAATGGACCCTGCGGCATATCCGCCAGTAACCTTGGTGGAATACGCGCAAACCATCCCTCAGCCGAATGTTCTCCTGACCCCCCTGTCATTAAAACCCTTTTCTCAGGCCCACACCTCGGCATACGAAGCATTCCTCAGCCGACGCCTCGACAAGACACCGTCGGTCCGCGCCGCTTGGGTGACTGCCGTGGGACGAATCCTGTTCACTTCGGCGGGGGGTTCTGGTCTGAGCGAGAATGAGGAACAAGGGCTCGTACGAAGCCTCGCTTCCATGCTACGGGACGCGGATGAAAGGGTTCGTGTCGCTGCGGTAGACACAGTTGGCAAGTTCGGTCTGAACCATATCGTTCACAAGCTCGGCGTGGATGGTGGTTGCTCTTCTCCAGATTCGGTGCTTGCCATTCTGGCTGAACGAGTCAAGGACCGCAAACCGCAGGTACGTGAGCACGCGATGAAAGTCCTTGCTCGAATGTGGGCGGTGGCCGCGGGAGACATTGAGCAAAATACCGAACCAGTGGTGTCAGTCCTGAAGGACGCCCCATCCAAGATTTTTGATGCCTATTACACCAACGACCAGGAGATCCAGGTGCTGATCGACCGTGTTCTGTTTGAAACTCTTCTGCCCCTGAGCTATCCTCCCGTCAAGTCGAAGGCATCACGAGGAGGCTCAAACCAGTCACAAAAGCAAAAGGAAAGCCAAACTTCCGAAGTTGATCAGGATATCGATGTTGACAAGATTCGCGTTCGCCGAATTCTCACCCTCTTGCGGGGCCTGGACGAGAAGGCTCGGCGGGTCTTCTTCGTCATGCTGAACCGCCAACTGAACATGAGGCAGGGGACGACGATCTATCTGGAGGCTTGTGAGAAGTACAATGTAGGTTTTTTCCAATGCGTTAAATGACATATGATACTAATGACAAACTTGCAGGGGGGTGTGAACGACAAGGACGGGGAGCAGGCTAAGGCCCAGCTTGGGAGGGTCGTGGATGGGCTTTCAAAAACATTCCCTGATGCTTCACGCGCATCAGCGGACTTGTGGAAGTTTGCCAAGGCGCATGATCGACGCAGCTATCAGCTTGTCCGCTTCTCCATGGCCGCCGTGAGCGATTATCGCACCGTGATTAAGGCCATCAGAGAACTCCAGCGGCGAATGCAAAGTGCCAACAATTCACCACTGCTCGAGACCTTGACTCCCCTTGTGTATCGCTCTGGGTCTCTAATCTTCAACCGAAGTCACATCCCGGCGATCATGAGTCTCTCTCGCACAAACGAAAACGGGCTGGCCAATCCGGCACAGGAAATGCTGAAGGAAATTTCGTCTCAAACCCCAGAAGTTCTAGAGGCACAGGTTCAGGAAATGTGCAAGGATCTTGAAGCAGATGCCCCCAAGGCTTCCTCGGCCGGAGATGCTGGTACGGAGGAAATCCTCAAGGCCTGCGCGGGTTTCGCGAAGAAGCTTCCGGCAAAGCTTCCCAAGGAGCGCAAGTT